CAGAAGAAGAGGACCGGTACCAGGAAGACCTCCGGATTCGGGAAGCCAGGCCTAATTTGCTGAAGAATGTGGAAAAGTAGAAGAGCTAGCTGTGTGCACAGCTTAGAATTTTGTAAACCGATATTATATCAGTAGTGTGTTATTATGCATTAATGCTTAACATCACACTACTGCATACACCCGTGTTGCCCTGGTGCCATGGGAGGGTGGAAAACAGATTAAAAAAAAATGTCCTTTTATATGGCTATTGATAACCTCACAGACAGTCGTAGCAGGAGAATTTATTGTGGTCTATGCGTTTAACGTAGACTAGTCAAGACTTGGAGTGCCATGTATTGTAGTTCCTCTAAGACCACATAAAGGTTCCATAAAAAAGGAATACTTTTGAGAAACTCAATGAAAAAAGACTTTTCAAACAATTTGATGTTTCTGATTTTCCTAAGTACTGGTGGGACAAAACGTCAAAGTATCGATTGAGCAACGAGTACTGGCACTGATGAGAGGAACTGGTCCTTTTTGCCAATCCCTGACGGCTACCTTAAGGTTGCCTCCGCGTACGTATCAGAGTGGGAATGTTGTGGGCGGGGTGGCCGAACAGACTAACGCGTGTGCACAGCACCGCCGTCGCCGGGCAACCTGATATAGAATAGAATAGAAAATAATTTTATTCTGGGACGAAGTCCCTTCAGAATAACAAAAAAGTACAGAAATTAAAATTTTACATCTGGCCAGATAAAAACAAACATAAAAAGTAAAGATAAAGATAAATCAGTATAAAAAATATATATATATATATTAGTTATACATAATATATACAAAATCACATAAAATAATCTATATACAAAACTCTCGAAAGCATACTAAGATACTTAAAACTATGTACAATGGTAAAATATAAATAAACCCTTTTAGAAAAGATACAAAAAAAATAAATAAAGGTAAATTCTTCCTAACAGTAAAATCTGTTTTCCTGTTGAAAAAAAATATAAAATAAAAAATATGTTATTTTACATAAAAGGTTAGCTGGTATCTGACTGTTTTTGAAACAGGAATTGGAATAGGAGGGTTTTGAATGTAGATAGGGATAAAGAATGTCGGATTTTGATAGGAAGGGAATTACAAAAATTAACAGAGCTAGCAATAAAGGAGTTTTGGAACGAGGCAGATCTGTGAGAAGGAATGTAAAGGTCGGAAGGTCGAGATCTTGTGGAGAGGGAGTGGATTGAGGACTTGAATTGGAGAAGATTGTAGGCGTAGGAAGGACGATGATTGTTGATGATATGATAGAGGAATGTACCTAGGAAATATTGTCTTCGAATGGAGAGGAAGAGCCACTCTAACTCAGTGTAGTGGTGAGAGGCATGGTAGTATCTCGGGGCACCAATTTTAATTACAATAGATATATGAGACAAAATGATAAAATATAGTCACCAGTTCACGTTCCGGTGCCAGTGGAGTCATTTAAATCCCCGCCCACACTCCCTAGCCAGGGAATGCCACGCATAGCCTTAAAGGAGAGGAACGGGAGGATCCAAGAAAAAAAAGTGTGAATGTCACGATCCATTTCCCGGGGCCGCCGAGAAATGAAAAGATACCGACGACCCAGGTGGGAAGAGAACACACAACGTTCATAAACCATGCACTCTGGAACCCAACATACGCCATCCCGTTCTCAAGTAACTAGGTAAAGGGATTATTTCAATTTTCAACCTCATCGTTTTTGAAGTGAAAATTCACAATATTTCTTTAGGCGCGTTTTGCACTTTTTTTCGTGGGAAGTATATTAGATTGATCCGTCAGATTTCCAAAGTGTTAATGCTCGGGTAAACTCGACTAATTGAAATGTTTTTACATAAAGATTAAAATATCTTTGAAACTGAAAATCGGACATGCATACTGTAAGGAAGGAAATTGTTCAGAACTTCATCCTCTCTGTAGTAGGCTATGATTCAAAATTTTATCTTAACACGACGCCGTGTTAGGGAGGCGAAAAGGAAAAATAGTGTCGAGAACCAAATGATAACGAGTTTAGTTGAACATATGGATTAAAATATTTCAGACACTAAAATTCAGACCTGAATGGATTAAAATATCTCAGAAACTAAAATTCGGAACTGCATACTTTCAGTGAAGGAATCGTTCAGCATTTCATCCTCTCTGTGATGTGCTATTATTAAAAATTGTGTCTTAACCCAACACCGTTTCAGAGAGTAGGAGAGGGAAAAAGATAGGGTCCATAACCAAATGATAACGAGTTTTATTGAAGGGATAGATTAAAATATCTCAGAAACTAAAAATCGGACCTGCCTACTATCAGCGAGGGTATAAATATTCAGCATTTCATCATCTTTATGAGGAGCTATTATTTATAATTTATATTTCATATTATTAATCTTGCCTTGTTGAAGTTATGTTTTCACTTCTATCGTGTGGTCTAAGCACACGTTAGTTTTTTTTAAACGTCTTTGAAATCAAATTTGCTTAAAGGAGTCCTTTTTCATCGAGTTTCATAGTGGCATTCCTTTTTGAGGGAACGCTCAAGTGGAGTTAGAGGAATGATAATGCATACCAGACTCGCCAAGAATGATCTACGGAAGTCATTGATGTACTGATTTTTTCTGACAAATTATCACGTTTTGCTTTAGAAATTATAGACAATAGATTTATTTTTACAGCTTAAAACATGAAATAAATTTGATAAATACTGTACTCAAGACGGTGGTGTTGACGCCCGAGAATCCGACCTGGGAGTGTTGGGGATTTAAAGAGAGGTTGGGGGAGAAATATGAATATTTTGTTTATAACAGATCCATACTTTCCCTATACCTGAAGAAAATGTTATTCCGTCAATATCTTTCCTCCCACCCTTATCCTATCTTAGGATCAATAAGGGTTGTGACGCCAATGGGATTCTAGGCAGCGGTTATGCTACTATTTCTAATAATGTTCTATATTTATTATACAATTATTTTTATCAATCAGTTTATTGTTTAGAATATTATAACAGTTAGAATATTAAAGCGAAAATCAGAATGCTATGCAGACATTTGTATAAACTGTGCAAAGGTCTTCAATTCTCTCTGGCAAGATACTTAATTCAGTTTCGATTAAAAGTTTGGCCATCAATACCTCATAGACAGTGCAACTGACTACGCCGTGTTTAGGACGTTGTATCTGGAACATGGGGGATTGTTTCCGTTCCATCTTTAGAAAATTTCAATCGAAATTTCCTTATCTCAGTGAGGACTTGATAGGCCTAACATTATTCTAGAATCCATCTTACATCCAACCATGACCTAATGATTAGTAAGCCACTGGGGGTTCCATTCTATTCTTCATTACTTCTTAAATCATCATTTATTATTTGGAACGTACGATAAATTATTCTGCCAATGGAAGATAAAAAAAGTGATGAACGAATATTATAACAAATAATTGATGTTACCTTAAAATTATATTAAACAAGGTGTCATTTTAATTACGCTTCAGAGTACCACTGCCAGTTTTGTTTAAAACGTATCATCGGCAAAATCATGTGTGGGTATATTAGTCATCAGATGTAGCGGTTCTTAACCATACCTGAGTACTGTCTGAGGCCTAAAATTCGTTTTCACAAAACACTTATGATACGTACAATATTATTTTATGTTTGTAGTAGTTACCATGCCTCGCTTCAAAATAAAGATGAATACCAATTTCATCGGTAAAAGTGTGATAACAATTTTTTTAACTTTTATACTACTGATATTTAATTCATTAAACGTTTTCTGTCTCTCTTTTAAAAGTTGGAATTTTACTGTTACGTGGCTTCTACCAGCAAATTTCTTGCTCCAATGTCGGTGATTAATTGATCGAGTGTCATAAGCTCCAAAGTAGTTTCAAGTCAGTCATCCATCGGTTATTTCATACTCCAGAAGCTGGAGAATCTATACACGTAGTTGGTTGGGGGTTGCAATCAATGTCAGCAATCTCCAAGCAAATTCCCGTAAGCAAATACAGTCAACCATTTCTCTACCATTAAAAATAGAAATGAAGTAAATTCATTAAAATTAATAAAACCTAAGGATTATATTAAGTATAAGACATTAGTATCACCGAACAGATGTTCTTCATAAATTAAAATTCTTGTAGTTGAATGAAATAAGGTTAATTCTGACTGTAACAATTTTATGAGTTAAATTATTATTAAATATGTACTAAGTAACTAGGTACTAAAAAAGATGTACTTTTTAAATCCTAAAATTTGTACGAATTCGATTAGTTATCGACATTTATACCGGAATGATTTGCATATGTAAAAATAAGTAAATAATTAAATGAGGATGAGTGTGACCGAAAAATAAAAGAAACATTTTCTCATATTTTTATATGTCGTCACAAACTCTTCAGATGCAGTTGGGAGTTTTTTTAAACAAATAGATTAAACATTCAACGGGTTAGATTATTTTGTACTCAAATGGCCATTTATCATACTCGAACAACAGTTGTTCCCATCATGTATGCTTTAAAAAGTCAACTAAACCGAAAAAAGCATGCGGTTTTGAAATGAATATACACTTTCCAGTTGTTTTGGGTGACATTGCTGTCGCAAACCAAATAAATATATTTCCCTAACACGATGTCAAATAAACAGTGAGATAGACATATGCTTAAAAACGGTTCAGCAAAGAAGGTAAGTGACAAAAAAGTATAATGATGCGGATTTCTTATATTTCTGCGAGCTCTTTCATGACTTATGGATAAAGAATTGTCTGATAGAGCACATTAAACTTTGAAAAGTATATTATCCTAATTTTTCCATGGATGAAACAATTCTTTCTCATCACTGAGATATATGGAATTAATTGTTTTAAATTAGAGAAACCTCATTGTTTAGTCAGCTTGCCTTTTTGGCAATGTTTTCTCTTTAAAGAGGTAGCTTATCACTTACAATTTTTTGGAAAAGTTTATCGTCAAACGCTTGAATGGGAACTATCAAAATCTATCTATTTTCTTACTTTTTAAACTAATAAATCTATTTAGTACAATGTTTTAATTTCCTATTAGAAATTATAGTTATTTGGATGGTTTTATTGGATATAACTAATCGAAATATGAACAAAGTTTGATGGCTAACCTGCTCACCTACCTTACCAAATGGACAACTGGTTGAAGTGCAATCTTTAGAGTATTAGTGTTTTCTTTTTAATTAAAAATCCAAATTTTATAGTCTTATTAAATAAATTTTGCAAATTTATTCTGTTATGTAAATTATTTTCATTGGTAAGTTGATTGTGCTATAGATGTCAATTACGTTATTTTTCAATGATAAAAAGTGTTACTTGTATTGGTGTGTGACTATTTCAAGGAAACGAACTTATGCATAGCCTTTTATTTAGTCGAAATAAAGACCTCATTAAAATATCGGTTGTGCTATTAAAATAAAGAAGGGGAGTTGGTGTAAATTAATTTTATCTGTGCAGTATGATTTTTTCCTTCGTCATTTTAATACATCATCTTGGTACTAAAAAGTTTTTTTCATTTTTGAATGTACTGTTTTAGAAAACATTTACTAGCATTTCAAACTGCTAGCTGTGGGATTTGTTTGCTATTAAAAATGAGGCATACCTCAGAAACTTGGCTTATTTCCCAAACCTTCCTTGAGCCAGGATTGAACAGCAAATAGGACACCCATGTAAATCAATTGTAAGTTGCATTTATATTTATGTAATTTGTAGGAAATTATGTGTTATGATAGTTTTTATTATTTGATAGTATACTATTTTGTGTAATTGTGTTTTTATAGGTTATATCAATCTGGTTGTTGTGTAATTACCCTGTGATATTTTCTCTTTTTGAAGTTAATTTAATTATTTTAAATTGTGAATCCCTTTTATACAAACTGATCAAATTCATTTCTGTGGTATTATAGTTTTATCAATTATTTTTGTGATTTCATGAATTTATTGTCAATCATTTTAGTGATCTTGTAGTTATTACATTTATTTTTTAATTTCATCAAACTAATCAATGAAATCTGGGTTATCTTGAATTTAGAAAAGAATTATCAATTTATGGCAATGATATTAAATGTTCCCATTACTTTTTGGCATGTTGATAACTGCAGTATTAAGGGTTATTATTATGTTAAATGCAAGGAAGCCCTTTTAAAACGGTTAAAATCTTATTTATCCTGTTTCCATGTCATATTATCTTAAGTGTGACCAATTATGATAACTATGATTGATTTGAAAGATTTAGATGAGTCTTATTTTGTATCCTATGGTTACTGTTGTTATTGATATCACACCTTTTATTATTAAATATGCCATATTTTCTTTTGTGTAGTATTAATGTTATGTATCAAGTGGTTTGTTCCAATCTTAATACCTTACAGAGAAAGAATTAAATGTATAAATATACCACTTCTTATAGCTATTAACTTTTTATATGTTTTCCTTTTTATTAATGTCCTTACTGTGAAAATTTACTGTAAATTATGTTAAATTCAAGTTTTTCTGTTGAAGCTGATTTATTGATAAAAAGAAACACTAAAGTAAAATTAATTTTGAAATATAAGATTTATTCCTATTATTTCATTTCCATGTTTTCCAATATGATTAAAGTATCTCATATTATAGTTTTTGTGAATTTTCGTGGAGCTTTAATATCCCAATATTACATTTAGAATTAATTGATATCGGGTAGCTACTTTGCAGTGTATAACCATGATGGAAGGTTGCAATGTTGGTTATCCAGCTTTAGTTGTAGTCAAAAGGTGATACTGTCAGCATTAGGTTCTCCAATCGTACTTTTCAGCACAAAAAAACCGAGTCTTACGAGTTCGTTACCGCGGGCAACGGAAGTTTTTATTACGATAATCCAATTACTATTTAATAATTACTTCACAGGAATGGCGCTAATGTTTCATAAACTTTTTTGTGGTCTCAAGTTCGGGTATTAAGTAAACTGAGCCATGCCCCCTTGACTTTTACGGTAATTAATTTTTTGTTTGTAAAAACGTGGTTTAAGATTATGAAATTCATTTTTTGCATTTGTGTGTCTTTCTAGCAACTTGGAGATGCTTTTTTATTCATTTCTTATTCATTTTAGTAAAGAAGTAGATACCATCTGAAATCAAAGAATTGTTTCTATCTTACAAGATTAGTCAATAAATGTCATTGATTGTGTTTTTATTTAACTGAGTGTTCGTAATTTAATAAATAGTTATAAAAACTAGTTTAAAAATAATTAAGGTATCTCAAATCTTACCTATTTATTTACTTATTCTTTTTTCATAGTATGTTTCTTATAATCTTGATTGTAAAGGTTTCCTGAATTGAAATTAACTTAAATTTTAAATCAGTATTTTTGTTTTTTTACATTTTTATACTTATCAAAAAAAAAAAAAAAAAAAAATATATATATATGTATTTATCATTGGTTTGTATGAAATTTATTGTTACAACTCTGAGCATTCTATATCACCTCTTCTAGTCTTGAATTTATTTAAATACTATTGTTAAGAGTAGAAGTACAATCTATGTTTTGATTACCTTTTCCGGATCTAATAACTTACATGGATAATTTATTTTGGTAGTAGTATATCATCTCCCACCTAAGTTTTGATTTCGGTTTCATAATTTATATTTTAATTAACTGAAGGTACAATAAATTGACTATGTTCCAGTTTTGGGATAAAAAGAAAAAAAATAATTGATTTGATCTTCAACTCTGAGCTCACTCTAGATATTTATAAAATTGCTAGTGGTATTTGTCCAGTTTAAACAAGGGATTATAAAACATTGCCAGTTGAGCTCTAATAATGGTATTAGTTCCACTTTGCTACTCCAAGATGTCAGCCAGTTGCAAGATCACGTCTAACACACATTTCGAAATTCCTGAAAATATTCAAATGTGTTTAAAAGTAGATAGAGTTGACTGACCCCCAACTCAAGATAGTAAATTATCTCCAATTTAGGAAGGCAATTTATTCTCAACTGAATCGATTACAGAAATAACACATGACAATATTACCATTTTAAAACCTTACAAAAAACTACTTTATCTTAAATTCTTATAAACGAAAATCTAGAAAAAAACATCTGTAGACAATAAATCTTGACACTGTTTATACAATATGTTTATAAATTAATGTATTGTATAAATTTGTTGATAAAGCCACATTTACATTGCATACAATGATGATGTAAATTTATGACTTGGACCGAATTCAGAACATATTGAATGGGAATCTCAAATCTCTTCGAAGTTGAAATTGAGATACAAATTTTGAAAGATGGAAGAGTGATTGGGATAATAGCTGACAAACATTTTCCCTTGCTAGAAAGAGAGCATTATATTCTAAGCAACTTTTGGAAGTCAAGATAGTTTAATCTTATTCGTTTGATATAAACAGGATTGTCAATAAGCAACTACTTTCTGCATGCCTTGGGAATCAGGGGATACTGTGCTTTGTTTGATCTTGAAGTGAACTGCCATCTTCGAGTAGCGAAACTGAACTAGCACCCCAATTATGATTTATTTACAATATAATTTGTGCCTGTGGCTTGGTGCTGAAGTGTCTAATCGCTCTTATTTTGGCTTAAAGCTTTAAACCTAAAAAATAAAGCTTGGGTTCCTAAATTTTTGAGTTATTTCAAATAATCATTTGAACTTAAATGGTACTATTTAAATTTGCATTTATATAAGAAGTTTTTAAAGGAGTCTTAGAAACAACTCCAACCAAGTTTAGCTCTCTAGTTTCAAGCCACATATTTAAATAATGCAATATGTTTATAAATTAATTGCTATGATCCAATCAAAGGTACAGCCTCACTCATGACGAACATTTGCCCAACTGTTCAATATTCTGTCTTGTGTAGTAACCACACTACTGAGCCAATATGGATTATTGACAATAGAAATATTTTCTAAGAGTTGAGGTTACACCTTAATTTAAAGTAACACATATCAAAATAAATTGATTTTATTAGTCTCAATATTGTTAAAATTATGTTTTTTTAGGTTTATTTTAATAAAAATTGTGTGAAATTGAAATCAACATCCCTGTGAGGAGATAAAATACTAGTATTATCTCTTTTAAGAGTTATTGTTATAAGAACATTTTATTAATTTACTAATTGCCGCTGAATCGTATTCTTCCTGTAGTTGTTCAATATTGAAAAAAGTAAGTTATGTTAATAATTTTGGGTTGATGAGTTTTTTATTTTATCAGCTTTTCATTACAATATTGAATTCAATTTTATAATTGCTCAAAAGAACTCCAATTTCTTCTTTCATAGCTAAGAACAAGTTAAAGTATAATAATATTAGCTTCAGTATGATAGTTTCACTTTTGAAACATCTTGTACTCTTATATCAATGCAGCTTGTTATATCACAAATCCAAATATAGTGTAAATTTTATTAATAAAAAAATTGATCAATTACATTTTATTTTATTTTTTAATCTGTTTTAGTTGTATTAATGTAGATCTTATCTTAATTTAGTTATATGCTGGTGTTTGAGGATGTAATTTTACATAAGTTGAGCAAAGGGTAGAGAATTAAGGATTCTATTTAATCTGTGGTCTTCAAATATTTATTCTTTCCTTCTTAAAAATTGTTTAATGTAATCGCTGTTGATTTTATTTTATAATATTCAATAATCAACCTTTGTAGTTGTCCAAGAGGTTTCATGTTTCAAAATACATAGAATCCGAAAAAAAAAAAAAATCCATCTATGTCTATGACTTTTCTCTGAGGCCACTGAACTAATTGTTTGGAGATTTGGTATCAGTGTCAAAGGACATCGACAAATGAACCTTGGAACTCAGCATTCCTGTCTGCCCTATTTTAACTTGGTGGCCAAAAAACCTGTGCTGGTGTAGACTGTAGACTGTAAGATATACCGGTTTTAATAGAACTTGGCTAAAGCTTTCTTGGAGAGCTTTAAAGTTATGTATGTCATATACTTCACCAAAAAGGTTCTGGAAATAAAGTTACGAGTGGTAAAATTTTCCAAATGACTTATAAGAATAAGATTTCACTTATTTGTTGATGTGTGCTTATTTAAAAGTTTATGAAATAAATAATTGTTGAAATTGGATGATTTAGTACAAAGATATTTTGTTCTAAATACTTACCACATGTTCTAGTGTAAAGCTGATATCCTTTGTTTTGGTTTTTGATTTTTGGAAAGTCTTACATTAACTAAAGCAATTGAGATTGTCTACATTTCTTAGCAAATTACTAATGAGAAAAAAAAAATTGTACTTAACCAATATTAGGATTTATCTTTTATTTATTTGCTCTGAGTGACAAGGAAATTAGTGTTACGTTTGATACATAACTATTCCAAAATAAACCATTGTGTAATAATTCGCTACATTTTGTCTTATGAATTTGAATTGTTTGATGTTAGCTGTCATTTTGATTTTTAGTTTCCTTATCATTCTAGGCAAAGGTGGAAAATTCAATATTAAAATATCTTTTACTAAATGCACATTTAATTTTATTTCCATTACATTAGCTGATGGCATCATCTCATCCAGCTTCGTTTCAAAACTAGAATCAACTGTAAAGTGAATAAATATAGGACATTTCCAACCAATATAATATTTAATATTAGGTGCTGTTAGAAATTCTTTATCTCTTAAGTCTAGTAGAGTTTATTAGAGCTTTATCTATGAGGTTAGGTCTTAATTAAATATGGATCTTCTAGATTTATATTTTATCTACTAATACTGTCAATCTGAATTGTGACTTTTTAAGGTGTCCATATTACATTAATTGTTTATATATCTTCTTAATACTAGTGTGACATCATTGGTTGAATTATAAAAACAAGGCTTTAATTTTACAACACTAAAAGTTTTTTTAACAAATGCATTACTTATACATTATCTTTTTTTATAACAAAAAACCTTTTTTTTTGTACTGTACAATATTGTTCTCCTGACATTTGTCAAGCTGATTCATTCCATAATTTCTTATTTTACAAAATGATCAATGACTAATTTCTTATGAAAATTTAGCAGGAGAAGAGGTGGGTTGTATTTTAAGATGAAATGTTTTGGAACCCTAAGGCTAATTCTTACCGTTAATATCTTCCTCACCACTGAAAGAATAATGTTCAGTTCAAGTTGTTGATTCACAATTTAATTATTGAAGTTATCACAAGTAATTCATCAGAAATAAAAGTTTTTAATAATTGCAAAAGAAATTAGCATTTACCTTAGGATTGAAATGTATTTCACGCTGCTGAAGGCCTAAAGCTTGACTAAATTGTCAGCACACATTAAAATAATGCTTGTTACTCATAATGTTCTAGAAATGATTGACCATAGATTCTAATTTCGGTAGAAGTTATTCGGCGGTGCGGTCAATATATAAAGTACTATATTACATAATAGTATTTTATATGTTGATCGCACCCCCGACTAAGTTCTTTTGAAAGGCTTGTTATTGTTGAGTAATTTCATTTATGATACCATCTCCCAACGAAAATTCTTATTTTCTCATACTATTTAATCTGTGGTCAACAATACATCCGCCACTATGAGAATGTAATTAAATATTTTGAAGGCACACAAAAAAAAAATCAATCAATTTATTGTGGTAATACTAAAACGAACTGATATAAAATAAATCTCTAATTGAATGCTTTTTCTTACCCTTATTGGCAATCATCGATTTTGATGCTAAACTGCAAGTAGTTACATTAATTTATTCGTAAATTTGGGTGAATTTTTTTTTTCTCTGGACTCTTTATTCTTAATTACTGGATATTTGTTTTGTTTTTGATTGGCTGATATCAAAGCAGGAGTATTATGTTCCTTTCCATACAATCTTATTGACTGAGATTATTAATTCCTTAACTGATCAGAAAACTAGTAAGAGACAATTCCTGAAAGTCACTTAACCTATAACCTGAGAAAGGTTAATAAAATTTTCTAATTAATGTGGGAATGCCAAGATTAAATTTTTGCTGCCACCTCCAAATAAATATCAGCAGACTATCAAGATTCTAAAATTCTATCAGTATTGACTGGAATAATAGTTAAACAACTTGTTCTTTGACAGATGTATGGGTATATAAATGTTATTCAAAATTATTGTATTTATTTATTTTTTTTATCTTATTCAATGATAGTTAAAAAAATACCTTACTTAATTTTAAGTAGTGGTCTATTTTTTAGTGATTTTGAAAACATAATAATTGGGTTCAATTATATTATTTATTATTGGCAGCTCAAAAAACCCTTAAATATTACTTATTGCAATCTAACTAGGAATTTTTATTTCTCACAATTATTGTCTTCAATTCCAGAATCTGCATATGTTCATAGCTACCTATCAAACATATTTTTCTAAGCTTGGCAGGTATCTAGAGTAAAGATTAGATTTATACCAGGTAAGGTGTCCCAATTTGGTAAAAAAAAAATGATTAATGCATGTATTGTAGATTTATCATACATGATTTATACATCTGATAATATTATTCATGATCCCATAAGAACTGAACTTTGAAGCCGATAATGCTGAAAATTATAAATTCATTTTTTGATTGCTTTTGAAATTTTCCATAAATAGCTTAGTATGAGTACAATGTTAAAACAATTTGGACCAAGCATCCTAGCCAAGCTAAGGCAAATAGTTTATAGGAAGTAACAAAATCGATATTCTTTTTCCAAATCTTGAAAAACTCTTAAATATTAGTAGTCTATAGTAATTCAAAAAAATTAAACTGGCCTGGATATGGATGGATTCTTAGATTTTTAAAAAAATCATAACTTCAAGACAACTCCACAGGCCCTCATGACACTTCAAAAATGTCACAATGTACAAAAATGTACATATGGATTTAGGGTTCCTTTATACTACATTGAATAGTGCAAAACCTGATCTCTGTATATAAATTAAAGTCAGAGATATAAATTAAAAGTGATGAAGGTTTTTTTTTTTCTGCCATATTAATACATAAAACGTAAAAGTTATTGAGGTCAGTTGGAAGAGTAATAATTAAGCTTTCCAAATGATATATTAACATTGAATTCAGAGAAAATCCTGAGGAGTTTTGAATACTTATTTTCTTTAAAAAAAAATTGACCCACTTCACTGGAAGCAGTTTTTATTTTTATTTTTTATTTTTTTTATTGGAAATAATGTTTTCTTATCTTGGAAAAAAAAAAATTGATTGGTGTATACTAGTGATATGGTTATAACTTTTAAAACTGTGCAGAGCAAAAGGAAAAAACAATAACATAATAAATATCTGAAAGTATACAAAATATTTTTTTTCTTTTGGTGATCCTATGTCTGTAATATCTCCTTGTTAGCAATAAGAATAAGTTATTGTTTTATAATGAAAATGTCTTCTAGTGCTTAGAGATTATTTTTTATTTTCTTTATTGACAAATCAAAATAAACTTATATTTTATAATAAATATATAAATACATAATTGTTGCCAAAGAGTTCTAAGATTTCAATTTAATTCAATCCTGTAATATTCAATGATATTTTAATTGATATTTCAATTATTGATCACTATGTATTGATTTTATTGTTTGATGTTATTCATACTCTTTTATTGAAGGTTTAAGAATATCGGGAATTGATATTTCAAAATGTTGATATATTTTTTGTATATATCGATATACTTTTTCAATATTTGCATATCTAATTGGAAGGAGAAACGTTAAACTTCTCACATTAAGTGTTTCATTGGCAAGAAAATTGACATATTTGTAACTCAATAACTGTTTCTTAGCAAACTTAGAACACTATAGTTACTCTAATGTCTTAGCAAGTGATTCTGATTCAATAAGTTTGTTCGATAGAGAGCTGTTTGAATAACTAGAAGCTGCTTTTAAAGCTTTTGTGTGAAATTGCTCATTTGTCACCAAACTTCACTTTCCTTAATGTTCTATTTTTTCTATTAACATTTATAAAAGTTTGTTGAGGTACTAAAATTAAAAATAAAATCAAAGTATCACTGTATTTAGTTTTATTTAGTATTTATTTAACTTCCTCATAAAGACATTTTTTTTTTCCTTATCAGTTACTTCTACAAAATGGCTACGGGTCGATGTCAGTCTTCGGGTGTCAAGCAGACAGAGCTAGACCAAATATGGGATGATCTTCGGCAAGGTATTGAACAAGTATACAAGCGACAGTTTATGTCGAAAACGCGGTACATGGGCTTATACACGTATCCTTTCATTATTTTTTTTATTATTTTGTATATTTATTGAAATGATAATACTTAATTATAATTTGATATTTTTGTTTATATTGGTGTATAAAAATTAATTTTATTAATACTTGACATCATTATGTGATCCTTAATAAACTTGTTAGACATGTATACAATTATTGCACAAGTGTTCACCAACAAGTAAACAGATCTACGACTAAAGGGAAAAAAGGCCAGGTAAAATATTTTTATTTTATATATATATATATATATATATATATATATATTAGAATAACTGGTAATATATAAATCAATATAAGCTTTTGCTATTTTGTAAAACTCCTAAACACCTCATTTTATCAGTCCCAATGTGAAACCAAGTAACTATCATGTCACAACTTTTCACAAGATGCCAAAAAATTTATTTTTAAATAGTGGTACCTGTAAATAGCAATTATATTTTCAAGTAAAATAACATAACATTTGTTGTAAATAAAAATAAGAAAAGAAGCAAATTTTAAGGGCCTCTCTGTCTATCACTCTACTCCCATCATTCAATTTTTTATTAACAAAAAGTGATTCACACTCCTGTAGTTCATTTTCAAAACTATTCCGAACTCTTAATTAGTACAATACTAGCTAATATTAATAAACATTATCTATGAATATTATGAAAGTCACAATCAGAAGGGTGAAATTAGCAACTTTATTTGTTAAATATTATTTAAGTCTAATTCATAATTTTTATCTGGACTTCTCATCGAATAAAATACAAAATTGGTATTTTATATTTGTATTCTTCTAATATTTCAATTTATGGATTAATATTATTTTATTATAATTATTATTGAAATAGTGGAAACTGTATAAATGCTCTTATTATCAATTATTAATCCTGTGGAAAGATATATTTCCAATTAATTAATATTTATCACTGTGGATTGATTGTTGACTGTAGTGAATAATTGAAGAAAAGGAGGGTTGGGGTGATTAGTCAAAATAAATAATTATATTTTAAATAATATAAAAAATTTAGATTAAAATTTATTTATAAATTAATATTATATTTATAAATAAAAAAAAGCTTTATATAATATAATTATTTATTTTTACTATTTTTTATTTTGACTGATCATCCCAACCATCCTTCCCTTTAATAAGTTTCATATTTTAAACACTATTAATTGTTGAAAAAATATTAATAATACTTTATTTTCTGACCAAATACTTTTTTATTATTATTAGAGCTCAGACTAAAAACCATGCGAAAACTTTATACTCCATCGTTTCACTCCATTGGCTTACCACACTTATGGTGGGTTGGAGTGATTGGATTACTATGTGGCCTGATGGAGCTCAAGGTTGATGAAATTCTATATGTTCTATTTTATTTTAAAAAATCAAAAGAGAATTTCACATCGACGATTGTTCGAATTTCCTTTTGCCTCGGGGCAGTGGAGTGGTGTGATCGTCAGTCGCCAATTCAAAATCTACTTTAACTAAATCTAATCTAAAATTTAATCTACAATCATGCTTACTGAATTATTTTATGTTAATTAATTTTTTTTCTACTTCAGGTCACTGGAGGTGCCCAGCTTGTGGGATTGGAATTATATAAATGTTTAAGAGATTTTTTGAGAAACTATTTAGTAAATTTACTTAAGGTAAAACCTCAGTGTTTATTTTATTATTCTTTTAATTGCAATAATTTAAAAAATATAGATTTATCTTTCTTAAGAAAGCAATGATTATTAAACTCGTTGAATCAATTAAAATAAAAGTTGATTGTTTTAGCTTTCTCTTGAATATGAATCTTTTGCAATTTGGAATAAAGTTTGTCTCATGCCAGCTTTTCATGAACTGTTTTCAGTAATTTTAACGTTATTTGTATATTGATTAAATTAATATTTATATTTGCTTTGTTTTCCAAATAATTTTAGTCAAGATTTGATATATTGTAAACATTATCATTTATTATCAGTTCTGATTTGATACTTATAATGAAGAAACTGTTTGCATATAAATAGATTGCACAGAATTGTGTTGGTTATCTACTAGAGTATGCTTTATACCTTGACAAAATATTTTAATGTTTTACAAGCTGCTTTTAATTGATCAAATGAGGCTTTCAGAGCTGAAGTATATAAAACAAAAATGATAATAAGTTGTTTATTAATATTGTTATTAAAATTGTTATGGTGTATATTTTAAAATCTGAAGTAAATGAAGTTCCTGCTATTGCTATTTTCTAAGAGAAACCATCAGTTAAGTTCTAAAAATCTCATAAAATTTACATGGAGTTGCCATTACTCTATTATTTACATAACTTTTTTTAAAAATTATTTCTAATTATATTATCTTGTTTAACCTTATAATTTTTACATGATTTATAAAAAGATTATTTTTATTATCAGTTTATTAATGAAATTAAATCATTTGTTCTTTACAGGATGGGATTCACTTGATGGATGAGGATGTTTTGCAGTTTTATACACGACAGTGGGAAGAGTACCAATTCAGTTCCAAAGTTTTGAATGGTGTTTGTTCATACTTGAACAGGTATGATTTTTTGTTTTAGCTAATATTTCACTGTAATTATATTTTGAATAAGTTTATAACCATTAAGGATCTTTATATTAGCCTAATTCAGTCCGTTTTCTCATTTCTTTAAATTATTTTGTAAATTTAAAAGAATTATGCAGTTCCCCAAAATTTCTTACAAGCCCACCTCTCGCACCTTCCCTGGGAGTGTGAGGTCACCCATCCTTACAACGTCTGTGGATTGACGCCACAGGTTGCTGAGCCCTGGATGTTATAGGAGCTGTCCCCTTATCATTCTTGGTGGTCTTATCCTTTATATGTTATCTGTCTCATCCTTTCTAAGATCATCCATCACATTCTCTTCCTTAAATAAGGGTCAATATATGTAGAAAGATCAAGTTATTTGAAAGTCTGACAGCTGAGCAATCATGTCCTTTTCTATTCTGGTGTTTAGAATCAAGAATTAAGAATACTAATTTAATTAAGTTAGGTTAAGACAAAAAAATTGGAAAGATATCAAATTTATATGTGGAATCACTCATAGTATTCAACTTTAATCAGAACTCAAAAATCAACCAGAATAAATTAAGCATAGTTTTCATTATAAAAAAAAATCATAAATATTCTCTCTCAGAAACTGATGTATTAATATTTTTTTATTCGACTACAATCAGCGCTTTTTTTTAGTTTGAAAACTCAATTCTAAAATTTTGGCAGCTTTGCTCTAACCTCAGATTTTCATTATGTTTTAAAGATATTATGAAGCTGTTTATTGATCTAGTACCGTACCTAATTTAAGTATGTTTGACTCTTTTTCAGATATTTACATTAAATTTGTAAACTGATTTATAATTAGTTGTAAGATTTTTTTAAGTATTTATATTTTTTTTCTAGACTTAATTGGCTAATATCATATTCAAATATTCCTTATATAAATATTTTATAAATCTTTTTTTCATCTTAGGCACTGGGTCAGAAGGGAATGTGAAGAGGGAAGAAAAAGTATTTATGAAATATACCAACTGGCATTAGTTACATGGAGAGATAACTTGTTCAAGCAGCTCAATCGGCAAGTATGTCATTTTGAACTACACAGTACAATATTTCATGAATATTGATTTACTTTCAAAGCTAGTATTTATTAAACATTTAGATAAATATATATATATACATATATATAATTTTTCCCAAAGGTTACAAATGCTGTATTGAAGCTTATTGAACGAGAAAGAAATGGTGAAACAATTAACACTAGATTAGTCAGTGGTGTTATCAACTGTTATGTAGAACTTGGTAAGGCTTACATAAATGTTATTTCATTTCTTGTTTTCATCTATTGCTAATTATAATATTTTATTTAAAATTTTAAACTCTTGAATGTTTTAAAATCTTAATTCTATTAATTAATATTTAATTCTATGGATAGGGTAGGGTAGAGTAGGGTTTTTAGGGTGATAAATTTCTAGATTATTATGCCTATTTAATTCTATGGGTATTTAAAATTTTCCTGACATGATCATGTAAAAGGCCATTAAGTCCTTAGAAGAGGTTATGTTGGTTTACTGGGCTTGCACTAGATATGACTCTATCTGAAGCTCTTCCTCCCTCCCTACCTTGTGTTACTGATACTTAAATGACTACTCAGCCCAATGAGGTATTGTTCCTCCTACTTTCCAGCAGTTTAATCATATTGATCGCCTTTTGCTTAATGTTTTTTAAGTATCATTTTCTGTCTAATGAAAAAACACTGATTACTCAATTTTTTTTTCCCCTAGGAATTCCTTTAATAAGTTTCCTCAACTGAACTCCTGGTTCAGCTTGCATCTCCATCTCTGCCTGTCTATCGTGACCTCTGTCAGTTCCCTACAAGCCATATCCTCCACCATTTTACCCTTCCATCTAACTGGGGGGTTCTTCCTCTCCTATCCTCTGCCTCCCAATCCGTAATTAGTTTTGGTATTCTATTTTCACCTATTTGTCTCACGTATCCATACCATCTGAGTATCTTTTCTTCTATCATCTCTTAAGATATTTTAAAATAAAGCAGAGGACTTGCAGCATTCTTGTTGTTCTCCTTTTCCATTTTGGAACTCATTCAATAATAATGGGCCTATTTTTATCTAGCACTTATTAATTCTGTGAATTTCATTAATTAGGCTCAGAATTCCTTTGCCAATATCAGTTTTCCTTAAGGACTCCCATAGCAGTCTGCATTGTACACTATCATATGCCTTTTTTAAGTCTGGCCTTTTTGTTTTTTCTCGTATGTTTCTCTAAAAGCTGATCAATAAGATATTAAAATTACAATGCAATAAATTATGAAGGCACAGTATTGATCCTCTAAAAATATTTCTAAAATTGCAAGACACAGAAACAATTTTTTTCCAGAAAGATAGGAATTAAAATGTGAGAGAAAATTTTATTCCGCAGAAGAACTATTTATCAGCTCTCGAAATTGGTTACAGTGACTTCTGCTATATTTGATAGCTCAAAATCAACGGTCTGGTTTTAAAATATTTTTCTCTCTGACACCTATAATTCTGTTTTGGTAAAAATAACAAGTTGGTATGTAATTTGACGTTCATTTTTTCTAAATCATATCTACTCTGATCATATGTTTAATCTATGGAGCAGGTTGGTTGGTCTTATTCAATGTCATTCTTGATTCTCCAAGGTGTTAGTTAAAACTGTTTGTTAATGCAATCTTTAAACCCCTCCCCAATCTTTTACCCCAATCTCCATTGCAAAACGTGTCGAAAATTGTAGTTATTGATATAAAAACCTGATCTAAATTTTATTTGTTGACCTCTGCTGTTGTTGAGAACTTTAGTTTTCAGAATTACATTTGTTATAAAATCATGAAGGTTTATTTTTTAGGTGAAGGGGACACCATATATAATTAATTATTTGTATAAGAAAAACTGGTTAATTATCATTGTACATTATATCTAATGTTACAGTCTAGAACATTAGATGACCACGTTAGTCTCTTCTATCCAAGTTTCTACTTGATGTGAGATTTTCTCAGTCTTTTATCTCTTCATAATACATTTTTTCTTTCTTCCAAGTTACTCACTATCGATTTTATTATTTTTTAGTTAAATGTTTATCCGTGTTAGATATTTGGGTCTGTTATGTCAGATCCTTCCATTTCCTTCTGACTTAAATGTTCCACTTTATGCTATTAATGTGTTCTGTGAAGTCCTAGATCTATTTAGTTTTCCAAGTGTAGGGCTTCCTATCATCTACAACGTTAGATATCTGTCCTCTTGTTTAATCTGTTATCAATAACCTTCTTCTGTCTTATTAGGTCTTACTGATTTTCTGATGATTGTTGCCCATGTTTTGATATTTTTTAATGTATCTTTCCAATTCACGACTTGCATGGTTTGAGCATTGCTTATATTATTTATTTTATTTAATGTATAAAATTCCTTATTTCAATCTTTTTTATATCAATTTAATTTTACAAACTTTTAAATTTACAGGTTTGAATGAAGAAGATCCTTCGGCTAAAGGTCCAACTTTAAGTGTGTACAAGGACTCTTTTGAAAATGTTTTTCTTGAAGATACTGAAAGGTTTTATACCAAGGAAAGCACCGAGTTTCTCCGTCAAAATCCTGTCACAGAATATATGAAGAAGGTTGTTATATTTCAGTAAATGTTTTTTTGTTTTTTTTTCTGAATAATTTAATGATTTTTTCTTTTATTGCAGTTTTTTAATTTTAAACAATAACTAACATTTAGATATATAAGGTTGATAACATACATCTATTTATAGAATTGCTTTCTTACCCAAGTAACTCAAGGAAGGATGTTTTATTTTGTATTTTATTGAGATATATTACATTTTGAAGTATAACATGTATCACCTCATAAACTTTCACAAATATAATTTTTAAAAAAGCAGATTGTTTTCTATCAAGATGAATTTGGAAACCTGCTCATATTTATTTTTATTTTTGTTAAAAGGCTGAACAGAGGCTATCTGAAGAACAGAAAAGAGTTCAAGTTTACTTGCATGAGACAACAGCCGACAGGCTTGCAAAAACATGCGAGAGGGTGATAATAGAAAAACAAATGGAAGTTCTTCACGCTGAGTTTCAGCATCTTCTTGATTCTGACAAAGATGAGGATCTTGGTAGAATGTACCAGCTTGTTTCTCGGATACCAGATGCTCTCGGTGAATTGAGATCTTTATTAGAAAGTCATATTCAGAATCAAGGACTGGATGCCATTGAAAAATCTCGAGACACAGCTTCTAATGTAAGTAATCATTTACTGTTAAATGTCAGAATTATGTTACTTGACTTTCTTAGTTTTATATTTCAAAATTATATGTTAATTTTTTCAATACTGTAAACTAATAAATATTAATACAAATCAATATGACATTTATCAGTCTTTAATTAATTACATATTTTATTAATTATATAGGCCTCCGTCCCTCTTTATGAAAGCTCAGAATTTTAAAGGAAATTTTCAATTCTAAATACCAAAAATAATTTAAATTTTTTTGATTTTGAATAAATGTTGGGTCCTTTGTTTTTGTCAGTAAATTTTGTATAAGATGTCAGGATTTGTGGGCAGATTTGAAATCATAGATGTCTATTTTTTAAAAATTTGTTATGGTATTATTAATAAGTTTGTATTTACAGATGATTACAGTGCAGGCACACCGAAAGCTTCTTTAATTTTAAAATGTAAAATAATATAATTTGTACAGAGACTGTCATTAATAAAGAATCTGCTCTTCAATTAAAGTAGTTTTATTTGCTTTTAAATTGTAAAAGAAGGATGTTGAGGGCTTAGAAAAAAAGTGTGAATATATATAAATCCTGTATTTAATAATAAATACTACTTTTCCGATCATTACTTATATTTAGCAGGAGAAATGCCTTATCTGTTTAGTTTGGAAAGGGGTTAGAGTCAATTTTGCCAGACCTGGGCTAAGGGTAGAGGGATTAAGGTTGGTGCATTGGTCTGTCAGTACGAGGGCTGGTGGGCTGTTGTAGACGAACCCTAAGAGGGATGAGTAGGCAGAATCCCAGTTAGCTATTATGTAGGTCAAATAACCAGAAACTTGCGAAAAAAATATATTAATATTTTTTTAAACAGTTATTTCATCAGTTATTAAATTAAATTAATTATCTTATTTTCTGGTATTAATAAAAAAGTTTATTTTTCAGGATCCTAAAATTTATGTATCAACTATTCTGGATGTGCATAAGAAGTATAATGCATTAGTGATTACTGCATTTAACAATGATACAGGATTTGTAGCAGCACTTGACAAAGCATGTGGAAAGTTTATTAATAACAATGCCGTTACAAGAGATGCTTCATCTTCTTCAAAGAGTCCTGAATTACTTGCAAAATTTTGTGATCTTCTTCTTAAAAAATCATCTAAAAATCCTGAGGAAGCAGAACTGGAAGACACTCTCAACCAAGTGGTCAGTTCTAAGTTTTTCTTGACACTTCTTATTATATTTTTAGACTTAAGTACTACTTTAATTATTAATACAAAGTACACTGGAGCTTGTTTCATTTTAAGTTGAGGAGACAACTGAAAACTCTAGAACTAAACAGGTTTTTCCGACTGCTCCAACACTTACTAGACAAACGCTCTCAACTTTCAATTAATTGAAAAATACTCATCTACTTAACCATAATAAGACCTATATGGACATAAGGAGTTGAGCTTTGGGGCTCTACCAAACCATCAAATTCCTATTGTATCCATTCCTTACAATCCAAAATCCTTAATGCCCCATATTTTGTCACAAATAAAACCATTCATAAAGACTTGATGTTCCATATGCCACTGATTTAGCCCGAGCCAGATACCTATCCTTTCATGATAAACTTCAGTCCCATCCAAATCCACTTGTTTCCAGCCTTGCTTCCTGATAATCCCCCTAGACGTCTGAAAAGAAGATGGCCTTGTGATCTTCTTACCTAGAATTGAATAGGGAGTGGTACCACTGGGCAGTATCTCTTAAAGCCTGTTCATGTCATTATTTGTAATGTGTGCATTTATGCTGGTTGTATTTTTTGTACAGTTGTAAATTTTGTTAAATAAATAACAAAAAAAAAAAAACGTTTATTTGTCAGTGATCTATTCTAATCATTAAGTTAGATAAATACATTAAAGCAGAATAACATCACAAAATTTATTAACAAATGTAAACTGAAAAGAAGATCAACTTCTGTTAATACTGTGTGATTCTTTTAACAGTCAACCTGTTAAAATTTACAACCTTTTCTCCTTGATAGATGAATTGGTGGTAACATATAGGATGCAATAGTTGCTATTTACTCTCAACAATATGTTTGTAGAATAGTGTAAATCAAATTTGAAATTACTTTTTCTGTTCAATTGGAATGGAAAGGGACAGACAGAAGAGTTCGAATTTAAACAAGTTATTTTATTTATTTATAAATTTCTCCTTTTTTCTATAATGTAATAGATTACACATCTTCTATAGAATTATTTTCGATAAATTGCTCATCTGGTGAATTTTTGGATGATGAAGTTGCCATCCCCATACGGGAATTGAACCCACTATGTAGTGGTTTGTGAACTTAAGTAGCATATACACCTTTCTTTCCTATTGGCTTTATTGGTCTTGTAGTTTCAATCTTTTGCCTCCTTAACTAGTCTTCTCCAAAGTTCAATAGATAGATGGTAATAACCAATATTAATTATTAATTTACAAATATTTTTACAAAATCATGCAGTTATGCGTTACCGTCATACACAATCGTACTATTATGAAGTTGAGAAGAGGTATTATTCTGAAAAAATGAAAATTTATTCTTTTATTGATTATCTTGCCACAACAATCTGTTGCCGGATCCAGGCCTCCACCAGCAACTTCAGCGAATCCGATGGATGGATACTTGCAGTCACCATCCAGTTAGTTCACATTCTAAAATCGCTCTGAGTGTCAGTTGCCACTTAGTATACCTATCTAAGTTTCTATTTTCCTTGTCTTCTCATTATATAGAGAGGTTCCATCAAAAGCTTCCTGGGCAACTCTTCACCAATGTGCGCCACATGCCCCATTTACCACAATTTAGCCCAATTTAACCACTTAAACAGCAATCGGTTCTTTAATTAAACCATAAATCTACTGGTTTGTGTCTCTCCTCTAGGTTCCACTACACAATATAAAGAGAATCTGTTCATTACTCTTGGTCATAGTCCAAGTTTCCGAGCTGTACATTAGAAAAGGAAAAAAATATGTTTTTCCATAGAAACATTTATTAGAGGACATGAAGTATGGCATGATCAATGGGGGGGGGAGGGGGGGGGGTGGGTTTGAGAAGAAAGTAAAAGTAAACTTTTGAACATCCCAAAATAATCGTTCCGATAAAATCCTGAAGCTTAAGCATGAAAAATAAGAATTATTTTTTATGTCTTTCATCATCTATTGGTTTTTATTAATGGACTATCTATACTAATTGATTCTTGGGTTGTAGATGGTAGTCTTCAAGTACATTGAAGATAAGGACGTTTTTCAAAAATTTTATTCTAAAATGCTTGCTAAGCGTTTGGTTCAACATATGTCTGCGAGTGATGATGCAGAAGCTAGTATGATAAGTAAGTTAAAACAAGCTTGTGGTTTCGAATATACCAGCAAACTTCAACGAATGTTCCAGGTATGTTTCGAAATTTTATATAATTTAATTCTAATTTCATATTGTCGTTTAAATTTTACTGACTATTGTACATTTATCTTAGGATATTGGCGTATCTAAAGATCTTAATGAACAGTTCCGGAATCATTTAGTTAGATCGGCTGAGCCATTGGACATCGATTTTAGTATTCAAGTTCTCTCTTCCGGGTCATGGCCTTTTCAATCAAGTCAGAACTTCTCGTTACCTACTGAGGTATTTATAAATATTATTACTAAATACATTTTTAAAAACTTTTACTGAAATTTTAGAATTTTAATTTCCTAGGTTTGAAAAAAAAAAAAAAGATATATATATATATATATATATAAATATGTACTAAATTAAAAAGATTAAAAGATAGTTACATAAATTTAAAACAATTAGATAATACTAACAATTACTGAGATAATAATTCATAAATAATATTTTTAATTCAATGCGATATGCTCTTACATATTTATTTTTTTGGCACTACAGTCCTTCAAGAATTACAGTCTCTCTTGTTGTTTTTCTCTACTCTCCTCTATCTTTAATGAGCATTTTCCATCTTTGGAATTTCATAATTTTCAAGATGTCCTCCACCTCATCCAGCCATCTCAGGCATGGTGTTCCTCTGCCATGTCTTCCCCCAAGTTGATCTTCCAGCAGATGTTTGAGAATTTAATCTCTGGGCATACGTGCCACATTGTCCTACCATCTGATTTGGTTACTCCTTAAAATTGAGACCAAATCCAGCTTTCCATTGATCTTGCACAGCTCTTTATTGGTACAAATTCTCCACTGCCATGTTCACCCACCGAACCGTAGAACCTGCAGAGATCTGTTTTTTTTTCATGCGAGTAGTTTCCTTTTCAAGACTTTGTAGATTACCCAATTCTCAGAACCATATGGGACAACAGGTCTTATGATTTTCTCGTACATAGTGATTTTTGTCCTCTGAGAGAGGAAGCTATAATTAAGTAATTTTCTCATGGCAAAACAGCATGTATTCCAGCAGTTATTCTTGCTTTCAGTCTTTCTACTGCTTTCAGGGCACACATATTCCTCTGTTCCCCTCGGCGTTTTTGAAGTTCGCTTGTAAAACTTCTTTTTATTTATTTGTAGCCCTAGTTATTTTCTTGCTGTTTTAACTTATTTAAGTGTCTCTGCTAATTCGGTTTTATTTCTTGCCATTATTATGACATCATCAACATAAGCTGTGTCATCCTATTATAAATAGTGCCAGTAGGACACGCCCAGATTGTCCTTATTGGATTCTCTAAAGCAATATTAAATAAGATAAGGATTAAAAAATCACCTTGCCTGAGTCCATCTCCTACCTCAAAATCCTCCATCAACAGGCCATTAATCTTCACTAGGGATATGCTACCGCTTAGGGTCATTCTTGTGAAAATGACCAGTTTTTTGGGATTCCCTTTTATCCATTTTATCATTGTCTTCTGTAATTCTTCTCTGTTTATACTATTATATGCTTGTTTAAAATTTATAAAAATGTGATGTAACTAACTCTATTTGGTACTCACATGTTTTTTCCAACATATGCCTTTTCGAGAAAATGTGGTCTATAGTTAATTTACCTGGTCTCTCCCACTCTGGTATTTATCTAAAATCTTCCTGGACCAAAACTTGACTTTTTCTATTTTACAGAAATGCAAAACTTTTTATAATGTAATTAACAGTGTTATACCTCTATAATTCTGTGTTCGCTTTTTCCCTTTTTTTAAAACAGGGCTTATGATAGCAGGAATCCATTCTTTAGACATCTGTTCTCTAATCCAGACCTCGATCATTAAGTTGTATAACTCTTTCACCACAGGTTAACTGCAATTCTTCACCATTTCTGCATCTATACATTCTAGCCCAGGACTTCTGTTAATCTTCAGAGCAGTTATTATATACAGAAAATCTTCATAATCATAACCTAGCGGCTCCACATCGTTGTTATTAACTTCTTCCTGTCCTACTCTGTTTTGTATTACTTTATTTGGCAGTCCAACATTTAATAAATCATTAAAATATTCTCTCCATATCTCCATGGCTTTTTTTTATGGAGTTCGCCCTTTTTATTTTTGTATACTGTAGTTTTGGCCTGGAAACGTAAAAAATTTTTGTCAGCTTTGTATCATAATCAGTTTAGAGCATTTCGAGCTTATTTTTTTCTAAACTTCTTTTCTTCTGTCTACTCATTTTCTTATAGAGATATACCCCTTTCTAATTCTTCTTGTGCCCACAGTAAGCTTTTTCAATCTTGCCTGGTTTCTGTCTTTAAGTGATTAGATTCTGCCGTTTCCCAATGACTGTTTATTTCTACATCTCCATCATTTCTCCTTAAAAATGGCTCCTGTATAATTTCTTTACATTTATCAGCTTTTTGCGAAATTGTCAAAACTTCACTTTGGTATTGGAGAGTTCTTTTCTCTTTTACTTGATCGTTACATTATATTCTCTGTCTGTAAGATGCTTTAACCAAGAAATGGTCAGTATCTGCATCCTCTCCTCGGTAACTTCTCACGCCATTTATTCACGCCATTGGAACAATGTCTAGAGTCAACAAGTACATGATCAATTTGATTTTCACCTTTTCCATTTGGAGACAGCCAGGTTTGCTTGTGTATTTCCTTAGGAGGAAAGTGTATACTTCTGATCACCACACCTTTTTCTTTGAGATGGGCAATAATACCTTCAGTACTGAGTACCAAGTATTTTATTCAAAGTTAAAATTCTTTTTATTCACAATTTATTAATTGTTAAAAAATTATCTTATGATTTTTAATGTAAAAGAGAAGAAAAAAAAAAAAAAAATTTGAATGATTCATCATTGAAGTTGAAGAATTAGTCATAATTGTACATAATAATTTAAATTTTCATTATTACTTAATTATAATTATGTTAAAAGACACTCGTGGGAATGTAAATGTAGGTTTGCTTCAGATAGCCTCATAATATTTGTTCCATCATAATTAAAGTTAATTTTTAATAAAAACCATGGATGATTTGTTTTTTTGTTCATTTTTGGCCTTAAGACTTATTAAAACAAGTCCAGTTTTGCCATTATTCTACTTAAGCTGTCACTGCAAAAATGAATTAAAGGTGGATTTAAACCGGTAAATAATGTTTTAGTGTAACTTAATAGTTATATTGAACTTAAAAAAGACTTAATAGTTTAAAACTAAAGTGACCAAGTAGTTCTATAGAACTATAATGAGAACAAGAGGTGTCTTTTATTATATAAGCACTTGTACATCATTTAAATTTTTTTGTAAACCAGGAGCATTATCTTTATTTATTGATTGAAGAAAGTTAATAGTATCATGTATGATTTTATTAACAACATAAAATCTTTGAAAACAATTCATCAATCGTTGAATAATCATGGTTTTACTACTCTTCCTTATCATAAGGAATAATTAAGTATGCATATATATTGACCTTATGTAAAGAAATGTGACATATTTAATCTTTATAATTTTTGTATTAGCTGGAAAGGAGTGTTCATCGTTTTACAACATTCTATAGCAGCCAGCACTCAGGGCGGAAATTGAACTGGTTGTATAATATGTCCAAAGGGGAACTGATTACTAATTGTTTCAAAAACAGGTTAAAATTTTCACTTAATTCAGTAATTCTGGTGGGTTTGTCCTTAACAGTACTCTGCGAAATTCTCTTTAGAAATGTTTAAAAAATTGTAACATGTATTTTTCCTCTCAGTTATTGAAGAGGAAAGTGAGTGAATAAGCGCATGATATCTGTTAAGATCAAGAAGAAAATTGTTTAGATGCAATGAAAATTTTCATTAGCAGTTAATTTCCTATTTTTGTAACTGATACTGAGATAGAGCCACATAATATATAATGTTAAGGTCAAACACTCTAGAATAACTTATAGAGTAAGTTTAATTTAAAAATTTTATTTACTCAGTAATAATCGCCAGTCTCGTAATAGAAGTTAGATTTAGCATTTAATAGTGATTCTTATATTTTTTGGTATAAAATAATACTACTTTCAATTAAATTTCAAGAGGTTTTTATGACATATGTTTCTACTTAATGAGATTATTGTCATAGAAAGTAAATAGGTTGTAATATCTCTCTTCAATATCTTAGACTATTTCTTAAAATTTAATATTATTTTAAGTATGAAGCATTGGTCATTGTCATCTTTGGTTGTAAAATATTCATCGTTTATAGCACAGATCTGATGTAGTATCATCTAACCAAAACTAAGGAAGTATTCAGTTATGAGTTTTTTTATAGATCAATTTATTTATTTTTTTATGTCAAGGTAGAAGAATTACCCTAACGATCAACTTAAAAAAATCTGTCTGAATCAGTGTTGTTCTTCATTAATTGAACGTGTGTAGTTAGTATTAGGTTTATTTCTATTTCAATTTTTTATTTTAAAGCTTCTCTTGACGCGTTTTGCACTTTTTTGTAAATAGTGAATTAGATTGAGCCGTCAGGTTTCTGATGTGTAACACTCGTGTAAAGTCGGCTGGAGTCAACTAATTGGAAGTGTTTTTGCATATGGATTAAAATATCTCAAAAACTAAAATTCAGATCTACCTACTGTAAGTGAGGATATTGTTCACCATATCATCCTCTCTGTAATGAGGTATTATTCCAAATTGAACCTTGACACAACGCCATGTTAGATAGGCAAAAAGGAAAAAAATAGTGTCGAAAACCAAATGATAGAGAATTATCATGTTTATAATTTGTTTTCCATAATATTTATCTTGCCTTGTTAATGTTTTTACTTCTGTCATGTGGTACAAAGCACACAATTTATTTTTTTAAGGGTTGTGGTTTATTATTACAGTCATTATTGTACTTGTTTTATTCAGCATAAATTAATATTTTGTATTTATGAATTATATTCAGTTCTATATTCTACAGTAACATAAAAAGGAAAAATTTGAATGCCAAGAGACCTACTTACTTAAAAAGCATTGTAAGATATTGTGCTGTAATTGTACAAAGTGCCCCTAAGTCTGGAACACATTCAAAATATCTACACTTTAACGACCATATATTGAGTACATCTTTCTATGTGGATCCAATTGTTTTTTCCATACTATATGAAAAAAATATCATGCATTTTTTAGTTTTAAAAATAATTTAATCGCAATTATTTGAAAAAAAAAATGGAGTGGACGTATAAGTCGGCCATTTTACATAGGGATATTGCAGTTTTTATTTTTTTTATTTTAATTTCCTTATTTTTACCCTTGGTAGTTATTTCTTACATATACATAATATATAACCATTCAACCAAGATTATGTTTGGAAATTTAAGCAAAAAAAGAAAATGTTATTTAGGTGCATTATAGATAGATAGATAGATAGATAGAAAAATAATTTTATTCTGGGACACAGTCCTTTGAGAATAACAAAATAGAACAAAATTAACAGATCACATCTGGCCAAAATAAAATCAATCGAAAAAAAGAAATAATGTAAAAAAAATATAAGGTAAACATTCTATATAAAAAAAACGAAACTATATACAAAACAATTAATACTATGACAAGGCACTTAAAGCTATTTGCACTAGTATACACTTTTAAGAAAATAATAAAGAATTAAAAAATAAAAATGTATCAATGAATCAATCAATGAATTTGTATGTATCAAATTCTCTATTAAAATCAGCTCGAATGGTTAGCAACTATCTGACTGTTCTTGGGATAGGAATTGGAATAGGAGGGTTTTGAATTTGGATATGGACGGGGAATGTCGAATTTTGATAGGGAGGGAATTCCAGAAATTGACAGAGCGAACAACAAAGGAATTTTGGAATGAGGCAGATCTGTGAGAAGGCATGTAAAGATTAGAAGGTCGAGATCTTGTGGACAGGGAATGGACTGAGGATTTGAACTGGAGAAGATTGTAGGCGTAAGAAGGACGATGGCTGTTGATGATTTGGTAGAGGAACGTACCTAGGAAATATTGTCTTCGGAAGGAGGGGAAAAGCCACTTTAACTCAGCATAGTGGTGAGAAACATGGGAGTATCTTGGGGCCCCGATCACAAATCTTACACAGCTGTTCATTAGTCTTTTCAGTCTATCACGGAGCTCCACAGAGAGGCCATCATACACCACACAGCTATAGTCAAAGTGGGGGAAAATGAGAGAGGAAACTAGGAGTCTACGCGTATGTTGAGGTAGGAGATGGCGGAAGCGATGGAATAGTTTGAGGGTGGAAATTGTCCGTCGAGAGATATGAGAAATATGGTGATTCCAAAGGAGGTTTTGATCAATGAAAAATCCTAAGTTTTTAACAGAGGAGTAGAAGGAGATTGGCTGGTCATTAAGGTGAAGGATGGGAAAGTCTGGATGGGATCTAAGAAGGGGCTTGGAAGCAATGACAATGGCCTGAGTTTTGGCGGCATTTAACCTTAATCCATTTACATTTGCCCAGGCACTGATTCGATCTAGGTCTTCTTGGATCTTGGCAAATGCCCCCAGTAACTCAGGAGGGGAAAATGATAGGTAGATCTGTGAATCGTCTGCATAAAGGTGATGGGAACAATGGAGAATTGATTTAGGTAGGTCGTTAATGTAGGAGCTGAAAAGGAGAGGAGATATGCTTGAACCCTGGGCAACTCCAGAGGATAAAGAAAGGAAGGTAGATAGTGGTTGGTTGGGTATGGAGACTGCTTGGGTACGTTGTGAGAGGAAAGATTGAAACCAAGAGATGGTACTATTGGAGAAGGATAATAATTTCAGTTTGTTGAAAAGGATGGAATGGTTAATGGAATCGAAGGCTTTGGAGAAGTCTAGAAGGATAAGGATGGTTAACTTTTTATCATCTATTGCAGTTTGAATGTAGTTGGTGATTTTAATTAAGGCGGATTGTGTGGAGTAGCTGGGACGGAAACCAGATTGGAGAGGATCAAGTTGGTTGGACTTTTCAAGGAAGTTGGAGACTTGGGATTGCACCAATCTTTCTAGGGGTTTCGAGAGGTTGGAAAGAATTGAGATTGGGCGGAAATCTTCGGGTGAGGTCGGATTAGAATTTTTATTTAAAGGAAGGACAATGGCTTGTTTCCAAGATGTAGGGAATACTGAATTCTGAAGGGAGAAATTGTAGATGAAAAGAAGGACTGGGAGGATTTCAGGAAGACATAATTTTATTAGTTTGACAGGGATGCCGTCAGGTCCTATGGAATTGGTGTGGGATTTCATTACAGCGGTTAAAAGGTCTGTAGGGGAAATGTCGGAAAAATAAAAGTTATTGTCGTTAAATGGTATCTCTATTGGGAAGTCGGAACAGGAGGATAAAGGAGAGGTATTAGCAACAGATATAAAATGCGAGTTTAGATCATCAGGGGATATTGGAAAGGCTGGAGTAGGGGATCGGGAAGGATCACAAAGGGAAAGTTTACGAAGCAGTCGCCATTTTGATTTTATGTCAGGAGTTGAGGAAAGGGCTTCGTGGAAGTAGAGGGACTTCGCACGCCGGATCCTTGTTTGTGTCAAGTTGCGAAGCACCCTGAACGCTTGGTAGTCATCTGCAAGCCTAGTACCTACATTATACAACTTTCTTTTTTTTTTTTTTTTTGGTCCTTCCCTTCCTCGCCTTTTAGGGGTTTTACTGGGCCAGAGATTGAGAGCAGGGGATTAATGCCAAAGTTGAAAGTTCCCCGGCACCAGGACACAAACTCATAATTATTTTATCTTATAAATTCTGTTATTAGATTGCCGGTTAGCACACATTAGCCCACTTGGCCACCCCACCCCTTGCAGTTTACAACCATTGCTAATTTACGTTTATATTCAGAGAAAATGTGTTTTTACCCTTTGCAGGTATGCTTTACTGTAGAGTACAGCTGTGCTTTCTCTGTATTCAAATCCAATAGGAATAGGTCATGTAAAAAAGACGCTACACAATATGAAATTAAATTTCAGGTATTTTTATGAAGATAATAAAAAGGTAAGTCCAACCCAAAGCGAGAAATATTTTCATAAAAACCGTAGCTGTCATTCTTCACAAGTAATTTGATGTTTTAACTGCGCATCAATTTCTGAAACAAGCTTGTTTTTGGATCTCAATGGCAGGCGTATACGTCCGATGTAGTCCCTTGAGTAAATCAGTGAGCGGGCATATTTGCCCACTGTAGTCGTTATAGTGTTAAATATATAATGTTTATAGCCTTTACTGATCTTAAATGCAGTTTAAAATTTGCATCTGTTGTAATCCGATAGAATATATTATCAAATTTATTTGCTTCCGGTCTCCAAACAAGTTTAATGTTGAAACAAAGTTTAGTACGTCCATTTTAATGTTTTATGTATTAGCCTTAAAAAAGTATTTGCTGTAATAGTTAGAATATGTAGCCTAATTATCTGTTACTTCTCATTCATTTTACTGGTAGTACTGTCTTATTCGAGTCTGTAAAGATAGTCACTTTTTCCTCAAATGAGTCGAGTAGGAAATTTGTGTTGTTGAATGTGAACAAAATTAGTTCACTAAATTTTATTTTAACAAAATTTCAGCTTTGGACATACATAGATTTGATGTTCAAATCATAATTTGTTTAATATTATATCCTTCAGGTTAGCAATTGAATTTACTGTATTAATTCTTGACAGAGTAATAATGTTAAAGGTTTTTTTAAATATTTTTTATGAAGTCATTTTAATAATATTTCATAATTTTAAGGTATACGTTGCAAGCATCAACCTTGCAAATGGCTGTTTTGCTTCAGTATAACAGCTCAGAGTCTTGGACTGTCGGGCAGCTGGCCGAGAGCACTCAAATTAGTTCAGATTATCTTCACCAGGTGCTTCATATACTTCTTAAAGCTAAACTTCTCTCAACAGAAGAAGAAGATGAAGCTGAACTTCAACCTAATTCATCTCTATCTTTATACCTGGGCTATAAAAAGTGAGTTTATTCTTTCGTATTAGTTTTTAATATTTTTGTATTTTCCTGTGTCTGAAATAGGAGTAGACTCGAGAACCGCTCACCCCTCCCCCCCAATAAAAATGTGGAAGGGGTGAAAATATTGTTTCCCTAATAATTATCGCCCCCTCCCCCTCTCCTCCCTAATAATTATTTGAGGTAAAAATTGAAATCAATAATAAATAAGCTATATGAATGAATAAAATGTATAAACTAAAATCATTTAAGTATAGTCAACTAGCTGGCTAGGCTAGAGCCCCTAGTAGTATATATGTAATTATACCGAGTTCAGTTTGTGCTCTTTGACTAAGTGTGCACTGCGAGTAAGTTTTTATATTTTGATATATATATTTATATATACATATATATATCTTTCATAGAATTTAATATTAGACATTAGCCCATTTATAAAACCATAATCACCTTCAACCATAATCAAAATTCAATGTCAACAGTATATATATATATACTGTTGACATTGAATATTGTTTTGAAGGTGATTATGGTTTTATAAATGGGCTAATGTCTAATATTAAATTCTATGAAAGATTTTTGTATATGTTTTTTACAGATGAAAATTTAAATTATATGTAAAATCAGATTATCCCTGAAGAGGCAAAAATTTGTATAAATTTGAAAGTAAAGTAATTTTTTATCAAGACTAAATAGGCCTTTTTCTACTAATTTAAATATTAAATTATTTTTACTTAAATTTATTACTAAAAAGTCTGTAAACTTTGGTTAATTCAGTAATAAATCTGTATTGTTCATATAATTTTTAAACTTCAATTGGAATTGGAATTATTACTTCATTGTTGCAATGTATTAATTTTATGCTCCTATGAATATTTTTCTATTTGGAGAAAATTTGGTTGGGGTTTTCAGTCAATGAAAGAATCGTTATAGTAAACTATTATCTACTATCATGAATACTTATCTTTTTTTCTTTTTTTTTTTTCATTTTAGCAAAAAACTGAGAGTGAACATTAATATGCCTGTCAAAGCTGAGTTAAAACATGAACAGGAAACCACGCATAAGCACATAGAGGAAGATAGGAAACTTTTAATTCAAGCAGCAATAGTGAGGATAATGAAAATGAGAAAAATATTGAAACATCAAAACTTAGTTGCAGAAGTACTCAATCAACTTTCTTCTAGGTTCAAACCAAGGGTTCATGTCATCAAGGTAATCCTTCATGTAATTTTTCAAGTTTGCAGAATTATAAAATAAATGTATATATAAAAAAAAAAAAACAGTACTATTATCATTAATAAAAATGTAAAACATTTAATTAAAACAATCAATAAAATGTCATAATTAAATTGAAATAGTCAAAGTGGAACATTGTTATCAATTGATAATATTTTCAGACAAATAACACACATTTTACATTATGTATTCATTAGTTTGGTGGGTTAAGTTCATTATTCGATTATCTCTTTTATGGGAACCATATAACCAAAAATTGCTGTACATATAGTGCATCCTTGATAAACATGATTATAAAGGAAATACTCTTATACTTCTATTAAAATGGTGTGATTTTTACGGTGTAGCGAGTTATTTAAAATTATATTGGAAATAACTTTTGACTAATCAATTAATCAAGGACTGCTTTTAGTTTTCTTAATCGGAAATTTTATCGGTTTTTGAATGTCTAATAAACCTTACCTTTACAATAATCATGTAAATGATTATGATGACCTTAATAAATAAAAACCTTGTTCCTCTTTCCATTTGGTCAACACGAGATCCCAACCCTCGAACCTGTTTATTCCTCCTCATAGAACTGTTTCCTTTAAAAAATCCTTTGTCATATGTGCTTCCCCTATGAAATTCCCTACCAACCTCCATACGCAAATCTTCTCATCCTTGACCTTATTTAAACATAATTTATTTATCCATCTCCTCAGCAATCAATCTTCCGAATATGAGTAAATAATGTTAACGTTTGTAATGTTCAAGTTTGTCAGTCGTTTTTAATGTTATTCTACAGATAATTATATATCATCCACATTATTTATTTGTACAAATATTGAACTCGCATATCTGAATTTGTCTACCATTGCCTTTCCTTTATTGTAATTTTAAATCTAAATAACCCTGTAATTTAATTTATTCCTAATTATGTCTAATGCCAGACAATTGTCATGAAATTGGACATTTTAGTTATTCTAAGGGGACGTAGCCCCAGAATAAAATTTATTCTTCTTCTTCTAAAAAGATCTGTCAGTGCTGCAGTACAATAATCCTGGTTATAACTTTTACTCGACAAAAAATAAATAAAAAATTAATAGAAACACATATACAGATTATTGAATGCTGTGCAAATAGGTTCGACTGCATTATATTTTATACAGTAGAATCACCTGACATTGAGCTCATTGGAAATCTTTCACACTGTTCCTGACGTCATTGATAGAATTTAGTATGACTCTTTAAGAGTATATTATTCATCAATTAATTATTGGAGGAAGTTAGTCGACTGTTTTACATATCATGGATGATAAATATTCAGGAGGCAGTCATTATAAAGTTTTTATTAGTGCCGACGTTTCAATCCAAATATTGTGGGTCATCATCAGGGTGCTTCAGTGCTTAAACATACCCTGATGATGACCCACATGTTTGTGTTGAAACATCGCCACTAATAAAAACCATGATGACTGTGTCCTGAATATTTATCACCCTATTCATCAATTACATCACCAATGGCTGGATGATTACATTGGCTATTGGGGGTTGATCGATCTGCTGAATGTTGTAACCTCAGTGTAAGCTTCCTCTGGAATCCAGCAGGTTGTTCCTAAACTCTTAATAAATTGCAGTCTATCAGTGATGGATTTAATCAACGAAATTAGTACTGAGTTTAGGAACTTGTCCATGTTCTTTATAACTATTCAAACTCGTGTATATTAATATAATTTTTTACTCTTAAGTGTCGGTAATCTCGATAAATCCTCTTTAGTCCTCATAAAATCCATGACAAGGATTAAGATTTATCGAGAGTTTACTGCAATACCATTTTTCTATCTTGCTGCTGTTTAATTTGATTTTTTTTTTTTTTTTCAGAAATGTATAGATATTTTGATTGAGAAGGAATATTTAGAGAGAACAGAGGGCCAGAAAGATACTTACAGCTATTTAGCCTGATCAAGAAAAGAAAAATTGCACTTAACCATGACCAATTTAAGTGTGCACTCTTCAGTCCCCCAGTTCATTCATGTTTGGTCCACATCGTTGGATTCATTAACTGATTTCTTTTATTATATAATATATATTTATATAAAGATGTTTTTGTTAAATCAGTAAATTATTTTGAATCATGGACTTTTTTTGTTAGTATGTTTTGAAACGATTTTGCTATGTGTGTCCCTTTCAATTTTCATCTTATATATTTCTAAGGACTCTGCTATATTTTTGTGGAAAAAGAACGAGAACCTCATTTTATCAGGTTTATGTTGAAAATAGAGGGCTTTCAAAGCTAACTGGAGAATACATTTCTAGTTTAGAAATATATCCCAGATGGTCAGTGATACTGATTGATATAATTATATATTTAGGTAAATATATATTTAAGAGAACATTTAACAGATTTATTATAATTGTGTAAAAAAATATTCACCAATATTATTTATATTAATTTGTAAGGAACAAACTTATACCAAATTAAGTTTTTGAGTTGTTATGATGTTCTGGTTTTGTAAAGTTTATATATCAATCTTGGATTCTTTTTGTTTGTATAATGTTTTAAGTATATATAAGAATGATGTGAGAACATTTTATTTCATATTTGTATGGAATATGTATTTGATTAAAATGTCTGTAAAAAAAAAAAAAGCTATAAAAATAATAAATAAAACATACAAAAAAACATTCCATGAATGAAAATTTGGTTGATAACTTTTTGTACGGTGTAAATATTTGGCCCTTGAATGTGAGAGAAAGGAATGTTGATAAAATTCATCTCTTTGGGGGAAAGGAGGCAGTTGAAAGATAAAGGCCTAAATTTATAAGCATTTTAATATCATGGAATTTTTTTTTTCCTTAATAATTTTAAATTAATGGACCACATAAAATTCATGTATCTCAACCTTGATGACTATTATTGGCGTCACGTTCCTTCTTATGGAATTATTCAAACACTGGTGTGGTTCATCAACTTATTTTTATCAATAATACTTAACCATGAAAAATTGTTTATATTTTATCATAAATGTTAACTGTTTAATCCCTGCTGCTTGTATATAGAAACTATACCCTTGTTAATAGTACCTAAGTAGATTGTAATTTTCTTCCATATTAACTCTTTTGTAACGTTCAAAGTTGTGTGAATTGCTTGATGCAACCACTGTATTAGTAACAGCCATGACTTTTATTTTTTAAATGTTTGAAGAGTTCTTTTTTGATAAATTAGATCTCTTCTTAATATAGCCATACAAACCCTACCTACATTTTTTAACGATTGGTACTTTCGATGAGTGAATATATTTGATATGTTAACTAATGAAGATAACGAAAAATTAACAAGTCACATTCAAGTGTCTTCGATATAATTTTTTTTTTTTTAATTTTGTAAATTTGACATTATAGGCATACCACATCTGAAATAAATTACTCTCTTGACTTTTTTCTTTTGGTTTTAGCCTTTTATTGTTGATATGAATTAATTTATGAGGTTACAAGGTAAACAAAAAAAAAATGTGCAGTTTTTATTATTAAAATTAAACTATTGCATGTAATATAAATAAAATATTAATTAAATTAAGCACCTACAGAATATACCTCTTCCTTACAAAAGATACATTTTATAAATCTATTGTGTATACTGTGCAGTTTCTTATCATTTTCATTTTAGTTTAAATAAATAAAAACTATTTACAGATCAGCAATATACAGGGTGTCTTTTTATCACTATAAATTTGTTGAATGTCTTTTAAGTAGTTTGTTACAAACAGTTCAAAACTTGTATTTTTTGGAGGACCAGTTGTATGAATTTTGACTTATCCACTCAGGTTAGAGTTTCCCAGAAGGAGTTACCAATACTAAAGGGAATGATAGTTAATCCTCTGCTGAGATATGATATTTTAAATAATTTAACGAGTTTCTAGTAACACCACGGTTTATTGTTGATGTCAAAGTAGCAAGATATGAAAACCATTCTAGTTTAATTTTGTTCAGTAAAAGAATCAATATTTTTTGAGATGTAGATCATTTTTTTTTTAAAGAATTTATTTTACAATTGAAAATTTAGATTGTTTCTCTAAGACTAAGTTGGTCAGACTTAACAGATTAATCATATTTAGCAGATCCAGGAACCTGAAAGGCAAGAAAAAATTTTATTTTGAAAAAAGATACTGAACAACCGGCCCTTACATTATTATTAATGTAATTGAAAAATGAATTGTATTAAACAATTAATTTTTATTTGTACTCAAAATCAACTTTTAATTTAAAAATTCTGATTATTTACACTAACAATTCTTCATTTGTTGGGAAAATCGATGAATATTGAAGCTGAATGTAGTTGCTTGAGTGCTGTGTTTCCTTGGAAACTATTTTAAATTTTTTGGATAAAATATGCAATAATGTCTATTTTAGTTTTCTAGACATCAATTATTCAAGGAATTTTGACCATTTTATGGCAAAATACTAGAAACAAATAAAATAGGTTTGCCTAGTTCGATTTTTCTCTATTTCTGATTGTATTATATTAGAGTTTTATTTACATTAATTTGAAAGATATATTGGTCAAATTGTTCTAAAGGGATTTCATCCAGTACCGCCCTTAGTGACATTCGCACCCCAGGGCAATGACGTCATCTTCCCTCATCCTAAAAAAATTAAATTTATTTCTTAAACTGTTATGTATTACGTAATATTTGAATGGTATATCATTGAACATTTCTCGAATACTATTGCGTTATTGTAGGATTACATCAATTATTTTAATGTTTTGTATTTTTTTTAATTTCTAATAAGTGGTAAGCACCCCTGAAGATCGGCCGGTTCCCCAATGCCTTTCAAGGAAGACGCACCGGAACGATTGCCCCGTTCTAAGACCTGCACCCTCTTCATCCTTGAATAACTAAGTTAATTTTCATTTCATATTATCTGTGGTAGCTGCTCAATGGTAAGATACTGTGATCCTATACCGTGTCCAGTTGTTGCATTAAATTATTTATTGTGTTATACCAGCCTTGGATTAACCTTAGGGTCCATCCAGCCTCTATGTGATGGATTCTCTTAGTTAATTCAGGAGAAAACAACAGCAGTTGAGCCTAATTTCGGTCACACTACTTCCTTGCATATCTCTTCGCCATGAAAAAATACGTTTTTAAAGAGTGGTAAATCCAACAATTTTTCATTTCATTATTGTAAAATAACTAAAATCAATGAAAATGTTACATATTATACCTTAAAATTCTATTTTAGAAACAAAAATGGTAAGTGTTCTTATAGTTGAAATAAAATACTAGTTAATTTAAACAACTTTATATAAAACTTTATTAATTTGTTTTTATAATACACAATCCATTCAGGATTTTAAGCAGAAAATGCTATCAAAATTAGTAAAAGTAATAAAAACAATGATTTTAAAAACTGCCATAATTTAGATTATCACATTTATATTAATTACATTAATTAATATTTGTATACAATTTACATTCATATCTAAAATTAATTTCATTTGGTTATCATTAATACATACAATAATGATAATTTAAACTATCTGATAAAGAAATACACAACACTTAAGTTTAATGTCATGAATTGTTCAGGTATCATAGCAGTATTAAGCGCTAATAAGATCTTAACAGATATAAAATAATTTATAACATTCAGCAACATAAAGGTGGCTTTTCGTTCGTTGGTACTTGGTGTAGGTGAGTACGACTCCCTTCTCTCTCTTGATTCAAAGGTGTCACTCTTAATGTCTTTACTAATTTGTCTTGACTTAACGTTATCATACCACTGGCACAGCACAAAAATACATCTTCAATACCTGAAATTGGTAGAATTATGATATAAATAATAAAACTTTATATGTTTAAATAATAATATTATTCAACAAAGTCATTAAATGACATTTCATAACCTTAAATCACCACTAAGAAATTTATGAATTTTTCCTTTGTGAAATCATAAAGTTGAGTATTTGTTTCATTTAAGTGCACTGATTCGGTTTTTATATTAATAAACAATGTTGTAATTCACTAAAACGTTCTTAAAAGTTCAGCTCCATTAAAAATATACTTAGTCACTTTTTGCAATAAACCAATAATATTTAGAATGTGTGAAGATTAATGTTGTAACATTTGTAATCTTTAACTACAGGTAAATGACTTGGGAGGAATTTAAGTGTGAAGATGCCTTACAATAACCTTTGTTAATGAAATAACAACTTATAAATCAGTGTACATGAAAGAATCTGAAACAAATCAAAATATTAAGAAAAAAAATTCACGATATTTGTTGAGGTAGCTGCCTGAACTTATATGAAGGTAAATGAATTTTCCCTTGTTGAGCGTAATCTCCAGGCTTAAGCTCTCACAAGGTTCTCTCTTCATCAGGGCTGACCAAATGAAGAGCTGTCACAAGACCAAGTGATCAGCCCTGATGAAGGCTTGAACTTTAGACCGAAACGTCGGCAAATATAACAATAATATTTATTTCAACTATTTTTTTGACTGATCACCCCAACTATTCTTCTCTTCAATTATTCACTACAGTCAACCATCAATCCACAAAATACATTTCTATAAGATTCTAATCAAGCCCGTCCTCATTTATTCATCTGAGTGCTGGAGGATGGCAAAAGCACTAGAATTGTTTCTACTGAGATTTGAAAGATTTTGAGGATTATGAGGTCTATTAGGAGATGGGGGAAAAATGCTGAGCTTATGAATCTTTACAATGACCTTCATATCATCCATTTGATAAAGGCTGGGATGCCTAAGATGGGCAGGGCATTTTACACTGAATAGTAATGAAGTCTCCAAAGTGCTTTTAGAAGAAAAATATTCGGACATAGAGAGTTGGAAGACCTCTCCAGGGCTGAGTAAATTGTATAGCAGTAGATGATCAGTATTGCTGTTGGAAATAAAAAATTGGATGGCAGCACCACTAAACAGAGAAAACTGGTGGCTTCAATTGAGTGAAGCCTTGATTCTCCAATGAGTTATAGAGGTATCGTAGAATAAGATTATATGAAATGGATTTACTTACTTATCCGGCACTACTATCCTTGAAGTCAAGTTCTGGCCTGATCCAGCATTGACTGCCAGTTGTTTCTGTCAAGTGCTGCTGCCCTCTAACTGCTGATATCCAAAATGGTCCAAGTGTCTAAAGCAACGCAGTCCTCCCACTGGAGTCATGGCTGGCCTACTCTTCTCACACTAAAGATCCCCTCCCTTAGGATTTTCGCTGGGGTTTTGCCTTGCTGCGTTCTATTCACATGTCTAGCCCACTTAAGTTTCGTTTGCTTTATAAACTGTACTACATCCAATTCCTTATAAAGCAGCCTCAGTTCATTGTTAGAACGGCATCTCCACTCTCTATTGACTGTAATTGGACTGTATATCCTCCTCAGGACTCTTCTTTCGAATCTGAGGAGAGAGAATTCTTACGAGAGAGTGTGCTTGGGAAAGGGTTCAGTTTTCTGAAGCATATGTAAAAACTGGCCGGATGAGAGTCTTGTACAGTCTGGCTTTTGAGGATTTGGAGAGGAGACCACCATTCATATGCTTTTGAAGAGCAAAATAACAGTGATTATGTAATTAATAACAATTATGCAAGACTCTAGGTACACGAATTCCTCAACTCTCCCCACACTCTGTCCATCAACTTGGATATGGTTCTCAGTGTTCATCGCTTGAGAATTTGCTCCCATATACTTTGTTTTGTTATAGTTGGCAACAGTCACCTACCAGCTATGTCAATGTCATCAGCAAATCCAAGGAGCTGCACTTGGAAGTTGATGAGTATACCAATTGTCTGGATCCCAGAGTCTCAAACCGCCTTTTGCAAAGCGAGATTGAAGACCAGGCATGCCAATCCGTCTCCTTGCTGAACTCCTGTTCCAGTGGAGAAGCCCCTTGAGACCTCACCACCAACCTGGAGGAAAGATATGTTGTCCTCCATGGTCATTCTTGTTCGTCGCCCTAACTTTGGAAGAAGATTCATTACGAGCATTGCTCTGTATAACTCTGCTCTGTTGACTGAATCATAGGTTTGCTAGATATCAACAAATATGTGGTGTGTTGTTATTTTTTACTCTTGAGTCTTCTCCAACAGCATTTGGAGTGTGAAAATTTGATCACTAGTTGACCTATCTCTGCGAAAACCTCTTTGATTTTTTCTCTTTTCCATCTCCCTCTCAGCATATGGAAGCAACCATTTGAACAAGACAATGAATAAAATCTTTTAAGCACAAGGAAGTAAGGATATTCCTCAATAATTGTTACAAGACAGAGTATCTCCTTTTTTGTTTATCAGGCAAATCACTGCCATCTTCCATTTCACTGGTAACCTCTCCTCAGTTCATATATCATGCAGTAGGTCCTGGAGATATTGCAACACTTTGTGTCTGCTATGCTTTAGCAGCTCTGCTGGGATATTGTCAATACCGGGAACTTTATCGTTCTTAAGTTTGATAAGAGTATCTTGAATTTTCTCTTCATTTGGGGGATCCCCTAGGTAGCCGCACCCAGCAGGGGGAGCTGGTCAGGGAGCTCTAAGGAGGCAGCCCCTCTACCTGACTCAGCGGCAGTAGGCTGATATGCTGCTCCCCTTTAAAACCTCATCAAAAAAGCTCAACAGTGATACACTGGACTGATCATTGGAAAAAAACACAGCAACCGTCAAATAGACTATAATTTAGCTACTTGGAACATTTTACCATTATATAGGAGCACTTCAAACCCTCCTGGACATCCTAAACAATTACTCAATAGACATTGTTGCAATCCAGGAAATCAGATAAACCAGAAGCTTCAAGAAGAGATGACATACCATCTACTATAGCTGTGATGATCGACCCCACACTTTTGGCAAAGGATTTGTTATAGGAAAGAGACTAGCGCGGCGACTTATAGAAAAATTCTATAATTTTAGCCTAATGTGCTCATGCCCCTACTGAGGTCTCTAATGAGAAAGATAAAGATATTTTCCAAGCTCGAGAGATGTTATGAGGAGTGTCCCTGCTATGACATGAAAATTGTGATTGGCGACTACAATGCCCAAATAGAAAAGGAACCAGTATACAAGCCCACTATCAGTCAATATAGCCTGCATTACAGATCAAATAATAATGGGAAGTGCCTGATAAATTTTACAGCTTCCAAGAGCCTGTTGATCGGAAGCAAGTGCTTTCCTCACAAAGAGATCCACCTAGGAACTTGCTGCAAAAACAGTCCCAACAGACAACTCACGACATCCCAAATTGACCATGTGCTGGTGAGCATGAGGCATCTTCACTCCTTGATGTTAGAACCTACAGGGGTGCTAATGCCGACTCAGACCATTTTGGTTGTGACGAAAATCACAACCAAAATATGGATCGCTAGAACTACTATTTCAACTTTAACAACTACCACTTCTCTTCAAAGCTATTAATAAAAGTGGCCCCAAAATATTAATAATTTGTGTTCCAGAATTAATTATACTAACCGCAATCATTTAAGGCTGAAGATTCAAAATAAGTTGCAGCTATAGAGATTGCGTATTGTTCAGCCTCTTCTCTAGTAACTTTCCTTTGAGATTCCAAATCGGTTTTATTACCCACAACACAGAGAACAAGTGGTTCCTCTACATTCCTTTGCAATTCTGAAATACAGTTCTATTCTTTACTGACAATGATAAAAAAAATTAATTGAAATACAATCTCAATGTTACTGAAAATATTACATAACAATATTAATAAAATATTGGGTTGGCAAATAAGTCCTTTTGGTTTTTATGTCACTATGATACACTTCTTATCTGATAAATTAATCCCCAAGGTGGATTGTTTATCCTATTTGTAATATGTCAACAACTATATCTGTTAACTCTTGTTGAAACTAGCTTAGTATTGTGTTTGCTATTGCACTGTGAATATACAAGAAAATATCATTCATTATTGGCATATTTTGTTGTATTATTTTTAAAAAGGTTAGCATGCTGCAGAAGCTCATAGAAAAATTTGCAGTGTTTATGGGGATGATGCTTTAACCAAATTCATCTGTCAAAATTGGTTTGCCAAATTTCATTCAGGAAATCTTGATGTCAATGATGCTCAACGGTCTGGCCGCCCACACGAAATTGAAACAAGCAATGTTAAGGCCATTGTTGATTAAAATCTAACCCAATTAGTGTGAGAGATTTCTATGGCCCTAAATGTGTCACACACAAGTGTAGAAAACCATTTGCACAAGCTCGGCTATCTTTCCAAGCTTAATGTTTAGGTTCCTCACATGATTGTTTTTTTTTAAATCACAAAAAATGTTATAACTTCAATACGACTTTAGCCATCTATAAGAATTTCAGAGCCACACAAACTACACAAAATGGCACCAACAGGACCTTTGTAAACCCACTACAGATGGAGATAAAAAATCAAAACCTGTAAGAAGTATTTGTTTATTTATTCCTCATGTAGGCATTAAATAGAAAACCTATTCATTTGGCTTTGAAGAGCAATAATTCAGCTTTCCAACGGATATAGTAACACTGAATTTGGTGAACATCCTAAGAGTTATGAATGATTGGAAGGGTGTTGTGTTCCACCAAGACAACGCTACGCCCCACACACACATTCAGCCTTGGATGGGAGCTTTTGCTCCACCCTCCCTAATCACCAGATCTAGCTCCAAGTGACTACCACTTATTCCAGTCTCTGTAGAACTCCATGAATGGAAAGAAATTTCAAAAGGAACAGTACATCAAAAACTATTTGGATCAATTTTTTAACAATAAACTCCAGACATTCTATGAACATGGAAGCATATATTATATATATGCAGTTAGTGCAGAATATTAAGCAGTTAGTGGAAGGATGGGAAAAAGTCATATTAAATAATGGTGAATACATTGTAGATCAAGGTAAATTTTATGTCTATAATACATTGAATTTTATTTCATCCTGAAAAACCGAAAGGACTTATTTACCAACCCAATATCTTAAAGGTATAATATTTTTCTCTACAAGTTTCTTGAACTTCATTATTAATTTTTACAAATAAATTATAGTTTGAAGGCTTTACAGTAATTGAGGACTAAGAAACTATATTCCCTCAAGTTGACATGTAACATGTAAGTACACAAGAAGTATTATTTAAATAGTTTTTTGAGCGGCTGATAGTTAAATGTATACTAAAAGTAAGAAGATTCATAAAAATTTTTAGTTGTACATAAAGTATTTTTAAAACTTTGATTTTTGACTTGTCACAACAAAAAAGAGAATATAATGAATTTTATATAGACTCAGATAAATGACAATATTGTTGAAGTTAAGACAAGAATCCATTAACTTACATGGAATGGTTGAGTATCATAGTGGAGACGAAAAAGACAAAATCTATTGATTTATTTTTTAATAAAAATATTACCTTTAACCCATGATTTTATTGATGCAAATGAAGTCGGTTGCGTTATGTCAAAAACTAGTAGTGCTGCATTGGCATTTCTATAATACATTGGTGCCATTGACCTAAACCTTTCTTGGCCCGCAGTATCCCATACCTTCAAAAATAACATGTTGAACTATAAACCAAAAATGAAAAATTATGTAGTCATAACAATACGCTTTAGAAATAAATATTTACCTGTAATCTGACTCTTGTATCATCGACATTAATGTTACAAGTAAAAAATGAAGCTCCAATAGTTGGACTGATATGGTGGCTAAACATTTTCCCTATGTAGCGAACTACTAAACTTGTTTTTCCAACTCCTATAAAATTAAATAAACATACTAGAGTAAATTAATTTTAAAAACTCTTCTCATTTTTATAATATTTATGTTAAGCAAGGATTCATTTCAGATTTCCCTATTTTACACTGCAATACTATGATTTTAAGCTTCAACCATGAGGGGTTTTAAATTAACACAAGACATAATGAGACTATCACAACACTCAAAAGAATATATACTAAAAGAAATCAGAATACTTAGTCCTTGACACTTATGATTATGCTATCATATTATTCTCTATTTATTGAGAGAAAAAATGGCTACAAGCAAATGGCAATCATCTATTTCAAGATGAATGTCACTTAGTCAATTCAATTGCCCTAGATTAAACTAGAATTAAGAGGAAAAAACAGTTGTAAGGAAAAGGCAATGACCTATTTCAAGATGACTATCACTTACTCCTCAATAGTCCTTATTTTTAATAATTTAAATTACATCAAATTTATCTCCATGAGAAGGATTCATACCTATTTTATGAGGGACATAATATCTAAAAGCAGAAAAATAACTGATTTCAAGCGTGTCGAAAATTTGTTTTTTTCTTTAATGTGATGAAATCAACATACAAAATTGAAAAAAAAAGAAGGAAAATCTGAAAGAATTCAATAAATTTCAAATAGAAACTCCACCATTACTACTTTAGGAACGTTTAGAGAGGTTTTCTAACAATAATTGATTGTTAAGTGTTCTTCATTTATGAATTCTTCTTCTAATCTAGCGAAATATATCCCTGCTAATTACTTTAATAAATGCAATTGACCTTATTTTCTAGAAAACACAAATTATATAAATTACTCCATACTTCTGGGTCTTAATAGTTTCCATGATTATAAAGGAACGGAAACAGCAAGATTCATATTCTTATACAATTTATTTTGATGCATATTATTTAAAAGCTCATACACATAAAATGTATTAAAGTAATGCTAAAAAAATATCACTTAATAATCATTGTAAAATATTACTAATAAATATAATACCATAAAAAACATAAATATCTCATGAAAGTTATTAGAAGACATGAAACTCAAATGATTAATGTTATACAATGTTACTTATTATTATGTACTAATTGTTTTGTGTGTTAATTGAGAAGCTTATAATTAATATTTATAAATTGAATACTTATGTAAATAAATTAAGATGAGATTTGTTTAACTTTAAAAACATCAATTAACAACATAAGACAGTGTCACTCATTGGTCTTAATTCTATTAATTATTACTCCTAAATGTATTAATTAAGTCCATACTTCCTTTAAAGAACAAAGGAAGTATAGAATTACCCTTGGATATTCATGATTTTAAATCATCTATTTCACAGTTAAATTCATACATATATATTACTTTTAATCCATGAAAATTTTAAAGACACTAACGATTTTTCCATTAAACTGTTACAGAAACGTTTATCTCTTTACCCATATAATATTTATGTACAGTAATTCAATAAGTTTTTATTTAGCTAAAAAGTTAGACTAAATTTATTTTATTTGTTTATAAAATTGGATAAGTAATATAACTTATCCAATATGAGAAAAATGAAAATGAAAAAATTTAAGACATTGTAATACCATTCAGTTGATTTTTGAAATGAACCAATTCAGTTATAAGTAATATTTTTGGCAAATAGAAATGTGTTTATATAAACTCATAATTTCTATTTAAATTGAAGTTAATCCATAAGATGCTGGACAACATTAAGATATTTATAAATTAGTTGATCAACTATATAGTACTAATTTACTTATACAGCATAGTTCCGGTATATATATGGGTGCGCTTTAAGCAAATTATTTTCTTATATTAAATTGTTAATGAATGGAATATTTTTATAAATTAATAAATAGTTATTTTGATGATGATAAAGTGAATAAGTAAAGAGTCAATTATATATTAAGATTACTATTGCATTAATTTCAATTCATTCAAAAGTACTCTCAGAGGCATTTTAATACATAGTAAATTATTAATTTTAGATAAATCTATAATTAAATAGTAAAATTCCTTACCTTGGGCTCCTAAAACTACAACTTTCCCTTCAATAGTTTTCATGTTGACTAGAAGTATTGTGGGATTTTATAATTAATTATATATTTAAAAAAAGTTAAACTATTTACATATTTTAAAAAATACAACTAGTGAGCACCAGCACAAAATAACAACTAGACTACCAAGATTGGTGACGTAAGATAAGTGGTTACATAACGTTCAACAGGTAGTAGGAGGGTTTTTGTAAGGGTGCCAGAATGAGCTGGGTCTTCAATGGGAAACAGGTAAAGAGGGTCCAAGCCCCCAAAAAGGGGACGTATGAGCTTGTGCAGCATTTCACTTCAAATATATTTTAGACGGCGTCATTTGAACTTATTTCTTTTTATTATGATCGCTGGATATTCTTATATAAATATGTCATAGGTTAAATTTCTAATGAATGTGATTTCTTTTATTCTTACTCTCATTAATAAAATATTTTAATGATGACTCGGAGAATGCGATAAGGAAAAGCTATTAAGGTTCATAGAAGAGGAAGTGTGGTAATCACATTTTTTTTTTTGTTTCTAGAACCTTAGTTTATTTACAGAATTATTGAGGTCTACTCGAATTAAAAAAAAAAAAAGAAGAAATGAAAATAATTGTTTTAATCTTCTGTTTTTAAGTTCGGCTTAACTATTAAATCTGCCAGGTTTGAGTTGGGAAGAGATAAATTGTAGAGGAGCGTCTAAAAATTCCAAGAGGAAAAAATATTCAAGGACGGAAGTGTAGACAAACTACGATTTTATCCTACAGGAATTCAGAGAACAATTATTCTTAAACAACTTTATTTCATTTTGTTTATTTATTTTCTCCATAAGCAATTGAACTTTTTAATTGTTGTTTTTCTAAATAATATATTTATTTTTGTGTTTGTGTGAGCGGCGAATTAGCTATGAGGTACATTGAGAACTTACTTCCACGAAGTCTAATAATTTTTCTCTCGCTTTAATTTTATGGGGTCAACTCTATTATTATTAAAAAAAAGGAGTTAACCCTTTTAAAAATTGACTGGTGCGCGCAACACACAACTTTCATTTATCGCTCTACTTTGAATAGTAATTACTTTCTGGCAATGCTGGGCTATTATAAAAATTTTTTAAATGCATTTTAAACGGAGATAAACCTTAAAGCTTATAAATAACAAGTCATTAAGACCATTATAATTACAAAATGTCTATTTAATATATCGGCGGTATGCAATGAAAATTTAGTCACTCCATCTGCTTTTATAAACCACACAACTTTCTTTGCTTTTATAAACCACAGAATGACTCCAACTCCAATTTCAACATTTTTTAATAATGTCATTTTAGTGATATTTTTAGTTGAAAAAGTTATCTATGCAGACAGTGAGTAAGTTGATTTCGGAGGTGGTGATTGCAGTGTTGAAATATAGAACGGTGAAAAAGGTATGAATTTACGTACCTATTTCTTATGAAAGATACTTTATTAAATATCTGTAGAAAAAAGTTTTTTTTTATTCTCATCAATTAAAAAAGTATATTTTAAATTTACTCAAATTTTCGCCTCTTCCGGGATAAAATCTGATTTTACGGTATATTTTGAATTTTCATCTGAAAACCAAAAGAGAAAATATCCTTTCAGATGACTTACTATTGGACATTAGCACATTTATACAACAAAACACATTATAACATTAAAAAAAAATGAATATTAACCAGTCAAAAATATGTACTGTATATAAAAAACTCTGCAAATTATTTCACAATAGTTTACTATTTTATAATAACAATTATACATCTAAAGTATCATTACCTTCCAAGTTAAAAATAAAACAAAATTAAAGGTGATTCCAATTATTGGACTAAACTTTTTTTTAATCATTAGTAATATGATAAAACTAAATTCAAAAACCAAAACAAAAGATATAAGCTTTGAAGCAGAACATATTAAAAAAAAAAAGCTACAGACCATATCTTTCCTCCTAATTGTCCGATTTTAACGAATTTTTTTTTTTTTTAGAAAATTCCGTAAACTATTAAAAAACCATATTCAATATCAACAAAAAAAGTGCATACTTTTTGCGTTATTCGGAATTTAATTTTAACATCCCTCGTAACTTTTTTTCCAGCTTCTTTTCGTTGAAGTATGTTATATAGATAAATTTAAAGGATATCGAGAAAATGGCTTTAACGAAGTTTCATTGAAATCGGTACGTTCGGTTAGGCGCTACAGTCTATAGCAATGGATGTTTTTCTGCATTTTTATTTTTTTCTCCTTTATTAACTTATAAAATTCTTTCAAAAGTTATATTTAGCATTTTTTCGTAACTCTGAATAATTTGAAATGATTAACATTATAATATAAACCATATTAAAGGTACTTTAGAGGAAGGCATATATGAACATTGGGCATTTAAGCCCTGTAAAGTGACCTAAATGATATTAAAGACCACTTAATTATACAATGATACACCAATTTTGATCAAAATCGTTAGAGCCGTTTTTAAGAAAATTGTAAAAATGTGTTTCAGCGTTCATATAAAGTGGCACTTCCGGTTAGTCGATTTTAACGAAAAAGTTCCTGTCACATCCGGCCCATATACAAACCTTAAATACTTAATATCAGTTTCGTACTACTTTTCGTTTATGAGCTAGACTGTTAACACAGACACTCACACAGACCATTTTGCGACACTTGGTTATTTGAACTCAGGGGACCTCAAAACATGTATTTCCGTTAAAAACTGAGATTCGAAAATTTTCACGATCTCAATACTTACCCTTACTATATATTACATATATACGTAAGTGAAAGTAAAAATATTCAAAAAGGTTCAGCAGCAACTTCATACTCTGAGCTCGATGCCAATCGGGATATATCAGGTCTGGTGTTATAAGAAATAACGTGAAATAAACGAATTATAATTTTTTTTTACTGAAAATTCAATTCTTTCTTTTTTTTGGTTTCACGAAGGGATGTATTTCCATTTTTATTTTCTCCGGGGTTTTCTTTCTCGCACATTAAATTACAGCCCTGAAGAAGTATTTTCTTCTCATTTAATTTTCTTTTTCCTTTTCTCATCTGTCCAGAGATTTTTTTCTGAAAATTGTGGTTATTCTCAACTTCATTTAAGTACCAATCTGAAAAATTTCTTTTATACTGAAAATCTTGCTGTAATAAATTTTGTATCCGTTGATAATGATATGGGTGAAGTCCATCTGCAATGGGAGTTCTCCATAATGTAGTAGGCGTAATATTAAATTCTGCTCCTGCTCTTCGTACACTGCCAGATGGATTATCATCAAAATATTGTAATATGGTCATACTCCTGTCGTCATTTCGTAAAATGGCAAAAATACCATAAGTACGTGGTATTATAGCAAATGTACCAGTTTCTCTAAGACGATGAAATGTGGAGTTAAAGATAGATTGGTTAGATAATCTTCTATTCGGAAATCGCCTGGCATATTCACAATGGGCAGCATTAGCACTACCATTGCAAAAACCATATACAAACACCGTATCGGCAGATTCACCATTAGTATAAATGGAAGGCATACTGATGAGTACTTTGTGAAAGCCTCTTACAAACTGATAAATGTTATTGAGAAGTCCCAATGCTAATTTCAAATAGTATTAATCCTTATATTGCCAATAGTTTTTATACAGTTAAGGATAAAAGGCCATATTAGTATTCTATCTAATTCATCTCCTAAACAAAGCGTTTGCGGACATACCTTCAGAGAAAATTGTTTTCTTATTTTGAGGTCCTTAGTTCATTTTTGCAGTTTGGCCACTTAACCCTGGAACAACCTGTATATACTGTCTTATACATGCATGTAGATAAATGTTTAACAAGAGATATTTATTTATTAAAAAAGAAATAAGTATCAGTATGTCGACAACCACGTTGCAAAAGCCAGTAAAATGCAAAAACTAAAATTATTCATTGACTGAAATAAGTCGCGTTTTTTATTATTTTATGAACTGGATTTTCCGTTAAATGTTTATTGTTTGATTAAGATAATGATGTGATGTATTAAATAACGTTTTTGGTTTATTTTCCTGAATTTGTTGAAGCTGTATTAGTCAATAGAAGCCATGATTGATCAGAAAAGCTCAAAACTGTATTTTCTAAAAACATTTTAATTACAGAGTTTTGTAACGGGTTTGCCCACATTGGTTATAATTTTAAGTTAAGTTTACACAATAAAATTATTTAATTTTCATATTAAGTAATCCACGACTTTGAACTTTAAACTTCAACAGTTTCGCAAGTTCAATCATAGAACTCGCTCTCAAATTATTCTTACCTTCACACAGGCACACTTCCAAATAATTACTAAAAAATAATTAAAAAAAAATATTGCATCTCCTAATGCATTACGAATTCAAACTATCTGTGGAGCGAAGGAAAAAGTTTCTTTGAAATTTACAAGGTATTGATATGATTTTTAAATAAATAATGCCTGTTAAATTAATCGATTCATATTGTACGCACCAATTATATTCTGTATCACGGGCGGATCTACGGAGGGAGAGGGAACTTTGGGTTGAAGACCCCCCAAAATGGTAAAATATAACCATGTTTTTTGGAGGAAAATATTAAAAAGTTATCTCTTAAAGTATTATTGTTCGTGTAATTACATTTAAAAGGACTTTAGGAATCACTTAAACACCATTTCATATAAGTAGTTAGTTTCTTTCTATTTTTCCAAAGTAATTATCGTTATTTATATGAAAAAAAAGAGCTTTCGAGCTGAAAGTCCTCCCCCCAAAATTAAATCCTGGATCCGCTAGTGTTCTGTATAACCATAAATTATAATGTACACGTTGAAATTATTTTATTTTCATATAAACCCACTGCTCTTAACTTTAGACTTTATCTTTCTGTGCAAGTTCGAAAATTGTACTTCGCCTTCAGAGCTGTCTTAGCTCTCTACTGATTTATTTTGCAACAACTGCTTATTATTCGTTCCAAAAGAACTTGATTTCATCTTCTAATGTATTATGGTTTTGAATCATCTGAGAAACGAACGCTTTCTTTACAAGTTGCCGCTAGGTGTTATAATTTCAAAATAAATAATACAGCCTATTAATTTAATCTATCATTATTGTATGCACAAGTTTAACAATTGCACTTTGACATACTGAAATATAAATAAAGTTCGTTATACTGTGGATTAAAAAAGCACAATTAACATTTTTCAGGTTGCATCGTAAAAGAATCCGAAATTGATTTGCTAAACTTTTTTATTTAATAAAAGATTTAGGAAAATACATAATTGGGATAAAACAAAATTTTGGGGTATGTTAAAAACTTTCTATACTTTTGTAAAATATTTTGAACACTACTAAAACCAATTTCTAATTTATTCACTATATGTCGGTACCGACGTCCAATGTAATATATGAAATGTAATGTCCAATCGAATGTAATTTAAAGATGTGTTTTTTAAAACTGACACAATATTCACTGGTTTTAGCCATTTTGTCATGGAAAATATACAGAAAGGCTGATTTTTATTATTTTCATTGTACTATCATCAATCCTCGTTTCTAATTTCTTTAAAGAAAAAGCATTAATTTGATTTGAAAGTAGCTAGTCGTAAATATTCAAAACTGTGCTAATAATTTTTGACCCTTCAAAATTTACTCTTTATGTTTACTTTAAACATAGTTTTCGAATTCTGAACATTCATAGCTTCTAAAATATAATTACCAAAGGCCACTTTGATATATAAATATTATTTCTGGAAAATATCTTAATCCTATCGAGATTTGGGGAAAAATTGGAGTTCTGTCAATACTTTTTTGATCCATAATACCTTCAAACAAAGCAAGCTTTTTTTTGTTACTTTAGATTGTTACATAGGTTGAGTTAAAAAATATAGAGATGGTGTTGATGATGGGCATTAAAAATTAATTTAGTATCACTAATTCTTGCACCAATTTTCTTTAAAACTTGTATAATAAATTTCATAAACTAATTAATAGTCAATATTAAATATTTAATGGATTAAACAATTAAAGAGTGTAACAGAAAGGCCGTAATATTTGTTTGCATATTTCTTCGATTATTAAATGAAGGACTTACCAAAATTTATGGTTCCCCCTCCTAAAGAAAAAAACCCTTAATTTCTGAAAAATTTAAAACATTAATATATATTGTCCATGTTTTTATTCTTAACCAACCGACATTTTTTTTTATAGTGTAATAAGTAATTATTTTATTTTCTGAAACTCATTCTCACTAAATGGAAATATAAAGAAATGATTTGGAGAACAGCAAAATAATTTAGCAAATATTTATAAGCAAAATTTTTAATAATTTTCTTATTTTCTATTAAAATAGATCTTGATTTTAATCATTAAAATTGGAGTGCTACCAATGGGTAGTTTCTTTTCATGTTGTACATGTCATGTTACTTTTTTCATATTTACTTGTTATATTTATCATTTAATACAGTTGTAAATTCCAATAATAAAAAATCATTAAAATTACAGAATTATATGTTAATATTTTGTTAATACAATTTTAATTAAATTAATTGCAATAATATAAGCTAATTGTAATGCAAATGAAGGCCGAGTGAACCTTTTCTTATGGTTTAATACAATTTGTTTCTGTTATGTTTAATTTTTTGGTAGATTTTCGTGTATTTTTTTTTTTTTGTTTTTTTTCCCATTTCCACAAAATCAAGATCTAAAATTTTCGTATATGAAATCCACTTAATCTCTTACAATTTTCTTAGCAACTTTTTCTTTGCGGACATCGTTAATGGTGGTTTGAATTTCAAGTAAAACAGTACAAATCCTGTCTTCATTAACGTTTACTGTAAAATATTATGAAGATAAATATAGAACTTTAAAAGAATTCATTGTTATTATTATTTTTTGGGACCCCCTAAGACAATTTTTGACTCGTCCCAGTGAGGATCCCTAGAACTTGACTTCATCATCAACTACTTTCTTTCAAAACGGCGACTTATACGAGGCTTTCGTACCCCAATATCGGTCACTTATAAATATAAAAGAAAATATAAATTGAATGGAATACCCAAGGGAAAAAGAAGTAATAAGAAAATTAGATACAAATTATTTTTTAAATTATTTATCACGATTCTAGTTTTAAGTTTATATTTGTTATTTAGGGTTATCTATTGAGAGATAATAAATTATTGTTTAACAATTTGCAGAGGCTTTTACTACTATTGATGTCTTAATTTTATTTTTGTTCTCATTACTAAACTACAATATGTATAACCTAGTAAAATTTCAGTATGGTTCATTAGTTTCGCCAGGTTTAAAAAACACCGGCTACAATTTGTTTACACTTATTTTATCTCAACAACAATTTATCATATCTGGTCTTGATTTACTAATTGATATTACTGATATATTAATGGGAGTAAGATAAAATAGTACTTATTGAATTTGCAATCACAGTATATTATCTTAAAATTAATTAAAAATTTGAACTTACTTTTAAAATATAATATCGGAAATTATTTATTGTTAATCACTGGGTCTAATTTGTGTCCTTTATCTTATCAATTTCCAAAAAGCGCGAAAATCGAGGTGCTATGCAGGTTTCAAAGATACACTTCATCAAAAGTGATATTTTTTACTTATAATTATGAATGCTCGCTTTATTGCTTTTAATTATATAAAAATTTATTATTTATACAAATCAAGCATAACTAATCGTAGAATTTAATTTGATTAAACATCAAATTATCGTCTAGAATCATTGTCATGTTCCCTGCATCAAACAAAATAAAAATTTTATTGCAACTCTTTCGCAATGCTTTTAATTAATAACACTGCTATTAATGGAATATGAAAAGCTATTGAACGTGATGAAACATTATAATATATTACTTGACTGATTACAATTTTTTATACTTCGTATAACCTTCCCATGCCACTGCTGTGGCATTGTAATTGTAATAACAGTACAATTGAATTTTAGTTTTATTCACGTTTAAATTGTTTAATCTAAGTATTTCTGTAATGTGTTGAGCTGAATAGATATTTATTCGGCCATCATTATTGTTTTAGAATCGCAAAACATATATCATTTTCTAAATGTCTGCCGACGAAGCTTTGATTGCTGAAGGAAAAAATAAGTTTACAGTATATTGTAGCCGATGTCCTTCAAAAATACTCAATTCTGGAATGGGAGTTTATACGGATATGACGGTAATAGTTTGGTTTATTAATGTTTAATCATATTCATTGAGATTTAATCATAATAATGATTTATATGTTAATTAAATAATTGAGTGCTTGCTTAGCAGTGTTATTTTGAAATATCTTTGCGCAGCAAACATATAATGTGAAAAAAATAATATCTGTTTTGGTTTTTCTTATACATCATACAAATTAGCAAGTTTCGCCATTTATTTCTTTTGGTATTCCTTTTATTATTATATTGGCGGTTAGGTTGTGGATTATTATCTGTAAATTTTGGAGTATATGCTAGTAATGTTTAAACTTCATTTCTATTTAAAGGCTGTTGATTTAATGGGTGTATATTCGTCGCACTAGAGTATGTTTCTCAACTCAATGCTAAGCCAATGATGGATTTCCGATGCTCACCAATGATCTCAGCTCTAAGTTTAGCAACTTTCTCATACACCTAATTAACTTAGCAGATGCCAATATATAAAATTTTGCAGTCATATTTACTTCTGACGAGTCTTCAAATGTTGACAAAAATAATTCAATACTGAAATGGATGCTTAGCTGTGATAATTATAATACCAAATTCTTATAGATAGTCTTCTCCCTTCTTTTCTCGTTTTTCTTCAGCGTCAAGCTCGAGTATTAGTCCACTTGTGCCACTCATTCCTTCACATCTTTCCTCTTGTTTTTTCTAATCTATCTCCAGGTTTGTCCTACATGTCTTCATCGTAAAAATCTATCCATTTTAATGGCTTTGTTTTGTGCTGTGAGTCATTTTTACAACAGCTGAGTGATAAACCAAATTACATAACAGTCGAGTATTAGTGTATTTAAAAGCAACAAAATAAATGTATATTCATTGTGATTAATCACCTGAAATTGCTAAATAAGCTCTTTAGTAATAAACAAATTATTTGTTATTCAAAATAAGAAAGAATAATATGTATGTGACCTTTATTTAAACCCCATCCTATTTTTAATTGTTATTAGCTCGTAATACCTTTTTTTCAAATTTAAGTTTAATTTAACATAGTAATACAATGTGATGAAAGGAAGATTAGATCCCACTATATGCTTTAATTTATTTGATATTTTTAATGAATATTCTTTTAGTTTATTTATTTTTTCTGTTGGCATTACAGACCATGTAGATCTTTTGCTGCCTTAACCCTGCTCCATCTCCGCCTATCTTGGGCTATTTATTTTCATTTATCTGCACGCAGTTCTATTACATCTTTGTTGATTCTATCTATTCATCTGCTTTTTGGCCTTCCACGTCGTCTTTTGTCTTCTATTGAGGTATTCATTGTTACGTGGAGGCTTCCAAATGGATTGCTATGAGGTACATGCCCCAACCATCTTAACCTCCGTGCCTTCATATCATGGGATATTGAATGACCAGAACTTTCTGTAAGCAGTTCTTTATTGGGCTTTCATCTCCATGTGATAGTACTCTGATCCCAGATCGCTCCAGTTATCTTGCAGAGGATTTTTCTCTTAAATCTTTCAACATTTTTCTGGGGTGCTGGTTAGTGTCCAACTCTCACAGCCATATAGTAGAACTGGCTTTATCATTGCATTATATGCACTTAATTTGAGATTTTTGGAGATTGCTTTTGAAAGGGAGAAGAAAGCTCTCTTTGCACTAGTTAGGCTGGTCTATTTCCGCCCATTGTTCGTTCATTGAAGTTAATGTGGACCCTAGGTATTTGAATATTTTTACTCTCGGAAATGATTTTCCTTCTACGCAGATCCTGATATTGGAGTGGAATTTTTGGTTTATTATCATATATTTTATTCTTTCTTCATTTACTTTTAGGCCGATCTGTTCTCAGAGTCGTAGCGAGTTTCTCAATGTCCTCTTGATTACTTCCATGGACAGCTATATCATCTGTGTATCCTAGGATTTTATGATTCATTCTGGCATAGACCCCTCCATTTTCCTGTGTTGTTCTTATTACCTTCTCCAGGGCTAAGTTGAACTACATCAGGATAGTCCATCGTTGTACCATAAGCCTATTGGAACTTTGAAGGCTTCAGATACTTCTTGTATTAGGACTCTACATTTGGGGTCATTTGTACACACCTTTGTCAATTTTACCAACTTACCGGGTTGTAATTTTTTTTTTCTGGTTTGGGTTCTTGACTTGAAACTTATGGGACTGCCATGAAGTTGCATCTGTGCCTTGCAAATTCTTCGTATATTAATTCCAAATTAGGCCTGATTATATTTTCGCATTTCCTTTTTGTGGATTCCGTTCTAGACCCTGTTGGGTTACATTTACAAGGGTTTTGAGGTTTTAGTCAAAATTAATCTTCTCCATCTGAAGGACTTCTACTCCTAAATATAATCATATTCCGACTTATGAAACCTTTATTTTAGGTTATTAATGATCTAAATTTCTCTATTACCATTTTAATTTTTTTTTTACAGTACAATTTGCCCTACATGCATCACAAAGCAGATGGTGACTCAACAAATGTGGAGGATGTGAAAGGTTATTGGCAGGTTAGCGATATATACACCTTTGAAAATTTAGGATTTTCAAACACTGTTGAAAACATGAAATATCTAATATGTGCAGACTGTGAAATTGGCCCCATTGGGTGGCACGATCTGAGTACCAAACAAAGCTATGTTGCACTCTCCAGAGTCAAACATTCATGATACATATTTTGGTGCCTAATACGAATTTATTCAATGGCTGGGGTTTTTAAGATTATGGAATTTATTATAACTATATCCATAAGTAATTTTGTATTTATTTTTTAACATATTCTTATACAATATATATTTGTAATATCTTGTGATTATCATAGACATTATATGTTATGTGTTATTATTTTAAATAAATTATTTATTGCAAATTCTTTTTGTTTGTATTTCTACTATAACATGATTAAAACAAAACTTTGTTAATATATCTTAATTGAACATAATCATTGTCATGTTATTATTTATGTTAAGTAATTGTGGATTGTATTTGCTATTACCTAATCCATGATTTTGAACCCCTAATTATGTAGCTAATGATTTTTTTTTTTATTTGAAAATTAATACATTCTGCTACATAGGAGGGTATTAATATTAGGGCTACATTAAACATTCAAACAATATATACATACAAATGATAACTAAAATAGAGATAAGAGAAAAAGAGTTGTAGAAAGTAAAATAAGAAAATTAACATATGTAAAAAAAAAAAAAATTAGAGAGATACTAAGTGAAATTAAAATATATAAAACACATTCACTCCTCTAAACAATATTTAAATCCGTCCAGGGGATTCTGAGTCATGCTTTGTCCCCAAATGTGGAAGCCAAGGCAGGACCTGGATGATGAGTGAGGTTCTGGTGAAATTTAGAAAATTTATCTGGGATTAGGTCAATAACAAATGGGATATGAAGGTCATTATGAAGGGTTTTATTGGTTATATAAAAGGGAGCATCGACTATTGTTCGGAAGACTTTAGATTGAAAGGATTGAAGCTGATGATTATTCTATTCACAACAATGTCCAACTAATCTATTCGACCTGTATTTATCCTATTTTTTTTTTTTTTTACATTACCTTCTGTAAACTATTGAAAGAGTTCTCCACTCAATTACTTATTTATTTTTTGGTGATACAACCAACTCTATTTTTAGATTCTTTGCTGTTTTGTTAATTACTAAAAAAACATCTTAATTTTTTGGCTCATGCTCGAATATGGTGATTTGTTCAGGAACTCATTTCTTGAGATCTCACTTATTTTAGTGGGCCTGATCATTCAAATCAAGTCTCCTAAACAATTATTTTGTTCTCTTACACTTTTCATTTCATGAAAAGTGAAAGTTCTCAATTCTGTGCCTTCTATCACTGTTTCAAGTGGTCTGCTGCCTCGGAGTTAAAATGTATCTGAAAAGATTGTCACAGAGAAAAATATAGATTAAAAAGAGATAAGTTAGACATTGATTAAAGATTTACCTTCTGGAAATCCTGAAGTTGAATTAAATGAAGCAATTGATTTGACTCATTTTATCTCAAGATCTCGTTGCTCTACCAGACAACCAAAATGCCTTCTTTTTTTTCTTAGCTGTCTATATTTCTGGCTTACACTTTCATTATTAACAGGACCATAGGCAGGGTCTAGGGGGAGGCTTAAGGGCTGAAGCCCTCCTCCCCCCTACAAAATGGTAAAATATAACCATTTTATAGAAAAAAATATTAAAAACTATCTCTTAAAGTACTCTTAAAGTATTCTTGTTTGTGTAATTACATTTAATAGGACTTCAAGAACCACTCAAATACCATGACATATAGGTAGTTAGTTTTTTAAATTAATTATCTTTATATATATGAAAAAAAAACTTTCGGGCTGAAGCCCCCCACCTCCCAAAAAAAAAGAATTAATTCCTGGATCCGCTAGTGAACAGGACTAACCTAATGCTAATCAATGAGATATTTTATCATAACTCATAACTCTTAGATTATCATAATAATGAAACAACTGCTTTGGATTAATTACTGATTCGGTCGTTTTTTTAGTTTAACGTTATTCATGACTGTCAACTTCCGGTCTAAGATTAAAACAGAAGGGCGAAAAAGATTATGTAAGTAAATATATGTTTTCCTTGCTCGCATCATTATAAATCGTACAAGATACATTATTTTATCTTTTATTCTTGTTGATAAAAACAATAAGCATCTATAACTGTTAATTTTGACAGCGCGAGGATGAACTCGTGTAGTACAAAATTTAAACTCCGATTTTACTTAGAAATATATACATATACGGAACGTTAAAATCATGATCATCTAATGTATGTATATCAATGCGTTTTCATGTTTGCTGTTACTGCAATGTTTCTCCAAATAATTCCTATGAATCATATGTTTTTGTTTTCTACTTCTTTGCATATAATTAGCGTTGTCAACTTTAGTCTCAACTCAAGTTGTGTATGGTGAGGATAAATATCGATGTCTGTTATATACCTCGGTAATGACTCACAAGAGTGCGACGTTTTTAATGTTAAGCCCCGAAAAATATATTTGCACATTGAATCATTACAGAAGGAAACCCAAGAGAAATCATTTACTGTGACTAACAAAAGCTCCCAACAACAAAAGGTTACTATCGATAATCCTCTGACTGGATTTTTCAAAATTCCGAAGTTTAGTTGCAAAGAAGTGAGTATCCATTTTCTCATCCGTTTCATTGAGTGAAACGACTTTATACTTCATTTATATTTCTTTATACTTATAAAGCATATACTTCATTTATAGTTCTACAGGATAAATGATAATAGTGAAAAATAAGTTCATATAATGTAATTTTACTAATAAAACTTGGACAGCTTCATATCCAATATTTGAAAAACTTTCGACGGCTGATATATCGAACTTGTTAGAACTTTTTTTTTGTCCTCTCCACTCTAGCCTTTTATGCTATACAGAGTTTTTCCATGGACGGGTGGAGCCGGGAGAATAAGGGCAAAGTCTGCCACAGGGAGTAGATCGGGCCGGGATCACGCTAACCTTTACTCTTAATTAATTATTTAATTAAGAGTACACAAGTGGCTGGGTGTGCCCCAGGAGTGTCTCCCGAAGATCGATCCATGGCTTATGAAACAGAATAAATGATTACCTGCCACAGCTAGGTTCGAACCTGAAACTAAGACCTTAGTAGCCCAGTGCCTAACTCACTAAGCTACTCCGCTCCAGCTTAATATAATTAATTCGTCCAAACTTTAATATTTTTTCTCGGTTCCGAAAAGGTTTCTTCATGCTACTCATACTCTTCATACTCCGTACTCAAATTCTTTACGGCAGACATTAGAATGGACTATGAGAGAAGTTCATATGAATCTACTGTATTAATATTTCTATTAAATAATAAATTTTATAAAGCTATTAAATCACTTTGATTGGCCCAATCTACCTTATAAGTTGAAACTTTAGTTTATGAAGCTGAGAACGTTTAAAATTATTGTAATCAGTCAATAATATTTTTTGAAGCTAAACGTTTTACCAGAAAAATCCCTGGAAGTCCGGGTAAAATGTCGTGGAAAATTAGAAGCTAGGCCATATTATGATACGATTAAAGTAATCTGCTCAAAAGGTTGTGGAACTTATGTAAGATTGTCTGCAAGCCCTACAATAAGAGACAAGATGAAGATACCATTTGACGTAAACTTTGGCACGGTGCCTTTAGGAGAGAGGTAATTTTATTTATTATACTACCTTAAATAAAAATTAGGATAATTAATTTAAAATTAATTAATGTTTCTTCTTGAGAGTAACAGAATTTCTTGTTCAGAGCACTGACATTATACAAAAAATCTGAAATTCAAGACTATTGTATAGAATTCCATTTTTTTTTTCTTTTGTAAATGATATGGCGTAATTAGTCGTTGCAATCTACTCATCTTGAATAAGTTCTTTTGAAAATTTCCGCAAAACTAAATGTTCAATTTAAAAATGTTAGCTATGGGCATCAAGAATTGTTAATATTGCTGATTAATTAAATCGTTATATCATAATTTATGAAAATATTTTGTATGTAATGTTGGAGATTTAGAAAATAAATAATAAGTTTAGTTTCAACTTACAATTAGTGCCACTCGTGTTTGCTCTCTGGCTGTCAACTAATTATTGTGGAACTGTAGAAGTTATTGACGTCACGATGAATTAGAGTTAAGAGAACACCAAACGATATATTTAGGGTGATAAAATATTTCCACCATTTTTAATCTACCTCTTAAGCTTCCAATTCGTTTATTTAATATGGCTTCTATGTTACGACTCTCAGACATGGCAGCATAAAGAAATCTTGTATCCTATGGAATGAGACATGGCATCGTCTTGACATACAGTAGAGGTAACAAGCATTTGCATGCTCAGTTCTTTATAAATGTGATTCAAGCACCGTTAGATTACGAATTTTCAAATATTTTTTTCCTACTTTATGATATGCCATAAAGTTGTATTAGGAAGCCAGAACAAATGAAAACAGCGAAAGGTACTACTTAAAAATTTTTTCTTCAGAAACCAAACAAAATCAAATAATGAAGCCTGAAGAAACAAGCAATATGTTAATGAAACGTTACTAATAAGGTCTTAGCGTTTTATAAAATATTAAATTTAGTTTTCATTTAAGTTTAGTGTATTTGTTGAACATGTTTTAGTTTTAATATTTTTCTTTATTATGCACTTATAATTCAATCCATTACGTTTCTTGAAATTTCTGCTACTGTTTGTTATTCAAGTACAATCTAAAATTAGTTTTTGGGTATTGTCTTGTCGATGAGTTAGAATATTTATTTTCATTTGCATTTTCAGGATGTACTATAACTTCAAAATTCCAGTTATGAAGAGAAGCACTCCGTTTCTGTTCCTCAGCTCCATCTACAACCCGGATTTGACGATAACCCCTATGAAAGGTGTCTGAATTTATATTTTACTGTGTGGCTGAATTCAAAATTACATTGAAACCTAGTCAAACAGGAGTACATGTCACCGGAGGTTATAAGTTATATTAGCTAAAAAAATATCTTTTTATAATTCGAACAAATTATTGAAGGGATAATAGAATATTAGAAATAGATTTTTATGATTAATGATGTGGTATTTAGGACAGAATATAACTTTGTGAGATGGAAATAAGAAATATTGATCATGGATGGGTGAAATATTTTAACTAGATTCCGAAATTTTACAAAAGTAAGTTAAGAAATTTCGTGGATCTAGAGAAGAATTATCTAAAATTGTTTTATCTTATAATGTCAGTCCGAGTTCGTTACAGAGAGCAACCAATATTCTGAAGACTTTAATACTGTAAGTTGTTGAAAATTCGATGGAATTAACAAAAAATGTTCACTAAGGGAAGTTTAACTGTAGTCCCCGTCCCATCCAATGATTGGGGCAGGACGATACCTATGAATGAGATGCTTGTTTATCGTGTTGCACAAGTTTATCTGCACCACAGACGGATCTGGGGGAGGGCTTTCGGTGTAAAGCCACCCAAAATGGTAAAATATATCTATTTCTAACGAAAAAAAAATTACCTCTAAAAAGTATTGTTGTTCGTTAATTACACTTAATAAGACTTCAAGAATTAATTAAACCCCATTTGTCATAAGTAGTCAGTCTCTTTCCTTTTCTTCTTAAAGGATTAATCGTTGTACATATAGAGAAAAAAGCTTTTGGGCTGAAGCTCCCCAAAATTAATTTCTGGATCCGCTAGTGGACGTGGACCTGTGGGATCATATGCGGCGCCTGTTCGATTTCGGCTGAAGAGGGTGAGTAGAGGTAGGGTTTTACTTCGTGTCACGACGTTATAAAATCACGACGTTATTTTACTTGAATACGTTATAATTTATTATATAGCGGAACAATAATAAACTTGTAACTTTAATAAACTAATAAATTGGGTTTACTTTAATAAGTAAACCATATAAAAAAATTTAAAGTAGACAATTCAATGTCACACCTCACTTAGAGTTTCTGCGAAATAGAGTGGCCCAATGTCTTAACCGCCTAAGTCGAGTAGGGGGCGCTTTCTGGGGACTCAGATACCCAGCAACAATGACCACTTATAAAGGTACGGTTGTAGGTGTATTGCTCACATTTTCATAAAAAAAGAGCAAGGGAAAGTAGAATTAGAAAAATCGTAATCATACATTACTAAACTTGCTGTGTATGCTGTGTATTTATGTTCCTTATTCTGAAGCTTTTCATTCCGAAAATTCATAACCCCATTGAAATCTAACCACCTAAAAAAAAAATTCAAAAACCCGTCAAAATATGTCTCCCTCAAAATGTGCGATGCCGTAACTAGCGCAATAAAGCCCCCTTCTGGGCACCCCTGGATATACTGAGATGTGCGTCCCCTTCGTGGAATCGGAATCTCTCGCAACGACAGAAGAACAAGTTAACGACAATCTAGCGAATAGCTCTGCTGCGAGTCACCAGAGCGTACAAGAGTGTGTTTCATGAGGCGGTGCAGTTATTAGTGCCTCTCGAACTCCTCTTGCGAGAAGACATATTCAAGTACAAATATAAGAAAGAAGGCTAAGCAGGTCTACCGGGAAAAGAGAGAAGTGACGACAAATCCCAGAAAATGGAAAACTATTATCCGGGAGGATGCAATTGAAGTTTGGAATCAACGGTGGGTGAGAAGCCCAAAAGATGCCACCCTGAGGAAGTACTTCCCCACCGTTCAATCACGTTTGGAAGCCAAGTGGGTCCTAACGGATTACTAGGTCTCGCAATTTCATATGGGGCATGAGGGCTTTTGTGTTAAGCTCCATGGCTTTGGAATAAATATCGATACCCTATTTGTTAGCTGTAGGATATCAGAGACTGCTGAGCACATTACCATGAACTGCACAGCCTTCGAGTCGCTAAGGGTTGAGAGAGACCGGTCTCTATATTCTTACAGAGAGCGATTTCCCTCACCTAGTTACAGAAGAAAGATTTCTTCTCCACATGGCCCAGGTAGATACCTATACTATAAAGAATTTGTGAACGGATGGGAAAAAGGATTAGGGCCCGCCCACTTCAACCTCACAAGAAGAGGACCGGCTCCAGAGAGCCCGCTGGAACCAAGGGGAGCGGAATAAGAAGCCATGAACAGCTGATCACAATATGAAAATTGGTCTCATCGCAGGAGATGGCAGTTAGTTATGTAGTCAAGTGTAACAACTCAGTCGTGCAAATCACGTATTGCCTCAATGGCATTGTAGGGTTCAAATAAATAAATATACAATTTAAATAATTTTACAGAGATTATTTGTTCACTATTTTTCAGGCACAGTATGCAAGGAACCGAAAACCGTGGTGTTATCCTATTTACCGAGAGGGTACGTGACGTTATCACATCCAATCCATCTTTACTTACCGACGGTGTCTGTTCTACCATTGTTGATAAACGTAACGGCTGATACCAAACCAGGAAAAGTGAGGTAATTTATTTTAAGCTCCTGCTTACTTCTGTTAATTAATTTTAAGTTTCTTCTTCTTCCTCGGCGCTACAGTCCATGTGGGACCAGGGGCTCCTCCAGGATTATTCGCCACTCTGCTCGATCAGCTACGACAGCTCTCCCCCGCCTGACACTAAGTCGTCTCAGATCCGATTCTACATCATTTATCTACCAGAGTGGTGGCCTGCCTATTCTTCTTCCTCCTCAAGGCTTTCCTTAGCGCCATTCCTTTCGATATCCTCTCGACATGGCCCAGCCATCTTACAATTTATGTATAAACACTCGTTTAATACCATTTTCCATAAAAAAAATCACTATCGATATTTTGAATTTTTAGATTGATCGATTTTGACTAGATATACTGGGACAGTCCACTGTGCATCGTTTGCATATGCAATATGCTGTGTGAGGTGGTTAAAGATTGTGCCTTCCAGGTTTGTCCTGATGCACTACCTGATCCAGGATTTAATTTGGGGGGACTTCAGCCCGAAAGCTTTTTTTTTTAAATAAAAATAACGATAATTACTTTAGAAAAAAAGAAAGAATCTTACTACCTATATGAAATGGTGTTTAAGGGATTCCTAAAGTCCTTTTAAATGTAATTACACGAACAATAATGATTTAAGAGATAATTTTTAGATATTTTTTTCCATAAAACATGGTTATATTTTACCATTTTGAGGAGGAGGGCTTCAGCCCCAAAGCCTCCCTCTCCCTAGATTCGCCCATAGATAGAAAGAGTGTGGTAACCTTTGTGTCCCCTTGCAAGATCCCTGCCATTATCCTGAACTCCTCGGATAGTACTCCAAAGAGTTCTCCCGCATTTGGTGTTCTGTGAATATTTGATTTATTGTGAACATTTCTTGCCTAAAGCCATTTTAGTACTTTAGTACTCCTCAACTTCTCTTTACACGTGAGCAGCAATCCTCAGGTTAATGGCAGTAGACATCTTGTAGGTCACACTCAACAGGGAAATCCCTATGTAGTTTAAGCAGCAGAGCTTGTCGCCTAAAGGTTATAGGTAAAAGGTTAATAAGAGTAGGGCATGCAGGTCGCAACACTCCATCAGGACGCCTCTACAGAACAATGGATGCCTAAATAGTAGGGAAGAGACCATGCAAAAGGTCAAAAATCAGACTGATCTAATCAACAAAAGATGCTGCATAGCTGGGTGCAAATTACTGGAAAGAAATATCCCAGATAGGCGGATGTGGTTAATACAGATAAAGGTCAAGAGTTTCTAATGGGTAAGAGTGTCATAAGAAAGTATCCGGAAATTTCGCGAATATTTTTACTTCTTATCTTTTTTTCAAGATCGTTCGATTCATGGCGAACTTCCAGCTAAAAGCATCTTCCCTCATCCCTTACTAGAAGTAATAGTAATTGTTCAGGAGTGCCCAGAAGGGGGTTTCAAGTTGCACCATCAAAATTTTTGAGAGGGGCGTATTTTAACTGGTTTTTTAATTTTTTAGGGGGACCAATTTCGAATGGGTTATGAATTTTTGGACAATGAAACAAGGAGAAAACATGGAACAGACCGCCGCAAATGTAATTGTATATGATGTACGATTTTTCTGATTCTATCTTAGTTTGCTTTGTTTTTAAGGAAAGGTTAATAATAAAGTATCATGGGAGGAGGGGGATGGGGGGAGGCACGTTCTTGCGCTATCAACCTTGGGAAGGGAGATAGGCATCCCTGGGTAATAGTGCTTATTGTTTTCAACATAAAAGAACAATCTCTTGGGTCATTGGGGGGGCGGGATGGCCGAATGGGCTAAAGCGTGTGCACTGCACCGCGAGTTGCCTGGCAACCGGATAAGAGATTTGAGAAGATTAAAAAGTAATGAGTTCGCATCCCGGTGCCGGAGGGGATTTTAAATTTCCCGCCCTCACCCTCCGGCCCAGGAAAATCCTGTATAGCCTTAAAGGCGAGGTAGGGAAGAACAAAAAAAAAAAAAAATCTCTTGGGTCAGGTATCGTTAATGGGAAATTGAAGTTGAAACAAAAATTGCAAATAGAACAAACCATAAAGAAGTTAATTTTTGTTAGCTATGAGTTAAATAAAATAAGTTTTATGAATAAAAAGAAAATTTCTGAAAGCTATAATTTCTCCAACGTCATTTAACTTAGACTTTTTACAAAATCTCGCTAATAGCCATCAACAATGATTAGTCTTTAAGATAAAAATTAGACTTTATTTCGTAATTATTTTATTTCATTATGTTGAAACACAACAAACCTGCCACTATTAGTATTTTTTCCAGAAATTCATTTTTTATTTATTCACATTTATTACTGTTTTATTTATTTTTTTCCCACATGGAGAGGGGTGGGAGCTACAGGCTGGTCTACCGGAGGCGGGATGTCTTCGGACTGAAGCACCCGAAAATGGTAAAATATAACCATGCCTTATGAATAATATTATCTAGAAGTATTATTGTTTACGTAATTACATTTAATAGGACTTCAAGAACCACTTAAACACCGTTTCATGAAGATAGTTAGTTTTTCTTTTTTGTTGTAAAGTAATTATCGTTATATAAATAAAAAAACAATGCTTTCCGGCTGAAGCCTCCCCTAAATTTAATCCTGGATCCACTAGATGGTAGGCGCTGATATTTCATCTTGCGGCTTCACTTTTAGATTCACCCATGTCTTGGTTTGAACTGATTTAGAGTCAAATGAACAAAGATTGAATAATTAGAAGAAAGGAAAAATACAAACATAGTTATTTTTAGTTTGTTAGTAAGCAAATCTTATAAGTAGAATATTTCTTATAACTTATAATGTTTTAAAAGTCCATTTCAAATCCTAGTTATTTGATCCTACAAAATTTGATGCAACTAAAATCGAATGAAAATGAAATGAAATGAAAAAATAATTTTATTCTGGGACTACTGTCCCCTTAGAATAATAACAGAATGGTGATAAACGAGATGAATAAAACACAGTGTACACCATACAGTTTTCTATAGATTTTATGAGGTCCAGAACATGCAACACAGGTTCCTCTGGAATAGCATTTACTTATTTGAATAATTCAAAAAGTTTTGTTCTACCAGAAAATTAGGTAATGATTAGCTTTAAAATGAAATATTAAGATTTGAAACAAGTTTAATATAAACAAGAAACTTAACTTTAAGCATTGCAGTGCAAAACATAAGGAGGAAACTCAAATTTTATAAATAAATGCTTTGTAAAATAGTTGTATACAAATTCATTTCAATTTCAATCTGGTCTGATCCCACAAGCTTAATTAATGATTCAAGAAAGAACGGCTTTAGAAAAAAAAAAATGAATTTCCTAAGTGATATCATTAAATTATGTTTCCTTTTGTTTTCATAGCGAAATGATATTGAATGTGGATGAAACGAAAAAATCAAAATTTAAGATGAAGCTACCTTTCGTTAGAATATCTCAAAATGATGAACAAATGACAAAACCTTCAAAAAAGAATGATTGGTCTCAACATAAAACTAATCTTTTTTTGCTTAAGAAGGATGCAATAAAAAAGCCCGAGTTCGACCTTTTGGGTAATTATTCTAAAAAATTTTAATCATTAATCTATTAACATGAGTTTTAATTGATATTTAAATTTTATATCATATATCTTCTATATTATGCAAATTTTACTTAATTATTAATTTGAATACAGTTTAAAACTTAACTTTAAAAAGATATTTTTTGCTCTAGGTCCACTAGGTAGACCACTAAATGAAGAAGAAGAAATTAAAAAAATGAAGCAGTTAAATTTTTTCAAAGATCTCATATCATACAGAAAGTCCTGTTTGGAACCTTTGGGGCATAATAGGACAGTACTAAAATATCTAGTAGTTGATGATCAGAACGATTGGGGTTTACATTGGAAAGTCTATGATCAGGTATTCGGTTCATTTTTGTTACTATCTACATTCAACAATCGTAAATTACTCATAAAATTGTTACTGGCATACAACATGGGGGCAAGCTTGGATTTTACAGTATCAAACATAGTTAAAACCTACAAAAGTAGTTAATTTAATGAAAATTTCTTAAAAAACTAGAAATTTTGACAATAAATCAAGATCAGTGCCAGCCTTAGACATACAGCACCGCCGGGCAATATCATCTGTACCAAAAAAAAAGAAATTGAATTTATTTTTCAAGTTGTTCTGTACCAAATAGTATATGAATTTTATTTATTTCAATATTTTTCTAATACAGTTGCTTGGTTGATAGACTAAAATTAAGTATTTTAATAAGTCTTGTATTTTTTTTTAATTTCTAACATTTGGCGACACCCCTGAAGATCGGCGCTCCCAACAGGCGCCCCTCCAGGTTGGCACCCCGGGGCCACTGCCCCCCCTAAAGCCGGCACTGAGGAAGATTATTGAAAAACATTGTAATTCACAAAAATAACAATTTTATAAATAGTCATACTTAATCAATAAACAAAATATTTTAAAAATATATTTCATATTACAAATTAAAACTTTTTGAATATATTTTCCCTTTAAAGATTTTACTTGAGACGGAAACATGTGAAGATGACAGTAAGGGACCGTTGTTTTGGAGGCAACGGTTAAGGAAGAGTCCAGTGCTGGTAAGAATTAATGTGTGCATAGTCTATTAGAACTAAAACAAGATTGGTTAATGCTAGTGATTCATTTTAATCAAAAGTTTTTATAGTTAAAATAACAAGATTAATGATTCATAAATAACTTTTTTTTTTGTTTGTGGTACTGAAAATATATTAGTTATCTTTTAACAATAAAATAAATGATTAATAACACAATGCTGTTTTTAAGTCTAATGTGAGTTGTTCAACCATTTATGATAGGATACAATTCTTATAAATAGGATTAAACTTTTTTGAATTTTAAGAAACTTTGCTTCTCTTAGAACATTAATTTTAGAATATATGATGTTAAAATAAGACAATCTAAACACATTTTGCAATTAGGAAGAAGATTACTCTTACACGGTTGAGTTACCAAACCTTTGGTTTATCCGTCGCCAAATTCTGAACAAGTTTATTGAAGCTGTTAGAAGAATTGTGATATATAATCGTCTTGTTGATCGCTTGCAATCACTAAAGGTAACAAGAAATATATCAGACATTATTGAAAATATTGGCTGATTGGCTCCATAACTCTGTGTTAATGTTAGTTGAGTATTATGGTAGCAGAGTAGAAAAAGTGGTCAACCAGTCCTAAAAATGAATTCCTGTTCTATCATCTATGGTTCCATGGTTAGATGGAGCATATACAGTCTATATAAAACGGATACTTGACCCTTCAATGGTTTATAGTAAAATAAATAACTGTTGGTCAAGAAACGGTGATTTCTTAAATTATCATTCATGATCTGTTAAAAGATGCTAACAGATTATAAATAAATAAAACGGAAAAAGAAATTTTCCATCTTAACACTTATTTAAAAAAACTTATATAGTTATGACATCAATGTTTTGGAATTCTGCCCCCATCATGAGGATTATACTGCTATCTTGAATATCTTTTTCATTTAAATTCAAACATTTTCAAATTCAAAAGCCATTTGCTACAAAAATCACTCTTAATTGTTATATTTTTATTCATATAAATATTTTGTCAGTATAACTACTAAATGTTATATAACAATTCTTACTCAGAAAAAAAAAATCAGGTTATATGATGACACATGTTTTTACTTAAGAAATGAAGAAAATTAATACATGATAGGTAAATATATTTTATTTTTATAATATATATCAGTGGTTTTTATTATATTAATTATAGTTCAAAAGATCAATGCAGAAAAAATTGACAAAAAATTTAATAATTAACTATTATTTTAATAGTTAATTATTAATTTTTTTAAAAATTAATCATTATGAAACTTGTTTTCAAACTTAATAGCTCAATGGGCCGAAACATCTTTATTCCAAAATAAAGATTGAAAATATTAAAAATAAACCAAAAACATTATTGGTGTACTAAATTATAGTTTATTAATTATAAACTGAAATAATATATAGCACTGAAATAATAGAAAATTATATTAAAAAGAACCGGGTTATTTAATTTTATGTTTTATTTGCGGATAGAATGTCAAAGACAGAATCCTCGTAGAAGCACAAGACAGCTGAGTACTACTTGAACAAATGCCAGGTATGTGCAACTTTTAAATACCCAGAACGTATGTGCCCTTGTCAGGTTTCATTGAACTTGGCTCGAATTTCCTCCATGCTTTCTCAAGAACCTGCCATGGTTTCTTAACAACATTTATAGATGTGCCATCTCCCAATGCAACAAAATATCCTACAAAACAAATGCAAATAATAAAGAAATGTGAATAGAAAAGTGTATACAAAAAACTTTATATGCATAAATATTAGTAAAAGTATCAAAAATTGTATAGTTTGTATCTGAGTCTACAATCTGTTCAGTACAACTTGAGTCTTAGATAATTTGTTGTGCCATTTCTGAGATGTTGCTTTTGGTACCTGAATCACTATAATGTCTGTAAATTATGTAAAAGTATTTTGTTTTATAATTGCAATATAGTTATTATCATGTGGCTTTGAAACTCAATTTCACTGAAAACCTTGTCAAGCTTCCTTTCATGACCAAGTATGTCTATTATATCATATCATATAGAAAACCATTCATGACAAACATACTTTATCAAATGAACACTGTCAAAACTCAGCATACTCTCCAAATGAATATATCTTTTCCACCATGCCTACTTCTCTAAGAATTTTAAATAGAAAATTAAGTGCATTATATTATAATTATATTCTTTGTTTTTTCATTTGAAATTTATTTAAAAAAAACAAACAGTAGGATTTTCTTAAGACAAAACAATAGAAGTTAAAACATCAACAAAGTGGAATTAATAATATGAAATAATACATATTCATTTGTGTTCTATATTCACAAAATAATAATATTTACGATAACTGAAATATGTGATTATCGTATATTCCCATTATTTTAGTATGGTTTGTCATATTAAATAATAATAATATGGGGTACAGACTCGATAAAAATGGAACCAGATTATCACATGCTCTATATATGGACGATTTAAAACTATATTCTAAGAGTGAAGAAGAACTTGAGAACATGATCGAAATAGTTAAATCATTTAGTAATGATATAAGCATGAGGTTGGGGATGGATAAATGTGCTATAATTCCTGTTAAAAGGGGTGAGATAATGAATAAACAAGACACGGAACTGATTAATAATGGAACCATAAAAGAATTAAACAATTCTGATTCTTATAGATATTTAAGTTTCAGTCAACTTTTAAAACTCAAGAAAAATAATAAAAAGAATTATAAAGAAGAATTCAAGAAGAGAATAAAAATACTACTCAAAACGTACCTATCATCTAGCAATTTAATTAAAGCTATAAATACATGGGCTATACCTGTGTTGACTTATACGTTTGGCGTTCTAAAATGGTCTAATACAGAGCTGGAGGAAATGAATCGTTTAGTGAGAGTGAGAGAAAACGACATCCCAAATCTTCAATTGAGAGGATGTACTTGCCACGGATAAAAGGAGGAAGGGGACTAGTCTGTTTATTAAGAAGCTGTAGAGAGCAAGAAAATAATTTAAGATGCACTTTCCAACTAAGAAACTCTCCTGTATGGTCAGCCATAAAATCGCTGGATAATGCCTACACAGCTTTAAACTTAGTTTCCAAAGAACATAAAGAAGTTCCCACCGAAGAAAATCTGGTCGAAATTTTAAAGTGTAAAGCACTACATGGTCGTTTTTACAATGCTTTATCTCAATCGGGAATTAACTGGGAGGCCTTTAATAAATGGCTTAAGAAAGGACACTTATTTCCCAAAACTGGAGGGTTTATCTTGGCAATACAAAACCAGGTAGTATCCACCAATGCTTACAAAAAATATATATGTGGAGAAAATGTAAGTGAGCGATGTCGTTTATGTAAAAATGCAATAGAGTCAATCCAACACATTTCGTCTGGATGTCAAGCATTGGCAGGTAAAGAATATCTGATGGGACACAATAACCTGGCTAAAATTCTTCACCAAGCCCTAGCCTCATTAAAATCATGATAACAGATGAGGTACCCTATTATCGATATGAGCCAAACCAGTGCTGTCAAAATAAAATAATATATTAGAATCGATCTATAATTACAGACCTCACGTTAGTTAATAACAAACCGGACATTGTATTAATTGATCGGAAGAAACAAAGTGGGTATGTCATAGATATAGCAGTCTCAACCGATGATAAAATCGGAAAGACTATTTCTGATAAGATTAGCAAATATAAAGACTTCTGCCAAGAGCTTCGGCAACTTTACAAACTGAATCAAGTCCAGGTGTATCCAGTTGTAATTTCCAGCAGTGGCCTCATCTCAGATGATTCCATTCACTCTGTCGAAAATTTGAAACTGACAGAGAAAGTATTGGAAGAATGGTAAAAAGCAGTTCTCCTAGGCATAGCGAACATCATCAGGAAGTTCTTAAACATAGTTTAAATTTTGAGCCTAACCCTTGACCTTGGTGAATATTTCTGGCAAAAGCCAAGAAAGTGTGAAATTCGAAAATAATAATAATGCTATATTTATTCTGGAACAATTCCCTTTAGAACAATGTGGCTAGAGATAGAAATGTGGGCTTTGGAGCCTCAGAGAATAATTAAAAAATAAACTGATTTATATAATGAATAAATAAAAGAAAAGAATATTATTTACCTTCAATCTTCAATTAAAAAAAAAAAATAAAGTATTTAAAACAAACTAATTATTTATATACATATGTACATAAGTATCTATTTACAATTTTATGAGAAGTGAACGGATAAGAGGTGATTGAACAGGCGGGATTTAAAGGTGGGGAGGGTATTGGAGCAACGGATGTAGGATGGGATTTCTATCCCAAGTATAGCATTAATGCATCAATACATTTCCATAGGAATGTGGATCGATAGGAATTTAGTATGAAATTCATTATGAATTGGTTTTCAACACTACATTTTTTTCTCTTTTTTCCTTTCTGGTGGGACAGCACGTCATGATACAATAGTCCATCACAGAAAGGATGAAATGCTAAACAATTCCCTTGCTTACAGTATGCAGGTCAGATTCTTAGTTTTTGAGATATTTTAATCCATATGCAAAAACATTTTAATTAGTTTACTCCAATCGGCTTTACCTGAGCGTTACAGATTGGAAATCTGACTGCCCAATCTAATGCATTTTACACAAAAAAAAAATTTAAAACTTGCCTAAAGAAGTTTTCATTTCAATAACCTCTAACCGAACCTCTAAATGTAACCGAACCTGAACCTCTAAATGCAGATGTAAATCATGAATGCTACTTAAGTTGAGGCAAAAAACATCAGCAGAAAAATCCAAATTGAACAAAAAAAAAGATATACTAGCGTATTTCAACAATGTATTAATTGAATATTTATTAAGATTTATATATATAGATATATCAAAAATAATTAGTATGAAAAAAATAAGGTGGTTGTTGATTACAATGTTGCTTTTTATAATTATTTATTATCTTTAAAAAACATTATTTATTATTTTATCTTAATTATAAAACAAACAAAAATTATGTCTACTTTTGGTTATTAATTGCTTGAAAAAAGAAGTTTAGATAATCTATAAGATTTTGAGGTATGCAATATATTTTTTGTGAAGAGATGAAATGTCCGTCCATGAACTGGTCAAAAATTTATAGCTGTTAATTACTAGTGAGCAATCAGAGTTTTATTTATTTTTTTTTCATACAGAGTGGTAAGTGAGACTTTAGTGAATTTTTATCTCTACACCCTATTATAATATTTTTTTATAGAATCAAAGACAATGAAGTTAATAATTTCTGGATTTGAATTAAAAAACAACCTCATTTTATCTAGTGGTAAGGTTAATTTACAAAATAACTGATGACTTGAAGATAGCTTACTTGCCGAAACGTAGCTATGTAAATTGAAATAAATATGGTGAAGAAATAAACACAGCCTTATTTTAGAATATTATGAAAATGATTTTCTCTTTTTATGGGGAGTGAATCATATTAAAACTGTAATAGCCTCTTACACAATATGTGTGTGATGACCAGGCCAACCGTTTACCCCTGAGTTATTGATAAAATTTGTTTAAATTACTTCAAAATTATTGCCAGCCACTGTCAACATTTTACTACATAAACGTGCAGTCATTCAAAGTGTTGACTATATTCCTTTAAATGTTTAGATTATACAATCTAAAACTTATATATTAATAAGTCTCAATATTCATACCTCACAAAATAAGAGGTTTACCTAACATTACCATAAATATAGTACATTCCCTCAAAAACAATAATGATTCTTTGGAAATCTAAACCACATTGCCTTTCCTTCAAAATGAAGTACATTAGATTGGGCGCATACTATTCTTTTGTTATTATTATAATCATTAGTACAGAAATTTAAAAGGAGTTATTTATGATATCTAAAGGAATGCCTATTGAGTAGCTTACCAGGAAACCACGAGGGTGGTTGGGAACCCCTTATTTGGTAAAAGTCACAAGCGCTCTGCAAATCTATTTGGAGCTGTACATCGAACATTGCTTGATTGGAATCCTCCGATTTTCCAGAATGTATACTAGGCATTCTTTGAGACTCCCGACCATTTTCTCCCGACTGCTGCTCAGCCCCTTCTTCGCCAGGTGACTGTTCATCTTGTTTTCTAGCACTGTCATATTCATCACCTTCTGAAAAGTTTCATCCTCACTTCAATGCGCAACCTTCACAATGCTAAGTATGACAATATAAGATTATAACATTTTTGTTTGAAAAAAAAATATATGTTTTCCGATTCAGATTATTATTCTCCCCAATAATTTTCTGGTAGTTAAATCGGATAAGATGAATTTGGATTATGATATGCATTTTATTCAAGCGAATGATTTTGGGTTAGTTAAAAAGCAATATAGGGGTAATTTTCACAAACATTGTCATTTTTGTTTCCTATGCTGTTTATTTCAGTTCAAGGTTATCTTTGGACTCAGAAACATAAATATCATTAATGTAAAGTTATTGTCAATACCAGTCTACATTTTATTTTTTTTTCAAATTATCCTGAACTTCGATTCTGTTTACTATAGAGGTTCTATATTTTTCTATTTTATCAATTTCAAATTTTTCGTTTTGTTAACCGTGCTCTAAATAACTTACAGTCTCAGGCAAATTGTCATATTCTTGACAATGAAGGGTTTTTGAACTGAAAAACTAGTTTTTAAACTGTCTCCTGTGTTGGCACAGGTTGTACTTCTCACCCCCCTGGCAAATTTCGATTTCAGGTTTTCACCTATTTCTCTGGATGGAAAAAATAATTTTTTAGTAAGTTGAATGAATCCCTCCTCTCATCATCCATACCTGTTAATTTACATTCAATATAAAACCTAATCTTTCAGAAGGAGGTGGTCCTCAAAAATTTTAAGATTATGTTTGCTGCTTTTCATTTCAATCCAATCTACATTTTATTAGGTATTTTTTAAATGTATTTATTCAGTTATGAATGCTTGTATGGCATTATGAGTACGGCACACCACCTCCATTACTTGATAACACAGTACTTATTTTGTAGGATGAGATTTAGCTAAATTTATTCTGAAACAAAAAAAAAAAAACATTATTAAGCTGGAAAGATGGTCAAAATATGCCACGTCCATTTGAATATGTTGAATTGATATTATATGGGTATATATATGGATACTGAATTATTTTGTTTCTAGACATGTTAAACACTTATCTAGTATTTCAACCGGAATAATTATTTTCAAGATTATTTTCACCTATGATTATTCAAAATAATAATTTTACCCACAATTTTCAAAATTCATAGGCTGAATGGTGTGTAATGTTTGTTTTTCTCCCATTTTACGTAGTTTGTGTTACCATTGAATTTTTTCATTCAATTTTTTAACAATTCCTCATGGCTGTAAATGACGAACCTCCATTTCTACCATTCCCTACTTGTATTAGTATAATTTATCAGTCTAATTTTCAATTAAAATATTTCTTGTCATAAAATTATTATTATTATTTTATTTTATTCCCGTGAATACCTTAACTGATCAGTGTTTAGTAAATTAGTTCTTAAATGGAAAAAAAAATTGCTAAAAAAATTTTATTTCTTAGAGTAATACTATTCTTAAATTTATATTCAAAGTAATGTTTTTATATCACAGTTTTTTTTTGGCTTTTGTGCTCCACGACTTTAGAATCACATAATGATACCTTTATATAATTTTTAAGAAAATGTATCCAATAAAATCTAAAATTTTTTATCATATGAGAGAAATATCATGTTAAAAATATTATATTATTCAACACGAAAATCTTAACTGCCTTCACTTCCTTTGGTTTATTTTTTTTAAATTTAATAGATTTAGAATGTTTTACCACCATCTTCTTCGCCTTCTTGTTTTTTAGAATCTGGCATTTCAGGTAGATCATAACTTAGTTCTGGACTAACATTTTCAAAAAGACCTTGTTGTTCATATCCGAGCAGTGTTGCTTGAAAACCTTCACTACTCAAGGGTGCCACAGACTTAAAAATTGTAAACATTTATAAATATCATAGTCCATAAAATATTTAAATATTACTTTTACGAATTTAATTAAAATAATTTTTTTATCTACTTAATATACAAATTCTCCATTATCATTTTCATTATTTTAAATTCTAATTTATGAATAGATATTTAGAAAGTATAGAAATGACTTAATCAATATTAGTATAGTTATAAAAATTCAGAAAACATTATTTACATCTAATTTTTTTTTTTTAATTTTCATTTGTTCTTTGAATTTTTATTATTAATTTTCCAGAAAAGTTATTTTGGTTTATTTAGATCATATAATTATAAATATTTAAAAAGTTTAATGTGATAAGAACCAATGTCAAAATTTCATACTTTTAGTTTGAAAATATTTCTTTCAATAAAAAACATTGAATACGATTATCTGTTCCTATTTTATGTTAAGGAATAGTGTTCACTTTTCACTGTAATTAATATTAATACCATCTTTTAGCCCAGCTTTCAATCTTATCTAAATTTTCTTGAATATCTTTTTTTTTATATAATGAAATAGCTTATCATCTGTAAATTAATGTAAATCTTCATGAAAGCGACATTGATTTAATTTGTTGTAATGCCAGTAAATTCTATCATCTTCTTCTAGCATTAAATCTTAGCAGCAAACATAAATATGAAGTCATTTAAAAAAAAATTTAATTGCTTTTAGAAATTTGCATCAAAAAGTGAATTCCATTCATTGTTTTTGCATAAAGTTATGAAATCATGGCAATTTTATTTTTCAAGATTTAATAATTAATTCAATTTTTTTTGTTCAAATTAATTATTCTTATTAAGAAACATTCACTGCTCATTCAATGAGGAGTGTCTTTGTGGGTTTAGGGATGCTATTTCAAGATCTAAGTGGGAGGATAGGATACAGTAGTGAAGAGAATGTAGAGAATATGACCCAAGACACTGCCTTGTGGGACATCAGCCTCAACTGGACAACAATTGCAAAATTCTGAGCCATAGTGTACTAAGAAGAACCGATTTGCTTTTGCTATTTCCAGAAAGGCACCAGTGCAATATTGCTTGCTTTTAAGAACAAAAAGAAAAACTCGGATGTATGTTCGACAACACATAGACCTTGCTGAACTGTAGAATCTCCTGAGCAGAAACTGAACTTATATGAAAGGATTTTTTGGGATTCAATAAAAATAACTTATAACTCATTCTTTGTCGTTTTTATTATTTATGTCTTTCTCAGTATAAAAACAAGAAACAAATTATTGCAGTTTTAAAAGGATTTAGGGATGTTAGTAATGATTCACTTAATATGAAACCTCAATTTATTTAATCATGCTTTACGAGAAAAAAATTAACAAATTTATCAAACTTACTTGAAAAGTATATAGCACAATATTAAAAGTAATTAAGGTACAATTTCACTCTAACTCATAGCATTATAAATATTCCCATTCATGAAGAAATACCTTAGCATTTTCTTCTGGTGTTACTTTGATTAGGGTTTTATCCATATCACCTCCCTTGAAGAGGGTGTTGTATACTTCCGTTGGTGGCGACTTCAGGTTGAGGCCGAGTTCGTCAGAATGGAGCATCGCTGCTGCAACTTCTGGAGCTGTTTCTGTCAATGTCTGAAAATAAAAGAAATATGTGTTTACAGTGATTTTCTAAAACAAGGATGCCCTTTCAAAGGCATGCATGACACAACAGGCTTTCTGGGGATTCAGAATTTATTCATATGTAACATATGATCTTACAAGTAGATTTTTTTATTGTTTATTCTAAATTTTATATTTAAAATAATGGGGCTCTACAAAAACATCAAATTCTTCTTGTATGCAATCCTTACAATCCAAAATCCTCCTTAAAATTCTGAATGTTCCTTATTATGTAACAAAATCCATAAAGACCTCAACATTCCTCTTGTGGAAGAACTTGTCCCAAACTAGATATACCTCTTTTCATTCCAAACTCTTTGGTCACCCCAATCCTCTACTTTGAAACTTTTCATCCAAAACAATTCCTGACAACCCTCCGACGCGTCTGAAAAGAAGATGGTCAAGGGACCTCCTAAATTAATTTATCTTTGAAATGTTACCAATGGGTAGCTTCTTCACAAGTATCTTCATGTAATATATTCTCATAGCAAATTTAGTGGTTGTATATATGTTACAGTTATATATTTAAAAAAAAAATGGAGTTAATGAAAGGGCATTTAAACTCAGTATTTTTGATATAAGTAACAAAATTACTATCTCACTTTATAGTATGAATAATGTTAATTGACTGTTTTTTATATAGGTATATTCTCAAAATTTATGTAAGAGGAAAATAAATTCTAAAAACCAAGTCTCTTTTGCTATTGTGAAATGTTGACTGGTTAACTTAATGGAATATTAGAGTGAATTAAGTTCATGTTTTGAAACTTTCCAGTATTATCATAAAAGTACAGCTTAACAGAAATAAGATTATGACAGAAAAGGTTGTCGAAAAACTTCATAACAATGTAGATACTTAATACTCTATCTAGTGACGATTAACTGCATTGAATCAGTCACCCTGCTTTTTTTGTTCAAATCTTAGCGTTCCTCAAACTTTCTTACCTTGTCGATTCTTTTTAACTTAATACTTACAAACTATTAAGTTGAAAATTGTTAGTTTACAAATCAGTTAATTTTTGTTACTTACCAAGTTATACTATTTTTTTTGGGGGGAGGAGGAACAGATCTTATTATTATAAGAAGAATAGTTACCTCTTCCAAGTATGATATCTGTGGTACCAGAGAGTACATATCCTTGAATTCCACTTTTTCGGGCCTATCCATAAGCTGTGTAACAACATTATGCATCTCTCTTATCTCCTTCTTTTCTTGGTCAATCATTGATTTGTACTCTTGGAATTGTTGGGGCTGTCGGGCTAGCATGGCTGGTGAAAGTGGTGCAGCCAGAAATTCTGTGTCTTCGAGCCGAGTTTCTCCGACTAGATTTTGTAATGTGTCTTCAAAGTAAGATACTTGAGTGCCACCAAATGTAATCTAAATTTAAAAAATAAATGTATTATTACTGCATATACATTTTTGTTTAATTCGATTTAGAAATTATAAAACATAAAAATGTTTTCCTAACAGGCAGAATATTGAATGATGGATTTACTCAATTATAAATCATTTAAAAATTTTAATTATATTAGAAAATAAATTATTTTCTAACTATAATTTTTTTTAGAAATGTATTGCCAATATTTACTTTAAACTATTAACAATACAACAAAATTAATTAATACATATTTTAAAAACATTAGAGATCAATAATATGAAATTAATATTAAAAATTATGAATTTAAATAGACTATAAACAGATTTTCATTTCATTGTGCTTTCATTTATTTATTTTTCTTGTTAATCGATATAAGTTAAAAGATAACTTTTTTTTCCCATTATAACTATTAGTTTACTTTGTAAATACATTTCTATATATCTGAGGCTCAATTTGAGCCTTTTGACCTGCTCAAAAGTCCACATTTCTGTTCTTTTTAATTATTCTACAGGGAATCATCCCAGAATAAATAAAAATATTATTATTATTATTATAAAGTCACTTTAATCAATGATTTGCACAGAACAAAATACTGTGAATAAAAATTTATTAAAACGATTTAATGTAAATTGATATATCTTTTTTTTTTTGGCAAAAATAACGTAATTATAGTAATAAAAAAATCTATAGATCAGAGATTTTGGACTTTAGAACAGTGAACAAATGAGAAAATAATAAATAATATAAAGTAATAATATATAATATAAATAATAAATAACTATCATAAGATGAAAGAATCATTTCCTATTTTTTTGGTAATTGAAATCGACCATGGAAAAAAAATTATTATAAAACTTCCTTCATGTTTTCAAACAAAAAACAAACAATGAATTACAATAGCCTGTATCTCAGTTAATAATTGATAGAATACGTTGATTTTATTTTATTTTTTGTTTTGTATCTTTCGCGTAATCATGGGTGCAATCGAGAAAAAAATGTTTTTGAGTTATTCGAAAATAAAGTTTCTTTTCCTTCATAACGTTTCGGTGGATATGACTATTTTTCACTCGTGAAGGAACAGATCTCCAAAATGAGGGGTCAATCATTGGATTTGAAGAATTTACGAAGACATAGCATACTGACAAAAAACACCTTTGATAATTAATATATAAAGATTCATAATAATAATAATAATAAAAGGCTTAGCGAACCCGAAGGTTCGATGCCGACACCACCAATCGCTCATTACACACCTCCCTCCACCGTTCGCCGTCCAAACCTAGTCCCTTCAGATCGGCTTTAATGCAATCTTCCCACCTTCGCTTCGGTCTACCCCTCGGACGTTTACCATTCGGTACAGCAAATATTAACCTTTTAGGAATTCTCTCGTTACTAAGCCCAACAATTTTACAGGCCCATTTGATACGCCGGGATGAAATCACCTCAATTATATTACTCGGATATAGTTACCGCAATTCGGCGTTGTGTAACCGTCTGAATTCTCCGGTTAATTCATCCTTCTTCGGTCCGAATATTCTACGCAATACTTTATTTTCAAAAACCTTAAGTCGTTGCTCATCCCTTAATGTAAGCGGCCACGTTTCGCAACCATAAAGAACTGTAGGTAAGACAATGGTTTTATATATTCTAATTTTTAAGTTGCGGGACAAGATGCGCGAGCTAAGTAGTTTTGTCACAGAAAAATAACAAGCATTTCCCGCCTTCAGTCTAACCTTAATCTCTTCTTCAATTTCGTTTTTTCTAGTTATCGTAGACCCTAGATACCTAAACTTCTCTACCTGTTCAAACATATTACCATCTATATCGATATCACCAGTAATATCACCATTTTTGCAGCTAACCATATATTTTGTCTTATCCGTGTTTATTTCGAGCCCTAGTTCTTTACTGGCATTCATTAACGTTGTCGTATTTAGTTTTATAGTTTCCACGTCTTCGCTTAACAGTACCAGATCATCCGCATAGCCCAGCACGGGTGTTGTCCCACCCAGATCCAACCCTTTTTCGGTACGCATTACCTCCCTAATGGCATGTTCTAATGCCAAATTGAACAGGACAGGCGAAAGGGAATCCCCCTGTTTCAAACCCGAACGAACCTCAAACTTTTCGGACAGATTATTACCGATTCTAACTTTATTGAATGTTTCCGTCAAGCACATATACAAAAAAAAAAAAAAAGATTCATTACATTTATAATTAAGTAAAAGGGTTTTAATTGCGTTTTCTTTAACCAACACTATTTCAACCTCATTTAAACTCTCACCTCATATAAAATTCTTAAAACTCGCGGACGATCTCGGCTCCAATATAGTGAGAATTTATAGTCTCAACGCTACAAAAAACTTATTTCAAATACAGGATATTAACGGGTAAATCAAGTTATCAATTTATTACAGGTCAGGCCAAGCTGAAAAGTTTCAGTTGATTTCAACATTTTTTATTATTAATATGGATTTTATTTTATTATTGAGCGGAGAGAGAGAGAGTTCACCGTGAGAGGCCTCTGGTTTGGGTCTCGCGGAACAATTCCAATAAGAACAAGGAGCTTCCTCGAGAAACTAGGTGTCGACATTAAGAACGTTGGCTGAAAATATAGTCCTCAAGTCCCTGGGAATCATTCACCACCACGTGCATGGCTAGCCTGAGAGTGTTAATTTATGTATTTATTTATTTAATGAAAAATTGAAAACAATAGAGATAAAGAGAGAGAAAGGGAAACTAAATGTTAAAAAAAAGCATGAAGCATGAAAGGAAGAAAAAAAAGTGTATATATATATATCTATTTTACTAATATAAACTAACACTTCTGTAAATTTATTTATAAGTTCATTTATTGTCCTAAGGATTAAAGAGAATGCTGTGTATATAGCAACCCAATATAATTGGACAGCAATCTTTTATATTTTATATTTTTATGAAAATAAAGTGTTTCTCTCTCTCTCCTAGTAATATTTATTGTGGAAAAATATATAACTTTATTCACAGTTCTATATTTCAATACCGCAATCACCTTCTCTGGAATCATGTTATTCACTGTCTTTACAGATAATATAAAACTTCCAACAAGAAATATCATTATAATGATCTTGACTTTATTCAAGAATGTTGAAATTGGAGTTAATCATTCTCTCGACTGAAAGGCTCATGTATAGTAGCCATGTCTTAAGAAAAAATTACTTCTAAAAGTATTATTGTTCGTGTAATTACATTTTTTTTAGTTTGACTTGAAGAATCAATTAAACATAATTTTATATAGGCAGTTACTATATGTATAAAGCTTTTGGGCTGAAGCTCCCCAAAATTAAATCATGGATCCGCTAGCAGCCCTCATAACTCAACATATTGCTATTATTAAATATTGGTTACTGAAATAATTTTTACGTTTTTAATGAAATAAATAACATCTGTGACAGCCTTATGCATATCTAATTAATATGTTAATTAGATAAATTTTATATCGAATTATTAAGGATAACCACTGTTCTATTTTTTCATTGATAAGGATCTCTATAACGTACTTTTTTCTTGCTTTCTGGAGCACAGGGCCCTTCATCCTGTTAAAAAAAAATAATTTAATTGATTCTGAAATTGTATGTTAATATAGAAATACACCTACTTAGGCTTTAGATTTATGGAAATATAGTTTCTTATCGTACAAATTAATAAATTAATATTAATTTGTAAAGCCTCTTGAATGAAGTAATCAAATTAGATGGCTATTCAAATTTAAAAGATAAGGACAAATGATATTGGACTATAATTTTTTACTTTTGTTTTCCAGCATAAAAATATTTCAAATCTGGATTTTAAATGGAAATACGGGTTATAACAAATAGCCAAGAGTGCAATTAACTAAAATGCAATTTCATAAAATTATAGCTAGTGATGGCCGTGATAGGCATCATAAGTGTTCGAATCCGACCTGAGCGGATGAAAGTTAATTTTTAAAGTATATCTGTCAGGTATAATTTGTACTCATGGTAGAGTGAACTTAAAGTCGTGTGATGTGTGCATTGAAACTGTTTTGTGTATTTACCGAAACCAGTTACTATCTTGTGATATTCACGTATAAAAACCTAGCGGCTGATAAGTATTAATTATTAAACGACATTCACAAGTCTTTCTAACCTAATTTGAAGTCCAAACCTTAAGGTCCCTACATATGATATGGCGATATAGTTGTATTACTATATATTGCATTATAGCAGTAACACAGGGCGAGATAATCCGCAGCGATACCGACAAAGGGTATCGTATCGCCGGGACATATCTGGTTCTGTGTTTAGGAATCTTTAATGTCCAACTTCATTGTTTATCTTGTTGTCATGTTAGACTGCTCTGACCAGTAAATTTTCTGCTTTAATACGCCCCGCAAAAGCTGAATACACAACCTCCCTTGTTCATTCACCCCACTATTTTTAAAATAGTTTCTTCTGTCCTGGGGTGCCCATCTCTCCCCACCACCGAAGGTTGATGGAGCATGAACTTCCCTCTCTTCTTCCCATGATATTTTATTGCTCTCTTCTTAATAGTGCAAGGTACAGTTTAATATTAAAAATCATATTCAATTGCACTTTCAGTGGTCTGTTCCATGCTTTCCTCTTGTCTCCTGTTTTAAAACTTTTCATTTAAAAAATTCATAACCCCATCGAAATCTGCCCCGCTCAAAAATTCATAACCCCGTCAAAATGTGCACCCTCAAAAATGTTGATGTCGGGATTTGCGCCATAAAACTCCTGGGCACCCCTTCCTAATCAGCTGGTTTCAGGAAAAGAAACTGCGGAACTGATCTGCGAAGGCCTTTTCTTCATGTTGACCCATTTAACCTCGGTTAAAGAATTGAAAAAGCCAATTGCTCGTGCTAAAGTTAAGTCACTTCATTATGATGCTGTTACCCAACCTGCAGATAAACAGTTATTTATCTCATTTATCGGTTATTATGCAGCGATTTTCCGGTTCGGCCTTTTGTATCCTGTAAATGAACCGGTTAATGAAACTTTGTGTACATCCTTGAAAAAGTAAACGTGTTATAATCTGCAGGAATAACAATTCATTAATTTGAATTTTTTCCTACTGTTGCAAATTAAAATAATGTTAAATTTATATGTTATTTTAATTACCGTAATTTATTTTGTTAGGATGTGACATCTTTAATTATGTATTTAATAAATTTCAGGCAAGACCTTCTCTTTTTTTTTTTTAAAGCAAAACCTGTATTATCTATATGTTTTCGTATTTATATACACTATTGAATTTTTGAGAGAGGCACATTTTAAATAATTTTTTTCTGATAACCACTGAAGTAGGATTCTAGATTAAAAAAACAACTGAAAGAACTTTTTATGATAAATATAAATGGTTTGTAATATTACTACTTCACCACGTAGATTGAGTTAGATTATTTTAACACTAAACATACCATAACGGGTCAAATGACCCATTTTGAACTTTTCCATTGAAAATGCACGTATAATTTTATTGCGTTTGCACATTTGACTTCATGACTTTTTCTAAGTAATTAATGTACAGTTATAAAAATATTTTTGTTTTGTTTATTCTGAGTAATCCTTGTTGTATACCGATATCTACCACAACAGGTCATTTGACCCGGAGAGAATTTTTTTGTTTTATGAGATTATCTAGTCATATTTGTAGTCAGTAAGTTGCACATTATTTCAAAGACTGTTGTGTAAAGTAGTTCAGCGAAAATAGCTCAGAATAATTTCAAGAAAATATCAAATTTTAGATTGAAAATAGCTTTTTAGTGTAAGAAAAAGTGGCAAAAATTGAAAGTCTTGGTAAGTACCTAGCTTATACAAGACGAAGCAAACAAGACAGTACAAGTTCTTAGAAGATATAAATAATATTGGCGAAGAGTTTTCAGAAATTAGTGAAGATGAATTTTCTGAAAATGAAGATATATCGGTTGCAAATAAAAATGAGTTTGATTCTACAGATACTGACGATGAAGAGGAAAATATTGTGAATGTATGTAGTGGCCGAAAAAGAATAAGATTACTCACAAGTTCGGAAGAAAGTGAAGTAGAAATAAATGAAGAAAATGTTGCGAATGATGGATCTGTTTGGCAACAAATGCAAGTAGGTGGCACACCTGGAAGAGCACCACTGCGATGAACTATGAATTAAAAGTTTTTATTTTTTGCTTTTGTTATAGAAATGCTCAACATACTATTTTGTTTAATCATAATAAATTTAATTTATATTATTTTTTCCTTCCTAACATCCATATTTCATACATTCAAGCAGGAAACATAAAGTCGGGTCATTTGACCCGCTATGGTAGAAACAGGTATATATTAAGTCTTGGTATGATTAGTGTTAATGTTCTTAGACAAACACAGACTCATCGTCAAATGAATATTGAACGATTTAATTTAACGATTGTTTGAAAATAATTTTAATTGGATAATAAAAGTAAATCCAAATATATCATAAATTAATATGAATTAATGAAACGTAAATTCAATTTAATGATCGTAATCAGTTTGTAATATTGTGAAATCAACACGTTGACCGTGTCAGATAATTTTAATGTAATTAAACAAATGCATATCTCTCGTCAGGTGAATATTTTACTAGGCACATCGTTAGAGAGCCTGACCTTAAATTCATTCTCTATATCTTAATTTCAGATAAACATTTCCAAGTTTTCTCCAATTTCTACTTTTGCCCTTTTCCTTGATAAGTCCGAAGGTCCATATAAGTTAGGACCGATATAAAAGCTAGGACTTTATTTTCGTATTTTGTAAACGTAAATGCTTGCACCATTTAATCAAACAATCGTAGGTGGGGATACATTTTATCATTAGAGGCCGCAGTAAGGTTGGGCAGTGCTAATGGAGTTTTTATTTATCACTAAATACACACAACCATATACATATATTCAACTTAATTCTAATAATTTAATATTACTTCATTCTACTACTAGATTAATAAATATCGTACAAAAACGTTTGGAGGCCGCAACTACGTAACAGAGGCCGTATGCGTCGCGGTTCCCCACCTATGCTTTATAAAATTTCAAACATAGCAATATTTTTTCTTTGATGATATCTCAGATCTTTTGTTCTATTCGATGATCTATCAAAACTCCTTATCCTTATCTTCATCTCTTTAAGATATCATTTCGTTTGTAATCCTTGCTAAAATATGGAATGTTGAACTATTAAATCCCAGATTTTATTTTTGTTACATAATACATAGCAGTAATATTTAGCAGTATATTGTTCTCTTCTCGAATAAGAAAAAAAATACTATGTAGTAGATCGATGTACAAAGTGATGAGTGAATGATGTTTTTTAAATCATTGACATACCTTGCATTAACACAAAAGAACAAATACTCATTTAATATAAACTACTTGATATACAGGGTGTCCCTTAAATAGATTGAAATTTTTATAAGATTGATAGCAGAACTTAAGAGCAACAAATACTTTCATATAAACAATGGGCAAATTTTCATCAGAAAAGAAGGAAATTCAAATTTTTTGTGTTGTTTTTTTTTTTATGTAAATCGTATTTTTTGTTGAATAGGAAGCGATATCTAAAAAAAATATTTAGCTTAAGTAATTAACAGTTGTTCGACAGTAACCTAGAGAAAATTTACTTCATTAGAAAGTAGAGTTTGTCATTGTTAATATTATTTAAAGGGGGCTTTTGAGCGGCTAAACTACGCTAAGTTCTGTTTTACAATAAAAAACTTTATTTTTCTCGATCTTAAGCTACCCCACTTTTAGGAAAACTTCTTCTTTCAATAAGATTTAATTCTGTATTAATTAAGTTGAGGTTTATCAGAAAAAAATTGAGATTCATCTTAAGTTGTGAAAAATTGATATGAATTTTTATCCTGTCAAGTAAAAATACCCTGTTTTCAGCAAAAATTATCACAATTATTTATTGTAAAGCTTTTATTTCTTGTTTTTCCATGATTTGAAATTTTTTATAATAAACATAACTTTTTTTATAAAGAAAAAAAAATTAAAAATATCTATTTTTTAAAAAATATTTCATGTAAAGTGTTTATGAAAATTTGTTTTTCACCCAGAGATGTATTACAGGAATTCGTGCATATCAATAAGTGACAATACGCTATTCAACAAAAAACGTGACTCACTCAAAAAAACATGAATATTGAATTTCCCATTTGCTGATGGAGTTGTTAACATGAACTTTTTTGTAGGTCTTGATGTCTGAATCGCCATTTCCCTCTACTTAATGGACATAATGTATATATATATATATATATATATATATATATATATATATATATATATATATATATATATATATATATATATACACACACACACACACTCATATATATGTGTATCTACACCCTGTGTATACATATATATATATATATATATATATATATATATATATATATACATTTTTCATTTTACATATATATACATTTTACATATATATATATATATATATATTTCATTATAAACTTAATGTTTGTTGATGATAAAGTAAGCCTAGCACAAAATAGAGAGGGGATAAAATACATGTTTAGAATAGTGATAGAAAAATAGGAAAGTGCGGATTGAAAATTAAATTTAAAAAATAGAACATCATTCTTTTTAAGAACTTCGGCAGATCATACGCCAACTGAAAAAGGTGTTGAAATAGTCGATATGTTTAAATATGGGTCAATACTCAATAGTGGAACCTACACCATTGTTATATAACGGAGAAGAAATAAAGCTTAGTACAAAAAGGCTAATATAAATGTATATATTCGAGCATAAGCATCGGAAACATGGGTCATTAATGGCAGACCCCGAAAAAGAATAGTGGTGGATATGGAATTTTTGGAAAAGATCAGTTAGAAAATCCAGAAAGGAAACAATTCTAAAACTGCTAATGTAGGTGAGATAGAACATTCTAGCAGATATTGAAGAAAAAAATATTAAAGTGGTTTGAAAACGTTAAAAGAATGTCTGAAGAAAGATTTTCAAAAATAAATATGGAACTGGAAGTAAAAGGGAACAAGTAAGATCAAAGATAAAATCGAAAGATGAGGTGTCCTATCGGGACATGAGATCAGAGAAGAGCAAGCAAGACATGGTTCGAGAACTATGGCAAAATATTCTAAATAGCATTTAGATCAAGGAAAAATAGAATAGTGGAAAATTCCTTTATTATATATATATATATATATATATATATATATATATATATATATATATATATATATATATATACTTAAATTAAAATACTTCTGATTTTACCTGTACTCTTGAAAATCTGGTACTCCTTGGAACCTGCGTGGATATTGGACAAGGAATCCTGCTACCGGTGGTATCCTGTAAATAGTTATTAAACATTATTTCTTACAAATGTATTAATATAATTTTTTTTAGTCTCACTTACCTACATATGAAATTTATAGTAAAGGAAGGTACTACTATCGTGAATAGTTTCGAATCTATAAAATAATTAAATGGATGTAACGATTTTTATTATACTTCCTATATCAATGTATAATTAAACCGTCTTTATTAATATTCAGTTTTTGTCTTTAGGAAACAGTTGGACAGGGCCTAAATTTCGAATGTCTTTATTTAAAGTACCTTTAATTTGGTTTATTTGAAATAATTATCTGTCTCTTAATCTTAGTAATATGGAGCGATGTAGCTCAGTGAGTTAAGCACCGGGCTGCTAAGTTCAAGGTCCCGGGTTCGAGTCCGGCTGATAACAGGTAATTTACAACAGATATGTATTGTGTTTCAATAGCCGCGGATTGAGCCTGGGGTCTAGAAACACTCCTGGGGCACACCCAGCCTCTATTTAGCGGGTAATCTAAATAATTGATTAAAAAGAAAAACCTGGCGATTGGGAGCGATCCCAGCCTGATCATCTCCTTGGACAACCATTAGCCTTGATACAATACTTCCTAACGAAGTACTCAACCCAAAACTCCTAAATAAAGTGGTATAGGTTTATTGTTAGTAGTAATAAAAAAATGGATGAATATGAATTTTGAAAGAATTTGATAATTAACTTTTTTAAGCTTATTTATTGAAAAATATTACAACCTGTCTCAAGGACATTTATAATAGTGTTCACAGATCACATTCACACTCTATGTACAGTAAATAAAATAAATTATACAGAAAAATAATATATACACAATAAGATAATTAACTAAAGTTGAAAGTTAGAGAAATATTTTTTTTTAAATATTAGACAGAGTCTGTGCCTACCACACACTCCTAAGTTTCAAAGGCCATATTGCTAATTGTATTGCTAATTTTCAATTAATACAGTTAATTTCAACAGCTGAGAGCATTTACGTCATCAAATAACACCTAAAAATCGACCAACTTTTGTCTCTTAGTGTATTCTTTCAACCCAAATACAAAAACTTTTAGTAACCCCTTTTTCTAAATCAAATGATACACATGTTTGTTTCGTTAATTTTTTTATAAGCGGGGCAACGAGCGTTTCAAAAAATTACATTCAGGATGTCTGAAAAATTCATTTCTTAAAAAAAAAAGATAAATTAGAAAATTTAAATTATAAAAAAAATCCTTACCCTTGCTTGACGTTTTTGAGATTTCGATAAATCTTGTCGAATAGCAATTGGTATTCTGGTTTTCCTTTTCTGAAATAAATAAATAAAATATTTTCAAAAATTAAATTTTAAAAATATAATAAAATTTAAAAAACAATATAAAAGCTTGTATTAAGTTTTACATGGAATATATAAAATGTAAATAGTATTTACACCTTTCCGTGAATTTTAATGTTTATCTTAGGTTAGATATGAGATTTTCTTTTCTTTTTAATAGAATGGACTCTATTAAGTCTAACATAACATGACGGATAATAAGATCCGTTGGGATTTTATTTAACGATGGTTCCCAACAAATAATTAATACCGTCGAATTCCAAACGATTTGAGAATTGAGCCCTAAAACCAAAGTTTTTTTTCTAGGATGACAAATAGAATCACCGTTTGTACCGCACAGGTTACCGCATCTCCGAAAGCTTACGGTTTGGCCTCAATATGCCTCAATGGCCATATTGAGAACCGGTGAGCCAACCACGTCGCTGGCAAGAATCACACACAAAACAAAACAGAGCGATTGTTGTACAGGAAGGATGATGTATTACTCAGCAACTGACTCTAATTGATAACAATTTTCTCTTAGTTATTTAATTTATCGCCACTCTATTGAACCTCACTGAGCCTTTTAGAACATGTATATCATGTAACACGAGCATTCAGTCAAATATAACAGCCTTAGATTCTTAATATTTGATATGTACATTAGAGATTCACAGGACTGTACAAACAAAAAAAATCTCAATTGCGTGACATGATACTTATGGTAAGTAATTTTTTATTGTTTATTTATTTATGACTAGCTGACCCGTGCGAATACTTTACACAAACCTTATATTATTTGTAAGTTCCATTCAGTAATGTTCCTATGCAAAGGTTTAATATTTTATTTAGTATGTTACGAGTTTAAATCGAAGTAAGTAATTGTCTAACCGGGATCTCTAGACAAATTACTCAAGAATTCATAACTTTGGCCCTACTCAATATTTTGTTTTCATTTAAAGCCTATATTTTAAGTCAAGGAAAGCTAAATGTAATATCAAAATTTCAAAAGTCTACCATCAGCTATTGCTGAGCTTACCCCTGACAAAATTTCGTTGAACAATGCGGACATCCAGACAGATAATTTTTTAAAAGTTGATTTGGTGTCTGTAATGTATAAAACGGAAAGAGATCATGAAAGGGTTGGTTCTATTCAATGTACAGACAAAACCTTTATTTTATTTATGTAGATGTTCTTTAACCTATAAACATATGTTTATTATAAACATTTATTATCAACATTAACCGAGATCTCTAGACAAATTCATAATTTTGCTTATAATCAATATTTTGTTTTCATTTAAACCCTATGTTTTAAGTCAAGCAATTCTTAATATAATGTCAACATTTAAAAAAGTCTGCAATAAGCCAATAATGAGCTTACCCCTGACAAAATTTCGTTGCAATGTGGACATACAGACTGACAAAAAAGTTTTTAAAAGTGGATTTGGTGTCTGCAATGTATGAAACGGAAAGGTATAAAACGGGTTGATTCTATTCAATGTACAGACAAAAACTTTATTTTATTTGTATAGATGGCTACAACTGTATTAAAATAAAAATATATCTAGTAAATGTGTACACAGGAATATAATGAGATGAAAACGATTGTTGAGAAACTACCCACTAGTAGCACTCCGAGGAGATCACGAGGCCATCTTCTTTTCAGACGCCTCGAAGGGTTATCAGGGATCGAAGATGGAGCAAAGTTTGAAACGAGAGGATCTGGATGGTCCTGAAGTTTATTATGGAAAGATGTGTTTCTGGATTTGGCCAAATCGGAAACGTATGGTTTATTAAAGTCGTTATGGATGATTTTATTTGTGATAAAGTAAGAATCATTGAGGATTTTACGAAACATATGGTTTATAAAGGTCGTTATGGGTGATATTTATTTGTGATAAAATAAGGAGCATTGAGGATTTTACGAAGGATTTTGGATTGTAAGAATTGGGTACGAAAGATATTCTCACTATATTTAGTGGAGCACCAAAGCTCAAATCTGTAAGTCCAAATAGGCCATATTATAATAATATATAGGGGTCTTTTGTAATTAATTGAAAGTTTCGAGCGTTTGTCTGGTAAATGGTACTTCAATACAAGAGTAATTATGTATTCATCAATCTTAAATTTAGTAGTTTTAAGAAAATATCATAGCAACAATGATTATGAAAAGTCTAAAATACATCACTACTTATTCATATTTGGTTAGAAAATAAGATGGGTTTGCCATTTGAAGATTAATATGATAATACTCAGAATTCATGTTGTTTTTGGTAAACGTAGTTTTTTCATTCGCTTTTTTTTTTTTATGCGAAAACTATTGATTAAGTATTTAAGACAAAGATTAAAAAAGCTAAAATGAGTATTAAGAAAATAAACAAAATCTTGAAATTAGTTCTTACTTTGTGTACTAAAAAAGAGGAAAAAAATGTTTTGCTGCATTTTATAACACCAGCAAACATCTGAGTATTCGGATGGAAGAAATTGTATACGTGTTAATAAATAACACAAATAAATATGTTTCTATTTAAGTTTTAAACTTTTTAAAAACAGTTTAGTGAATTTCATATTTCTTGAGAAGGAAAAAAAAAATTATAGGAGTGAAGTCTTCAATCAGACTTCTATAGAAGTCTTATGAGTCAATTGTACGTTTTCGTAAATTAACGTTTATAAAATAATTTTTCCAAACTTTTTATAAACGTTATTATGATTTATTATTAGTTTACATAATTTCAATTATTGATAAAACACTAAATTAATTGTAACAAACTATTGTAAAGTTAATAAACTTGAAATTGTATTAGCGCTTCATTAAATATTCGTAGAGAAAAAAACTTTAGATGCTGCTAAAACAATTATCATGACAAATTAATTAATGTATATATTTAGAAAAGAATAGAATAGCATAGAAAATCATCTCTATTCTGGGATTAGGTCCCTTAAGAATAACAGTATTGTTTATATAAATTAACAATAAATCTGGAAAAAAGACCTATTTCAATAAAGAAGAACTAAAAAACTAGTAATAAATTAAGTATTATAGTTATTAGGATATATTAACGAAAACGGATAACAGGGTCGCAATACAAATATTGGAGCTAAAACAATAACATAATAATCACTAAATAAAATTAGAAAGGAACGATAAATATATTTTATAAGCAGAGCATTGTAGTGATGGAATATAAAAATTATAAAAAAATAGCTGTTGATGTATACAAAAATAAATTGTAAAAAAAATGATTTACATATATTCCTTAAGATGTTTAAGTGAATACTCGTAAATAAAATAAAGTATATATATATGCACACATAGAGAGAAGTGTATCGAAGATAAGTAGAAAATAAAATACATTTATTATTAGAAAATAAATTACATTTGTATCAATTTTCACAAACTAAAATTTTACCTCACGATGAAACTTGAAATAAAGTAATCGTAACCCAGAAATATTTTAAAATATGCGAAATAATACAATAATCTTTTAAGAGAATTGAATGGAATCAGGGATATAATATATTCCCATTTCCAGATATATATATATTTACACGTTTGTTTTAAAAAAGAGTGAGATTGAAGTTCAACTCCAATTGATAAAAACTCGAAATTAATAACAAGAAATATATGATTACTTACTTGCAACTTGGAAACTAATGTTTTGCTCATTCCCTGAAAGTCTTGTCATACTGCAGAAAAAAAAAATTCGAGGTATGAGCTACCTACATGTGTCACTGAGGAAACTGCACTAACATTAGACTGCTGATGTGTTGCCATAGCGCGTAAACAAGAGATTACACCAAAAATAAATATTTTAAATACTCTTACGTTGGTAATTTTCTGATTACAAAAGGTACATAAGAAAAAAAAGAAGTAAAATATAGCTATCTTAGTGCCTATTATATTTTCCCAATGAAAGTTTATTTTAAAATTGGCTATTATTTTATGAGCGGATGTATGGTTTAGAAAAAAAAAATTTCAACTGGAAATTAATTGATTATTTTTATTCTATATTTTACTTCATTATAATTTTTTATTTTTTATTTTCTATTATTATTGAAAAATAATGGTAAAAAAAATATAGGTTCATCATCAATTAAATACAAAGTTCAGTTTAATGGCCCCTAACTACTCTTAAAACTGTTTTAATTTAGGAATTTATCTTAATTCTTCTGAAGGCACAGAAATCGTTATTAGTAAAAAAAAAGTTTATATAATCTAATTATAAAAAGATTATTGTTGACGTCATGGCAAACTCTTAAAATCTTTCCATTATTCTTATTTGTTAAATCGTTTTCGATAAAACACTATACATGATTTTAGCTATTAGTAATGAGTCGTCAAGAACTTAAGGGTTTTTAGTAAATCTTTTTAAATAGGAGCGTTAACATTGCATAAATCACAGTGAAAATTTGATGCTCTACAACTTTGACCCAATGGGTTTTTCCTCTAAGGGAACTCATTTCCAAGTTACAGGGCCATTTGTAGTAATTTGTCTCAGTTTTTGAAAAATTTGGTAAAAATCAGTGTTGGTTGACCGTGGTTTTATACTTTACCGCATAAGCACATTATAAAGTTTATGTACTCGTTTGATGCAAAATTTAACGTTCTTTAATTTATTAAAGAATACATGTTTCGCTTTGATGCATCGTTGAGGAGTTATAGGTGAAAAAAAGAAAATAGCGAAAAAATCTGACTTTTTTGGCTGTAAAAAGTTTTCTGTTAGTGGCCCGTGTTAGCAATTTTTTTTTTTACATGTCTAAACCCATCTATACAAGTTTTTTTAAACTTATTTATTGAAAAATATTACAATCTGTCTTTAGGACATTTATAATAGAGTTCACAGATCATATTCACATACAAGTTAAAAAAAATAAAAACTTTTCTCATATTTTTCGCAATGGATTTTCCGTTTCGATCCTCAAATTATTGGCCTAATATTCTTTAAATCAACCGCCATTTTTGAAAGCAGCGGCTCTGGAATGGCAGACAAGGTTCTTTTTACTCAGAATAACATACACTTTCGTAATTTACAATCAAACCTTCGCCTGCGATCAGGTCGATTTTTGGGCCCTGGTTCCAGGGCTTAACTCCAAGGCTACTACTACACTCTTCAGAGATTATCCCACCGTTCTCTCTTTTCAACGCTTAAATATCTGATGCTTGGTAATGACATCAAAGTGATGAGACAATGTTCGAAAGTACATAAACATACTTCACTGTTAACAAAATATCTTAATTATTCTTTAGGAGTGGAAATAAATTTCATTGTCATTTTATATATGTTTCGAAAGAAAAAAAATAAATGTTTACTAGAAAACTGATAGTGAGAAGTAATTATAAAATCCCACTATTCTTTAATATTTTAATTTTTAGTATTTCATTATGAGAAAACACTTCTTCATCGTATAGCAGTGGAAAAAAAAATCACGTTAGACTTAACTAATAACGTAAATGTTGGAATGGACTAAAATTTGGTCCTAAAATGAGAATCACTGTACTGCAATTCTTTAAATTTTTGTGTTTAGCATCTTTTAGTGTGTTCATTCGATAGATTCGATCTAAAATGTGGAAAATTGATATTTCTTTTTAAGTTTTTTCTCGTTTCGTTAATGAATGTCCCGTACAAAGGAGTTAATTTTTATATACTTCATTTTCAGTAAATACAACTGAAGTTTATATATACGAGTATATATATATGTGTGTGTGTGTGTGTGTGTGTGCGTGCGTGTGTGTATGTGGTAGGAGTAAGGTAAAAATTAAATTGAAACAGGTGAAGGTCAATTACCCACTTTAGGAAAGCCACGTACCTTGCACTAGACGCAGTGCACTCAGGATTTAATTACAACTGATAACAAGGAAAATGGAAGCGAAACACAACAGTAATTAACCTTAACCTAATATTAATAAATATGTTTTAAATTAAAATTTTATGTATGGCATTCTTTCTGCTTGAGTTCTGCGTGGGCTTTAATGAGAATGAGGAGTCGCAAAATTCATAAGACAAATTACGACAGGGATCTAACTCATTGCCGCAGTCTTAAGAAGTACAATTATCTTTATGGTCTTCCACAGAATTCATGGATTGCCAATAGATCACAAAGCTTGTCACATATACAATTACTTCTACAATAAATTAACCTTCTACGAGTGTTAATAAAAATAAAAATAACGTTAACGAGCCGCTGAATTTCCAACTTGAAATTGATTCCGAGTATGTAAGTTTAAACAGTTTAAATATTCAAACAAGAAACATTTATTTAGATTTATATTCGAGGGCGTACCGAACCGTTTTGGCTGAACTTTCTTTATTCTATCCCTTCATACATCAGTTATTTTTATTTCACTTTTCTTTCATTTTTTTCTTAATTGATAAAAATTAGTAGGTAACTTATACTTATAATTTCCACATTTCTATCTTTGTATATTCATCCAAAGGGACTTATCCTAGAATAAATAAAGTATTATTATTGAGTACTTAATAGTTGACCTTTGCAGTATTAAGGAAGGAGATAGTCCGGAGTGGCGGTCATAAATAGACTAAATAGTGGCAGAACTATTTTATTAAAAGCCAACGTTTCGACCCGACTTTGCAGGTCTTCTTCAGGGCTTGAACGGACAAGATACAAAAAGATATAGGTAGCGAAGAGATGCTGAGTTTGTATCTAGTCGTTGTTGGCCACATGGTTTTTTAGTCTACCCCAGACCATCTCCTTTCTTAATAATGCAACGGTCTATTACGTATTCAATATGATTCAAAAATCAGGGGGCCAACAACTGTCAGATACAAACTCAGCACCTCTTCGCTCTCTGTATCATTTTGTATCTTGTCCGTTCTAGCCCTGAAGAAGACTTGAAAAGTCGGATCGGAAAGTTGGCTTTTAATAAAATAGTTCTGCCCCTATTTTATTTAGTCTATTTATGACCGCCTCCCCGGACTATCTCCTTCCTTATTATTATTGATGATTTTTTCAGCAACCACTACGTGCCGTCTATCGATAACTGACTTTTGGCTACTTGTAATAAGGGATATTGTAATCTAAAATTCCAAATTTCTTGGCTAATTCCAGGTGAACAATCTGTTCCATGTTGTTGTGTCTCAAGAGATGTTCGTTTCCAGCAAGCATTTGACATCCTGATGTGGTATGCTGAATTGATTCTGTTGCTACTCTGCACAGTCTACACAGTTGAGCTACAGTTTCCTCACATATAGGGCGCTTATAGGTCTTTGTAGCAATCACCTGGTTGTATATGGCTGTAACGAATCCTTCAGTTTCAAGGAACAATGTACCCCTACGCGTCCACATCAGAGACGCACCCTTATCTAATCCTACTGTCGACAAACTGTAGACACTTTTTTTTTATTTTTTTTTTTATAGTTATCGAGAATCTGTCGTCGAATCGTTGTGTTCGCCTTACAATGGTCCCTCGTGTTTTTTTCCGGATGCAGACAAGATCTGCTCTGTTCGTTCAATAGTACAGTGATTTAAGACCTTTATTTTATAAACGTTGTTAGCTAAAACGATGAATTATATTTGGGAAGTATAAATTCAGCAATATTTGAAAGTATATTTTTCTCAAAGAGAATAAATATAAAAATCATCGGACAGACACATACAATAATTTATTTTTTTGCAAATTGTCGAAGATGACAACAATGATCAAATTTAATATAAAATTTCTCTTACTCTTTCCATTTTTCTTTTCTTAGTTTAGAGATGTAGTTTTAAAGGGTAGTCTTCATTAAAATCATTATATCCAATTTGGTGGTACAGCCCTGGAAAAAAATATATATTCGATTTCCAAATTATATGTATCGTGAAACCTAAAACCTCAAATTTTGAGAGGAAGTTAAATTTTCGATTTTTTTTTTTGGTTCATTATTAAAAATAATAAACCAAAAAATAAGTAAATAGGTTCTCCCAATTTTCATCATTAGTCTGGACATATCCCTTCTAACTAACTCGTGCCCATCTCTTCATCTGAGTCAAGTTCCCACGTGATATTAATGGCATACATTAATTAAAAATGAACAATGCTTTGCTGTTAGGTTACCTTAATTTTTATTTTATTTTTAGTAACGATCTTCTGATCATGAGATTATATCCTTTGATATGAATATAGGTGTCAACGGTATTTGGAAACCATTCGAATTGTTGCGTCTGAAATACGCTTGAAGAGAAATCATTCCTTTGGTGATAAAGCCTTAAGACACTCTAATAAATCACATTTTATAATTTAAATCTTCTCTGAGCTATCATTCTTAGCATCAAATCTCTGATTGATACTCTCTTCATCCAGCATTTAAATGATACCATGAAGAGTAATCCCACATCTTTTAACCATAAGGAATCTTACATTGAAGGTATCTTAAATATCAATAAATATACCTGCCATTCCTTTCTTCAGATACATAAACATTCTAATCTTGGAAATCTCTTTCAGTGAAGTTTCTTCCAGATATTATCTAACATACAAAAATCCAAAATAGTGTATAGCTTTCTTAACTTATTACACTAGCGGATCCAGGATTTAATTTTGGAAGAGGCTTCAGCCCGAAAGCTTTTTTTTCATAACATTAACGATAATTAATTTAAAAAAAAGAAAGAAACTAACCACCTATATGAAATGGTATTTAAGTGATTCCTAAAGGCCTTTTAAATGTAATTACACGAACAATAAGATTTTAAGAGATAAATTTTTAATATTTTTTTTCCATAAAACATGGTTATATTTTACCATTTTGGGGGGAGGGAGGAGAGAGCTTCAGCCCCAAAGCCCCTCCCCCCAACCCCGTATGTCCGCCTGTGGCTTGATATAATTACAAACATATCTTTTCAGTTTTTAATGCGCGTATGTATATATTTATGATCTATTTTAGTATTTTTTTGATTGGTTCTATGTGTCATATTTTTATTAAATGCCTCCATTTTGTTGGCCCAAGCAAAAGAAGCTGTCACGCAACAGTGGTGTCAAGAGATGGCATTAATGTGGATGATATATTAAATATAGATAGGTTGGAATAGTTAAACCTACAATAGCATTTTATAAAAAACTGTTCAGCGAACTGTTAAGCGATATAATTTACTGTCGCAAATCAATGTTTAATCATATAGTCCCCGTTACAGACCGCTTTTTATCGAATTATTAACATCCGCCTGAAACTTCGTAAATAGTTTCATATCATCGTAACCAACAACTATTTTATTGACGAAAACTCTTGGAACTGGGGCGTTTTCAATCTGGAGGGGGGGGGGAGAAACTTTGTCTATTTAATTACGTACTAAAAAGTCGTAAATACTCATTTGCTTCCTACTTTGATCGTAAGATAATTTGATCACAAAATCGAGGAAACAGGTGGCCTTCAAAAATATTAAGCCGTTTGGTCCCCTACCAAACCTACATCCCCAAATTTTCAAAATAACGAGGTTATATAGGACAAACGGCCCTATATTTTTCCAGGCCACCTTTTTTATCGATTTTGTGTTTAAATTATCTTAAGATCAAAGTAGAAAGCAAATAGGTATTTACGAGTTTTTAGTACCTAATTAAATAGACAAAGTTTGCTCCCCTTCCAGATTGAAAACGTCCCAATTCCAAGAGTTTTCTTAAATAAAATAGTTATAGGTTACGATGAGATGAAACTATTTACGAAGTTTCAGGCAGATGTTAATAATTCAATAAAAAGGAGTCTGTACCACGGATTAATATCTATATCGTTATTTATTAATACTTATATGTACTTTATATTTGTATATATATATATATATAGATATGTATGTATGTATAATTGTTATTGTAATAATACAATCATTGGCCATTATTAAACTGTAAGTCTGTATATCTTCTCCTGTTGCTTCTGACCAACTAAATTCCCAGTTAGCTGATCCTATACCAATATCGCTCTACTTCTCACACTACATTCCACAGACTTGCTTTGAACTTAAATCTTTCTATTCCATAAAAAATACATATGAAGACCTACTTTCCTCTGTCTTCAAGTCCAAAAGGAATGACTATCATAATCGAATTCCAGTGAAGTTAATGAAACTATGTCTTCCTGTGATCTTTCCCGTTTTTATAATTTTTCCTTATTTGTGTCAAGTTCCCAACAGCTTGGCAAACAATCATAGTTCGTCCGCTGAGCTAAGTCTCGGTGTCCACCAACCAAAGTTTATCCTAATATTGATCTCTAATCTCTCCAATATTTGAAGATTGCTCGAAATACTTGTTTATTACCTAGCAAAACGCTCTTCTTAATCCCTTTGGTCTCGTTTCCGACCTAATATTCCACAAAATCTGTTTTATTAAAAATTACTCAAAACATTCAATACTCTATTGACAAATAGGAAATTACAATCCTTATTCTTTTTCTCTTTTAAAAACTTTCTACTCAGTTAACCACAATAGCCGCCTTTAAAAGCTCCAAAACATTTCTATATCAAGTGGCTCCTATTCTTATCTCTTCGTTTCCAAATACGTTCTTCAGGGATCTTCGCACTCCTCAATCGTTTTTTTCCTTCTATAATTATGATTTTTCTGAGTCCATTTATCATTTGCAGTATTACTTATATGCTGACAACTTCCAAATTTGTCTTTCATTTCATTTTACCAAGACAATCGGGGCTTCTTGAAGGCTGCAAGAAGATATTAACAGTCTTAACGCATGGGCAGCAAGCAATAATTTGAAGTTCAACATCGACTGAAGACCAAAGACATTGTAATTTATTGAAAGCATCTTCTCAATCCCATCATTATTATCCCAGACCTTAATATGACTTTATATTAATAGCAAATATTGTATAAGCATGAATTTCATTGGCTAATTTTGTGTATCAATAATTATAAGAGATATAGCAGAAGGATGTGAATAACTTCCAAAATATTTAAGAGGATGACACAGGTATTACTGACTCGCAATTAGTAACAAATATATTACTAATTGATTCTTAGAACACTTGGGATTTCCCGATCAAAATATCAGCAATCGATATTTCAGAGTTGTAACTACAGTATTTGGTTTTAAAAAAAATATATTTTATACATAGAGATATTTTGAAAGCTTGAACATACACGAAAATTTTAAGAAATATATTTTAAAATGGTCATTATAATTTATTTGTTTATGAAGAAAAAAAAAATATAAAACCACTTGAAACGGAATAAAAACAAAATTTTCCTTACTTTTCTTTTTTCAAAAACCAGGGAGATAACCTGAATGACTTTCATGTTATTCGATTGTTTTGAGATATTTCATGTTAATAAATATAACCATCTTAAGTTCACATATGCTTATACACTTAGATTATTATAGATATTATATTATTTTTTTAACTGTGATTAGAAAATTTATTAACTATTCATGTATTGGATCGTCTCTTTTTCACTCTTTCCTGAAATTTAATTATATGATAAATTGTGTTATATAATAGACGCGCGTTCGTCATAAAATATTTGAACTGATATCTTTTCGTCACATGAGTTAACGTAGGAATGACTCCTAACTGCCAGTTTGATGTTACTCAACTCCAAGAGATAAGAATTCAAATTTAAAATAAATAAATGAGCTGCGTACATCATTATTTCGCGATTAATAAGCTAATTTTAATCAAGATTAATCACTAATGATTAAAATGGATATCACAGTATGGAATAAATCATTCTTAATCAATCGTTACCTGCATCTGTCGCTAACAATTAAGAATCGCTCGGGTTTCACAAAACTAACTCAAAACAAGACTGTAACGATTCGAGAAAAGATAACCTAATTGAGCCTATCTTATCAACTGATACAATGGCTTTTAATTGATCATTACTGATGTTCAATGTTAGCCATCCAAACCATTCGCCGCAGTCAGTGGCTCTTTTATCCGGTTATCATTTGCTGATAATAGGTTTATGATGATTGGAGCTAACTGTTGATTAGATATAAACCAATTAGCCCAGGTGTGATTATATTTCATCCTACAACGTATCAATTTATTAAACTAAATAATTTTTATTACTGACGATGGATACGATTTGAATTAGATTATATGAATACTATCAAAACCTACAGGCTACGTTTCTAAATCAGCTGTTTTATTTTATTTACTTCCATTCCTATGCCAATACTGCATTATGGGTGTATGCAGCGTTTAATATTACATGATTACTTAAGAATACACAACTGAACTCAAGAACAGTACACAATATTCGAAGCTGTGCACACAGCTAGCTTTTATTACTTTTTTTTTATAAGTAATTGAAGACCTGAAGCTGATTTCCATAATCTGGAGGATTCGTGTTTGAATTTCTTCCTCTACGCTGTTCTCGTGATTCATATGTGATCTCTATTGAGATGTGGCTTTCATTACCTTTGCAGGTTGGTAGGGTACACATATACTTCATTTTTCTATATTACTACACACAGCATCTGGCTTAATTTGGTTATAATTGGTTTTTTATTGAATCTGGATAGTGAGAGAATAAGAAAACATGGAAAATATTAAACAATAATTGGCTCTATCCGATACCCGCACTTCACATAGCGAATATACACCTGTCCAAAAAAAATATATATATATATTTTTACTACTTCCTTTATTCTTTACGGAGGACGTTTATGAGAAGGCCTTTATTGTAAAAATTATATAATTGTAATAATTAAAAAACGTTATTTTACCTACTTTGCTGGATATCTTGAATTTAAAGTTTGCAATTTAACTTTTATTTTGTTCTGTTTACTCAGTCTTTGAGGTTCGTTAAATTGCATGTACTATATCGGAAATAAGTCATATTAATACCCGTTTTAAAACTAAAATTTATACTTAATCTGAATTACATATATTACTACGACCGTACACTACTACGACTTTTTCATTACTTGTTTATCCTTCATATCATTCAAGATATCCTTTCATCCTTCTTTTATCTAAGGTTTGCTCTTCTTTGATGCCATGCTCCCGCCAGCCTTTCTTCCACCAAGTCTTTCCATTTTACATTTGGTCTTTCTTTTTTCATTCTCCCTTCTACTTCCAGTTCCATACATACCTTTAGAAATCTTTCAGGCGCCAATCTTTTAACATCCATAAACCAGCATATTCTTTTCTTTTCAATGTTTGCTATTTTTTTTTTCCACCTCCATCAATTCATATATTCATTTTTTATTCTTTTTCTTCTGGATTTACTTGTTGGCCTTCTCCAAAAGTCCATCTCATCTCATTATATTCTCTACTGTCTTCTCCGGTGTCTTGCGTTGAAGTCCCATTTCTCCGAGGCATTTGTCGGCTAAAATCGCGAAAATTGTAGAAAATTTAAAATCTTTTAAACTACTGAATTTATTCCTATTTTTATAATGGCGAAAATTTCGAAAACTGTAATAATGGCAAAATAGCGAAACCAAGGCAATATGGAAATGCGATTACGGCAAAAACCACGAAACCCGCGAGAACAACAACGTGATGTCCGAGAAAATGGCAATAATAAAAAAAAATGGGAAGATGCTGAAAATGGCAAAAATTACGAAATAGGCGAAAATGATGAAAACTACGAAATTAATGATAATCTGGTTCAAAGTTAATAAGATCACGTATTATTCAGCTAAAATAAGGTTGAGAATTTAGTTCTAAAGGCGTATTTTTTAAGTATCTAATTGACGTCTAATTTATGACTTCAATAATAACAGTGTTTAAGACTTAGATGTTTTATGCCATCAAATTGTACACAATTAAACAGCTCTTTTTCAAAATGTTATAAAACTTATTGAATGTAACATTTTGGTAGTCGGAATAGTAAATTAAGTTAATTTGCTGGTGCCCAAGATTTAATCTTTTTCTTATCAAAATATTTTTTTTAATAACGATATCTCATTATTTTTATTGAGATACGTATAAGTACAAACAATGGTGATCGAATTCTAACAACAGATCAACAATACGAACTTTGCTAAACAGTTCTCTATAATTATTTCTTAACAATTATTCGTTATTATTAAAGTTTAATGGTGCATTTAGAAATTTCAGAAACTATGGGAAACACAGTTATCTAACTTAACTGACCGCGACATTATTGCTAAACCAAACTATTTATTTTAATTCTCCTGATACTGATAGCAGATGGAAAATATCAAAAGCAATAAATAAAAATATTATCATAGGGAAATAACCATTTGCATATTTGTTTGTGCCATAGTTTGTGAAATTTTTAAACACACCTTAACAGTATAAAACTTATATCCTGACGAAAACCACATGGTCGCCGAAAACTGTATATTCTCTCCCCGTTCTCCTGCCGTTCCCTAGCGTGTCGTGCATTATTTCCAAAAATCGGAACTTTACCAAAACGCCGTGGTACGCGGGTCAAATTGATGTAAATCAGAACTGTCCCTCTGGCCGTCTGGTCGCCTTAGTCATACCACATTTCAATGACACTGTATTGTTTTACTCATAATGTTAATTTAATTGATATTTCTGCTTATTGTTTCCATCACAGATAAACCAACATTCTAATATTAAAAAATAATTTAAAAATACTTACACACACTGTCACCGGGGTATCTCCTGGAGAGAGGAGAAATGCAGGAGTTTCATCTGGAGAACCAAAATATGAAGCACCTCCTTCCGCTATGGGTGTCGATGCTTGAATAGGCCGTTCCCTTTGAGGGATTGGACAGACGGAAGATTTTTCACATGGTGTAAGACGTGTTATAGGTGGGGGATAGGGTGGGCGGGGACCTGGACAGGTTGAAGCAGGAACTGCGCACGGTGAACAGGGAGGTCGTGGAGTTTGCCTTGGAGGTCCAACTGGACAGGGTGAACCTTGGTACATAGGCTGTGGTCTGGGTGCACCAGCGGCTCCCCTGGGGGCTGGAGTGAATCTCTGCTGAGGTCTAGCCGTTGATCGCTGCTGCGGTGTAGGCCTGGGTCTCTGTTGAGGTATAGGCTTGGATCTTTGCTGAGGTATAGGCGTGGATCTCTGCTCTGGTTGAGGCATGCGGCCCTTCCGCTGAAATAAGATATTAAGTGATATTATTTTTTATGAAAGTTTACTCTTTAACAAGTCAGTTCGGTACCTAAATTTGTGAAGAGATGTTTGTACTCTGAGTATAATTATTTGTCTTACTATCATTCATATTGATATAGTTTATTCTTAGTAAATACTACTAAATAAGTATGGTTATTAAATAAAGTGACTAATATTTTAAACTTTTCATTTTGATTTCATACATATTTACTATATATAACCATTAACGTTTCATCCCTTCTCTATCACAAGAACGCTCCCATTGTCTGAAACATTGATACAAGCCTTCTTCTGTCGCTCCTTCAGGACTCCTACCGCTTTCTCTTTTAGCAAGAACGTGGATGCAGTCATGTTGATTAATTGCCTGACCTTCGGAAAAATAGTGAACATGCAACATCTCATGAATTTGGGAAAAGCACCATCATTGCTTTGAAATTTGATTCATTCATTCGTGCTTTTTTGACTACAAGTAAAGGATGATCATAAGGATGATGATAAGGAACGCTGCGGTTCGAATCCAGCCTGGGCGGGTTAAAGTATATTTCGTTTATATTCGCCGGACCCACAAAACGAATCTCGACCTTCCCAGTCTGGTTAGAATAGGCTTGGTTATCCCTCTTGAACATACTCCAAAAATGTCGAAAGTTTATTCCACTGTGGCCAGGGGTGCCTCCCAGGGATCTCTCCTAAGGTCGATGGTGCATAATCTAACCCCTCCCCCCCCTCACCAAAAATGCTATTTCTCTCCTGTTCTTAAAAACAGTGCAAACGAAAGTAGGACTAAACAAATCTTGGATCATATACAATTCTACTTGCTGTGGTCTATCCTATCTTTTTCTCCTAGTTCCCCGTTTTGAAACTTTTCACTCCGAAAATTCATAGACCCGGCGAAATGAGCCACCCTCAAATATTCAAAACCCAGTCGAAAAGTGGCCCCTAAAAAATTTTGATGGCGTAACGCGCCATGAAACCCCCTTCTGGACACTCCTGCATGTTGACACAGAGAAAGAAACTTTTAGATACCCTTATTCTGTAGAAGGCTTTTTACAGCGGAATCATTCTGACCCGCTTAGTACTAGCACTAAACATAAAGGCGTTGGGTGGGCCTATTTGTGAGTTTATTATTTCATAGATGTTCTATCACCTGTAATTTGGTTTCACGGTGGCCATACGAATAAGTAAAATAGTATTACTTAAAACATGACGCCTCTTTTGGGGTCCTCCCCTTCCTCGCCGTTAAGGCTATACGTTTTTTCCCGGGCCAGGAAGTATGGGCGGGGATTTGAAAGACTCCCTCGGCACCGGGATGCGAACTCGTGACTATTTCTATATCTTTGATTCATATATCAGGTTGCCGGGCAACGTCGTTGCTGTGCACACGTGTTTGCCCATTCGGCCACCCCGCCCACTTGGAGGGCGGGTTGACCGCGTGAGCCAACGCGTGTCCAAAATATAATGATAACATTAAGAAGGCTTTTAACTGTGGCATTTAACTTCTAATCTCTCCCCTGGCCTGTAAATAAATCAGTATAATCTAAAATGCGAGGAAGAAGAGAACAGAAAAAAACAAAACATAATTACTCACTTGGCTCGATCCTAGGGGATCATCTTCATCGCAGCATGGTCGGATGAGACGCCTTTTGACCTAGAAACAAATATGGTTTAAATATTTTTCTTTACTATTAACAATAAAACCTTACATAATGTGGAAAATATAATAGTTTAATTAAAAACAGTTTCAATATTTATGGAAACAATAATCGTAAGACAATAAAATTTTGTATTATGCATCAATAAGTTACCGACGCAGGAGTTTTCTGCTTGAGTTTCCGAAACGTTTCATCAGCTCCTGAACATTTTCCTGTTGGATAAAAAAAAAAGTTTAATGAGTTGTACATTACTTATTAAATACTAAAAAGATCAATATTATATAATAATAATATAATAGGTTTTACAAATATTTTATTTCAGAAAGGAAAGTGATATCGGAATTAAGTTATAATCTCAGCTTTCCTTTTTATAATAATAATAATAATTATTATTATTTATTTTACTATTATTTTATTGTATATTAAAAAAACAAATTCAAATTATTAAGTAATAATAAAATATAAGTTAACTAATGAATGGAGTTGTAGCACGCCTCAATATGGGAAACCTTTGTTCTTAGCATGCGTTATAAAAATGCTCATTAGCTATTCACTAGATCCATCAAAATTGAATTTATCTGAAGCCAAGATTTAGCATACTTGAATTTGTTTTGTTTTGGGCTCTACGATAAAGGAGTATGAGAAAGATCTAGACCGTAGTTCCAAGTTCAGTCCTTATATATGAAATCATACTAGAACGGAAAATGCACAGCAGTGGGGAACTACTATGAGGAACTAACAGGACCTACGAGCTTATCATCGATTCTCAGCGACAACTCATCGTATCGATTCCGACTTTGCCTCTGAGTGCTTATTTCATTAATAAACCTTGCTAAAAATTATCTATTTCACCAAAGTCATGTGCTATGTTTTTTCTCAGGGTGTTAAAGTCATTATATGTATTCAATATTTTTTTTATTACATTTATTATTCACATTTAAAAAAAATCTATAGCTTAAATGAGGAAGATAATCATTATGTTGCTTTACAAAGTTATTCCACCACAATACTTATGTTAACGATGGCAGCGTTAATTTATTTTATTTTATTTTTTTAATTAATAACTTTGTTTCGTTTTATTTTTATTAAGTTTTAATGTTTAAATATTATTTTTAAAAAAATTAAAAATCAGCTGTTTTAATTAGCACTATTTTTTACTTTAATTTTTAGGAGGAAAAACCTCCTCTTCTCTCCTCCTCCAGGATTTTTTTTTTAAAGATATAAGGTCAATATGTTTGGGTAGGTGGAGGATACTTTTTTGAGGTAAGGAAAGATCCCCCCCTTTTTTTAAAATACAAAATTGCAGTATTTTATGCCATTTAACTATTTCGAAGTTACTGGGGGCGGGGTGGCCGAGCGGGCCAACGCGTGTGCACAAGCACCGCCATTGCTCGCCAACCTGATATATGAGATACTTTTGATTAAAAATTATTAGAGTTTGCCTCCCGTTGCCGAGGGGTTCTTTTAATTTTGGCATTAATCCCTCGCCCTTACCCCGCGGCTAGGGAAAACCCCCATAAGATGAGGAAGGGGAGGACCAAAAAAAAAAAAGTTTCAAAGTTACTTTTTTGTTCAAAATCGATACAAATTTCAATAACAAAAATATTGTTTAAAAATATTAAGTAATTAGGAAACATGAACAGAACCAATTTGAAAAAAGAAACGTTTTAATGTTTAGGAACCTAATAAACAATAAAATGAACACTTTTTTTTATCTTAAAGTCTAGGCAATTAAAGCAATAGAAAATTCATTCAAAAAGAACGATTACTTCTTTGGAAACCTTCTTTAGTGGAAGCAAGACCTTAACTGATATTATATTGACTCAATATAATTGACCCGTGTGAGGTAGCTCTTCAATATATTGCCTTCAATTACATTGCTCCAATAATATTGACCTGTGTAAGGGGCCCTTAACGGAGAATATCAGGAAGAGAGAAAAAAAAGTACTAGATAGTTTATGTTAATCTTTCCACTAAAGGTTACATCTACCAATCGGAAGATAAGCCTCTCCTTTCCCAGCCAGGCCTTTCTCGCCTTAGGCTACCATTTGTGGGCAACATTTGAAGTTTCGTCCAATGTTATATCTTAAAGGAACAAAGTGATCCAATTCTATGTTACGTCTCCTTGTGGGTAAAGTTGCTAAACAAAATTACGAACATGAGCATTAGCATAGATCGTACCTCTATCTGCCTCGACAATGTAAGTTTGATATATGATCGTGTCAGGGCATGCTTTGTTCTTTATAAGGATTTCCAAAAGTTGGAGTTCAGATGAACAGGGGTAACATGTTTTGTATCGGCATATGTCTTCTAGTGCCTTCCTCTCGTCTATTTTGTTTTCGTAACACTTACGAGCCACCTATCAGAAAATACTAGTTAGATTATCTTGTAAAAATGTGTAGTTGTGTATTTATAGACATAGTCTACTGAAAACATATATTATTAACAGTCGAAGAAAAATATATTTATATATTTACAATTATAAACCGAAATCTTATAGAAAAATAGAAGAATCTTCAGCAATCTTCCGTTCTTCAGCCCTGAAGAAGACCGGTAAAGTCTGGTCGAAACGTTGGCTTGAAATGAAATAGTTTTGCCACTATTTTAGTCTATTTATGACCGCCACCCCGGACCATCTCCTTCCTCAGAAAAATAGAACATTTGTTCTTTATTATATAGTTAATCTTATTTTTAAATAGTAATCAATATCTGTGCCCCGGATGTAAAGAACACTATGTCATTTTTTGTATTTGTTCAGGGTAGACAATTTTCCATAACTTTGACCTATTAAAATTTGTTTCTTAGTTACTAAATCTGTTCTTTGGAGGAATAGGAAACCATATCACATTTTTGTATTTGTCCATTCTGCCAAATTCTCATGAAGTGAGCCATTAACATTTTTTTTAGTTACTTAATTATTTAATAAAAAACTTTAATGCTCGTAATGCAGCGGAGTGAGAGGCGATGGGATCTTCTAAGAGTCCTGCCTTACCTTCCACGAGTGGGGCTTCCTTGGCTCGGAGATCTTGAGTGAATGATTTTTTTTTGGTTTATTATTTTATATAATGGAACATTGTGATCGACCAAAAAAATTCAAAAACATAACCCCCTCTCAAAATTTGAGGTTTCACGTTTCAAGATGCGTAGAATTCGAAAACAGATTAAAAATTTTTTTGTCCGTCCGCCATCCGCCGTCCGCGCATTTTCTCCGTAACTACTGGACCGATTTTTTTTCAAATTTTGATATAACATCAGAGGTCACCCAAGGATGATCCTCCTTTATCGACATTACTCTCCGCCTTTAACTTTCAAAATGGTGGTCGAAAAACCTGCGTTGCTTTAGACTGTAGCTCCTAAACGAATGTACAGATTGCAATGAAACTTCGCTAAAGTCATTTTCTCGAAGCCCTTTAAATTTATCTATGTAACATACTTCAACGAAAAGAAGCTGGAAAAAAAGTTACGAGGGGTGGTAAAATTAAATTCCGAATAACTCGAAAAGTTTTTACTTTTTTGTGGATATTGTAGTTTTTTAAAAGTTTACAAAATTTCCTAAAAAACAAAAAAAAATCGTTAAAATCGGACAATTAGAAGCAAAGATATGGTGTCCGGTTTTTTTAATGTGTTGTACTCCAAATGTTATATAGGTTTGGTTTTTAAATTTTAAATGTGTTACTGAACTAATGCTATTTTTTTTAGCATATTACAGATGATTAAAGAAAAACAGTTTAGTCCAATAATTGGAATCACCTTTTGTTTTTTTTTTCTTTGTAACTCGGAAGGTAATGTTACTTTAGATGTATAATTGTTTGGAGATAATAAATACACAATAAACCATTGTGAAATAATTTGCAGCGTTTTTTTAGATATTGTATAGAAGCATGTATATATGTGGGTAATTATTTTATTTATTTTTATTTTTGAAAAATATTACAATCTGTCTCAAGGACAAATCATTTTATTAGTTTAGTTTCTCTTTGTTTATTTTAGTTTATATACATTTACTTATAGTATTATTGTTTTTCTGTATTTATTGTTGATAGAGTGTGAATGTGCTCTCTGAACACTATTATGAATGTCCTTAATTGTGGCAAATTGTAATATGTCTCAATAAATATGGTAAAAAAAATTAATAAAAAAATTGCCATGGTGTTCTTTCCCTCCTGGGTACAGATATAGTCAACTTTTATAATGTTATGGTTATAATAATATTGTAAATACTATTTTATTTCACACAACTAAGTCGTTATCACGTTTAGGTTGACTGCTTATTTATGAACAATTAAATGCTTCATTATTTTTATTTTAACATTTAGTTTCTAAAATTGGTCCGAAAAAATCAGTAATGAAGATACAAATTTCAATGTTTCGGCTAATTAATATTTTCATACAATTATTTATACAAATATATCAGGATTTGATTTTTAGAAGGGGCATTTTATTTAGTTTGTATGACGTTAATTAGTCTTGAGAAAGAAGAAATAAACTATATTAAATGGCCCTTGAAGACCTGTTAAATAAAAGAAGGTAATTACGGATAAAATTATTTCATTTCTTAAATTTTAAGTTTTTATTTTTATTTTCTATTCACACTTAAGCCTTAAGGTCAGTTTAATAAAAATCAAAATAGTTTTTGATAGTTATTTATTGAACGATTCGGGGAATCTGTGACCCCCCCTCTTCAGCGATATTTTCCTCTCCCAAAAAAAATTGGATTTGTCACTATAAAATAATAATTTTGGTACAATGCCTGATTTTCAACTAACCTTTTATTTTAGCATAACTAGTCTTATATATATATATATATATATATATATATATATATATATATATATATATATATATATATATATATATATCCCAAAATTAAGTCCTGAATTTGTTAATGGAAGATTGAAATTTTTTAGTACAGTAATAAAGTAAAAAATAATGTTTTAAATATTTTTTATTGAAAGATAAAATCAAATGTTCATCTGTTTATCTTATTTTCCTTTTATGGTATATAATAGAGTGTTTTTAATTTTTGTAAGGTTACTCAACTTGTAGCAAGGAGTTCGGCCTTGCAAGGTGATATTGATAAGGATATAAATAATTGTGAACAAACATTTAGAATTTATTTCACTTTGTTTTTCTTGAGAATCATTAATTTTTTTTTTTACATTAATCTTAGGCGTTACTTAACGCTTTAAAGAAACATAAGAAGATTGATAAAAAAATTCTCATTTATAAGAAATTAAACGTTTAGTTTGATTGTAGTGATGTTGTATTATAATTTACAATTAGAATAATAACTTTTTCCATTGGGCGATATTTGTTTCTATAAGTGATCTGAGTTGAATACTTAAACAATCACAATATGTAAACATTTTAAATTATAATGTACATACAGCTACTAAATGTAACCATGTGCCAAGAAAAAATATAACAATTTTATCCCTGATAACATAATTATTCCAGTCTTTAAAAACTATAATAATTTTATCTCCTATTCACACTTATGCCTTGAGTGTATGCCTTAAGGTAAGTTTAATAAAAAATAATTAACTTTCAAGAAAATAGGAAAAGTCGATTAGGGTTAGAAGTAGGTTCACACGTATTTTGCTATGTACCTATTAATGTTATGAAATTTTAGTTTATATGCAAAGATAATTATGTGCAGCAACGTATCCTAAAATTTTATAACACATTCATGCGGAACCTTCCATTTTCACGTCAAGATTTTATCTCATTTCTAGCGCAAATTTGAAGCATCGCATAATTTAGAATTCATCTCACTGTCTGAAAACTTGAAGTAAAAATGAAAATATATACTATATTCAATTAATTTGTAAACATACTTTCAAATATATCCACAACCCAATCGCAAAAAAGAAATATATATTCACATATCCAATGGACAAAAAAAATATTCGTACAGCCGATTTTTTGGCCGAAATGGTTCACTATATATTTTTTAACTTGAAATAATGGCAGATATCAACTACAAATTGCATTTTGTGTTAATTTTATATAGTGCCGAAATGTGAAATATCATACAACTTTTATAACATTGATATTTCAATAATTTGAACTCAATGAAAGTATTCGTACACTAGAGCGAGTATTAATAATACAATAATTTTTGTCATCAAAATAGAGTTTTAACGTCTTATTAATAATTCTTTACTTGAGGGAATTAAATGATAAAACTGCACAAGAAATTGCTTGTTCAGTTCAGTCAGTACTTAGGAATATTTCTTGTTAATGGGTCGTAGTTCCAAAGAATTGAATTCTCATGTTAAAGATGATATTGCTAAACATTTTCAACAGGGTTTAAGTTTGAATATTTAAGTTTAAGAATATTGGAAAAATGTTCGGACTACCTCGTACGACAGAGCATTACATTATTAAAAAATTTAAAAACGGATCAGTGGACAATAAACCCCGCCAAGGGAGAAAACGCTTATTGACAGTGTCTGAATATAGTGAAATTGTAGATATTGAGGCAAAAAATCGCAAATTAAGTGCTTGGAGGTTTCGGCTCACATCGCGTCAACTTATGGGGAATTTTGAACACCTCAAACCACGAGGAATCGGTAACATGAAGCTATAGAGGTAGAGCGGTAAGGAAAAACTGAAAAAAAGACTGCAGTTTGCCCGACAACATCTAAATAAATCCTACACGTTTTGAGAAAATGTGTTGTTTTCAGATGAAAGCAAGTTTAATATATTTGGATATAATGGAAAAATATATGTTTAGAGAAAAAAGGAAAGGTATTCGAACCCCAAAACCTACAACCCACAGTGAAGCACGAAGGGGCCAGTGTCATGATTTGAGGCTGTATGAATGCCGAAGGATTCGGTAAATCAGCTTTTATTGAAGAGATTATGAATGTTGACAAATATGATCTACGAGTTGCGATGAAATTTAAATAAAAATGGGCTAAAGTTATGATTGGAGGACTCATATAGGTTCAGCAGGACAACGATCCCAAGCACATGACCAAAGAATGGCTGTCAAATATCTTTTGGACCGCAATTTTAAGTTCCGTAAAATTATCCAATTTTTTCCCTTGAAGAAAATGGACCATGGATCTAAATAAGTAGTAATCTGATGGTACGGGGTCTGGTATTGCTTATTGGCAGCAGTGGGCGAACGAGAACCCAAAAGTTTTAACTCACTGCTGCCAAAACCCCGTATGGCAGCAATGCCAAGTAGGGAAAAAAAAGAAAGGTACGAGGGCTGGACTATATGGGGGATGAGGCAGGTGGTTTTCAGGCAATGGTTTTTCAATAAATTTTCACAAATTCATGACTTCTTAGCTAATTGCTGAGGAGTAAGTTCGTGAGGGACCAGTCTACTGCTCTTTTGAACTTTCCCAATGGAGAGTAGATGGCGACTAACAATATCTTTCGACACACCACACTCCCTGGCAAGTTCGCGAGTACTTGTGGACGGATTTGACTCAACAATTTCCTGCAGAACCTCATAAATATCCATTAATGGTCGCCCGAAGCTCTTCTTTTCCAACGTCGTATCTCCACTGATAATTTTTTCAAACCAGCGCCGCTCACTGCGCTGGTAAGGACACCTCCGCCTTCATATATAATAATTTCACGAGTTGCTTCAGCGGCTGTGAACTTTTTGTTTCCAGTAATGCCTTAAAATTACGAGAATATTGCGTAGAAGCAATGTTATGAATCTTTGAGTAATTTGTCTAGAGATCCCGGTTTGGCAGTTACTTCGATTTCCGTCCCAACCTACTCAACCGCGAGCCATATTTAAAATTTGTACTATTCAACTGATGGACAAAATTATCACAACTCAGGAACACAGACCATGTGTAACGTGTTATCTCATAAAACACTAATTTTTCAACTTTGTCCGATTTTCCCATTCAAGGTGTTATTCGATTCAACTTCCCGAGCTTAAAAAATGTTGTCGTAGACATTTTTAGGATTAACCAAACGGATTAGCCGGCAATTAGGGAAAAACATCCAAAAAATATCACCCCGCCCGCCACAATATTCAGATCAAGTTCTAATTTTACACGGATGTAGGTGACTCAATGGCCAATGTTATTTTGATTATTTTACCAGCGATAAACTCAGCAGAGTTTAAAGAAATGGAGAGACTACAACTCTTTTTGATTAATTAATCGACTCCACAATCTCTTCGCTTCATCATAAATGAAAATTAAATACTTAACAAATTGTAATGGATCGGTGGTGCTCGGTTTGGTTGTGTGGTACCTAAACAAATAGCCGAATAACAAAGTTTTTGTTATGACTATTGCGAAGGCTTGACTTCCATAAGCCCCGCTATAAAAAATTTCAAAACAACCTCCTTCTCCCCTCCCGACCCAAATTTATGAAATTGAATTTGGAACCTTCCCCCATAGTACAAAATCCATCTCAAAAAAAAGATTATCAAATTTTAACTATACACCCGTCAACGACGGGTACATCAGCTAGTGATTTATATAAAAAATCTTTTATTTTACTCACGTAATGCCTCCGCAGTTGCCCTAAGCTTTTGGCCTGTGCCAAAATTTGTTGTTGATAAGAAAGCACCTGAAATAAAAGTTAATTCAAGAATTAAAAATCAATTGATTTAATTGTACTTACATATACCCAATGGTTATATAGAAATACTGTTAAATATTTTTTATAATATTAATAAATTAATTAGATATTTATTTATTTTTGTAGAATAGTATTAGCTAGACAATTTAATTTTTAAACTAAGCAAAATATTTATGTATATGAATATAAAATTAAAATAAAAGTTTTGAATTTCTAAATTTTTTAACACTACTGACTTCGAAATCATATTTATAAAATATTTATCTATTTAATTTCTAAATATTATTTTTTATTAATGTATAACACTTTTAACATTGCTTATTCTCTTATTTAATCATCACATGGATTTAAAATTTATTCTAAGGAAAGCCGTATAAAAAAAATTCACAACAACCACTTACGAAATCATTAAACATTTTTTTTAAACTTTATTGTTTTCGAAATTCGTAAGTATCGGTAGGTGTCCGTAACCATGGGTTAAAAAATACCCCTCTCAAAATTACCATTAAGAAAAAAAAAATACTGCTGTTTAAAATATGCATACTAATAATTGTACTAGTGAATAAATTTCTCATCAGGGTGGGAAAATAGAAAACAAAGAATCAAATTGTGAGAAATCGGTGGTTGTTGTTGGATCCATGAAATTAATTTATGGCAACATTTTCTATCCCCATGGAAATTGATTTAAAAAAGTCGAAGATACAAATAGTTATATAATCGATAATAAGTAATATCCTTTCGGAATTGTGTTACCCTGTCACCCTGATATTCTCATCCTCCAAAAACTAATTCCTGTCACATACTACTCAATATTGTGAGAGGGAAAAGAGAGAAGGGAATATTAAGAATTATCGAAATTTCGAAAGAAAGGAATTTCGAATTATTAAGGGTTAAAAAAAAGGAGAAAAAATTACAATCAATGAAAAATCAATTTTCAATAAAATTCGATGTGTGTACGTACCTGCTCACATATAATTATTTTTGAGACGTCCCGTAATAGAAATATTGAGAGTCGAGAATTTCAGCTAAATTTTAACTCCTTTTTATTGTTTAAAAGTGCAATATCAACAGCGTTTCCATTACATTTTCTATTTATTTTCCTTTTAGTCAATTAGATTATCTCTTTTTTTCCCCAGAAATTACTTAAAAATCCCTTCCACCCAAATATATAGAATATATAGAAAATAACTTTATTCTGGGTTTCTTTAGAATAACAAAATAGTACAAAATTAAATAAATCTGGCCTAAATAAAACAAAAAGTAAACAAAACATTAGTTAAACATGATATATATAAAACAGATAAACCTATGTACAAAACAATTAAAACTATGACAAGACTCTTAAAACTATGTACAGTGGTGAAACATTATAAATATACACTTTTAAGGAAAAATATAAATGAAGAATATATTAAGTTCTTTAAAATAAGCTCTGTGTTTCTGGAAAAAAAAAAAAAAAAAAAGAAAAGCCGAATCTGTCAGTATAAAATCTCTGAGTATTTAAATGATGAATAATATGTGAATGCATCATAATTATTTCTTTACGTAACAAAAGGTACAAATTTAATTTTATAAAAAAAATAAAAATTAATATTAAAAAACCAACAATAGATGCATTCAGTGACATTAAGATTACGAAAATCTTGTAATATCCCAAGCAAAGAATAGTATCAACATTTGATGATTAATGACATAAAATAAATGTATAATGCCAAAGGTTAGCAGGAATTAGACTGTTTTCGGGACAGGAATTGGAATAGGAGGGTTTTGGAAGTAGATATGGAGGGAGATAAGGTGAATTTTGATAGGACCTGAGTTCCAGAATGTGACAGAGCGAGTATTTAGGGGGCGGGGTGGCATGTGTGTGCTTAAAAGTAAGTTTTTTTTTTTTTTAAAGTAAGTTGTAATCATTGATTCCGATATTGGCCATCTTTGCTTATGAATCACAACACGTTTAATTAGATTCAGGTACGAAAGTCGTTCAGAATTACCCAGGGAATCTAGAATTATTCAGCGAGTTTCTTGCCTAGTTATACCATTGGCTTTAACAAAATAAAACTTCACTTATTTTTAAAGATTTTGTTTAATTCACCACGCACTGTTTTTAACTAGTTTACTAGTTTTGAAACGGACTTCGTTCGATTTGAACTTACTTGTTTTCATATCTCAAAATATTTTCTAAAATATAGGGATACTCTTATAACGGTTATATCTCCTTAGCTATAAAGTATCATATGTTATCAGTAAATGGAGAATGATATAGAACGAGTGTAGTTTCAAAAAGGTTAGCTTAAATAGTACAGTGATCTTTGAGAATTCGCCCGCTACAACCTGTAAGGCCACCGTTGAGTTCTCACTCTATATATTTGGACAGAGTTTGAAGTATCTTGTTAATATTATTTCCTGACACTTTTTTAGAACTTTGTTTTAAACAAAAATTTAATTATGTTTTTGTTTACTTATTTTATCAAAGAAGAAAATTATTTAATTTATGTTTATATTGAAAATTGTACTTATAAAGTAATTATTTAATTATTTAGGTCTAATTATTTTTTCATCGCATTAATTAAGAAATATCCCAATACTCTATACATGTTTCTGACTGTATATGTGTTTGACTGTAATAAAATTAGACAGGACATTATGTCAACTTATAAAGACTTCCGGCGTCATTGCAATCTAAGTTTACCTCAGGAGGTTCCTTACGTTTCTTCGGACAGGCCGGCGCTATTTCGCCGTCCTCAAACTTGCAAAGGTTCATTTTTGGCAAAAAATATAATTTTTTCGATGGCAGAAAGGTTTTCCAAAGTTCTTTCGAGGACTCCTGTCCGTATTACAGGAATTTCGTTGTGTATTTCCGAAAGAGGCGTAGTTAAATAATTTGATTCATAAGGTTAACATATGTTAAGGTTATTTGTGAGTTTTTGCGAATCGAAAGCATAAATTATGCTAATTTATCTTAATGAATAAATTAAGATATAAAAATACATATAAACATGTTTTTAATATAAACAGATTATGTTTCTGATAGCGATATAATTAACAACGATTCGGAAAGTCGAAATGCCTTGTATTTGCATTACTTCCAAAAATATTGTGTAATAATTCAATTTGAAATAATTACAAATGTGCATATGTTTTGAGAAATTTACTATGTATATTATAAAGCACCTAGCATAAATTATTAAAAAAAAAAAATCATTATTAGACTACGGCGAAGGCACTGAAAGATTATGCATTGGGGTTGATCGTAAATATGTAACGATTTTTTTAGACAAATTTTTAACTCCAGTGACCCAAATTGTTCAGTGCGAGTCCGTGAATGTTTTAAAACAATTTAGGCTAAAAACACTGACAAATATTGAATAAAATGAGTTTAGACTATCCGCTAAAGGTATGTAACGTTTTTTTATGTAAACGACTAGATGCATTTTCAAGTCTAATGGCTAATATTATTCAGTGCAATGCCGTGAGTATTTTGATATCATTTGGGCTCAAAATATTAAAGAAAATATTTTATTATATCTTAATTGTTTTTAATTTTTTGTTAATGTAAATCTAGGTTTTTGATCATATGCGATGAATATAAATTGTAAAATTGAAAACATTGTAATAAAAAATAGAATTCGATTTTGTTTTTTTTTTTTAGGAAATTTAGTAATCTTTCAAATCATAATGGGAACAATCGATAAACAAAATGTATAGTTTACTAAACTACAAGTAGTTTACTACAGCTTATGTTCTTATAATTGAAATTTTTGTTTATATTCATAGTCGATTATATGTAGCCGCAAAATCTAGGATTTTATAATTTATTTATGTCCGCCCTTCCATACTTTATGTTAAGATTTTATCACATTTCTTGCAGCAAATTTGAAGCATCGGAGAATTGCGAGTCCATCTCACTGCCTCAATCCATCAAATAGAAAAAAATGTAATATATTCAATTTATTTGTTAATGTATTTTTAAGTTCGTTTTACAATAATTATTTTGATTATAATATAAACTCCCAAGAGTTTTTGTGGGGAGAGAGGGGATTATCGTCCCCCAACAAGAATGGAAAATTTGCGCCTTTGTCCTGTACTATGGTATGCAATTACTAAAAACTTCAACACGACCACTCAATACGTGTACTTCATTAGTGTCAAAAAAAAAAAAAAAGATGTTTTTATTAAGTTTAAAATTTCCGAAAGAAAATCAGTACATGAATAGTTTACTCTTCACGATATAGACCACGAATAATATGAATGAATAATATAATGAATAGTGTATTGTTCAAGAAAATTATAATGTGGAAGTAGGTAAATCCAATAAATACCGAGGCAAAGGGGTTAAAATACATTGTAAGTCGATTTATTGTCCATAATTATCCAAAACATATTCAGAAAGTCATACAGACTGTATCTTTGTTAATAATGAATGGTCCGATTTCGATGGATTTTTTTCCTTTTATATGGAATCTAGTTATGTCAAGTTGTATACCTTTTTGGGTAACGCGCAAATTATGTTTCGTTTTCTTAATAACATATTTCCTACTTTTTTCCAAGGGGAAGAAGTAGTGAAGGTAATCAGCTTTATTTATGAATTATTTATGGATACGTTTCGAACCGACAAAAAAAATTTAAATAATATTTAACAAATACGAATACTAATTATTTGAATTTTTCGGTCTGTTTTAATCGGATAAAGAAACATTTGGGCACACTACTCGTGTTGACATGTAAATTCTATTTATTAAACCAAATAACGTAATTGATAATAACTTACCCATTCCAGCTGATTTGAAGATAAATCACAATCCCAATTTCGGTTGCCTTGCCAACAGCTGTTCTGCTATCACCTTGCCTCGGACCGACCCTTCGCATCCTGCTGAACCAAATACAATGCCTTTTCCTATCCCTTCCTCCCTACGCCAAACCTAAAGGGACGGCTATTCCCCTCCTTTCATGTCATTAAACTCCTTGGAATATTAGAAAACGTTAGCCCCTGTTACGTCATTGCTTTCTTAACTACCTGTATCACTCAAATTGTCTTTAATAATTTCTATTTCTATGAAATATTGTACTTTTTCAATATTTAATTCATAATTTTCAAACAGTACTTATGCCTTAGGGGAAAATTATATTATGAAAATAATGTATTTTCCAGGGCTTGAAATGGGAAAAAACTTTTATTTTTTTAAAAGTTTTGGTATCACTGGAATGTTTATCGTCCATAGTTTTTCAGTTCTTTCCAAACTAGAACTGTGTAAGTAAAGATTTTATTTTGAAGTAACGTCGATTTCTCTAAAAAAATACATCTCTTCATAGCTACTGAAACAAATGGCACATTAGAGCCATGTGTAATTTATTTTAAAAAACTCTTAAAACTCTTTATGTAAAATATCTGGTGTGTCCACTCACACGATTTTCCTACCTATTTCAGAAAAGTTTTTATATCTTTACATATGTTCATGAAGAAACAAAAAAGAATTGAACTAGACACATTTTCCTGAAAATTGATCAAACATAAGACTTGAGTACGATTTATTTGATAAACTAAAGCAATGCAAACCGGCTTAAGGTAGATCAGTGTAAAAATTTCAATACTTCCTAATATTGCTTATCAAAAACTTTTTGGCATAGCTTAGTATTGTCAAACAATAATCTCTGTTAAAAGTAGAGGAAATAGTGAAGATTGTGTGATGCAGGCAACAGATTTTCTTACTTTCACTTAGTCATCTTTATTCTCTCATTCTGACACCAGGATATTAAACCGTAATCTTACATTGGAAATTGAATAGCTGTAACTTCGTTAATAGTTGTCAAAAATGAAATATTTTTATATGGCTTTGTAGGGAATTTCATTATCCTTCAAACGACAGGCTAAAGGGCAATAATTTTTCTCAAATTGGTCAAAATCGATTCAGTAGTTCCCGAGAAAATCTTGGCACAGACATACAAACCAATGGCTAAAAATGTGTTTTTTGGACTCAGGGGGCTCTGAAACGTATAGATCCGTTGAAAACTGCATGTCGGAAATTTGACCCGATTGCAGTACTTTCCTTACCTAGTATAGGTAGGAAAGTAAAAAGTATTTTTCTCCCAGATCTCCGTCATAGGAATTCATACAACTTGAGACGAACCTCAACTTAATTTATATGGACTTGAAGCTTATTAAACGAGAACATTTTTCTAAAATGGGTGAATGGAGAACAGTTGAAGGGTGATAAAAAAAATCAACAATAATTTATGACTTTTTTTATATAACGTAACTTAGTTGTGTTTGTCCGCTCAATAGTCTTCTTTAAATATTTTTACCAATGACAAACTCTACTTTCGTTTAAAGTAAATTTTATCTAGTTTACTATAAGGCAATGTTTAATTACTTAAATAAAATATTTCTTAAATTACCGCTTTTCATTCAACAAAAAATGTGACTCGCTTAAAAAAACACAAATCTTTAATTTGCTACTTTTCTTCTGCAAATTGAGCAATTGTTATATGAAGTTTTTTGTAGATCGTGATGTCTGATATCAACCTTTTAAATATTTCCTTCTACTTACGGAACATCATGTGTATATATATATTGATATTGATTGATAGATTTGATTGGTCACTTCTTAGGTACCCGTTATTTTTTTCAGAAAAAACTGGCCAGAAAATGATGTAAAGATTACAGTAGGGGAGCAGTTACCTTGTAAAGGTAAAAGTCACGTTACGCCTGGACCGTGCAAAACAGGATTTCGAACTGTCAAAGAGTGGAAGGGACTTGTCCGTTAGGCCGGCTTATTGTAATGCTTAATTAATTATATTTTTTAATTGTAAATTAATTAATTTATTTACCTGTGGGAGATATCTCGCATATCTATAAATATGTGTTCTTTTTCTTTCGTAATACATTGGAAGTATAAGAGATATTAATGAAACATTTTTATTTATATGTATCAAATATTATCTAGATTGCTTATACAACACACAAAATTGATGATGATATACACTTTATAATGAGTATGTCGAAGTTTAATTTTTCTTATTAACAACTATCCTTTCAGTTTAAACGTGAAGTAATATGACTCAAATGACACGAACCTGACGCCCTCAAATAAATTAGGCTTGGAGATCAAAAATAAAAATCTTTGGAGAATTTTTCTTTATTTATTCTTTTATAAAGGCGTAAAATATAAACGTTTTTGATATAGTTTAGAAGAGAAATAATTTAGTTGAAGCTAACAACGTTGACTCTGGAGAAAATCCTGAAGAGTTTCGAATATTTTAGTTAACAGCATGAAAAAAATCCTCTCATAAAATCAAGGTCCAAAAATTTATATATATTTATTTTGCCATAAAAATTTTATTTGTGCCGGTCAAATTTTGTTAACAAACAGCAAATGTGCTGGAAATACAAGTTATAAATGACATGTCAGGCATGGCAAAGGAATTTCTTTCATTTTTTATATTTTTTATTATTTTTTTTAAAGTTTAATATTTTTTAATTTAAAAACGGGAGTGGGGTAGCTCATTGGTAGGGTACTAAGCTTCTAATGCTAAAGGTCCCAGGTTCGAATTCCGGCTCATGGCTGAAAAATTATTTATTCTGTTACATTGGCTGTGGGGCGACCCTGGGTAGATGAACCCTCCTGGAGCACATCCAGCCCCTATAAAGTGGGTACCCGTAATTAAAAAAATAATTAAGGGAAAAACCTGGCGGTTGAGCGTGATCTCGGACAAATTACCTCCTTGCACAACCGTAGACCAAGAAACAGTACTTTCCCTAAATAGTACTGAGCCCAATACCCTTCTTGGATTGTAGTGGTACAGGTTTTAGATAAACGATAAATTACATCTCCCAGACTTTTCTCCTGTTTCTCTTTCGCTTTATGACAGGATAACAGGAGCAAGAAACGGTTTGCTTGAAGGATGACAAATTTTGAAGGTTGCATAAACGTATTTGACAGCGTGTAATTGTTACATGACAACGGGGGGGTCCATTTCCTTGACACCGTGCCACCTCTGCTAAGAGGCATGCCATGTCCAGTGAAAGCTCTCCAAGACACGGTCCATCAGCAGTGGTTGGTGGGGCTCTTGTTGGACGCAGTTCTTCCACGATCGCCTGCGAATCACCATGTCTCTTGCGGTGAGAAAGTATTTTTGTGTCTTTGTTTAAAATAATACAAATAAAATACACAATTTATTATTAATTCTATCAATTTTCTTACTAAATTTATAAAATACCATTCATTTCATTCTCATTTTTTTAAAATCCTATTTTTAAATATATAATAATGATATTTTTTTCCGATGAATGTCCCATGTCCCCATGAATGTTCCCAAAAATTGGTTTTGGATTTCAACAAATAAAATAAAATGAAAAATATTTCATTCATTTTCCTTATCAATACCATTACAAAATAGCTTCCAACGGTATATGTGGTATATATTTCGTAATAATTATAATTATAAACGAATACAATCTCTTATACAATGAGAATCGCTATTGTTGATCTTAAATAATTGTTTAAAGTTTGATCTTATCATACTTGTTGAAAAAAATGTATTAATAATGCTTACGGCAAGGAAAATACATTGAGTGTATTGAAAATATCTTCTAGTTCCTTAAAATTTCAAAGAGTTCTGTTTCCTTGAAAGTATAGTAAATGTCATTAACTGTAAATTTGATTTGATGTTTGTAGGCATTTAAAATATCTCTAGATTTGAGATGCCGTTTTTACGAATTTATAATGTTTATTTAATGGAAATTATTCCATGATTTCAGTTCTGTGACGATATATTATTTTTATTAATATATTTTGTTTGGGTGTGAGAAGCCTTAGACATTACCCAATAACTCGAACAAAATTTCTGAGCTATTTTAATAGCTTGTAAATAATTTCTCAAAAATTAAATGATGGAAACAAAATATCAAGATTGGAATAGTTGGAATGAAATTTACCGGAATTAAAAAAATAAAAAATACGTTCTATTTATTTGATAAACAATTTTTAAACGTTTCCAATTCTGTTGTATTTCAACTTTTCACTTATCTGTTGTTATTTTATAAAACATTTTGCTATAATATTATAATTTTTATTCTAACACAATATTGTATCGATGAAATTTCAATTTATTAAAAGCTATTCGTAATTTTTTTTTTAATTTTAGTAACTTCTTGAGATCATCAAAATTTCCGAATGCAGTTTGAATGTTCTCAAACCTTAAATTGCCCTACTTTTTGAAATTTCAAATAACTGGAAGGTGGAGGTTTACACACATTCCTTGTCGATTCCGTAACGAAATTTTCTGATATTTATTATTTTCAATATACAATTGGATCACACTGAATATTGATTAGTTGGAACATCATTAATAGTAAATACTCGAATTTATATGATGTATTTTGATTAAGTTGTTTAATTCTCTCTATATAAGTTTGAATCCCGAAAGTAAATGAATTTATGAATGATATTTTGTATGGCCAATTTTAAATTATGGCCACATTTTAAACTCTTAAAACAGATTAAAGTTTGTATATGAGGTAGCTGTGTTTTGAAGAACAACAGTTTCGATTTTATGATAAAGCTTTTAACAATTAGTGCGTTGTTATAAAATAATAATATATTAGCAACGATACGACCAGATACCTACAACATTAATATATATTAATCATGAATCCATATCAAAGAACAAAGAAGATTGTGTTGAGGAATCCGATCCTAAGGCTGAGAAATACTTTATCATTTCAATTAACATCTATTACGTATTAAATTAACATATTCTTCTTTTACTTGATTATTAGTTAATTATTTACATTGTGTTAAAAATCGATGCCCTAGTATCAGATTTATTCACATTCAGATGTCGTTGGTCTTGCGGTCCAGTAGCTGTTGTACAGTTATGTGGTTTCTGTCCTTAGCTCCTCACCAATCTATAAAAAAAAAATGCATCTTCTGATTAAGTTTTTTTTTAAATTACAAAACCTATGACGGATTGTAATATATCTTAATAAAGAATTTTAAAAAAATTACCCAACATGGTAACAAATATAATCAGTGATGACAACAAATGGAATTTTCGCAAAAATTATTTCTCAGTAATTCATGATAATACTCGGTTCACATATATCGTATAAGTAATTAAATTTGTATATTTTTTACAATTTAATTATTTGGGAATGAAGTGCTTATACATGATAAACAAAATTTTATGTTCAATTTTATTTCATATAATTTTATATAGTAACTAAGATTGTCAAGTATTAGTAACCATTTTTCATTAAATTTTATTTTTTTTAAAATTATTTTTTTTTACCATTTCTGGTATTGGCCTTGCGATAGTTAGGCGGCCTTCGTTTTGGCCGGAAACCGATTTTAGGCCAAAAATATAAAAGATAGCTGAAAAATGCTCATGATATATAAGTTAGATGGGCTTGAAAGTTTTTCATAGGTTTGAAGGATTTTCATAGAAATATTAAATTCATATATGAACTTTAGGATAGGTTTTTGAACTTACGTGTAACAAATGATAATCTTATCATAAGAACTATGTGGACCAGGACTGATTATAGCCAGCGTGTCTTAAAGTTATTCTCGTGTATTCTCGTCATTGATGTTATTTCATCCCGATTATCAAATTTTTATCAGAACCTAATCCATTATCATAATCCCTTATCACAATCCTTATCCAGTTCCAGTCATCCCTACAATCCTCCTCGAAGGTTGAAGCGGCAGTGAGATGTTTTGTTAAGATTTCATTGGAATCCTGGAGATGGCCAGCTTCTCCACTCAAGTCATGAGCGTATGTGGCTTTAGTGCCCTCTCTTAGTCTCCACTGGATTCCCATCCTAGAGATGTGGCTGAGAGAGACAACATAAAATTTTGTTTATCATGTATAAGCACTTCATTCCCAAATAATTAAATTGTAAAAAATATACAAATTTAATTACTTATACGATATATGTGAACCGAGTATTATCATGAATTACTGAGAAATAATTTTTGCGAAAATTCCATTTGTTGTCATCACTGATTATATTTGTTACCATGTTGGGTATTTTTTTTAAAATTCTTTATTAAGATATATTACAATCCGTCATAGGTTTTGTAATTTAAAAAAAAACTTAATCAGAAGATGCATTTTTTTTTTATAGATTGGTGAGGAGCTAAGGACAGAAACCACATAACTGTACAACAGCTACTGGACCTCTCGACCAGCTCCTTTTCAATCGCCTTCTAATGTGCTTGTCAGCCGCGACCATATCCTTAGTAAGTCTGTTGTGTCTGTGTAGTTTAATATGAAATCGAAAGTAAAGAGTGCGCATGTGTAAAAACTTATAGTTTGTGTAAGTGCGTCTTTCTTTGTTGATCTGTGAGTCGTATGTGTATATGGGTTTGAGCAGGTGTATTCATGCATTTAGTTTTGTTAGATTTTCAATTTTGATTTGGAAAATAGTGATTAGAGTATTTTCAGTCGCTTGTTCAAAGTATGTCTTTTCACTTTAACGTGTAGTCCCTAGGTCATCCTTATGTCGAGTTATTAAATGTTATATGTTGTGAGAAGGATTTGGTCGTGGGTGCGGTAAAATAAATACTAAAAAGTTAAAATAGTATTTTATTCGACACGCCGACGTTTCGAAATACTTTGTAGGTTTTCATCAGGGCGTTGTATCAGCTACTGCAGTCTGCCAACCAGTCTACCAACTGCTTCCTGCAGTAGCTGATACCACGCCCTGATGAAGACCTACAAAATGGTTCGAAACGTCGGCGTAACGAATAAAATACTATTTTAACAATTTAGTATTTATTTGACCGCACCCTCCGACTAGCTCCTTCTCATATTATATCACGGCCAACCACCTCTACACCGCTATATGTTGTGATTTTTCATGATTTTCCAAAGTGATTACCAATTTTGCAAACTTAGTAAGTGATTTGTAAATTAGGTGAGGCTAGTTCGGGATTATGGTGTTTTGTTAATAATCTTTAAAAAAAATATTTAGTCGATCTTCAACAATATGTTTGTAGTTTTTTTTTTATTGTACCCAATCTGTCTTATAGAAGTTCTGTATTTTTGTTATCAATCTTTGGTACCTTCCTATTATCTACCTGGCCTTATCTGGCATTCGGGAGGAGGGAGTGTGATCCTGCAGGTAACAAACCTAATCTATCAAAAATGGGAGAGTCGAGATTTATTCCTTGGGTATACCACGAAATAAATTTAAAAAAGCCTAGTCCGGATTCGAACCGGCCCGGCTAGACTAGAGGTTGTAAAGGTAACTAACTACACTTCATGTTCTTCCCAGGATCTATCTACTGGGACGTCTTGGCAGGTAAAGAGAGAAGTGTGTTCTTTATATTTCCGGATTTGTTTCTCTTCCGATGATAACATACCATTTGTCTGTTTTTACTTATTTTTTATTTTGTTTTCTATTTTAATTTATTTATTTTATTTTTTACTTATCAGACAAAGATCGCTTCCTGGAGTGGGTTTTTGTCATTTGATAGATCTCCCATGTTATCTGCGTCCTCAGATTTCAGCTATATAATTCAATTTAACAGCTTGTCCTTTATATAAAGTTTATATATAAATATATATATACATTTTTTTCAAAATGGTGTTATTGTTTATTTGTTTTAATATACTTTCACTGAAGATACTGTTGATCAATGTAATTTTTGGGCAGATATAGTTTTTATTTTTTTGTTAATAATTGTTATTCATAAGGAATCTCGTCCCAGAATGAAGTTTATTTTCTGTATATATATATTTGTTCATGTTTTATTTAACTAATAATTTATATATTTGTTTTTTATTATTATTTTAACCAAAATTTACTTTTAATTAATGTTTGGACAATACTTATTTAATTTTTTAGAGTTGGATACTTCTTGCAGTGTGCATTGGACTCTCACTGATACCTTCCAATTGTATCCAAGAGCCTGGAGAAGAATACGAAGATCAAAAAGCGGAACCATCGAATCGTAATTTTTTATTTACATATATAACAAGCTGATATCAATTTAGTGAGGAATGGAATTTCGATTCATCATCTAATAATGGCTTGTTTTATCCATAAATTAAATAAGTTAAATTAAATAATTGAGTGCAATGACTGTACACTAGTACCTAGCGTGATGACATAGTTCATGAAGTCTTTGATGAATGTCAATGACATGATTTTGATCAATGTTTTTTTTTCTTTATCAATAGTACCTTTTGATTGAGATAATATTTTAGTGATTCAACTAAAAGGTTTTGATATGTTAGCAGGTTCCCGGATAGGCGATTACCTAAAAGGAGAAACAAGCATTAAAATATTTCGATTTAAATCATTTGGAAATGCACGAAAAAGTTTTAAAAAAATGTTCTATAAATTAATCGAAAAATTCTAAAAAACCAAATAACAAACTTGTGGTCTTTAAGTTTTTTTTTGGAGAGTTGGAGAGCCAAACGTTTTACCGCTTTAGGGCACCAATTGTCTAGATCCGCCTTTGTATGATAAACATATTTATTATATTTTAATTTTATTTAATTTTACCAAAACCGACTACTCTGAAATTCTTTTTGAAGTCAAGCTTCCTGGTAAACATTATTTAATTTAACTCTTATCTACTAAGCCCAGTAATTTTCCTAAAACACATAGTTTTCAGGTTTATAATTCGAACATTAAAATATTCCTCACAAAATTCGTATTTTAAATTTAGTCATATTTTCAAAAAATAGTATTAGACAAGGTCCAATTTTATTAAATTATATGTCAACTAGGGGGGTACCTCCTGTCGGCGGACCAACAACCATTTTACAAATTATACAAATGAAAAACGGTGTATGAAAGATAGAAATTGTCAAAGAAAAGAATAGTTGAAAACTTACATCCTGAACAGTTAGAAAAAATCTTATCTGAATTATGAAATTAGGAGGCAGAATGTATATTTGTACGTCACCGGTGTTCTGCAGACATTCCATCTTCTATTTAAAATAAAATATCGGTCACTAAAAACGTTTTTGTATAATAGAGGGGAAAGTAGATGTTTAGCTTGTAACATATACAATTAATTATCAGTGTAATGTTTTTATAAGGAAATTCCCAATAACATTGTAGTCATTTAAGAATTAAATGTTGCTAGAATTTACAGGCGGAAAAAAATTATGTCTAAAAGTGTTATTGTTCATATAATTAGATTTAATAGGACTTAAAGAATCACTTAAACACCATTCCATATAGTTAGTTAGTTTATTTTTTTCTTCCGAAGTAATTATTCTAATATATATATAAAAATCTTTTGGGCTGAGGTCCCCTATCCCAAAATTAAATCCTGGATCCGTTAGTGCTAGAATTCATAATTATAGTTTTAGGAATAATTTCAGATTCCTTTGTTTCGTAAAACTGTTTTTGAATTAGCAATGTAATCATGATACTATTATACATTTATGTTCTTTCTAATTTTGTTACACTATAAATGTTGTTTATTTTTATTAATACGAGATACTTAACTATAATTATTTCACATTAATGTTATATTTTTGATTGCAGAGTACATTGGACGTGTACAGTTGAAAGTTTTCAGAGGTCCAACAAGCCCAGATGGAAGTTGGGCTCCTCATGGATTTTGGGTTAGGCAGCCAGCAGATCCAAAAAACAACTAAATTTTAATTTTATTAAATGTTTATGAATAAATATAATATGTATTTAAATCTAGCATTTTATAATTCCTCTTCATTATTATACGTTATAAATTGCTTAATGAAAAGATGAAATAAAATAGCTTATTTTATCAGTTGGAATAAAACGTTTATTTGATTTCTGCCAGCTTCAGCTAAAATTTTATTCATTAAAAAACATAAAAATTAAGTTTATTCTATCCTGTAAAAAAATAAAATGAAAACAAAAACTTTATGTTTTGAAAATGTATTAAATATTTTCGAAAGAAATATGATTTAAGTTTCGTTTGTTAAAACTCCCGTAAACAGCAATTAATAATATATTTCAGAATCATGTCGTATCGTATTATTATTCTTGTATCCCTTGGAGGAAAGTGACTGTTTTTCGTCACTAAAAACCAAACAAACTTTTTTCTGATAATTTAGAATGTTATTTATGGAAGATTCATAGTTATGACTGAAATGGAACAACGAGCTCCTATTGGTTTCTCGCAATATCCGAACAAAAGTTTGGAGGTTTCGATTAAATGACTAACCAATCATGCAGATAAGTGATATTAAACATACCTTGTGCCTTAAAAGGAGAGAAAAATATTAGGAAATCTATAGCATCTAGACAACTTTAAGATCTGCATAAAATGCATATAAAGATACATATTAGACTCTGAAAAGGTAAATCACAATTCAATATAACTAGTTTTGTCCGTTATTTGTCCTTTCGTTTCACATTATATCACTAATAAAAAACTACATCCATTTTATGTGAAAGTTCAAAACCGCTTTTCACTGCTGAACCATACTGCCATAATATAATATGTAAATTATTTGTTTCAAAATATTTCTTATACAGGCGCCGTCATTGAGGAATGAAGAGGAGGGGTAGCTAGGAACATTCCGCCTCCTGCCCCTCCCCCAATATTTTATAAGGGGGGATCAGCCCCTCCAATATTCTGCATGCATTTACTTAAAAACTCACAGAAAGATAGTAAAATAGATACATAAACATATATTGAAAAAATATATACATAAACTAACAAACACACATATAGAGTGAGAAGTGTATTCTAGATTAATAAAAATGAAGTAAATATATTTAATATTAAAACAATTTCAGGATACAAGGTAGGTATGTTGATTTTTTATACGAGAAGGGGTTTGGAAACAATGACAATGGCCTGAGTTTTAGCAACATTTAACCTTAATTGATTGAATATTGGACTGACAATGATTCGATTTAATTCTTCTTGAATTTCGACAATCGCAGTGTACTACTCAGAGTGACAGAAGGATATATCAATTTGGGAATAATCGGCATAGAGATGATGAGAACAATGGAGGATTGATTTACGAAGTTCATTGATATGAGAACTAAAAAGAAGAAGATATTTGCTACAGCCCTGGGCCACTCCTGAGGATAGAGTAAGCTGGGGAACAAAGGTTGATTAGGAATAGCAATTGCTTGGGTACGTTGAGAGAAGAAAATTAGAACTGTTGGAAAAATTACAATTTTAATTTGGAAAACACTATGTAACGGTTAATGTTGTCGAAGGCTTTTGTCCGATTTAACATTAGGGGATGATTGATTATTTTAACTGGGGGAGATCATGTGGATTAATCGGTTCGCGAATATGATTGATAAGGGTCACGTTAATTTTTCTGTTCGAGGAACCTTGTGATTGTATAATCTTTCCAAGGGAGAGGCCGTAATTTACCAATGAGTTACAGCGTAAACTTTAGCATTCTCGAGTCTAGCTACTCCGGTTCAAATCTGGCCTGGGCGGTTTAAAATTTATTTCGTGGTGACTACACGGAATGAATCTCGACCTTCCCACTCTGCTTAGAATAGGTTTGGTTGAACGTCTAGAACAGCCCCGTGCCAGGAAGTCAAAAGTGATGTTTATTTTATAAATATTTAAATGATTTCATATTATTGAAATATTCATAGGTGGGCAATTTTTATTATTGTAAAGTCTAAAACGTTAAAAAGTCTAAAATCTGTTTGTAAAGTTTTTGTTGGAATAAAAGTTAGTTTATTTCAATAAAGAGTACTCAAATTTATTCTATTTGAACCTACGGATCAAATATAACGGTTAATTATATATTGAGCCCTAACCAGAACACCCCGCATGCCAGAAATGGAGAAGTAAGGGTAGCGATAAAAAAGAAAGAGAGAAAAAAAATCCTTCCAAAAGTTTTGAAAGGTTGAGAAGGATTGAGATTGGGCGATAATCTTCGGGATAAGAAGTGTTCGAATTCGTATGAAGGGTTCGAACGGGAAAGGACAGTGGTTTTTTTCCCCAATGGCTGAGGGGAATACTGAATTATGAAAGAAGAAATTATATATGAAAAGAAGACACAGCGGATTTCATGGAGAACCATTTGATTAATTTGACGATGATGCCTTCTATACAAATAGAATTAGAATGTGATTTGATCATGGTGAATATAAGATCAGTATGCGAAACGTCAAACAAATATAAGTCGCTGTGGTTAAGTGTTGTATCAGGAGGAAAAAGAAAAGAAGGTTATGGAGAAGTGGAAGAGTGAGCACATATAAAATATGAATTTCAATCATCAGGTGAAACTGGAAAGACTAATGAAATGGAAGGTTCACAAACGGGGAATTTACGGAAGAGTAGCCATTTTGATTTTGAATCAGGAGCTAATGAAAGGGGTTCATAGAAATGGGTAAATTTGGCTCGCCTTAATCTGGAATGAAGAGTTCTCACTGCTCCAAGCATTCCAGATCCGATAAACTATATAAATCCGTCTCAATCTGTAACAGAACGCTTAAGTCACAGGTCCAACCAACAGTTCCAGCGTTCTTTATAGATTCGGCAGTACAAGAAATGGGATTGCTTCGGTAACATGCCCAACTGTTCCTATACTGCTTGTTGATCCGGTCTCGCCACTAATTATCGACCCACCCTTTCCACTCCCAACCGAAATTATTGGAATTGTTACGTTCCACAGCGAGAATTAGTTCCATGTTCGCGATCCAGTTCCATCTACCCATCCCTAGTTCCAGCAGTTGATCTGTTTTTAATTTGTCTAATTCTAGTTCTTAGAAATCGGTGACTCTCATAAATTTACTTTTTCTATATATAAATAATTGAAAGAAAAAAAAGTAATACGGTAGTAGTGAATTAAAATGGGAAAAATACACATTAGCATTCAGAAAATTCATTTGTATTCTGGAATGATAGATTTTTATTGAAATTGAACTTCACATATGTAGGATAAAGTTACTTCTATTTAGTCAATGTTTTTTGGTTATGACCTCTTTGATATAGAATTGTAAACCTTATCAATATGTAGCCTAAATGAAATAAACATAAGTAATAATTATAAGTAATGTAAATAGTCCAAGAAATGCGCCTTATTTGTTATGATAGTTTTGTGCGTTGTAACTATGTAAGTATTATATTTTTATTGACTGTTGGCGTGATTGTTTACATATTGATTTTTGAAAGAGAAGTTCAAGCTGATTATGAATATAAGTCATTTAGACAAGGAGTGGTTAAAAATGTTTTGCTTAACTTTCTTAAAACCCCTCCTGACAAAGTAGTTGAGTTCACAATAGACCTCGAATATTCCTTACATAATGTAGATAAGAGGTTTTTAAGTTTTTCTATTGACTCATCACAAATTTATAAAGGCCTTAGGAATCCCTCCTTGAGGTAAGTGGTAAACTAATCTAGATACTGTTGTGCAATTAAATTTCTGAATGTTCATCAGTTTTCTATGGTTTATTACAGGGAGAAATGGTTAGTTCGCCAGATTTCACATTTGAAGGGAGGCTATTTAAGAATTGGTGGAACAGCTGCAGATATGCTTGTATTTTCTCCTGCATTTAGTGCTTGGCCAGACAGAGAGCTTCCGTTAGATGGTGGACATTGTTCTTTTTATGTAAAAAACTGTACAAAACCTCCAAAGCATAAGAAATTTTCCATGTCTGGTAAATTGCTGTTTTGTTGAATTGATTGATACTGTCAATTATTTTAAGGATTTTTGGTCATAACGGAGATGGGACGAATGGTGGTGGCTAGAAGGTGACACTTTGTACCATGCATAATCATTATCGATACTAGCTTTTTAGTTATATCCCGTAATAAACCATCCCATTTCATTATAATTTATTTCTTAATTGGATATAGTTTTGATCACTACATGCTTATATTCACAATTTATCATTATTAATCATGTTATAATAATTTGTTCTCTTCTTTTTGGTAGTACTGTACAAATGTTGTTCCACTTTGATGGGTGGCCCAAGATTTCATGATCACACTTGAATGGAATCCTGTGATGAAATGGCCAAGTGTATTGGAAGTAAATGGTGGTGAATCCCTGACCTCAACTTCAACTGAAGTACCTGTTGGGGTTTGTCTGTCTATCCCATTTGAGTGGAATTCTAAAACTGCAATATAATTAAAGCTAATCAAGGCTCCAATTTTACTGATAAAGATCAATTAGAAGTTTGTGGATGTCATAAATTGCTATTTAATTAAAGGGACGTTAAACTGTAAATACATCAACAATCGACCATTTTTTGTAATCTATTCGTAGTGTGGTCATGAGATCGTGGCCCACTAGTCAAAGTGGAGCAACACTTGTACAGTTCCTTCATTTTTATGAACTTTTTAATTTGTATTTGTTTACAGATTGATGTATAAATAGTTTATTAATATATTGACTTGTGCCAGTCGTCCACTGGAACCATAAATGGAAATATAGCAATCATTCCCTTTAAAATCATGTGCGGCCAAATTATCCACCAACTAGCAAAATAATTGGAGCTTGACCACTACTTCTTCCTATTACTGAGGTCGAACAATAATTCAATTTGTCGCAGATGAGATTTGTGGTCCAATTTTTATTTACATAACAATTTTTATTTCTTCCTATATGTTCATTGAAAACTTATAATTATTGATCTAGAGTTAAAACCACAAAAACAGTTTCACAAGTTTAAACAGGCTTCATTTAAAAATTCACTTAATAATGGTATATAGTTAAGTAAAAGAAACATAATTTATTCTTCAAATAGATTTTTACTTAATACATATTTTATTTTATATTTTAAATTCTAAATTTTCCACAGAAACTTTAATGATGAATACTTTTTAAGAATTTGATTGTAATAGATACTCTAACAATTATAAGACACTACTTAAAAAAAAAAGTTGAAATCATTTAAATTAGTTTAGGTAAACATTAGTTTGTCCGAATGAATTGCTCGAGCACACTCGGGGCTCGTATGACAGCAGCTTTGTGTTCAGGCAAGTGACTGGCCATTCATGGTTTCAGCAGACAGGCTTATAGCTTCATGTATGTAGTGATAAGAACTATTTAGGTATGGTGTCTAGAGAAGTAAATGTAACAATTTAAACTACTCATTAATACTTAATTTGTGTGGAGATGGTGACTCATCAATTAATTTTTATTATCTTTTTAAATTTTACATTAATTAAACTTTAATTACAGACTTTGAAATATTATTATAATATTAATATTATCTAACTATATGATTAAGTAGCTAATAAAATTAGGAAAAGTATGAGATATCCAGTGTAGAGAACTGGTCTAACACTGCTAATTTACTGTTCTAACAAGAAAATTAATAAGTTATCTCACTACAGTTGTTAAGATATATAATATATGCAGGCTTAGTTGGTTTATTATTATACTTTTTTTTACAGCGGTTGACTGGAATGAAATAAACAATTTTGCTATAAAAACAGGCTTGAAGCTATTGTTTGATTTTAATGTTCTTCTAAGAGAATATGGATATTGGAATTCATCAAATGGAGAGCTGTTACTAGATTTTTCGTTTGCATATCATTATGAAATAGATTGGCAGTTAGGAAATGGTGTGTATATAAATTATATTTATTTATTTTTTGCTTGTAAGTGATAACATCAATGATTAACAATTTGATCTTATTTTCTTATCTATGAGTGTAAACTATGAAAATCTAATTTTAATTCCTAAGGTAACAGTTATTACTATTTTCATTTTTAAATTAATTTTACCTTAGTTCTTTATCTAAGCCTTATTCGTAGCATTTAACCATTATCTCTTATTTTGTTGACTTGCTTACTTTTCCATAAATAATCCATTTTACTAATTAGTGCCTAGTAATGAGATTCTAAACATGCATAATTACTGTAAACCTTGATAAGGCATTACTGTTTAGTTACTGATCAATTGTTTTAATAATTTATAGTGCTTAAGTGATTTAAAAATTTTTTTTTTAAACAATTGGATTTAATTTAAATTGATAAATAAATAAAATTTCATTTGTTCATTAATTATTTGTGATATTTTTTTTTTACTGACCTTAAATGTTCAGTTTTTCTTTATTTTTCCTTCATAGGTAAGTTGTGACGTTTATGGACATTTTCATCTTGAAAAATCAATAGTGACTACAAATCAAAATTAAAAATTGTCATTATTTGAGACTGTTAACCAAATTTTGATCATAACCAAAAGTATTCCTATTATAATTTAATAAAGTTGATTTCTAAATAAATTATTTTGTGTTTTTCAGAGCCTAATGCTTTTAAACATGTGTTTGGTGTGGAGATCGAGCCTGCGACCCTTGCTAAGGATTTCAACTCTTTGAAAAAGTTACTACAACAGTACACTCTTTATAATTCCTCACTGGTAATAGGACCAGATGTAACTAATCCACACGATTTGGAAATGCCACCTGAAGAATTTCTTCTTGATTTTCTAAAAGCAGAGCCTAATATTGATGTAATATCTTGGCATCAGTGAGTAAAATAATATTTTTATAATTCTTCTGTTTTCGGTCTGCTTAAGCAGAAATAATGGCTTATGAGACATAAACAGTATTATATGTCAACAAAACTTAATGTATATATCATTAGTTTATTGCAAAAAGTCACTTAGTGTATTTTTGATATAGGTTAACTTTCAACTATGTTTTTTTTTTTAATTTTGACTTTATCAATAAAAATCATCGTCAGTGCATCAAAATGACACATTCTTTTATATATCAATTATAGTTACAACAAGCACACAATTTTCTGATTTTACGAATTGCATCATTCAACAAAGTTCTTAATGATGCAAATTGATTAAATGCTAAATATTGACTTTTTGCAATAAACTGACGATATACCCTAGCCAATTTTATAAACATAATAAATGGATAAACTTATAATAAGTTTTTATCTTTCCTTGAAAAAATTTCATAGATGTCATTGGAATAAAATACGCTTGAAGAAGCGAATCATTACAAATAACAAATTAGAGAGTGTTGAAGTATTAATAATAATAATACTTTGTTTATTCTGGGACGAGTCCCTTTAGAATAATACAGTAAGACAGAAATGTGGGCTAAGGAGCCTCAGAGATACATAAATAAAAATACAGAGTAATTGAATAGTCTTAGTGAAAAAAAAAAAATAAATAAATAAATATATATATATATATATATATATATATATATATATATATATATATATATATATATATATATATATATATATATAAGTTACTTTCTGATTTCGATCAGATAATAATAGGAAATAAAAAAATTGGAATAAAAATAATGGAGAACGGACTAATAATTTATATACATATTTACAGTAGTATCTATTTACAATTTTATGGGGACTAGATGAATAAGAAATGATTGAACAGGCGGAATTTAAAGGCAGGAAGGGTATTGGATTGGCGGATATGGGAAGGGATGGAGTTCCATAGAGATGAGGATTGGATAATGAACGATTTGTCAAAAGCAGCGGTTCGGTCAGCCTTTATGTATAAATCAGAAGACCAGGAATGAGTATTGCGGGGACGAAAAGAGGATTCGAATTGAAGGAGCTCGGAGATGTATGAGGGACGGTGGGATTGGATGGCTTGAAAGAGAAATTATGCCAGGAAATACCTACGACGGTAGGAAGGTTGAAGCCACTTTAGCCCCGCATAAAAATGGGATACAGAGGCGTCCCTTGGGATCCCAAAGATAAATCATACAAAGCAATTTTTCAAACTTTTTAGTTTTATCTCGAGATCCTCATATATTAATATAATATTTTAGTATATTGAATTACTGACCGTTATTCGTTTATGCTTGTCCTCCTTTTTGGTGTGTACTTCGAATAAAACATTGGCAGAAGTGAAAAATAAAATTTAGTATAAATTTTTCTGTGAAATTCATAATTATTTCCAACTGATTTCATAATTTTTTTGACCGATTTCATAATTTTTCATATACTCTAAATTGACGAGATGTGGTTGTCAGGAAATCATACAAACCATATTTGGATATAAAAATACATTTGGAACCCACATTTGGATATATAAAACATATTCTAACTCTTCAGTTATAAAAAAATCTTGTTATATTTCAAAGACTTAAGTTATATTTCAAAATTTTAAAAATTGAAATTTTTCTTGAGAACCATACATTTCTTGTTAAACTATACGTACATATTTGAAAGCTAATGAAATTCCCTACAACATTTAATTAAAACTCAGCTAAATCTGATCAGTATAATTAGGGAAATAGCATATTTTAATTTGAATCAAAATTTTGTTTTCTTGTTTCCCTAGAATTCAGTCAACTCAACCTTTTATATGCATTATATTCATCCTTATCATAAACTAAGACATTTATCAGGATAAATTTAATTGTAATGGAGGTAAAGAAATTTTTGTGAGTGAAGCCTGAGGTAACGGCGAATATATGTATTTATTTGTATTAGATATTTTTATTTACTTCTATATTGTATTATCTTTGACATTCATAATTTATATGTATTGTTTCAGTTATAATACTGGTCCAGAAGCTACATTAGAAGATTTTTTAAACGTAGAAACATATGATGATTTCTTAAAAAGTTATAAAATTATTCAAGAAACTATTAAAAAATCAAAAATACCTTCCAAGCCTGTTTGGCTCAGTAAGTCTTACCATTATTATTATTATTACCTCCTCCCCTACAGCCAACCAATCTGCATGGTTCTGTGCTTCCTCCCTCCATCTTCTAACACCCAGCCTCTTTAAATTGTCCTCCACATCTTCCAGCCATCTGATCCAAGAGTGTCCTATACTTTTTTGCCATCTGGTTTCTCATAGAGCATCCTCTTTGGCACACTTTGGATGCACTTTCTTTTCACATGTTCTATCTTATTCCTGCTTTTTTTATCACTGCCACAATATCGGGTTCATCAAACAATTCACACAGCTCCTCATTCCTTCTTCTCATCCACATCTCGTTCTTAGTGATTCCTCTCTATATGATTCTTAACACTTTTCTCCCCCAAGAGTTGAATATGCTTTCTGATTTTTCAGTTAAGGTCCATTTCTCACATCCATACATAACCACTAGCCTTACTATGGTTTTGTAAATCGGATTTTCGATTCTTTTATCTTCAGCCTTTCCATTAGAATATCATATATCATTCATAATTGATTTAATAAGTTTGTATAGGAGATAAAATGGATCCTTTTAATAAAACTTAGTCCTAATTATTAATAATTAATAACAGATTCTGAAATATTAGTTAATTTAATAGTTTGTGTCAGAAACGATGTTAGTTCTTCAGTAGAAATAGTAATTTTATTTGTGTGAATATATTTTTTTTCATGTGAATATTTTTTTTTTAGCTGAGACTGGTTCTTCTTATGGAGGTGGTGCAAAGGATTTATCGAACAGATTTGTAGCAAGTTTATTGTGGGCGGACAAGCTTGGGCTGGGTGCAAAAGCTGGTATTTCGGTTATTGTCAGGCAGTCTTTGTATAGAGGAGAATACAGCTTACTTAATTCAACTACATTAAAACCTAATCCAGTAAGAGTTATGATTAAAAATGTATTGCACTTTTTATATTGTATTTTATTTATATGTTCCATTTAATTATTATAAATAATACAGTTAACATTTATATAAGAGAGTAGAGTAGCTCAGTGAGTTGGGCACAGGACTGGTAAGCTCAAGGTCCCAGGTTCGAATCCGGCTGATGTCAAGTAATTTTTCATGAGCTGTGGATTGACCCTGGTGTCAAGAGACCTTCCTGAGGCCTACCCAATCTCTTATAAAGTGGAGACACTCTTAATTAAATAATTAATTAAGGGGAAAATCTGGCGGTTGAGCATGATTCTGGCCCGATCTCCCCCCCTGCACAACCCTTGGCCTTGAAACAATACTTTCTAACCTAAGTACTGAACCCAAAATTCTTCATGGGTTGTAGTAGTACAGTTTTTTTATTTTTTTTATTTCACTTTATCTGTTCAAAGAACAACAAAATAAACATATGTATTATGTATAACTTTAAGTATATGCGATGATTACTTATTTAAAAAAAACCCTAATATCATTCCAGTTTAAAAAAAAAAAAAATGTTGAGAACAAGATAAAAAGAAGTAGAAGAAATTCTTATATTACTGAAAAGTTATTATACCATTAATAGAGAAGTTGAAATAGAAATAGAATTCCCTATGGATGTGAGTTAGCGTTGGATTTAATGTATGAACTGATTTGAATTAGGATAAGTATCATTCTTTCTCTGCCTGGTTCTTATAAAAGGAAAAATGCCCACAAAAACTATAGCCATAAATATGAAATAAAAATTTAAAGTAATTTTCTCTGTTCTGTGCATTTCTAAAAATTTTACTATTAACTTTTTTTGGTTGTACATTAAAAAATGTTGTGAATAACACTCCTCTCTTTGAATTTTTTTTTAAATATTCCAGATGGAAAGTATAAGAATTTAGCCTGCTTTGCAATGGACTTCTTTCTGACAGATGTAGACTGCCAAATTTTGAAAATTTAGAAAGCTGGAAGTGGAATATTTAATAATTTATATTTTGAAACAAATGCGTACTTAGGTGTACATTTAAATATGAACCTACATAAATTATTATTAAAGATATTATTTTTTAATTAAAATCACACCGCTATGGTATCTAAGTAATTTTTTTTTCCGATTGTTTTATAAGGATTTATTCTAAATAGTCTTTTGAAAATGCGCTTTGTATTTTTTCATTAAATATTTACAATTTTATTCTCTCTCTTGGCAGTTTACATAAAAATTCATTTCTAAGGTTTAAAGTTCTTTCAACTTAAAATATTATAGATGCACATATTTATTTTTTGTTAAGCATTTGCATCCTTTTTCCTCTACGATAGACATATCTGTTGGACCCATGGCTATTCATTATAGGAATGTTTTACTGTATTGATTAATATTTCATTTAAAGGTGAATTCTCTGTCAAGAAATTTTGAATTACGAAATTAATTTTAATTGGTATCCAAATTATATCAGGTTGTAATTTAGACCTTAGTAGTCTCAGTCAATAAAATAATCTATTATAAAATTAAACCAATCAAGAATCTAATTTCAAAACATTTTGGTAATGTTCATTTGTGTATAGCGATGTGTGTGCAAGGCTGGGCACCGGTATACACAAATGAATATTACCAAAATGTTTTGAAATTAAATTGTATCCCTGAAGATACGTGAATGAGTGAAAATTTGGATAATTTCATTCTAAATAATTTTATTGACTGAGACTACTGAAGCTTAAATTACAATCAATACTTACACTAAGTCTAATTCCATTTATTTCTCTTTTCAGGATTATTGGGTTTCAGTATTACATAAGACACTGGTGAGAGAAACTGTCCTAAATTTAACTGTCCTCAGCAAATCATATGATGGAACATTAAGAGCATACGCACATTGTTCAAAAAAAGATAGCGTAGTGATTTTTGGAGTGAATTTGTCGAAACAGTCTCAAGGTTTTTATCTTCCCTTGAATAATACGGGATATTTATATTCCCTTTATTCTGACGATCTTCAGTCCAGGTAACGTAAACTTTAATTTTTCATAAAAAATACTTAAGATGACGAATATTAAGTCTATTTGAAACAATATGTTACAAAGTTATATTTTTTTCAAATCATATTTATTTTCAATGCATATGATTATTAGGAAAAATTAACTGATGCCAAAGATTTAAAAAATAAATAATTCTATGAACACAATTTTTTTTTTTTCTTTTTTCCGTAGGCATTACAGACCTTGTAGATTTTTCAGTGCCTTAACCATTTTTAATTAGTTTTCTATCGCAACTCTATTGGATCTTTGTTGATTTAATTTATTCATCTGATTTTTGGTCTTTCACGTGGTCACTTGCCTGCTATTGAGTCATTCATAATTGTGTAGAGGTTTCCTCATGAATTATGCCCTGCCCATCTTTACCTCTTTGCTTTCATATCATGAAATATTTGCTCCTGGCTTTCATATCATAAAATAACTAATTTCATAATACTGTCGGAGCTCTATATTGGTCTTTCTCCTCCATCCAAATCAACTTCCGCATGATAACCAGAGTACGTTTTTTTCTTATTACATTTTTAACATAAATTTATAACATATTAAAAATTAACTGTTTTTTTAACTGTTATTTTTTCTCCATTTCTCCAGTTCCTTGCGCCAAGGAGATTGTGTGCATCCGCTGTGATTGAGTCAGCCCACCTCACATTTGGTCTTTTTTTTTTTTTTTTTTTTTTTGTTCTTCCCTACCTCGCCTTTTAGGCTATACGGGATTTTCCCGGGCCGGGGAGTGAGGGCGGGGAATTTAAAATCCCCTCCGGCACCGGGAAGCGAACTCGTACTTTTTATATCATCTCAAATCTCTGTTATCCGGTTGCCAGGCAACCAGCGGTGCTGTGCACACGCTTTAGCCTATTCGGCCACCCCGCCCCCCCATACCTCACATTTGGTCTACCCACTCTTTGCCTGCCATGAAGCTATTCAGCTAATGTCCTCTTCGGGATCTCGTCCTCATTCATCCTTGCCACGTGACCCGCCCATTGGAGTCTTTCAATCTTAATTCACTTGATGATATCAGGGTTTCTGTACAGCCTTGGTAGTTCCTGGTTCTTCCTTCTTTTTCAGGTGGCTCCCTCTCGAACCGGTCTGAAAATACTTCTCAATATCTTCCGTTCAAACAATAGGAGGATGTTCTCATTGGCTCTAGTGAAGGCCCATGTCTCTGACCCATACATAAGAACCGGACGAATCAGGGTCTGATATAGACCAATCTTGGTCTTATTGGAGAGGAGTCTGCTCTTGAAGTATTTTGCTAGCCCAAAATAGCTTCGATTGGCTGTGGCAACTCTCTGGTTGATCTCCTGGGATAGGTCATTTTGGGTGTTTATTTCTGAATCCAGGTATATGAAGGTTTGCACCCTCTCAAATCTGTATGGTCCAACTTCAAAGAAACCTGTCCCTGCCCCGGTTGGTCCTATTCTTATCCTATTATTGATGTCTATTATCAATCTTTTAAATATTTCCCTTTGCTTATGGGACATCCTGTATATATGTAAATAAAATAATTGATTTTTTTTTCTTTACTTAATAATAACACTATTTTTAGATCTATGATGCTTAATGGTTATAAGTTGTTTTTGGGATACGAAGACCGGCTCCCAATTTTCAAGCCAGTGAAGGTATCTATGAAAGAAGTTGTACCAATTCCACCATATTCAATATTTTTTATTCAGGTTGAAATAATGCACCCAGCTTGTTTTCCTTAGTAAGTTGGTATACATTTTCCTAGTCATATAGCATTAATATTTCTGTTTTTAATCTTTCTTTTTTAATATTAAGTCTAAAAAAAAAATGTTTTGTGATAGTAGTGTATATTTTTCTTACTTTTTAAAATGAAAAGTTTGAAATGCTATAAATACATATCATAGGAGAAAACAAAATGTACACAGTTAAAAGAAAAATCTGTTATTTTATTTAATAAGTAAAATTTTACACTAATGTAGTTGTTACCATCTTCACAGCATGGGATATTTAAAATTTTGATGATCAAATAATGTCTAAAAATTAGGTTTAGAATTATTCCTTTCTATCTTATGTTTTTATTTTTTAAAATATGATGTTTTGCATTCATCCAAAATGTTGTTTATATAAAGCTGTTTTAGTTATCTATATTGGTACTATTTTTACAGCATGTATAAGGAATTGAAGACATTAATATTTGAAAATATTTTTTTTAATTTTATATTAACTCTCAAGGAAATATTTTAGGACGATTGGTTCCTTCTTGGATTGTTAATAGAATCTCACTCTTAGATTTTTAAATTTAATTTGAAACTTTTTTATCTTTAGAGTTATTTATAGGTAATTATTGCCAGAGGTTAGGACAGTTTCTTCTTGTCTGATGTAACAATTTTTGAAATTGTTGAAAAAAAAATATTATGGATGATTTAGAAAGTTTTATTGGAAGTTAAATTTATATTTTTGATATTTTATTTTTGTTATGAATTGAATTGTGTTTATCTCCTTTCTCCATCTTTTTAAAATCAAATTCATTAAATAAAATAAAATTTTATAAAATAAACCTTTTTAGTTCTGAGCTTATAGATGTTGTTTTGGATACATTTTTATTTTACAAATTGTTTTGTTGTTTGTTGCATTTGTTTCTACTCAGGAATGTCAAATATTAACTGGTTTTTATGTGATATTTAACTCTTTTTTTTTTAATGTTATTTATTTTTTTTTTAATGTGACTGTCCACTTATGAACGACTAAAATAGTTCCTTAATTTATCTCATTTACTTACAATTAACAAAAAGCTTGATTATTTTATATATAAAATATCAGCATTTACTATTATTTTATACTAAATAACTAGGATGGGCAATAGGGGGTGGGTAATAACAAAAATTAATGGGATGTAGATTTTATTAGTATTAAATCATTTTTTTTACGTATTCATTCAAGTATAGAATAGGGAAATATCCTGTAGCCTATACTCAGTTTCATTTATATTTCATAAATAATGTTAATAAATAATAATAAAGTTTTTGATTTAAAATTAGTAGATAACTACTGAAATAGACTGCTGTTAACTTTCCTGTAATATGAACTACAAAATGGTTCTTGTTTTTTTTTTTTTTTTTTTATAAATATAGAAGATGCTTGCTGCCCCCTATTGTGCTTATTGATTTTAATCTTTTTCTGATTTAAATTTATTACATTCCATATGCTACTGTTAGATTGTAGTCTTGATGGTCTGTGATTTTTGTGAAAGTGTTTAAATGTTTTTATACATTGTTCATGTCTGTTTAAATTAATGTTGAAATTAATCATTTCAAGTACTAAAATTTTAATCTCAATATTAATTACTTCAATCTCACATCTAAATAATAGGTTCTCAAATAAGATTAAAGCAAACATTTTAATTACTTATTTTGTTCTAGCCAATTTATTCTATTCTGTTTATTTTTATAGGCATTTTTCAAATTAAGTTTTATTTAATTTATACTTATTTTTTATTTGAAAGTTGTAAAAACACTATAGTATTTTGCATCGGATTATTATAGTTCGATACTTTTTGGAAAAAAGTACCACCCTAAGATATGGATATAAAATAAACACTTTTTTTAATGTGAATTTTCATAAGTTATAAGAAAAATTATTTGAATTAATATTTTCCTGTATCTGATTTGGCCATTTTAATTTATTTATTGTAAATGTAAAACCAACACTAATTTAACATTTTTAACCTCATGATCAAGCATATCATTACATTTATATGTTTTATTTTGTGTTCATAAATACTGTGAATGTGTTAGGTTCCATATCTAGCGTTTTAATCATATAATATAAATGTTTAATCTTCCAATTTTATGTTTGTGTGTATTAATATTAAATCCTGTTTATTTTTTTAATTTTTAGGTAATTTGTTTTTAATTTATTTTTACATTGGTAAATTTATATATGTATTGGTTATAACCTACACAATTTTCTAAATTTATTTAAAAATTAAATTTATAATTATTGGTTTATAATTTATAATTATAATTATCTTCCATACTATTATCCAGTAAAGTTGAAAGTGTTTTAATTAGGTTTTTTGCTTGCTGCATTTATCCTGTTATATCACAATTTTATGTTTTTTTGTATAACTTTGAATATGATAGAAAAGTTTTTGAATGTAAAACGTCAGTTATTGTGGTTATATGTATTAAATTATTTTATGTAATATTTTTTAAAGGAAAAGATACATAGAAACTGCACAATAACACAATAAAATTGCCCAAATTTTGATTGGCCTAATGTTGTGATAAACTTGATTACTCTTGCTATATAACATTTTTAATGGACAAAACTCATTACTATAGACCAGGGGCTTCCAAAATGCTGGCCGAATCCGGCCTGCAAGAACCTCCAACCCTGTCCGCGAAAGTTTCCTTGATTACATGGTAAAATATTGAAAATTATTTTAAAAATATGAAAATCAGTATATCACTCGAATACTACGACATTTATTGCACGTGTTGTTTCTCTTAGAAAGATCGTTTCACAACAGTCTATAGAGCAAGCTTGTTTTTTCCATCACATGCCATGGCCCGCGAGGCTTAGTGGAGGCCCACGTAACTTAATGGAGCTCTCAATGTGGCCTGTGTACCAAAAAATTTGGAGACCCCTGCTATAGACTTTCTTTCTAATTAATAAAAACAATTAAATACTTCCAAATAACATCATCTACACATGTTCAAGATTTAATTGTTATAAAGATTATCAAATAACCTGATATAAAAACTATAATATATTCCAACATTACTTAACTTCAGTTTTGAAGATGTTATATGTCAAAGAAGTGGGATAGCTTTGCTGATAAAGTTATAATACTGCTAATACTGGGCTCAGATTATAGTCTGGCTATGGCAAAACATGTATAGTATTACTCATGGATTTACTCCTCAGTAGTCAGAGGACTTCCTATGATAACTCTGTCTATAAAATGGGTACCTGCCCCTTCTTTGGGTCTATTAAAAATCTATTTGCCAACTGTAATTATTAGAATGAAATAGTAGACACGTCAATTGTTCTACTGACAATCTCCAGTGAAACTTGAAAACTCTCTTAGGATAACTATGTAGATCTGAACGTTTGTTTATTATGTTATATTACTGAAAAATGCTTTTAATGTTGTTCACATTTTATTATTTTTATGTATCTTTTATTTAATTTTAATTTATTTTACAATTCACAGAGGTGTTAATAACCTTTGTGAATTATAAAATTAATTTTGAAATGTTATTTCTTTTGTTTTAATTTTAATTTTTTCAATTTATTAATTTTTTTTTTTTGAAGATTAGCCATGACCAAAATATTATTATTGATGATATATGTACAGATTTAAATTAAAAAAAAATATGAATTGTTTAATTCTGTTGAATGAAATGTCTATAACAACTTAAACTGTAACAGTAAGTGTAAGTATTGTAAAAATTACTGTTTCTGTTTCTTCAGTATCTTTTGAATTTATTAAGTTAATTTTCATTACTAAGGGTATTGATTTAAATGTTATGTGGAAGTTAGGCAATGTTGTCTGTAATAAGAAATTTATTATATTTCTGTATTTATTAATTTTATTTTTTCATCTGACTAAAATAAATAAACTATATTTGTCTTATTAAGTTCCTTTTTTAATGATATTATTTTTGTAACAGTCTTGAGCTTAACTGAAGTGCCATTGTCTTATATTGTAACAAGTTAAATTTGAAATGTTTTAAACCATAAGGATTTTTAAATATGCTGCAATAATTTTTCTTATTTTGTGTAACTATTCTGTTGTTTTATAAGTTTAAAAACATTTCATGAAATCGTTTATCATAGATAATTATTTATTTCTAAACAAAGCATTTTTGAAATGTAATTTATATTATTTGTTTAAAAACTGTTTGCAGATCATTCATATTAATATATTTGTTTATGTATACATTTCCTATATTTGATCAGTGAATTTTAAGACACAAGTCTTAAAATCTATTACATTTATCAACAGATTTTATTTTTTTAAATTACTGTTAGAAATAGTTTTAAATTTTACTTCATTTTAATATATCTAATTAAGAAATTAAAACAGGTTGTGTGCTGCTTCAGAATATTACACCTAGTTTAAATCAGTAGATAATTAACTTAATTACTGTAGTTATTACTATAATGTTATAGTAAGGCAGTAAACACCAGTTAACAATCAAATTATATTTTCATTATATTTAAATGCATAGTTCCTCCAATCCAGAAATTAGATTAAGCACATCTTCAAGATGAATAAAGGACAAAATTGTCTTTAATATATAAATTTAGATATATCTATTGTTATGTTCTTGTTTTTTTTTATATTATTCTGTTTGTCTAAAAAAATTGTATCATGTTAAAATTACTTTAATCCTTAAAAAATAATTCTATTGATTTTTTCTAAAATTTTATGGCATATAATGCAGTGCATAAATGTACTTATTATTTTAGTTACCAAACTTTGTTGTAAATTTTTATTTCATAACAAGCTCCAATTATTGTAATGTAAAGAAAATCCTTTAAGAAACTTTATATTTTTAATAGATATTTTTTCAATGATTTATATTTTGTTTCATTTAAATTCCTTTTTTTTAAACATCTATTTTTTTAATGGTAGAAAAAGAGTAAATAACATTATGGGGAAGCTGGTTGTAAATTTTTATTTTTTTTACTGCAACTCCCAAATAATTCTCCAATCATCAATGTTTTTAATACTTGTTTATTTTAAGCTCAATGGTTGTCCAAATATTACTCACTTCATTTTTCATCCATAACTAATTTAATGTGACTAGGGTAAATATGATAGCTTTATCTTTTAGGTAAAAAAAGTTTCATTGATACTTTGATACTTTTGAGAGATTTCAATTAGAGCTACAACTTTGGCCCATGGCAATTTGGCGATATCTCTAATGCTTTTCAAGATTTCTCTATTGTGGCCTGCTTATATGGACAACCTATATGTAAAATTTATAGTAAGAGAAAGTATCATGTTCATGAAAACTTCAAATATTAGTTTTCAAAGGAAATATGCATTTTAAGGTATTCTGCCTAACATCTGAGATATATCGTCAGTATGGCTCGAGATCGCATCTGTGCTTGACTCTTCATTCAATTTAAATTAAATTAAAATGGGAAGTTTGCTGTTTTCCCTTAACATAAAGATTTCTTATTGAAAAAATATCTGAAAATTATCTCTAAAAGTGTTATTGTTCGTGAAATTTCATTTCTAATAGAACTTCAAGAATCACTTGAACATCATTTCATAAAGGTAGTTAGTTTCTTTTTCTTCTCAGTTAATAATCATTATATGTATATATATTGATATAATATTACAATGTTTTTTTAGTAATTCAACCTTTATATATTATAATTATATTTTCTAGTCACATCCTTCAGGTTTGGTGCCATTTTCTCATAATTTTTTTATATATATTTTAGGCCAAAGGTCACCAAATATACACAGTTTTTTTATCTCTTGTATTCTTTATTCAACGTTTCAGCTTCAGGAGCCATTTAAATGATCCTGCAAAACTAATTTTAATTTAGTTTTTACAATTCAGATACATCCTTATCAGACACATATTATTTAACAACTATAAGTAATACAAATAGTCAAATTTTTAGGAATGAAAAAACAACATTTTTTGAAATAAAAGAATGACTAAAGGACAAATCATATTGCAATGATAGATTTTAAAAATTTTATGGTGCGGTGCATGATAGGTGGATGATATAAATTTATTCAAAATAAATTTTGGACTATTTGTATTACCGATAGTTGTTAAATAATATGTGTCTGATAAATTAAAATTAGTTTTGTAAGATCTTGAAAATGGTTCCTGAAGCCGAAACGTTGAATAAAGAATACAGGAGATAAAAAAACTGTATATTTGGTGACCTTTGGCCTAAAATATATATAAAAAAATTATCATAATTATATATTTAATTTCATGACCTATTATCCGACTATAATTCATATCTTAAGTTATATATATATATATATATATATATATATATATATATATATATATATATATATATATACATATATATATATAAAACTTTCAGGCTGAAGCTGCAAAAATTTATTCCTTGATCCACTTACTTGCCCTTTTAATGGACATAAGGTTGACTAGTTCGACCAGACTAATGTATAGAGTTTCATAGTGTTGTGCTACAACTTAGCTAATCAGTTCTATGTAGGATTACAAATACTATAGCAAGCATATTTGAGAATTTCTCAAAGTAGATAAATATATTTTATGCTTGAAGTGATTTTTTGATTCCTTGGATATTAAGTGACAAATTTGGTTCTGTTTCTTTCTCTAGTTAAATCCATGTGGCAGGGATATTAATGACCATTAAATGAAATTTACAGTGATTGTGCCACTTGGTACCTGGATGTACCAATATCAAACTTACTATACTAGTTTCACTAGCTCATGCATATATTTTCTTAGGCATGCCTATACTTCGAAAACGGCTTGCTCAATTTAACTCAAAATTGGATAAAATGTGAGGAATATTATGGAAAAATAGTCTAGCATAAATTTGATCAAATACTATTAAACAATTAAAATTAATTTAAATAGTTGTTTATAATATAATGGTTGTGGAATAGGGTAAGCAGTGGCCATGTGGAAAGAGATTTCTAGTTAATGGGTTTTTAAACTGTCTTGCTAGGACCCATTACATGGGAGTGGCATAATGCCTATAATGGTTAATTCGATTAAATAGAATTTAAAGGACTTGTGAGCGTTGGTACCTAAATGGTACAATATCGGTTTCATCAAAATATGTCTACTTCTTTGACTTTGGCATACGTTCTTCTTTGACAAGAACGGATTCTCCTGTAGGTTTTATTCCTGAACGACTAAACCATAGATCATGAATTATAGGTAATTATTTAAGCAATAGAAATGATGAAGAGTTTATATTGACCCTATCTGGGTAGGGATTTTTTGTTTTATTTACATACGGCAAACTATTTATGTATAAGTTATTAAGTACCTATAGAATACTACCATACTTATAGAATTACTGTTAGTTACAAAGAATGATGTCATTTAGCATTCATGAGTTTGTTAATCTTTAAAGCTCTTAGGCATGCAAATGTCATTTGATTCCTTTTAGTTTCACTGGAAATGCTTCACCTTGTCCTCCTGTTCCTGATATTCCAAAAAAGTATTACTTTACATATAATTTTTTTTTCCATATTTATAAGATACTTTAACTGTAATATTGAACAAAATATTTTTTTCAAAACGAATGCTTAGTAACTTATTGTAAGAGTTTTTTATTTTTTATTATGGCATGAGCAATCCGTTTTCGAAAATATTCCTATTTTTTATACTTTCTTCTTATTTACATTTAAATATTTTGATGATAAGAAATTAATAAACCTACGTGCTTAGTTAGGACAAAGACTGAACTATAACATTCATTCCCGAATGGTAAAATGATTGGTGAAAGCATAAGTGCAAAAGGATAAGATAATATAGAATCAGTAATTCTGAATAAGTGGTTGGACAAAAATTTTATTTTTTGGGATTTTATTTGATATGATGTTATATAGAATAGAGGGCTAGGAAGAGAGCGGATAGTAATGAATATATATATATATATATATATATATATATATATATATATATAGCCTTTTCTTATATGCCTCGGATGTCCCCAAAGGGATCGGCTATGGAGCTTCGGGTGACCTGCTGCTGCTCCATGGTTCGCAGCAACGTTAAGTTGGTATTACCAGCTCCAGACGATCTGTGCTCCCGCAAGCAATGTACGTCTGTAAGGTGACCACATCTCGCGGCCAAATATCTTCATGGTCTATAACACCAACCGAAAAAAAAAAAAGCAGAAAATATATTTATATATATGCATACCTCAGGACTGTATGAGCAGACAATATTTTATCCTGAACATATTAAATTCGTAGATAAAGAACAATGTCTCCAAAATCATGAAGAAAAAAATCAAGTATATTATATTGAGAAAAATAATTTAATGAAGCATAACCAAGAAGATAAAACACAATAATATAAAAACTCAACCTGTTAGTAAACCCTTGAGACTGGAAAAAAATATGTCGACACTACTCCAGATGCCTATGAATATGCAGAGTTTCACCAAAGGTACATACGAGAAATACAATTATTCTTTCGGTGGATGAACATTTTTTCTAACATAATTTTCTAAACGTATCTAACTACATTTACATCCCAATAGAAATGAAGTCTCACCTTCACAGTATTTTATTTAAGAAGCTGTATTTGAACATCATATTATATAATTTTTCTTCTAACGAAACATTGTATTTTATTTAAGAAGCTGTATTTGAACATCATATTATATAATTTTTCTTCTAACGAAACATTGCCATCAGATTACCAATTGAAATTTTAATTTTGTGCAATCAATCCTCATAAGTATATTTAATTTTACAGCTTTATTCACAATGGCCATTACCTGTGAGGACGTAAAAGAGAAAGGATCAGGATCTTTATTTAGTGTAGAACAATTGAAGTCCCTTTCTCTTCTAGACGAGGATGGTATTAAAGATTGCGTAATTATTTTAGGAAAAGAGCCGCTGACGAAGGAACAATCGTCAACCGTGTGGTCGGCCTTAATAGATGTAAATAATATAACCCATGTTTTACACTTATGGAATAGCAAACATTGCCATTTCATTGCATAATGTTTTTAGATATACAAATCTGTGGATGATATTCCCGAAGAAAGCCTACAACATTTGGGTTGGATCGCCAACGGAATATCTTTGGAGCACTTTTACAACCTTTCGTTAACAGAAGTGGATACGATAGCCGCCTTCGGCAGGCTAAGTTGGTTCAATCAGGAACAGGTGAGTAGTTTTAGCCTTTGACATAAAATAAAAAGTAATATATCATTAAAAGGAAGGATATCCGATAGCTTCACTCCCTGAATGCCGCCATATTCGAACAGTGGAGCAGTAAGGATATTGAAGATCTTTCCAGCTATGATTTAATGAATTTGAGGCAAATACTTTGTGCACTCAATGGATCCGAAATAATCAAGATTCATCCAGACGCCTATAAGTAAGTATTTGAGATAAAATTTAAGCTTATCTTATTTATTCCCAACAGACGCTTCAGATTTACTAAATTATCACTTACATTTACTCAGAGATACATATTAAAATCAATTATTATATAGTAATATCAATTATAAAAACCAAAACGTTTCAAAAGTTTATTTACCATTTGACTTTATTTGGAATTTTTTTTTTAGATTTTCATCGATATCATTTCGGTAAGAAAAAAATGTAGTTAATTCTCCATATTATTTTTCAAAAAATGTTTTACGTTCTGACTTGAATATACTTGACATTTTGAACAAATACGTTTATAATTCTCAAAATTTTATCTAAACGTTTCTCAGCTTCTTTTTTAGCTCAACAGGATCATACAGCAGCAGCCTTTTCAACTTCTGCCCTCCAATTTTCTCTATCTATTATATGGAAATTTTTCAATTTAATTGCCGTATGTCTTGGAGTACACTATTTTTATAGTAGCCCTCGAGTCTCCATCTGGTGTACCCTCATAAAGTTTTTTTGGCAACCCGTTTTCTTCCATTCTCATTAAATGACTAAGCCACTTCAATCTTTGGATTTTGACGCTGACCGATATATTCATATTCTCATATTTATTATACAGATTTCTATTTTTTCTTAGCCGCTATTTTACATCTTCATAAATTGGACCCAGGATGTTCCTTAGTATCCTTTTCTAAAAGCGGTCCATTTGGTCACTGGTTTCCAATCATTACTTATTCATTTAAATTTATTATTTGTTATTCTTACACTCTTAAAAAATGTTTGTATCAATTGTTTTTTTTGTTTTTTTAAATATTTCTTGGTGAGTAGAAACTTTTATTCTATGTTTCGTAGATAGCAATAGTCCCTATCTATTTTCGGAGACATTAGATCATTCTCGAGATTCCATTTATGGTGGGATCATATCTTGAGCCACCTATCAAAGTGGAGTGGATCTCACAACATAGTTTGCTATGTAAAATTATACTGATACTGAGATAGAACCTGATTGGAAATTTGGCTATGTTATTAAAGAAAAAAATTCAGTCTATTCAGAATTATAGTTTACAGATAAATTATTATTTGTTAATTGAATAATAACACATTCTGCTACACCCAAGGGCAATAAATATTAGCGCTAAAGGTATCGATTTATAAAATATACACACCTAAGAAAAATAAATAAATAAATATATATATATATATTTAAATTAGAGAAGCAGCTCAAGAGCTGTCAACTTTAACAAACTGCAGAAAAGATGTGATCTCAGGGCTCGCGGAATTAGCAACAAGCCCACTTGCCTTTGGAGACCCTAGAAATTGGACGTCACTCCATGTAAGTAATTTTATGTTGTATGTATGAGGATATTTTGTAAAGTGGTACTTTATTACTTATCTATAAATAGATCTAATGTATTTTACAACAAAAAAATAGCTAACATAAATAGTCCTCTCCTCCAGTCAATATTCCTTCTGTAGAGGGCCTCCTTCACACCGACCTCCCAACTCTTCCTGGGCCATCCCTGAGCCTTTCTACCTTTCTAACTTTCTAACTTTTCTAACTCGGTTCTTTGGCGTTCGAGAGACATGACCAAACCATCTCTAACGACTTTTCTCTATCACAGTCTCTGCTGGTCTTACGTTCAGTACTGTGGAGTTCCTTATTCGGCCTCTCTCTTTGTTTTTCTTCGACCTTGCGCGAGAATATGATCTTCATGGCTTGAATCTGACTAATGTGTGTTATGGTGAGGGTCCATGGATCGCTGGAGTTGGTGATTATAGGGAGGAAAGTATTTTCGTTTACAGTCGTTTTGGTTTCCTTGCTCATTTCTCGCTTCTTCAAAAGTCCTTTCTTGATGGTGTTGAAACACTCTTCTCCAGGCTTCATTCTTTCCTTTATTTCTTCGTTGATTCATCCATGTACATTAATGTGGGCACCAAGGTATTTAAAATAAATTCTTGTCATGTTCCAATGAAACTCCATTCAAGTGAACTATTCTGTCACCTCTTCCTTCTTTCCTGCCAGTCCTCATAGTTTTAGTTTTTTATCACAGTTTTTTGCATATTTATCTTATTTAGTTCTTCTTGAAGATTGCGGTGGTTGGAGAGAAAGTTTCAACCGAAACTTTCACTTCAACTATTGCTTCCGAAAACCACCAATTAGTCTGCGTAAGCGGCGAACAGAGAGAAAAGAACAAGCTGTAGATTTCTGTATCCCATTTGAAAGGGTCTCATATTCTCATATTGCTACTTTTATTACATTGTCTAGCACTACTGTAAATAGTGGACTTAGACTGCAACCTTGTCTAATACCTTGTTTAGTTCTGAACTCTTTGCTTAATTATTGTATGTTCTCACAATATTTCTTTGAGTCTTATAGAGACTTAGAATTGTCTTACGAAGGCCCGTTTCAATTCCTTTGTCTTCTAAGGCTTTTGCTATGTCTTGTTTCTTCACTTGGTCAAATGCTTTTAAATTTTTTTTATTTAAATAGCTGAATCGCCCATCCCTAAAAGACTGGCGAGTACATACCAACACTTCGGCAAATGTTCCCTCCACTTTACGTCAGTCGTCTATCCACTTCTCGCGATTGAAACTTGATGACCGGATTTCCGGAAATCCGTCAATCCCGTCCATCAGTACCCCAATCTTAACCTTACACGATCAATAAGAATGTCAATAGTGCCTCGAAATGTCATTCCGACTGACCGTATAGAGTCTGTATATTTTTTTCTTCTCCAATTATGAACTTCTTATCTTCATCTTTGCATTTGTTCCTCTGTTTTGTAGATTTTCTTCATATAGTTTGGTTCTATTCCGGGTATGATTCTAATCAGAGTTTGCTCCACGGTAGCTTCAGAACATATTCTCTCAAGAAATAAGTTGTCAGTACAACAATTTTCCTTTCTTTCAGTTAAAGTAATACTTTCTCAAATTTTATTATAAAATATATCATGGCCTGCATGGAACACTGATGCCGCATGTCTATGAGCAGTGCGTGAACAATTTGATTCTTCGGATTTACGGTGCTTTTCTGGGCTCACCTGTAATGCCTTATGTGGGAACATCGTAATGCTGAAGACTAGATCCTTAGTTTTTCAGATTAATAAATCTCACCCCATTTTCATTGGTCGTTTATTGAAGGCTATGGCCTCCGATAATTTGCTTAAATTAGGGCTAATGTAGGTCTATTGTTGAAACCTAATCCCGTCTTTTATCACTTAAACAACAATAGTTTTGAATATCCATTGGACTATCTCCGATCTTATAGTACTATTTGGATTTAACTTAAACCTATTTATAGACCAATAATTCACTTATTTAATAATTCTTCAAGTGTAAATAAGTAGTTAAAAAACAATACTTGGTAGGCTGATCCAAACCTCCTTCAAAATTTCTTTCTAAAGGATTTGATTATTTTGGAATCTTTTAAAAATCGATTTAAAAAGTTGAACATTTGTATTCTACTTTCTTTCTGATATAAAATTTGGTTTCAAAATTATTCTTTTCAGATTGCTTCAATAGGTTGCATTATTGGAGGACTCTCTTCAGTTAGAGTCATTCCTCCATCTGCAATGGAAGGATTAACTAAAAGCACCATTGTCTGCTTACCACCCAGTGTACTCCAGGTAATATGATTAACAGGTGTATTATTTTAAGAATTTTTTCATAGTTATATTATTATGCAGTTTGTCTGAATGAGAAGAGTATATAGAAAGTATACTGTTGGTATAGATTTTCAAGTTGGTTGAATATTTTATGATTTTATCCCTTTTGTTTTACCTATTAATTTTTGAATTATTATGAATTTTCACTTTGAGATAAATATAAAGAAATTAATTGAAAATGGCAATATGGAGGGGTTGAGGTACCCTCTTGGGCACATAAGAATTTAAGAAAACTAAACTGAAGAAAATTTATGAGCCTTAAGCAAAGGGCAGTATGAAAAGACTAATCCAGGCTAGGATGAATGATGAGTGATTGATAGTGATGGAGAATATCTTAAATATTGTGAGTACATCGATTTTTTCTTTTATGACCAATGAATTTAGAGAAAATTTTGGGATGTTAGGGTTTCTCTTTTGCTATCTCTCAGATCAAGGCCCAGATGAGAAGTTCCCATTTGGAATCTAGATTCTTGAACCATAACTATTCCTTGATGGCCTTTACCTATAACGGTATTCATCAATCGGAATTAACTTTACATTCTGGTTGTAATCTTCGGTTCAAAGTGGAGTACCATCTTCTCTTTTCTTGTGCTTGTGAGATGTGAGGGAGAATTGTGGAGGAGGCATTTTGTACAGTAGAAGATGGCTGAACTGCTTAGATAGTTGCTGAGGTCGAAATAGCACCTACATGATTTACTGACCGGTTTCAAGAGATTTCCTATTTTAAGAACTTTTTTAAAGATAGATGAAATAATCCTTAAATGCAAATAGACCCATTACTACCGGTTTATGAACTGCTATCTCTCTTTAAGGTTCGACACGTGTATACTTGTTTGATTTTCCAGTTCGACACTCATTCTCAAAACATCTAATACTTTGGCTTACTTTAAAAATGCATTTTCAAGACACAAGAATGGCTCTACCAGGTACGAGCCTATGTACTATACTATTACTCAGGATTCTGAATCAAGTATTACTTTTTTTAGAGCCAAATTAAAGAGTTGGCAGTCTACCTAATCACTCTGCATTTCTCATTTTGTGGAAATGAAATTTGGGTATATGCCTGACTGTACTCTAAAAGTGCCATCCGTCGTCATCTTTGTCATCCAGTCAGGTTTCAGAGGAATTCCTAGTTCAAACAGGACCACCTGTAGTTAAGAACTATTAAAGCTGTTACAGCCATTTCATAAGTCAATAAGCAGATGGATCATCATCCTATACTCTTGAGATTTTTCTAGCATAATCTAGAGATTGAAAATTTGATTGACTATAGATCTGCATCTTCTGAAATCTACCTGATATTGATTTCTCTCTCAGCTATAGGGGAAAACTGTCATAGATGATGTTCGAACAATTCTTGTAAGCGCATTGAAGATGTGAGATCTCACAGTAATGAAAGCAGTCTGGTGGAAAAATTATGTCTTTCTTCCACTAATTGGGCATCCTCTCTCAAACCCAAATGATGAGTATAAGGGGAATTAAAAAAAAATCATTACAGAGATAAATTACAGAGATGAGTTTCTTCCCATATTAGCTTACACCTCAAAATTATGATCTATAACCACAAGTTTAGAAGCAAACCAAAAGCTTCGCTGATGCAAATCCTTATAATGATAGAAGGGAAACCAAAAGAGACCTCATCATAATGTAATAATAAGTTCAAATCTTGATGTGGAACTAGTAAAAAACAGGTTATAGTAAAAAATTAAACAAGGCGTTAAGGTCAAGTTAACATAGGTTGATTGGAGAATATTCAAAGGATGTGTCCAACATACTTAGGAGGAAAAGATAAAGCAAAGAGAGGTCTGAAATGGTTGAGGGTTGTCTAGTTTGGTTCAAGTGTAACAGAAAAGCACCTCATTCTACAGGAGTGATTGGTGATCAGCTTAGCACCTCAGAACAATGATGTCATATTTCCCCGAAAATTAAAATTTATTCCTTAAGCTGTTTTGTGTTAAGTAGTATTTGAATTTTATTTCATTCAATATGTCTCTTATCCAGCTTTATTTATAGGCTAAAATTACTTAGTCTTATATGGTGACTAATTAATTTTAGTAATAATACGGTGATGATCATTTGAATACCTTTGTAGCACAGTTTTTGGTCTCTGACCATAACTAGTTAAGTCGACCGATCATTCTTATTAGAGCCAATTAGAGCGGTTAGTCCAATCCCAGCTATCCCATTTTTTAGAGGACAATAATCTCCTAAATCCCTACCAGTCTGGATTCAGGCCTGGTTATTCTACTCAGTCTGCCCTAATCAAAATTTCCCAAGACCTTCACACAGCCATAGATCAGCAGAAACTAACCATCCTTATTCTCCTAGACTTCTCCAAAGCTTTTGATTCAGTAGACCACAACATCCTCCTAACCAAACTTAAAAATATCTCTTTTTCCTCTAGTTCCCTTAATTGGTTCCAATCCTTCCTAACCGGTCGCTCCCAGTACGTTGTAATTCCTAATAACCCACCATCAGAATCTCTACCTCTGACCAGAGGCGTCCCACAAGGCTCTTCCTTATCCCCCACCCTTTTCTCCATCTATATAAATGACCTCCCATCCTCTATCCTGCACTGTCATTACCACCTGTATGCCGACGACATTCAAATTTACCTCTCCTTTAATCCGACAGATATCTCAGATGCCACTCAGAAACTTCAGGAAGATATTGACAGAATAAGTGCTTGGGCAAACCTCAATAGGCTCACTCTGAACGCCGAGAAGACAAAAGCCATCTTGATCGGATCCCCTTCACTCCTCAAATCCTCCCCAGTATCTCCCAATCTCTTCCTGAACAACTCACCTATCTTATTCTACACCACCGTTAAAAACCTAGGTGTTACTTTCGATCAATCCCTATCCTGGAAACCTCACATCTCCCAAATTTCCCGTCGCACTATCTCCACCCTAAAACAGTTCAATCGTCTACGATATCTCCTTCCATATAAGTCCCGTCAACTCCTAGTTTCCTCCCTTGTTTTCCCCCACTTCGACTACGGCTGTATGGTGTACGGTGGACTCCCGGGAGATTCCGAGGCCAAACTTAAACGCCTAATGAATTGCGCACTACGATTTGTTTTCGGAATCTCAAGGGATATGCATATTACCCAGTATTACACTGAGTTGAGGTGGCTCTACCCATCCTATCGCCGTCAGTACTTCCTAGCCACCTTTCTGTACCAAATTATTAGAACCCATCGACCCTCCTACATTTTTCACAGCTTACAATTCAAATATTCCATCCAATCCCGTCCCACCAGATCTCGTACTTCCGACCTCTATCCTCCTCCTCACCGAACTGCTGCGTTTGACAAATCCTTTGCAATACAAGCCGCCTCCCTCTGGAATTCCATCCCACCTGATATTCGACACGCTCAATCAGTTTCCTCGTTTAAACCACTCCTCTTTAAGCACCTACTCCTTTCTCAATCCGAATGATTGTGAAATATATCTCAGAGAAATATCTGAGCACCACCAGAGAGTACCTCAATTTATTAAGGTTATTTTAGTTTCTCATACATATGTACAATTTACTTGTTCTTTTTTTTCTCTTTTCTGTATTTTTATCGTAAGTCAACTTTCATTGTAAATATACAATTCAATTGTAGCCACACAGACATATAATCTGTATTCATATTTTGTTCTTAAGGGACAACAGTCCCAGAATAATAAAACATTTTTTTCATTTCATTTCATTTTCATTCTTTAACTCTTGATCTCTTAGGCCATTGGTAGAATTCAATAAATCTACTAGAATACTCTAATAGAATTACTGAATTTTACCAATGGCCTAAGAGCTCAAGAGTTAAGGAATAATTGACTTAAAGCAATGTGAGAATAAGTCGACTTAACTAGTAATGGCCAGTGAGACCCCCTATATAGTTCACTGAAAACTCTTTTAAAAATTGTTTATTGCCATTGACCATGATGACTTACATATTAGGTGCTAGAAATTAATCAATAATTTTAGTCCAGATTGCACATTTTAAATTTTTATCATTTTTTATTATTTACAGCTTTACTTTTTCTTCTTTTTCTATATGCCTACTAGGTAATTTCTAGCCTATTAATTTTTTTAAGTATTATTTTACTGTTATTTTATTTATTTCACTGTGTGAAAAATTCAACCGGGAATATTTTTATTCTACATAAAATATAATTATGTATGAGATAAATAAATACAAAAATTATAAGGGACTAATAGATTTACTGTCCCATATATTTTTTAAGAATTTTATATTTAATAATTAATTAATCGTAAATTTGTATTTAGTAAATAGAACTTGGAATATTTATGAAAGTTTGTTGTAGGAAATGAGTGATGAGCAAATCATAAATCTTTCCCCATCAGCTGCTGGTTCACTAAGTTCTAAACAATTGTCTGCTCTTTACAAATCTCAAAAATATGCTCTTCAATTGGCTATAAAAGGCAGAACTGCCAATGACAAATCTTCTTCAATTGTATTATTTGTAAGTAATTATTTAATTATAATAGTTATTGTTTTTATTACTTTTTAAAAATATTTCAAGCTTTCCTCCTATCATAAATGATTTTGTTATGCAGGCTATTTTCTAAACAATAATCTATTGAAACAAAGTTGTTGTATTGTTACAAATACATGTCACTTTTAAGATACAACTTGTGTTGGTTTTATCTTATAAATGAAATATCCAATATAAGATAATTTACACTTTTTTTTTTTTGTAATTTATTGTCTTGTAAGTATAAAAACTGATTAAAATTCAGACCATTATTTTTTTTTTCTTTTGGGAAGAATTATAATACAAATATTTATAGTTTTTCTTCACAATATTTCTTCTTTATTACAATGTTATGACTACAAAACCTGTTTCTTTTTGTTTGTTGCTTCAAGCATAGTTATTAAATTTTGAATTAAATATTTAAGAAGAACCCCATTGTTCACTTTAACTAAATAAGATATCACATGAATAATAATGAATCGATGTTACTAAAATATTTTTAAAATGCAATATTTTACATATTTATATTGACACTAAAAACTATGAAAATTCTTGAAATACAATAATAAATGTTCAATCAATTCATTTTTATAAGAAAATACTTTTAAGAAAGCAACAGATTGCGAAATAAAATTGTACTGTTTTTTTTCTCCTTTCATTGACGTAAACTTTTATGGATTGGAGATAATGTTGGTTAAATACAACAGTGTTAAAACAAAAAATGATATTATTTTGTTGATAACTTTGGAAGACACTCATTAACTTTTGGCAAGCAAGGACACATTAAATATTCAAAGAGAGGGACTTTGTTTATGTATTTTGCATCACTATGTTCTCAATAAAAATGAAAATAGGATAGCAATATTATAAATAAACAACTATCTCTGTCAAGCAATGACTCATTAAATATAAAAAAGAAGGACTTCTATTTTATCACTTGATTCTAACGAATTATATTGTGTTCAGTGCGTTAATTGAGTTGACACATCTACTCACCATTGTCATTCTAGTTGCTATGCGTTTATTAAAAGTAATGCATTTTAATGCTTTTAATTAATTAAAAACTTACATGGCAACAAATTAAAAAATAATCGCTGCTAAATTAAACAATAATTTTGAAAATAAAAAATGTCACTTTACCTTTAAATTATTATATTTTAATCTACAAATGTTTAAAAACATGAATAGCAATAATTTTTCGTGTTTATTATTGTTTTTGTAGTCTCCAAATAAATTGTTAGCACATTTTTTTAAAAATACAACCTATGAGTCCATAAAAATTATTTAATTTCAAATATCTATTTGTTATATGAGCTAAAAGATTAAAAAACTTTTTATTGGAATTTTTCTAGAATAAGGTCTTTTGAGTTGCGGCTTAGTGGTTTTTAATGAGCAATAGACATTATTTGTTAAACCGGGAGAAGAATCTGTTGCTTTCCTTTTACAGTCTTTTCTCTAATTTCTTCCTATTAATCATCACTAATGATTTTTTTTTCCATAATCCAATAATAGATACAAGGTATAAAGTATATAATATATAGTAATAGTTATTGTAAGCAGTTAGATTCTTTTGATTTTATTAAATTATTTTCCATTGTTTCAAATTAAATCAGCATGCACCAAGATCTGTGTTTTGTTTTTTTATTACACAAAATGGCAAAATAATTGTGATCCCCCCATCCTCATATTTCAGCTCTAGAAAAAACTATTTACAGAGAAGGGCACATTCACACGTCACTGATATGCTGTAGCATTTACATATTCCGAAGAGGGAATATTATACATAACCTTGTGCACTATTATTCCTCTCTCATAAAACTCTGTCTATATATATATATATATATATATATATATATATATATATATATATATATAAGGAATATATAAGGAATATATATATATATATATATATATATATATATATATATATTCCTTCATTATTGTTCTATGCTATTTCAATATAACAATATTTATTTTAGGTTTGTGCCCACTATCTGCATTTTAAGATATGATTATGTTTTCATACAATTTATACTTTTATTTAACATAAAGGAAGTAATTATTTATTTTACATTTATTAAAAAAGCACTTGTTACAAAGTATGAGCATTAAAATGAACATTCTGGTTAATGATGAGGACAATTTGAAAAAGCAACAACCTTCAAGATGGAGGAAATTTACTAGCCAACCTTTTTGGTAGGTTATACTAGGAATCAGAAGACATCAGATTCAGAATTTTCAGTCCAAATTGAATCAATTTTGTTTCGATAGAGTCCATATAGTATTTAATATACCCTTGATAGCCTGTTGCTTTTTCATTGTTCCCAAAACACCGCTAGATCAAGGAAGCTGTATGTACACAGTTCTTTTGTTTATCCGTTTCCAAGCACATCATTATTGTTATTGTGCATGTGTTTCTCTTTAGATTTATAGCATTAATTACAAACAGTGAATGGACTAAATCATTGCAAAGTAATAATAATAAATAAATAAATAAAATATAAAAATGTATATATGTATATATAGGGACTAGAGCATTCTAAAAATAAAACTAATAGCTTAAGCACCTCATTTAATACTACCAGTTATATGTCAGTTTTCTATATGTATACAACTTGTGAAAAATCTACTCTTATTTGTATTTAACAAAATGATAATTTATATCCATGTTCATTTTATTTTGATTTTTTTTTTTTTACATAAATGTTTATAGAACCAAGTTAATTTTTAATTTCTATTTTTTTAAAAAATAGCATCTTGAAATGAAAATGACACTTACAACAATGACAAAATTTAAATAAACCTTTCACACTCTTGGATAAAAACATACCCTGTATCAAAGCAAGAAATTGAGATTTCATTGCTAATTTTAAAATGTAGTATTTTAAACATTACTATAATTTGTTTTGATGAATATTCTAAAGTTTCTGTTTGAGAAAATGGACTAAATGGTAATAATGAACTTCATCAAAATAGCATTATGAGTTGATAAATGTTATGATTAAATAATAAAACCAGATTCAGTTTGAGTTCTGATATTCAATGCAAGATTATGACAGTTAACTCTGATTGTTAATTGCCATTTATTTATTGAGCTGATAATTTTAAAGTAAACTGAAATGATGAAATTATTCTGCTTGAGAACAATAAACACTTGCATTGATATAAATTAAAAGCAAAAATCTGATGTTTAAATTTACAAATTAAGCTCAGGTTGCCTGCTTGAAATATAAGCACAATAATTAGATTTTAATATAAAATTTATAAATAGTATAAAAAATTTCAAAATAAATTAATAAATTATTAAAAGATCTATTTTTAAGAGATAATATCATCAGGCTGGAAGAAAAATATAATATCTCAAAAAAGTATATAATTGTCAGGAAAGACGTTTGGATTTATCAAAAAAATTCTTTAATTCTTTACAAGAATAACAATGCAAATTAATTTGAAAATTTTGCCTCGTTACTTTTAATGCTCATTTGCTTAGCTAAAATCTGAATATTTCAATTTTGAATTATAGTACCCTTTTAAAATTAGTTCACCATTTTTGTTACATTTAGAAATACTATAGTATCATTTTTATAAGAAGAATAAAAATGATTAATAATTTTTTGAAGACTGTTAAATTGAAATGTTTATTAGTTTATAATAAAAATAAATAATTGATAAATTAAATTATATACTGTTAAATCTCATGTATGTTAACCCTAAACTGCCATCAACAAAGGTAGCAAATTCATACAATTTATTCTGCTCCAACCAAAATGAGTTGAGATTTGATTGCGCACTATATAATAGTTTAGTCTTAGAACAGCAGATGGAATCCACCAGGCTTTTAAAACAATTAGTTTCAAAATCAGTACAATTCATTTTCAAAAATTATACTAAAACTAAAAAGATATGATTGTATTTTACCCTAGTAATCCAGTTTGAACACATTTTAATAATGAATTAAGATTGTTTTGATTAATCTGGTTTTGTTATGTGATGCTTTGAGAATTTGTGAAAAATAACATAAAAATAATTAGTGAAATAAGCAGGTTTTGAAACTAATTGCTTCATTAAGTCATTAATAACCGATAAGTAGAAATCAAATTGACAATGTAGAAGAAGAAATCAATTATTGTGCTCATATTTATAAAATTTATGAATAGTGAGGAAATGGATGAAATCAAATGTTATTTAGGTTTGAATTAATTCAGTCTGAAACCAGAGAGGTTGGGTATGGATGATATTTATGTGTAAGCTTACAGGAATGTTTTACTCTACGACATAATGATGATTGGTCATGGAATGCTCTCTACATGATAAAAATATACAAAATTAACTGATCTCTTTCAAGAGAGTAGAAAAAGTTGAAGGTTTTCTTTTACACTGTATATATATTATCAGTATATATACATATATAAATATATTTGCTTCTAAATATAAAACAAGTATCCTAATCATAAATGTAATAAATAGCGTTATGAGTCATCTTGCAAAATCATTGCACTTCATCATATATGTATGTATATATATATATATATATATATATAGACACATACATATATATGTACTTATATTCTGTGTGTATGGATATTTACATATATACATACTATACATACACATATATTCATACACACAAGTAATATTTTAAATTTGTATATAAAGTTAATAATATAACTATATTAAAATGAATAAATAGCTTATAATAAATATTATATAGTAACTTTAAAAAGCAGTATTACTAAAAGTATAATTAAAAATAAAAACATTATATTTAGTTTGTGTTAGTCAGTCGTATATCATTTATGTTGGCTCCTAGAATTGGCAACTCTTTCTTTTTTTTTTATATTGCACAATTTTATAGTTCATGTTTTAAAAATATAAACTAACAAAGAAAAAATCATGAACTTACATATTAATATAAGATTAAATAAGAGCGTGCAAAAAAAAAAAAAAAAAAAATTAAAAAAAAATTATAATCTTTATATATATATGTATGTTAATAACAACATATTCCTCCACTTTATAGTTAGGATTTAGAAAGAGTTATCTACTTTCTATTATTTAACTAATGTACAATTAAGTATGATAAATTCATCAACATTACATATTTTGAGCTTAGTGTACGCTCCTTGCATTGTGCCTCATCACCTTCCGGTAATACCTACATCACTTTTAATTTTAATATTTGGACTAATCCTAACATACCTCTTGTTTTTTTTTTGGAACCTCTCGCTTCTTAAACACAACTCTTTTGTAATATACATTATATATATTTATATTTATATAATCTATTTATTAAAGCTCATGCGTTATTATTATTTATATATTAAATGTACAACATAAGACTTTCTTTGCAGTCCAAAAAATCTTTGTATGCGATGAAAGTTGCACTAATTAAATATAAATGTAACAATTCAATAAATTTATATATCTATAATTCAAAATTCTTCGATATTCACTGTACGTGATACCCTTAGAGAGCAACTTTCATCAGAATATCAAAGATCACACATACGCTCAGGCACACTCACATATATATAAATATGTATGTATATACATATATACACACACACATATATATATATATATATATATATATATATATATATATATATATAAATAAATATATACATGTATATATGCATACATACATAAGTATTTATATGTTAAACAAATTTTCTGTCATAACCATGTACATGATATTGTAGCCTATGCAATGTTATTAAGGCATTATTAACAGGCCTATTTATTTATGTTAACCCTATATTGAATGCTATTTGCCCTGTAATATTCTACATAGATTTCTAAATTAAGCTTTAAGATTTCAATGTCATTGGCTACCACCATTGTTATTAAGCTATATTTAGCTATATCTTGAATTAAAAGACACTTCGTTCTATGAGAAATATACTGAAGTGATTCTAACAATAAAAAAAATAAAATAATAATAATCTAAATGTGATAATCAAAATATTTACAATATAATAAGCTTCACATGCTATAGCTTTTCATAATATAAATTATAACAATATTTAACATCTAAATGATAAATAAATTAATAAAGTTAAGTACTATCAATCTTTGAAAATATTTCTTTTTTTTTTTGGTATAAACTAGAACTTTACACTATATGGTGGTACCTTCCATTTTAAATTTACAAAGCTGATGACTAACCTTTTAAGGAAGTAATAAAATACTTATTTCCTATATGCTTTTAATTCCACTCGAAGTATATTTACAAGATATATTAGAAAAAAATATAGTGTTTTTGCCGAATAATATAAAATATTCTGTTGACTGTTAAGCTCCCAATGATAACAACAATACACAGAGACAAAACATTCAAATGCTATAGGCCTGTATTATACATAGAATACCTTAGTATGTTGCCATGTATCCAAGGATTGTTATTAAAATGGTACACATACAATGGAAAAAAAGAGGTGGAACGAAGCACCCCTAGATATTTTACATTATCTAAAACAAGTTAACGTGTTTTCTATATATATATATATATATATTTATAAAGCATTGATAAGGAAACCTTACAGCTAAAGAAAAAAGAGGACATTGAGCTATCTTGGCCGGAAATCCATTACAAATTCTAAAAATGTTAAGGGGGATATATATCAATGATAATTTTTTTCTTTTCAAAACAGAACTCTGTAGTGGTAAAGTTCTATTTTGCCAATTGTAATGCTAAATACATGGCCATGATAAGGAACACCAAAATGTAAATAATTTTAGGATGAAAGGCTGTGAACAATTGAAAGAAGTATTAAAGAAATGTGAAGCTCTTATTATAGATGGGCTTAAAAGTCTTTTACAATTAAAAAGTATTATTTCTTTGTCTCTACCTTCTCTATCATTTTCCTTTTTTTTTTCTCTTTAGAAGAATTGGGTTACACTGCTGGTCCTCTAAATTTTGATCCCAATAATTTAGAATTTAAAATTTTTTATAATTTCATACTCATAAATACTAAAAATGAAATCAATACATATTTTTCATCCGCCTTCTTATTTACAATAATATCTTTTATGGATAAATAATAAATAGGCCAAGTCACCTCACTGATTTATATGAATTTTAAAAATTATATCCATTAAATATTTGAATCAGAATATATTTACATCATGAGTTTTCACCAATTCAAAAAAAAGTAGGAAAGTAATGACAAATAAAGGGTAGAGTGAATTATTCTTAATTTAGTTTTAAACCCATCTTATTTTTTTTATTTTTTTTTATTTTAATGAATTGACAGCAGTACTTTTCACCTATGACTAATATAAGGACTGCATAACAACAATTACCATACAACATCCTGTACAGTCAATTACTACATATATACATCAATACATATATATACGTAAAAGACAAAGTTGTCATTGAAAAAATCACAGCCCGTTTGGAATAGTCCCGATAGCAAATTTACCACATAAAATGCCAAACCCTAAATGGACAATTCTTTAATTCCTAGAGAGATAATAGCAAAATGTTTATCACATTTAATAATTTGGGACGCTTAACAGTCAATAGTTCTTAGTATTACATTGCTGCCATCGGAAATGGCTATATCTAATATCAACAAAGTTTTATTTAGTAACTGTGTTACATATATACTCTACATAATGGCCTAGTCATTAATAAAGGTAACAAAGTGATTTTGAAACTAATAAAAATAATAAATAATAACGATAAAGACATAGTATTAATCGATGACTGCTGTAATTAATCAAATATATTAACAACTAAACGAGAATTAATGACGAATCAAATTATTTAAAAATGTGAAAATTAACTTTAGTTAGATATTTTACATTATATCTTGATATTTTACAGCAGCAGACTAATATTATTCTTTGTACAAAGTAAAAATATTATCCATGGTTGACTAGACTCTGACTAGTGAATTCAGGCTTCTTACTTTGGCAGACAGGTATACATTAAGTAGTAGATTCTCTGATAAACTTTGAACAGTCAACCATAAATTCAGGCTGCAAAATAAAAGTTTAAATTTAGTTGAACAATAAATAGATATTAACTAAAATCTAAATGTTGAATATATTAGCTATAAAATTGTTATAATTATAACATTGGTAAAGCGGGACACTATTGACCAAGGAGAGGGGGTAGGAGGGGAGGATGATCCAAATTTGTTGTTACAATAATTAATTTTACATACAAATAATGTGGTACGAATGTTAATCAGGGGATATAGTATTCAACTGAAATAAGCTAGAGAATTTATTGAATTATTGAATTGTTATTATTATTATTGAATTATTTATTGAATTGAGTCGACTGTTTTACATATCATGGGTGATAAATATTCAGGATGCAGTCATTATTAACATTTTTTATTTGTGCCAACGTTTCAACATGTGGGACCAAACATGTAGTTCGAGCACTGAAGGCTTTCTCTTTTGAAGGAAAGCCTTCAGTGCTCGAACCACGCCCTGATGATGACCCACATGTTTGGGTTGAAACGTTGGCACAAACAAAAAATGATTATAATGACTGCGTCCTGAATATTTATCACCCATGATAGAGAATTTAGTTCTATAGATGTATTTTTGGAGTGTGAATAATTTGATAGTGTATTTGACATCTAATTTATGACTTCAATTGCAACACAGTTTTTAAGACTCAGATGTTTTGTGCCAGAAGGTTGTACACAATCAAGCACTTCTTTTTCAAAATGCTATAAAACTTATTGAAATTGACTAAATTTTGGTAATGGAAGTAGCAAATGAAGCTAATTTGCTGATACCCAAAATTAAGCCTTTTCCTTATCAATATATTTTTTTAGTAACAATACATTATTAAAAAAATTATTATGGGTTGTTTATTAAGTCTAAACAATGGTGGTTAAATTCTAACAACTGATCAACAATGCAAAATTCACTAGGGAGGTCTCGATAATCAGTTCTCAAGAGTTATTAGGTATTATTAAAGTTTAAACATTATAAAACTAACAAAAATAATATAAAACTTATATCCTGGTGAAATAGCCATATGGCCACCGAAAACTGTATATTCTCTTCTCATGTTCCTGATATTCGCTAACTTGTGCATTCTTTCCGAAAATCGGGACTTTCTCAAAACGCCACGGGATGGAGGACTAATTAATAACAATCAGAATTGTCCCGCCAAAAGCATTAACTTTAGTTATAAAGCCCAAATAATTTCTCAATAAATGAAATACCTACCTAAATAAACTTTTTTTAAAATCAAAATTAGTTTCTGAACTTTTTGTGCTATTGCAAACTCTACAACTTTATATATTAATTAGAATATTAAAAATTATTGTTAATTGAGTGGAGTAGGCTTTTCAGCAAGTAAGGCACTGTGCTTCTATTCCAGGTTTGAATCTGTCTGTGGTAAGTAATTATTTATTCTGTTACATTAGGTGTGGATGCACTGTGGGAGGGGACATCCTCCTAGTATACGGCCCTCTCCTTCCTCGCCTTTAAGGCTATATGGAGGTTTTCCTGGGCCAGGGGGTGAGGGCAGGGATTTAAAAGACTCCCCAGGTACTGGAACACGAACTCGTGACTATTTTTATTCAGTTATCAATTGTAAGATTGCAAGGTTACGGTGATGCTAAGCACACTCGTTAGCCCACTCAACCATCCCGCCCCCACTGGGTTAAATAACCTCGCTGCACAACCGTTGACCAAAAACAGAACATCGTGGGTTGTAGTGGTACAGGTTAAATAAGCAATGATATTAAAAAATGGTTGCCAATCAGTTCTAAAGTTGAGATATACAACTCCAAAACACGAGATTTGCAAATAATAAATAGAGTAAAGGAATCATGGATTGCTTTGATTAATAAAAAATGTTGACTTACGAGAAAATTGAAAAAAATATATTTTATTGACTTTTTTTCAATTTGGGTGATTGTTGATTGTTGGTTGACATTTAAATTATGTTATTCTTTTATTGTATTATATGTAGATTTAGTGATCAAGATTTAATTGCTTTTCATTTAAAAGAATGTTAATGGGTTAGTCATTATATCCAAATTCAAGTCACTTAATTATCAAATACACTTATAAATATTATGCAGTATATAATATTTACCAATGGACTGCAGAAATTTGGACTATTTGTCATACTCATGAAAGAATGTTTTTATAATATCTTAAATTTATGTAAATTTCTGTTTGGTAATAAATATATTTTTTGATTAAAGTTTATAATGAATGAATAACTGAAAGTGTATTTATTGATAAAAATAATAATAAATCAATAAATGGTGTTATACCAATAAAGACAATAAGAAAAAAAGCTTACTTTTCTTATGTGCACGGATTAATAAGGACGGTTAGCATCCTTGGGCCTTTTTAGTTGTACTTTTAATCTCTTCATTCCAATTTGAAAACCATTCATTGCTTGAATGGCTGCTTGTGCGCTGGTGGGGTTGTCGAATGAGACAAAACCTGTTAATAAAAATTAAATAAGAAATGTACGTTTTTTTTATTAAAGGTAACATAAATCATGTAACATAAAGCAAGAGGTCATGATGTCGCACTGTTAGGACTGTTAAAGCATAAAATTAGAGTCTAGCAATGCTGGTTTGAATTCTGTTTGGATGGGGTAAAATTTATTTTGTGATGGACTATGTGCCAGAAATATGTATTTATTATACTAATAATATGTATTTTATGCTATTTAGATTAAATATGTATTTATAATTAAAATTGCTATTTGAGAGAGAAGCTGCATATATATTTCCATATATCAAATATAAAGGATATCAAATTTACATTACATCCATAACAATTTAGGAAATCTATAAATATTCAAAGTTGTACTCCAATTAATTACGGTTGCTATTTCTTTATTGGTGCTAAATTTCTAAATATGTACTTTAGCTATACAGGTCACCCTACAGGCTTACAACCTATTTCAGCCAAAGAACAAAATTTATTTTATGAATCTGCCTTAAAACAAAATTTAACCTACTCTCTCGCAACAGGCTGGATCTTACTAACATTTTTTTTCATCCGAGAGTTGAAAGGCCAAATGATGGCTCTTTATTATAGGATTGAACAAAAATTTATAAATTTTTGAGTTATATCAAATGCCAATCTGTTTAATAATTTTTACTTTCACTTACCTATACATGAACTATATAGTAAGCTTAAGTGTTGTGATCGTGAAAATTATTTAATCTGAGTTTTCAACGGAATTACACGTTTTACAACAAATTACAAGTCCCGCAAAATGGTCTGGGTGTGTGTTAGCAGTCTGGCTCAAAAACGAAAAGTTGTAAGAAAGTGAAATTGCTATTCAAGGTTATTATACACCTCATATGTTACTTTTCCTTAAAATTAACTAACCGGAAGTGTTATTTTATATCAATAGTGAAACCCATTTTTACAATTTTCTCAAAAACAGCTGTAATGATTTTGATTAAACTCAGTGTATCATTGTTTAATTAAGGGGTCTTTAATATCATTCAGGTATTATTTCCATTGATGTCACTTTACAGGGCTTAAATGCTCAATGTTCATTTACATCTTCCTCTAAAGTACCTTTAATATGGTTCATTTAAAAAAAAAAGCTCTCTTTTATTGACAGTATCTATAAAAAATGGCTAAATATGAAGTTTGAAAGAATGTGGTAATTGGAAACTGGAGAAAAATAGAAAAATGCTTATCTAGATTGAAAACGAATCTCTGGTAATAACAACCAGAAGGTATACGTATATATAAATAATCGTATAAATATATCGCTGGAAAGCGGAGAAGTTTAGAAAAAATAATATCAAATAAATAAAGTTGTAGAAGGTAAAGGAGAGTCACAATAAAAATATAAATAATAATCTCAGAAAACTAACACTATTTAACGTAAATCACATGTTTCCTATGAAATTATCCTACTAAATGTAAACCTTAAAATTTTTTTCCAAGTGTGAAAAAAAGTATTTAAAATCCACCAAATCATGCCAATGCTATTGTTCAAAATACTATTTAATTGTACTTGTGAGAAAGAAGAATTGAAATATAAAAATATTTTATGGATATGTTTATTACCTGTAGTTTAATAACTCTAGATATGATATTATATTTAAACAATTAGGTATCTATTGGCTGTTTATTCCAAAAAAATCATCATGTAACCTTTTAGAAAATTAAATTCATGAATTATTTGATGAATTTTCCCTTTGTGAAATCCCAACATTATCCACTTACAATTAGTGTGACAACTTTTGACCTATCTTTGGCAGGCAATGAAAATCTTGTGATTTAATTTTAGTAAACTTTACAATGGAAAACAACAGTTTAATAACTAATAGTCTTACAATCCATAATCATTTATAGGTTAAATATTCAGATGTCAAATATCAAATCTCTCTAGGCATATATGAGTCTTTCGGATGACAGAATGACTAACTCCAATTTCAACATTCTTTATTATTACTTTTAGTGATGTTTCTAGTGGAAAAAATTGTACCTTTATTCACAGTTCTATATTTCAACACTGCAATCACCTACTCTGGAATCAAGTTACTTACTGTCTGTATAGAAAGAACAGTTCCAACTAGAAATATCACTAAAATGACATTACTCAAAAATGTTCAAATTGGAGTTAGTCAGTCATTCTGTCAACTGAAAGGAAGTTATGTGGTTTATAAAACTAGATTTTTATTGCCTACCATCGATATAATAAATAGACTTTTTGTAATTTTAGTGGTCTTAATGATTTGTTATCTGTAAGCTTTAAGCTTTACCTTAATGCCATTTAAAATGCACTTCAAAATTTTATAATAGTCCAACATTGCCAGAAAATAATTTCTATTCAAAGTAGAGGGGTCAGTGAAAGTTGTGTGTTGCGCACACCAGATTTTTTAAAATTAAAAAATGGCTGTTCCTTAGGGATGCATCTTAATAACACACTTTCAATATATTTTGATTCACAAATTCTGAACCAACAACATTTTCCTTGACCAAACAGATATATTTTTTTAGAACTAAATTAAAGAATCTATGTTTGCTTACACTATTTTTGATTTCATCAGATTCTATCAAAAAATTACAGAATGCTGTTAATTTGTTTTTGTATTAAAAATATTCTAAACAAAGTACAAGAGAACTTCCATAAAAAAATATACAAATTATTAATAAATAATTATTTATCTAAAATAATATTTTTATAAATACATAGAAATATATATACAAAATATAATAAATAAGCTTACCAAAGCATTTACTCTGGTTTGTAGCTCTATCTATGAATACCTTCGAGCTAATGACTGTTCCAAATGGTAAGAACATCTGCATCAGTTCTGCATCCCCGAATTCTTGTGGTAAGTGGTATATGAACAGATTACATCCTTCTGGACCAGATATGGAACAGCCTGGAAAACAGCACACTGAATGATCATTATAATGTCTGCTCGTCAAAACAAAATTGGAAAGTAGAAAAAAAGTTTGTCAATGTTTTTAATTTTCCAATAAAATTGTCATGTGATCTGTAATTAAAAAGCCTTGGAATAACTGAATAACTAAAAATTAAATTTTAATTGTATGTCAGTGGCATAAGTAATGTCAATGCAACTATTCTATGTTAAAACTTGAGAAGTGGAACGGATCAGATGAAGAGTACAGTCAATAAATTGATGCACTAGAAAACATTTCAAGCAAGTGAAAAAAAAAATATATAATCATTTATTTATTGTAATTGTGCTCTGTTGAGTATATTTCAGAGGGAATTTAAATAATATTAAGAGATAAAATAGTACCTAAGCTTTACACCTTATGAACTAAGTTGGTTATTTTTTCTGTAGAGGTGGAGGGGAGAGTTTAGGAGCACAACAATAACAAAACATGTTTACATTCAGCGTAATTATCCTTACTGCAATCACTGGTGTAAGTGTCAATGTAGTTGCAATAAAATTAGTAGTAATAAGTAGTAGAGAAAAGGGAGAAGTGAAGAATCATTAATATCCTATATCTGTTATGGTTTATGTATTGTTAAAATGCAAGTACTGTTGATTTATTTTTGTATATTATATTTTTTACATAAAATTATAATTTAAAGCTAAACCTAGGCATCGATTTTAATCATTGCAATGCTATAAAAGAAATTTCGTAATAAGCCCAGTTTCTAAAACTTGTGCACTTATACTGGTCTGGAAAATGTTAACTGCATTTTTTTTGTTTTTCATTGATCATAATTTTTATTCTATAAGTCCAAGAGTAAGAAATAATTGAATTACTAATAAGTGAGCTCTGACTACAGATGTTGAGCCCAAAATTATACTATCTCGATATAAAAATAAGCTGATAAAAAATAAATAAGAAATAATTTTATCATTATAAATAAACAATTTAAAATTTGAAAAAATCATTTATGTGCTATGTATTTCAAATTTATCTAAATCAGTAGAAGTTATTAGCACAATATTATATTGCTGAGATGTGGAATAAAGACATGAATATATAAATATATGATGTAAACAAATTGAGTTATATCTACATTTGATATTTAAGAGATGATCTAAAAGTTAAAATCTATTTATGAGGTGACATTAAAATCAACTTTTATACACTATACCCATAGAGCAAACCCATAAAATACAAAGATGCAATTTTCTCTTTACATCTACGTTATAGCTTATAGCAGTAAAGAAAAGAACGACAACGGAACTACAACTAACAGATTCAGAAGAAATGTAATTGGAGGGTTGGCAGAGTGCATGCATAGTTGATAAATCAATTTAGAATTGAACATAATAAATTTTACTATTAAGAAACTTTATTTTACTACTAAGAATGTTGTTCAACATCTTTGTTCATTAAAGAGACCCATATGAGGTTAATATCGTGGGTCAATATCACATTTTGTAAATGTATTGACCATCTGGGAGTTATATAGAATGAATTATATTTACATTTGTGTTATATTTACCATTTCCAATAATATTGACTGTGTAAGGTGAGTTTAAATCATAAACTTGTTTATAAAATTAATAATTAAAAACCTACAGAATTAGTTTTTTTTTCAGTAAATAAATAAGCGATCATCTTGTTTAAATAACCATACAGTTGGTAAAAAATCACTAAAAATTATAGAACAAACACCTTTGACACTAATTTATTAAAATATATATATATATATATATATATATATATATATATATATATATATATATATATATAAATTTGATATAAGGATTTCTCTCTTTCACAGAAATTAATATTATGGAATTAAAGTCAATAATCAGATAAATTTACACATGGTTGGTGTAAATGTAACGCTAACTTTAAATTTGTCATGAATTCAATTTCTTATTTTGCCTACTCTACTTTTAATTAGGACTAATTTGCTTATTGGCCAACTCAAATAATACGTTATAGTTCTATAATGCTTAGTGTAATGTTGATGTGTATTTTTTCTTGTTTTTAATAATTTTTATCATCATTAATGAGTTATTTTTTACCAACTTTATGGTTATTTAAGCAAGATGGTTATTTCATACTAAATTGATCGTAATTTTTACCGATATTTGAATTTAAATGAATAATTATTACAATCAATATTTTAACAAAATAAAACTTTTATTATAGTAAGTAAACCATTTATTTCTTTTAATAACTTTTAAAAGATATTTAAAATCATGATTATATCTGTTATCAAATGCAAATAAAATATATCACAGTGTCATTTCAAAAATCCAAAAAGTGAAAAAAACAATTTGAGGTACTTGTGAGGAAAATATGTAATGTCAAATTTTTAAAAGAAAATCTTTCTGAGCAGAAATGTAGTTGGTGAAAGAGTAATAGTATATATTATTATTACTTGAATGGATAAAAATTGACCTAACAACTATTTTTATTTTTAATATGTTATAACACACATTATGTCTTTTAAAAAAAACCATTAGTAACTCCAATTTTTCTAATTTTTAATGTTTTATATTAGAAATTGTTTGATAAATTATATAAAATAAAATAGGAAATGAATCATAAATATTTCATAAAAAATGTTTGGGAGGCGATATTAGAGTAGGAAATTAAGAAATTTTTATATACTTATACAATTTTGAAATCATAGCTATAATACTTTTTGAGAAGAATTCAAAGTCAATGGCAAACCTAAATAACTTATTAAAAAATAATTAGATAGTAAAATCAACTAACATAAATGAGTTTTTGGCCAATTAAGAAGTAACTTATATTTTTACTTCAATATTTTATTTATCGGCTAGATGTTAAGCAGAATTATTATGCATTACAAACAAGGTTTGTAATACTTTTTTAATGAAATATTTAAGATTTAAAAATTTAATCAAAATAATATTATTTTTAAAAGAAAGAAATCAAGTTATAAAATTCTAGGTACAATGAAATTCAAGTAATAGAAATCACAAAATACAGGCCAACATCATCAATTTTTACAGAGCAGATTGAAAGGATTTAGTAGATAAAGATAAATGATCAAGGGAATAGGAAGTAGACACATTCTATTTTACATAAAATTACACAAGGACTGTGTGATACGTTGAACCACCTAAACATAAATGAAGATATACGTATAAATATAATGCATGTAAGAAATAAAATAAAACATCTTATATAAAAAATACACGTGTCAACATATAACACAGAACATATTAAGGGTGCATTTCATTGACATATTCACTTACCCAGTACTATACAAGATGAACATTATTAAGAGAAATGTGTAATTTTATGTGTTGTTTAAAAACATGTGGTAACTATTTCATATGCATCATATTTAAACTATTGTAATCTGTTCCGTACTTTGTTTGAAATCTTGTATATTAGTGTTGGTAGTTACCTTCTCTTTGTGATGCAGCCACTGCTGCTATAGGCTGTGGTATTGCCTGAGCGAATTGGCCGTACACTGCTGGGTATGCTGTTAAAACACCGACATACAATAAACATCGAGAGACATTGCATACATATAAAAGGCAAACACAAATCAAAGGTTCAATGCAGTGAAATACTATTTCTAGAAACATAGAATATATAAGTTTTTTTTTTTCCAGTTTATTGAATTCAATAATTTTATGATTAGATTCAATTATTTTTTTATAGTTTATAATAAGGAGAACTTTTATGGAATAAATCATCCTTGAAGGAAGACAAATTCCAAAAGATTACTTCTAAATGATGTTAAAAGATTACAAACTACATTTTAATGTTATTTTGCAAGAAATAATTAGAAATCTGGATTTAAATTTATTCAAAATCGTTAGTTGATATAATAGATTTTGAAAAAAGTGGTATTAATCAAAGACTAATGAAAATCTGAGAGGGTTAAACATATTAATATTTGAATAGGATTTAAGATAGAGTTTGTTATTATTAGTGACTTTAAAGATTCAAATTAGTAAGAATATTGATTAGATGTTTCTTATTGAGTGCAAGCTCTACAATTACAACACAAAATAAGGCAGATTTAGCATTTGCATTAATGTAATAAACAGAGAAAGATTTATTCATAGAATATGTATTGAGGAAAGAGAGTTTGAGCTTTTTTTTTTTTTTGTTTCATAGACCATTTTTAAGGCAGAGTTAAGGCCTTTATTAAAATAATAAAGCTACAATTTTAAGGGCAAATGAAACATTTGTAGAAAGTAGAAAAATATAATAACCAATAAAAATGAAAAAAAGATAATTATCACACTGATGATTGATGCCTATTATTTCACTAAGATGTACAATCATATATCATAATAAAATAATGCCATGGTTCAACATGGAGATAAAATTAAGAAACTATGCCTTAAATATAAACTTTAAATTTATCTAAGAGTATAGCCCCTGGTTAAATAAATAGACAAAAAATTTTAATGACATCAAAATAGATCATTCTTTCTACTTGATACACAATTACATGCTTAAATGTTATGAAATGCAGCAATTCAAAAGTGTATTATTAATTATATTGTTTAGTATTATTTATAATTCAGGACAGGATGTTTTCAATAAGCATTCATTGTAAGACTATATCAAGTTTTAATTGGAAATTCCTATAAGTATTAGTCAGGTTGATTAGCAACAAGATATTGGAATTGATTGATTGTTTACATGTATTATTTTCAATTTAACACAGTTCCAAAATGAATCACAAAGGTACTGTTTTTATGTATATTTGTTTATTACAGGGTGATCGGATGAAATTGTGATAATTAACATTATACACAGTTGGCAATAAAAACAGTCGATTCGATGATTGGCTGATGGCTATATAATAAGCACTAGAAAAAACTAGCAGATATTGAGGGATCTGTATCATAATTAATGTGTAAATTGAGCGCTCTCATTAACAGTTTAAATCAAGGGTCTTATCAGTCTGTTTATCACAGTTGGACAAACGTATACCATCAGTCTTATAAGCAGTATGAAGATTGTGGACAGCAGGCATTGTGGAACTGTCAGCGAGGGTTTAGATCTGTGTCTGAGCTGCCAACAGTTCATAATCCACAAATTCAAGACCGAAATGGATTTGCATTCAGTAAACAACTATATTTCCTATGCTTGAAAATTAGGAAATTAGTTTTATTAGCTGAAAAAAGGCTGCAGATCATTCTCGTATTAATATTTTCCCAACAGTTTCCCAAGATCGTAAACTTTATTTTAAACAAAAACATTATATAATTACTTCTAATTACATAATTTAATTAGCACTAATTAAAATTTAATTTGAAATATTAAATTTAAATTATGACTTTGTCTAATCTGCCTAATTTCATGAGGTATACTGTAGGGCAATTTTCTCAAAACTCTATGAATATTGACTATATGTTAGATTAAAAAAATCTTGAAATAATTTAATCAAATGAAATAATACTTCGTATTAAAAGTTGTCAGTTTTGCATAACATGCAGAGCTTAAGAAGAAAATCATGCGTTAATTAACATTGAGGACATGCATGAAGTCACTTATTTAAACAACCATGCGCAATTATTTCTACCAATTTTTAGTAGCTAAACTTGTTAAACAACTATTAAAAAAAAAAACATGAATTACAATTTTGACATTAATATCTGACACATTATGTGCCACTAACTTGCTACTATTATCACATGGAAATAGTGACATGAATGTTCCATTCCACATAAATGCTTATTAAAATTATATATATAAGTATATATTATATATATAATTTTTAAATAAAATATCCTCAAATGTAGTAATACATGGATACAGATATCATTTTAAATTAATATAAAGCTGAAGTTATCTCACCAACTCCAGGATAAGGTTGCATCCCTGTGTAAGCAGCAGCGTGTTGCAACGCAGCTTCTCCATTTGTCAGTCCAGGAGCTGAAACGAATAATTTTAGAACATATAATATTATCTACTTATAATAAATACTTTGTATGAATCAATTTCACCATCAAAACATTTATATATCTGCCTTAAATTAAACATAGTTCAAGATGTTTAAATAGAAAAAATATAGTAATAATAAAAAATGAGAACAAAAACAATTTTATATATTATAAACATTTAATAGGAATTAATTCTTGTTTAATATTAAAAAAAAAACTTTATTTCTGCACTAGATGTGTAGATAAAAAATCAAAAATACTTACGAGGCGGGTAGGTTTGGTGAATGCCATTAGTATAGATTGCTGGTTCTGTAGCTGGTGGTTGCCCGTTGGGCGTCTGTGCCATGTTGAAGTTGGGCACAGTCGGTGATGGAAGGCTAGGTAAAGCTCCATTAACTGTTGGTCCAGGAGTACCTCCACCTTAATTGACAAATTACAAATATTTTCTAATAATTTAAAACCATATAAATTCTAATAAACAGATTTTCATTTATTACTGAAAGAAAATTGAATATCAATTGTGTATAGACGATACCATTGGAATTGGTAGCACATTCATTGAGTATGATAAAAATAAAAATTAGATGTTATTGAAAGACCATTATTCTTATCAAACCTAACTCAAATTAAGTAAAGACTGCTGAAATATCACAAGATCAAAAGAAATTTAAATTTCAAGAGCATACAGACTGAAAATAACATTAATATGGATATTATTTATTTAAAACACTTGTTCTGAATGAAAAAGAAGTATCAAGAAAAGTTGAGATATAATCTCTAAAATTAATTATACATTTACAATAAGTGTAATATGCTGTTATTATTAAATATCTGGTAACTTAATGGATGAATTTAATTCAGAGTTTATTATTTAGCTTAATATTTCTTCTGAATTGTAAAGTTTGTTGTTTATAAATGAAATTTGGTAGAATCATTTAATTTGTTATTTTATCATTTCCGATCTTCTTTCAATGTAATGCTTTGTTTTGTTTGATAATAGTTCATAGCTATAATGGATGTTAAATATTAAATTCATATGCATCAAAGAATTTATGGAAACAAAATCTATCATATGCAGATGTATTTTTGTAAGGCACATTAATTTGAATGAACTACTTTTAGGTAACAAAATTTAAAATTTTAATATTGGATTAAAAAAAAGTAGACTTCCTAATTTTTTATTTAAAAATTGAAAATAATTCTTGTGTGAGAGTTATCAAGAAAAAGGTTGAGTAATTAAAGATGAGATTCAATTTCGCTACAATAATAGGTGTTTGTCAGTATAAATAGATGTTCATATATGTGTTTATGAATCCAGGGGTTACTTCTCTTAACTGCAGTTTTTATGGAAAAACAAATAAGCAGTGCCATCTTGTCGTTTTAAAAGAGTAATAATATCATATGTTTTCATATCTGTTGAGGAACAAATTCAAAGCTGTTAAACATACTGATAAAGTTTTGAGAAATGAATGCAGAACATTTGTTGGATAATTTTCAAATTTGTCATTCTCAAAACAAAGTTCTGTATTTTAAAGTAGTGATTTTACTACTGCTCCTTCATATATTATGATATCAATTTAATAATACTAATATTGATTATTAGTATTACCAGCCTTCTATTGGCTTTAAATAGCATGAGAGTTGTGGCCATTTCTTTTAAGTACGTGTTGGGTGTTCTTGAAATATGAAGTTTGGTAAGAAATGTAAGGTTGCTAAGAAACCAAGATACTTGTTATTGTATTGGAAGATTTTTTTTTTTTTTTTGGATGGGAGGTCCCAAAAATTTTAAATTTGTCACTGTGGGTATTTTTAGACATCACATATATTTTTGATACTTCTTTTTCTCTCACTGTCTCCTTTGTGCTGCTAAGTGTGGAGTAGCTGCCTCTGACCATCTTGTCCAACGGTCCCTGTCCTGTGCAAGCATTCTCATCTGCGACATGGTGCTCCCTCAATCAGGTCTGCATACATAAGCCTTGAGGTCGCCTTCTTCCCAGCCTTGCTTCTAGAAGACACCTGGCCTTACGGTCATCTCCCATTCTGTCAACATGCCCGTACCACTTCAACTGCCTTTCTTTAATTGTCTCTAAGACGGATCTAACTTGTAGTTCATCTCGTACCCTTTCATTCCTTATTCGATCTTGCCTGGTTTTTCCTAATATTTTCTGTAGGAATCTCATTTCTGCAGATATAACCTTGCTGGTTATTGGTATGTCCAGCTTTCCGATAGCATTGGGAGAAAAATTATATGAATATATATATATATATATATATATATCAAAAATATATTTTTGATAAATAGTACAAATAGATTTTTGTAAGCAGAGGTACGATTTCAATATATGTCTATGTTTTAGTTAAAAAGAAGTTCAGTTTCATCAAAGTTCAAAGAAGTTCAGTGGTCATTATGGTAAGACAAATTAATATTTTTAACTTTGTACTGATTTTTTTATTTATAGAGAAGTTTAGATATGATACCTAAGTTCGAACGAGAAATGATAATTAAAATGTAACAATTAGCCATCATGGTTTTTAATTTTGAGAAGATAAGGCCTTATATTAATAAGGACGTTTTTCTCTTCTTTGAAATGGATATTGCTGTTCTTGAAAAAAATGAGTGAAATATAGAAGGTAAAATACTATTAAAGTTAATACTAAAGCATTTACCATTTAAAGTGTGTGTTGCCAAAGCTGCCATGGGGTTAATGTAGGTTCCTTGGGCTGCTAATAAAGCTGCCTGCTGCATTTCCTGTAACACATCCAACTACCATCTGAATATAAATAGGCTCTTTGAAGAGATTACTTTATACAGAAATGTTTAAACAAGATATAAATTTTATAATAATTTAGAAAAGTCATCTGTACATAACAACGAATAGTAATAATATCTAGGATTTTGCAAGGATTATTTGAAAATAAGTGGGCGAAGTTTCAATATGGCTGACCATAATGCACTAACTTCCACATTTTTTAATTAAAACAATGAAACTACGTCTTCGCAATAAATACATGAAATTTGCTTATAATTAATTATTGATATCTATAACGAGAGTGCTGGAATTAATTTCTAATCCTTTGGTAATAATGCAAGCTAAAAATCAACAGCCGGTTTTGAGGTTGTGAATGAATTAATTGTAAATGTTCAGACCCATTATCCCTAAATATCTTTAAATAACGCAGTAGTTATAAGAGAATAAAGAACGAAACATTAACTCACATTAAAAACTCATGGTTTCCAAAATAAAGAAATTCAATGCTTGGGTAATTCAATATTATACGGTAGTGGTCAGGTTTCGTAGCCCCGGAAAAGGTTACATAAGTTTCCTTTTCGTGCCACTAAATTGCGCTTTAGTTACAATATCAAAAGAATTTATTTTATCACCTGTAATGAAACCACGTTCACACATTGTCCAAACCATGACGACCACATGCATGTAAAAAGGTTCTTTACTTGGTTTGCACACGTTTTCCTCTTTTCGTTGCCGATTCGTCCGTTTTGAGAAACAAATCAAAGCGAGCTTGCCAAAAGCATCACGAACGCCCTAGGCTACTCGAAATTTTAACAGATTTATCTGAATTTTTGCTCTGGTTTTTATTTTTAAAATTAAAGTAGTTTAAATCGGTGGCGTACCTAGACCATTTGAGACCAGAGTTTATAAAAATATATTTTAAAAGTACGCTAGTGTAGAGTCTCCTTAGGAAACGGGCCTTGAGTGGATTTATTTTTGATAACTTCTAAAAATAGAGAAAATAAAATTATTTCATTTCAAATTAAAAAAGTATTTGAGTGGTCTCACATTAGAGATGGACATCTGGCTAATTCAGAATTCAAGATAATTTTTGTTATGAAATTATATTTAAACCAACAGGATAATTTTTTTTCCATAATTGAACTTAAATCATATAAAATATGGCTGTGTTTTATTATTACTTCAACACATTTATTTCACAAGCCGATGTAGAGTAAAAGTGAAATAAAGGTGATGAAGTAATAAAAAAATAAAGCCTTATTTTATATTATTAAAATACTTCACCAAAAACAAATAATACACACCCACTTAAAAATCTTTTTTGTTAATTCTGCGAAGGATGAGGTATCAATAAATTTTATCAATAAGTTAGACAAATTCACCAAAACAGATACTTGAAATATAGGTGTCCATATTTGAAATGAAAAAATTCTAATTGATATAAAGATAATTATTGTAAATTTTCCTAATTGTATATTGTAAAAATTTCCTAATGACACGAGCATTTCAAACCTCCACCACCACCTCAATTGTTCTTTGTTTTTTTAAAATGTGAGTTTGTATATGTTTGTGTTTGTGGCTTTTGTATACATTTGTATATGTGAGTAAATATGGGTTAGTGTAAAAGAGAACATCATTTGAAAGCTGGAGTGGAATTTAAATTAAATAAACAATACATAAAGGAATTAGAACTTTGTTTTATATTTGTAAGTAACACAGCTGTTTAACTTGAATAAAGCCAAAACCCATTTTTTCAGGAATTGCAATTCTTTTGTTTTTATGGCGGATCACCCTGAGATTGGTAACTAAAGGTTAGAAATAGATTCAATTTCAAAATATTATGTTGTTCTTATGAATCGATTTCAGAAAAAAAATAAGTTATGTGGTAAACAATATAAATACTTTTTCTGATGAGATAAAGTATGAGTTTACATTTTTTTGACTAAAATTTATTTTGAAAAACAAAAGCCTTTCAATGTTCCGCCAGCTGTTGTAACACTTTACCCTAGACAAATTAACCGATCCATATGTTGGCGCCAATGAACTGTCAAGCGGTATTAGCAACTTAAATTAATGGTTGCAAACTGAGTTGGTGCAGTTGATAGTGCTCAGCAACTTGGAGCAACATTTAGACAGCATAGAAGCAAGTTAATTTCCAATATTAGTTCCCTACATCGTCTGTTAGGACCTGTTTATCCACCGATTGAACGGTCGTTTGAATACGTCATTACGACAAAAGTATGGATTATCTTATCTGAGATTTGTACGGAAAGCTCCATTCATTACAAAATTTGTAATTATGGAAGAAGGCTTGGCGTGTGTACCAAAAAATATCCGGGTGAGGATTGACTCCAGGAATTGGAAAAATATTATCCTCGAGAATTCAATAGAAGAATGGAGCCGGTAGAAGGATTTTGTCATTGCCTCCAGGGCCTAAGAGACATTGAGAGCTAAGCTAAAGAGAGGAATAAGGCTCTCTATATGAAATGAAGCTAAGCAGCTACTTATCTCGTAATATCGAGATAAATACCGAGGAAACAGCTGTCCGCCCAGCCCACCTCAATCTGAGAAGAGGACCAGTTCCAGGGCAACAATCAGTATTATGTTTACTAGCTGAGATGATGTATGCATTTTGTTTTCTATACCACAACTGCAAAACCCGTTTAGCTGAAAGTTAAACGTAGGAATTTTCATTAACTGTTGGTCCTACAAGAAAAAAAATTTGTGACAAATGTTCGAAGAATCGGAATAAAAAAATGCTGATTTTGACATTCGATCACGATTTTCTTGATTTGTCAGTCATTGGGTTAGCAGCTAGTTAGTTTCCTTAGAATTTTGAGTTCCACACCAAATACTTAGTGTTGCCCAAATGCAAGACCGAGACGAGTCTTGGTCTTGCAAACTCAGTCTTGGTCTAGGTATTGGTATTGCGCAAGACTTTCGTAACAGTCTTGCAGTTACCTATTACCTTTTTACTAGAAATATATTACTGTATTTTTTTTAGATATGAGAAACCTAACTAAGTGGTTACACCAATTCTTTACATATAGTAACTAAAATTGTCACGTATTAGTAACTATTTTACCTTAATTTTTATTCAAAAAATCTATTTTTTTTAACAGTCTTGGTCTTGTAAAAGATACGCGGTGTTGGTCTTGGTCTTGCAAAGTGCAAGACCAAGACCCAAGATACAAATACTTAGAACCAAGATGTGGATTTTCTCCGAGAAAGCTCAACGAAGCAGAAAAGATGACGCTATTTATTGCTTTATTGATGGTATGTTTGCTACTCCTCAGCCTTCGATATACCATCATTCCCTTGCTTTCTTCTCAAACCACAGGAAAATATATCTTTTGAGTTAGTAAGAAGTCTACAATATATATATATCATTATATGCACATCATTATATATTAAATAATATGAATAACAATCATCTGCTAACATTCCAAGTGAGTACTTAAAAAGTTAGAATGCAACTTTGGTTTTCTTATCTAGGATCAGATGATGTGTCTCAAAATGGAGAGAGCTATCAGTGCACAACATGATCCTACTCATATTGATTTCTGTCTTGATTACTTGTGATCAGGAGGATAAGAATGCCCCCTACAAGGAGCAAGTAATTTACCAACTTATACAACAAAATGATAGGTAAAATCTAACTTGAAACCCTATTTTGGGTGAAACTGTCCGAAATATCCCATGAACTCAATTCACTAGACATAGACATGATACCAATCTATGTTTATTAAAGGTTTAGTTTTTTGTAAATAAGTTTGCATAGTACCTGAGCGTAAGCTCCGTAAGTTCCAAACTGGTTGAAGACGAAAGGATTTAGCAGACTCATATTTCCGGCCATCTGCTGCATCCGCCTTAATTGTCTTTCCTTTTCAGTATCAGCGAATTTTACTACCAGCGAGGAGGAAGCGCCCTGAAAAAATGAAAAAAAAAATTAAATATTGTCCACAATTATAAAAAACAATGCAAAAGAAGGTTATTGTAACATTCAATAATTTAAATTCTCCACCAGGCGTCTTAGGATAGAATAATTATCAGACATTCTTTCATTTTCAAAGACTCATAGCTCCGCTCCTATATGTGCTAGAAATCAAGATATGTTATCATTAAACAGAGTAAATGTGACATAATATGTTAGAAAAAGAATTTTCGAATTTGGAATTAAGGCGTCTGAACTACTGTCATTTCTTCTTTGTTGCATTCCTCATTGGCCAGTAGTACAGAAACTAATTTTTAATAAATAAAATTAATTTCAGCAGTTTAAGATTTTTTTTTTCCGCCCAAGCGCACAAAGTAAATCCACTCCATTAAAGACTAAAAGGTGTGTGAAACAGCCAGTGTCCGATTTATTTTTTTGTCTCCGATTGAACGTCTGCAGTGGCTATTTAAATTAAAGAAGTAACATTCGGAAATAGGTTTGAAAATTGAGTTCGAATGATGAAAAATGATAGAATGAAATGGAAAATAATTTTATACTGGGACTAAAGTCCCCTTAAAATAACAGCAGAAGTTCAAAAAATATATACATCAGTCTGGTATGTTGTTATAATACAAATATATAAATAGAATCCCAAGAAAAATACAGTTATCTACAAAAAGATACTAAAAGAAAAAATATATGAAATGGCAATTAACTGTTGGCAAGCAATTATAATTAAATAACCTAAAAAATCTTACAAGCTTGCGGAAGTTTGAATGTAAAGAAGGTGAAGGAATAAGAGTTGTTAGAAGGGATTGGTGGAGTTGGTTTGACGTTCCAGGAGTTCCAAAAGGAGATAGCACGAATGAAGAAGGATTTGCTGAAGAAAGTGGTTTTATGAGAGGGGATATATAAATCTATAGGTTGAGATCTGGTATTAAGGGCGTGGGTAGAGTAAGAAGTTCTAGGATGTAGAGGGAATTTTTGGTTCTGAGGACGTGGGAAAGAAAAATACCAAGTAGAAATTGCCGTCAGAAAGCAGGATAGAGCCACTTCAACTCAAGTGTATAAGCAGGAAACATGGGAACGCCTGGGGACCCCAAAGATGAATTTATGAAGCAGTTCATGATTCTTTTCAGTCTATCCTCTAATCTTGTGGACAGACCTCCATACACTAAGCAACCGTAGTCGAAGTGGAGGAAAACAAGGGATACTACAAGGAGCTGTCTGGTGCTCAAATATAATGAATCCAAATACACCAGAGGGATGGTACATACTCCTCAGCCCGATGGCGATAGTGTTGACCTCAGATTTAAGTATAGTTAGTTTATCCACATTTTTTAAATCTATTTTTCATATAAACTGCAGAACCATCCGAATCCTCTCGTTTCAAACCTTGCTTCCTTCTCGATCCCTGATAACCCTCCGAGGCGTCTGAAAAGAAGATGGACTCGGGATCTTCTAATATAGAACTTTAATTTGAGCTCTACCAATGGGTAGTTTCTCTTCATGTTGTGTATGTCATGTTACCAATTTCACATTTACTTATTGTATTTTCTATGTAATACAGTTGTAAATTCCATTAAAATAATAATAATTAAAAAAATTCATATGAAATTTCATATCTTTAAACATTCTGTTCGTTTAAAACTGCACATTTTATTATTATTTTTTTTGGAGGGATCCTCCCCTTCCTAGCCGTTAAGGCTATGCGGGGTTTTCCCGAGCCAGGGGGTGTGGGGAGGGGATTTAAAAGACGCCTTGGCACCGGGAAGCGAATTGCACCTGAAACGCTATTTTGTTTATTCTTATACTTTCTGATTCAATAATTCGACTGCTATTGAAAATAACAATATTTTGTTTTAATCCTAACCCTCTGAAATTTCTTACGTGATATTTACTAATATATTCATCAACTAAAAGATTATGACATCATTTTTCTATATATGTATACAATTGTAATGTCAGAGGAACAGAAAAAAACAAAATGTTAATTACAATTCAGTGTCGCATCGCTTTCGTCTTTCTTAATCTTGTTCCTGTTGAAAGCGTACAGAGTTAGGTTGAAACTTCGACAATATAATTTACCTGATGGCCTGTTTTCTGATCCCACTACCAACCATCTTTTTATAAGTATATTTTTATTGTGTTACAGATTTATTGTACACAAACTGTGGGCCGTTAGTGTATTATGAAAAACTCATATTAAAAATAATATTGTTATTTATCAACTTTAACAAAAGATAAATGAATAGAAGTAATTAACCGACCAGTGTTAAATATTTGTAAAAATATTTCTTTATTTTAAATAAATCAACCCCTTATAAGAGACATCACTCCCTCTCAAATAAAAGTTCTTTTCACAGCCAATTATATTAAAGCTATAAAAAAAGTTTTTCGGTATCCCTGTTTGTAAGACCCATTCTGGGAAAAAACGCTACATTTGCAAAAATGGGGATAAATTAATGTACCATTAATATCGGAATGGGAATAAATCTAGCAAGCGGAGTGAAAAAAAAATTAAATCCCACTTTTGTGAAGGGAAAGGAAAGAAGATATTGGGCAAAGATCCAAGAGTCTCAATAAGGAGCCAGATTTTTATTTGGATCAGAGAGCAACTATTTCAGACGTCTCTGCTGATTTATGATCACATCTTAAAGATCGTCTGATGTATCAAGTCATCAGTCGGCATTGAACTTTTAGATATGTTTCCAGTATTTTCAATGGAGAAATTCAAAGAATTTCTAAGCTGATTCAGTAGGTGAGTTTTAATTATAGTTGTCTCATACCTGTAACGTTATCCAATAACCAATAAAACTCCTGTTGCTTTGAATATCAAGAGGATTTAATACAAATTTTTAGATTAGATTCCTGAAATCATTAAACTTTTATTTAAATGTCTTTGTTAACTGTTAACTTATACTTTTCTAATCCTATATATTATTTCTAAAAGGTGTTTTTTTTTGTCGGTACGCCATAACTTCGTCAATTCTTCATAAAATCCAATGATTGACCACTCATTTTGAAGATATTCTTCTCCTTCACATGAGAAAAATAGTCCTATCCTCCCGAAATTTCTTGGGAAAAAGTTATGAAGGAAAAGAGACTTTATTCGCGAGTAATTCAAAAAGTATGCGTTTCTTGATTGTACCCATGATAATTAGAAAGATTACTAAATTACCAACAAAACAAAAAACCAATCATAAAATTCGGACAATTATTAACAAAGATACAGTCCATTAGTTTTGGTATACTTAATAATGTCTTCTTGTTTAAAGATATTGGATTTCGGAGTAGAATAGTCTACTACACTTTTTTTCCTGGCTGATATATTAATTTTATTATTTCTTAAAGACCTTCGGTTGTTCTTACATTTTATTTTATTTGATAATTTAGAAAATCCCATGATCGGGGAATTATTTTCCCTTTACTATCTTTCCAATTTAAAAATATTTCCTAGGAAAGCAATTTGAACAAATATTTTGGTCTATTATGTTTAATGGAATATTGTAATCGACCAAGGAAAAAATATTAATTTCTTTCTTACATAATACATACAAACTACTTATTTCCATATAGTTTTGCTATTTTTTTAGTAAACAAAATTTTCAGCGAATTATTCGCACGGGCCAACTGGTCATTAATATTTAATTTTAATGTTTTTTGTAAACTTTTCTTCTTGCATTTTTTAATATTTAAACTGTACTTTTTAACTTTGTTTCTATTAATATTAATTTTTATTAAAAAAACAACGTATTTTAAGCTTGTTTTCTTAAAATCATTAACCTTATTTTAGTTGTCTTTGTTAACTTTTCTTCTTTTAATCCATAACTTTCAATTTTTATAACTTTAATTCAATTATACTATCATATTCATCTGTATCTATTCTCAACTTTCTAAATTTTAAATTGTATTTGTTATCTGTAGTTTTGTTATGTATTTAGTAGTTGATCGAATTGTAATACAGAGCGAAAATTACCCAGATGGTTGAAGAGCCCTAAACATTTATAAATAAATAAAAAAACTGAAAATTTTACTTCATTTACCTAAATTATAATCTTTTGTTCGAAAATAAAATTAAAAATTATTGCTTTAGAAACCAAAAGGGATACTTTGATTAATATATATAAGTGACCAAGACTGGGAAACACTTGGGTTATCATTTAAGGGCTGTGAATCTCCTTAGGCCTTTCCTTACTTCTTCTTACTTCCTTATGAAACCTATTCCTATTAATTCATAAGGTAATTTGATTTCGAAATCGAGAAAAAAAGATGGCCTACAAAAAGATTGGACCGTTTGGCCTATATAACCTCGTTATTTTGATTTCTTTGGAGTTGTAAATGGAGATCTCGCCCAACGGACGAATATTTTTGTAGGCTACATTTTTTCTCGTATGCATCTTGTGGTAAAATTATCTTACGATTTAAGTGTAAATAAGTGTCCAAGAGTTTTTAGTACTTAAATAGAAAAAGTTTGCGGATCTCGAATTTGATAACGCCCCATTTCTGAGAATCTTCGTTGGTAAAAGTGTTGCAGGTTACGATAAAATGAAGTCTTTTGCGAAGTTTTTGGCAAATTTTAATAATTTGATAAAAAGGGGTCTGTACAGCGAACTATTTATAAAATTGAAGAGAAGGATAGTTGGGGTGATCAATCAAATAAGAAGGCAAAAATAAATGATAATATTTATTTTGACATTTGCCGACGTTTCGACCTGAAGTTCAGGCCTTCATCAGGGCTGTCTCCAAAAAGTGTCAACCGAGAAGTCACTTCTTCCTTTCACGGAGAAGTTCAGGTCGAAACGTCGGCAAATGTCAAAATAAATATTATCATTTATTTTTTCCTTCTTATTTGACTGATCACCCCAACTATTCTTCTCTTCATTATTCACGACAGTCAACCATTTACCCACAATTATTTATAAAATTATGTATATTGTAAAGTAAAACGTACTGTTTTAAAGAAGAGTACAAATAAATAAAATAAATAACGAGATCGTTTCTAGACTGTTTATAGATCGATAATAAACCCGTTTCCTGCGATTCTCAATACGTTTTCTTTCTACTTCCTAAACGCAGCATGAGAGGTGACATAACATCGACAGGGTAAATATCTATTGAATCAGTGAGCCCAAGGTACACGGGATCCCGGAACCCCCGCAGCTGGAAATAAGCCTTATTCGGGGGAGGCTTAGGGAAGAGGGGAACAGGTTGTCAACTCCTAAATGGGGCTAAACCTTGTCTTCTCTCTCTTCTCTCCCGCCAGGAATTTCGGTCGAGCCAGCTTCATCGATTGATCTCGAACAGCTGCCGCCGTCAGAACAAGCCTTTGAGGAAAAACTACTCGAGTGGAAGTACGGAGGTACTCTATAAAAGTAGCACAAAATATATATATATAAAAAAAAATAACTTGAACAAACCTGATCAGATCACACAACTGAATTGAGATTGCATCATGATTTGCAAGAATTCATGAGTTCGGTGACGATTGAGTGCAAGTCGCGTGGGCCCTAACATCAAAACCTACGAATCGAATTCAAGTAATAAAATGCTCTAAACATAAAACAATTGAAGGAAAAGCAGAAAATATCATATAGGAACTGGGTTTTTAGAACAAATAATAGCTATACGACGGACAGACGAAATAAAAAAAATAACTCAAGAAAAACCCAAAACATGAGGAAGTCTTTGGAAGAATTAAAGATATCTCAGTTGTGGAAAAAAAATCTTGGATCAGGTTCTTCATACTCCTTAGAAGGATTATAGAGATTAGTAAGTTATTTTTACAAGTCAAATGAATTCCTTTAGTGAATTGATAATGGTTCAATTATTTTTGTTTATTATCTCAACCCTACTGCCGAATTAAAGAATATTTCTTGACAACATATATTTTTTATTTCCCGCATCCTTTCGATAAATGTTATAGAACCTTGTCAACATATGTTGGCAACGAACGCAAACGTTACTTTTGCTGATCTAATGTGTTTTTTTTCCCCAATATTATCGAATGTGATTTAATTATGGATAATATTAAATATATTGAATTGAGTATTGATCAGAAGAGCCAATGTTCCATACATTTAAGCTATTAAAATTAGTTTCTTAGTTTCTAAATCTGTACTCCTAAGGTAAAAAATACCCTATCGCTTTTTGTGTTCTTAATCTAATATTCGTAAAATATTTAAATTCAATATTAAATATATTGAATATTAAATATATATATGAGAGCTACTAAAAGATAACGAAAAAATAATTGGAAAAATTATGAATTTTTTGGAAATTAGCGGAATGTTTTGTTAGCATACCTTCAATGACCATACAAGGTAAAGGCGAAATCAAGCAAATAAACCAATAAATATAATGAACATTTTAGATTTTATTTAATAGCAGGTTTGCTCAGTTGATTTTGATTTTTTTATTGCAGAAAAATATTGTTGTTATATTATGATTATTTCTAATCTCCCCTCTCACTCCCCCCTCCTCACTCTCCTCTCACTCTCTCTCTCTCTCTCTCTCTCTCTATATATATATATATATATATATATATATATATATATATTTTTTTTTTTTTTTTTTTTAGTGGTTCAATTGTTTTATAGAAGTGAACGTGCTTTCTAGATGATTTCCTAACTAAGAAACCAATTCTAATAGCTCAAACTTACGAAAAATTGGCTCCTTGAGCAAACAAAAAAATGCGACAGGGTATTTAACTTATTACCCCCAGAGTACAGATTTAGAAACTAAGAAACTAATTTTAATAGCTCAAAGGTATGAAACATTGACTCTTCTGGACAAATACAAAAATGGACTTGGTGTTCTTAATCTCTGAGGTACAGAAACTAATATTTTATTTTTTTTAAAAGATAAAAGCTTTATATTGCAAGTAAATTAAAACTGGCATAGTTGAGCCAATTGATATAAATATATACTGATTAAAAAAAGAAATCATACTATTAAATAAGATAAAATACCCTCAGAAAAATTTATAAAGAAATAAAAAAAAAATATATGCAAATAATTTTTTTTAAATAAAGCAATAACTGACCCATCGATTGCCTATTTTATTTATATGATATGATTTAATTTTTACTTTCAGCTCTTAAAATAAATGTAGTTGAATAAACGCTGAATAGTTCACTTTCACATGGTTTACTATTTGGAATTTTCTTACAATAATATAGTAGTATAGCTTTTATATTAGCGAAAAAAAAAAATTGGAACAAATTTTAATAATTATACCCGACGTGCTTGAGAATGTTTTCTCCTTACACAAGCCGTGGAAGGACTGTTAAGTTGAAAGAGTTTCAAGAGAGGCGATCTGATCCTAGCTTGAGTATAATTTACGGGTTTGTTTACTCTCTTCGACTTGGATAACAGCCTAGTTGCGTTCACGATCCCAAAATTTATAGCGAAAACTAAACCCCTCCGCAAAATGTTATCTTCACACTTTTAATAAAATATATTATATTTGCTGATGCGATATATCTATGAATATATGCTTCATCATTTTATTAAAAAAATAATATTCAGTCACAAATCCTTTTTTTTTTTGCATTGGATATAGTTATTTGAGGATACCTTAAATGATACCAGTTATATTTATTCCATTATTAAATATACCAGAAATAGGTATATTTAATAAATGCTAACATTTTTATGCCGAATTTTAAACTAATGATAGAAAAAAGAAGCATTTTCTTCTCTTCAGAAAATTCATTAGTACCATTTCCTGGAAAATAATTTTATTACATGTCACTAATTAATTTCAATGAATCGGAACATATACCCAACATGTAGATATATTTATAAAAAAATGAATAAATAAAAAAAGCAATGTTGTATATATTTACAAACTCATAAATATTCATATTTTTTCATTTATTGTAGAAAATAAACTGTTACTAATGTTACAAATTAAACTTTCTAGGCATTATTATTTTATAGATAAATTTCATTAGTCATATTCATATTAAAGCATTTCATTAAAATTTTTGTTTAGTAAACTAAATATTGTATTGTTGTTTTATATTGAACATACATCAGGCTACAAGTCATGATGATGTTAATTGTAGCATTTGATAAGATAATACCATGGGCATATTAGGATATTAAGATTTAAACTTGTATAGCAACAAATATAAACAAAAACATATATGAAAAATTGATAGCTATCGACAGGTTTGTTATAATTATTTCAACATTTTGAAGGAAAATAATTAAGAAAAAAGTAAACCACTTATATGTTTAGTGATAATGGGGTGTAAATGAAAGAAATAAAATCTTTCTTCAGGCTATTTACTTTATCACAACTCCAATATCCAAAATAAGAGGAAAAATACAATTTTCACGTCGTAACCGTAATATAACAATAGGAAATAATTGATCTAAATTGAGTGAAAAAACGCTTCGTTGGACAACACAAAACTATTACAGCTCGTGAGAGATTGCTAATGCACTGACTAATATGAGAAATACTATTGCATAACAATGATAAAGAAAATTAATGATGGACAAAAAATATATTTTAACTAAACATAGTAAGAAAAAAAATTAAAGAATCAAATGTAAGTGGGACTGACAAATCCTTTTCACACAACCTCTTTGTGTATACCTCACACCAGCTGTGTGTACATAACCAGCCATACTCAACTCTTCACTGTACACTCGTAACATATGAAATAATTTACCACCATTTTGAAGGTCTTCTCATTCAGGTGCGAAAGATAAACATGATTTAGGCATAACTAAAAAAGTATATAATTAATGATGCCATATAGAGTTTTAAAGATTTCCCTACGAAACGAAAAAAAAACAATTCAAATTGGACCATTTTTGACAAACATATAGACAATTGTAATTTATACACGTCTTGGTTTATTATTTTGAATGAACCATCGTAATTGATCAAGAAAAAGAAAATTAATTACACTTACTCATAATATGCTTTTTTATTAAAACTTATTTTCATTAATCATTATCATTTTTTCGCTGACTAATATATTATGAGAATTATTCACATGGACATACTAGTATTATTTATGAATGAAATCAGTGTTGATTAAATTATAGGAGATGTAGAAAAGACAGAAGGAAGGTACAGCGGTAAGAAATAAATAAGAACAACAGGTGCTTCCGTGCCAGGGAGAGATATATCAAAGCCCTTGTTTAAATCTAACACCTTGAGGTACACCTGCAGTTCGTGACCCGACCGCTTCATCATTCCAATTCCCTATCCAAAAATGTTTAACAGCCCAACTACCGGTCATTTGTTTATCATTTGCTTCCTCAACTGTAGTCATGATTTAATAAAGTTTTTTCTGAACATTGTATTGGATTTAGACATTTATCTTGTATTTATATTTATCTTATCTTATGTTATGATATTGATACGGAAATGGATTTTTTGACGAGAAGGTGAAACAAGGGAATGGAGCTGCAGGAATGATGTTCTTCTAGGTCAGTAGAGGCTTCCTCAACCGAAAAGAGATTACCAAGAAAACGAAGATGACAATCTTCAGATCAATGTTCTTTCTTATCCTGATTTTTTTCTTCTTAGTCTTGGATACTCACTTCGAGGCACAGCAGCCAAAATCAGACTTTAGACTGCGATACATGCGAAATATGGAAGGAAAGACCAAGCAAGACAGATTACGAGACAGGATTTGCAATACAACGATCCGAGTCAATCCGGGCGTAAAAATCGTCAAACCATAATAGAGGATTTATAAGTTAAGATGATTTGGGCCCATTCTTCATATGGATTGGAGCAGGGTCGTAAGGAAAACCTATGAGACTCGCGTGCAGAGGAGATGATAGAGAGGAATACCTCAGATGTCATAGGAAGAAGATCTGCGAAATGCTGGTCGCAGCATAGGGTTTTAAAGATAAAATCTCAAGTGTTTTCTTTAATTTTTCAGTTGGCTCAATAGACCACCTATATTTTGGTCGCTCAATGTCGTCTTCTTGGGTGTATCACCTATTTTTCGAATTTCATGAAATTTACTGAAATTGTGCTGGTCGATGGCTAGATGGTCCTCTATAAATTTTATAAAAATTACGCACGCGTAAATGTTTTGTCTTCGAAATCCCTATATATTTGAAATGGCTCGGTATATTTGGCTCAAACTTGGAGGTAAGTAGGGAATTAGTAAGAAAAATGTCACTGTATCAAATTTGTGTTACTATTTCCATCCGCTGTTGTCAAAAAACGTATGGGAGTGCATTTTTCTAGATGTGCCTATAATTCGAAAACTATTTGTCTTAAAATCGAGGTCGACTCAGTCAAAACCTTGTCAAATCAAGCAAGTTTTGAAACTATACATTGCTTTGAAGTCAAATCCATTTGGCGGCCATTACACCTGCGGCCATTCTCTCGATTTGAAGACATTTTCACGAATTCTGAGTATTGATATATATGTGATCCCATATTGATTTTTTGAAATTCCGTCGACTTCTTGTGCTTTACTGTGCGTTTTTTCTTGACAATACTATAATTGAAAAATGGCTTCACACGTAGATTTTATTCTTAAACGATAAATCATAGATTCAATTTACGAAATGGTCATTGGTCTACCTCACCAATTATTTTTTGTTTAACTTTATTTATATTTTCAATTTTTTTTTTAATCACGTATGATAAATTTTAGCACCACAATATTTTTATTTTTTAGTATCACATTACTTAATGTAACAGGTCAATTTAAATCCAACTAGAGCGATAGAGAGTACATTAGAAAGATTGAGAGTGTGAAAGCGTGAGGTGGTGGTTGGAAAATATGAAGGGAGGTGTCGGAGGAAACAATCGTCCTCGACTCAACAAACACAATTGTTTCAAAGACACCTTTTGTCGCTCGTTAGTGGCCCCTTTTAATTAACCCCAAACCCTCTTTATTTTTTTTTCCTCTCCTCGAGAAGTTCTTCATTCATTCCGACGGCCTTCTGCCACCTCTTTTCTAATGGAAGTCGAGAGTTAAGGTTTTTTCTTTCTTTTTTTTTTTTACTCTTCTACTCTGCCTTCCACCGCCACAGAACTTTCAGCTCTCCGGGATTTCCGGAGATAAATGAGGTTTCGGTTCACAAACGTACACAAGGCTTTGAGAAGTTAATGCAATGGAAACATGTTATTTTAAATGCCACAAAGAAGTTTTTATATGGATTCGCTTGATGTTTCATTTAATAATGAGACTAGATGGAGGATGCAAAATAAGAAAACAAATAATTAAAGGACAAATAAATTTTAACAATTTTAATTTAATTTAACAATTTAAGCTAAAATAAAATTTTATTGTTAATCAGTTGTGGTGTTTATACTGGAATCTTTATTTTTCTGTTATTTCGGAACTAGAAATTTTTCTCTAGCAACTTTTTGACAAAAGTTAATATAAAAAAAGACTTTTATTTTTTAACTGCTCAAAGAAACGACAAGTTAGAATTCATTTAATATAAAAAGAAGTGCTACCAATGGCTAGTTTCTCTTCACCTAGTATATGTCATATTACTTGTATCATATTTACATGTTGTATTTATCATTTAATACAGTTGTGAATTTCAATAATAAAAAATATATAAATTATAACTCTAATCTGAACTCAATAACTATTTATTTATCATTTAATTTAACTTTTTTTTAAAGAAATTTTAATTTACGATTTTTTTTTTAATTCATCTATTCGGAATTAATATCTCACAAAGATTATTACTTAATATCTCAGTCCTACTGTATCTCAGCATATATACCAAATTTAAAATAAATGAGTAGATGATTCACAGAACAAAAGAAAAAAAAAAAAACAGTTAGTAATTTTTCTGAGAACTTTTTCAATGTCTTGAAATTCACCTGTTTGTATATGATTGCATTTTAAGGAGGTTTATATCTCATTATTATACCTGGTAATACACTTGATTTTCGTGTAATGATTACGCGGTTGGGCTCAATCTTTTTTTGTATTGAACTTATTAACTAAACTTAAAGCTATAATTTAATTTCCAAACAAATTTTGCCAGCGTTGAGGAGATTCAGAAGGTTCAAGTTGATTAAATAAGAGATTTGTTACGTATTTTAATGATTTGAAAAATTTGGTATGTCTTTCAGTAATGAAGTCCTTAACTTTAGATATTTCAAATTTTTGGTGGAGTTTAGACACTTTTTTTCTTCGCATAGTCGTCCCTTTAGCTTTTTTTCTTAATATTACATTTTGAAATGTTTGTAGCAGTTTTTCTGTTGATTTGTCAATCATATAAACAGTGGCGTACCATAACATAGAGTAGGACGTATTATAGTTTTGTAGATTAAAACTTTTAGGAATAGAAAGGTGTGTGGGTGATAAAAGATGACTTAATCTGTATCATTTCTGTCGTGCGGTTTTAATTTTTTCACAAAAGTGGGCCGAAAATCTTAAATTCCTATCAAAGATAACTCCTAGATAAACGATTAGCTTAGAAAGTTTATTTTCGTAGTTCTTGATTTCGAATTTCAATGGTAATTTTTTCTTTCCTTTCTGGTACATAAAACAATTTCCTTAGTTTTATCCGGATTAGCCTCAATGTTAATTTGACTAACTCTATTATCAGTTTTATATTTTACAAAAATTTGAATACAAATGAACGTTTTCTGAGAGAAATGCGTAAATAAATACAGAAAATAAGAGCATAACCTAAGTTAAAAACAAACGTTATAATATAATTTTTTAAGACTGTTAGTAGTCCAGTGTTCCAATATATAAAATGAAACATAATAGACAATCCCAGCGATTATTAATCACAACAATATAGTTTATAAATATATATTCATAAAAAATTACATTGAATTAGTAACTAACAAATGCTAGAATTTAATCAATATTTCTGATATCACCCAGATTGAAAAATAATTGGATGAGAGATCTGCATCTGTTTATTTTTCGCTGACTGTTGGCTAATGTATGGCTTATCGTTTCTAATTAATAATTATTTTAAGACAAATAAAATGATGATAACATTTATTTTATATTCCTGTGAGACGAATAAGTGTGTGTAGTAAGAAATGCAGTATTGATTTTATTTTAATTTCTAACAATTCATAATGAATAAACCGATGGTAGTTAACTCTTTTTAAAATGCCGAAGAGTTATTTTAGGAACGGTTGTTGTTGAGTCAAGGATAACTTATCCTTGGATTTAACTAAGCTACCCTAATCCAGGATTTAAATTTTCCGAGACTAAAGAAGTATTGGCGGTCTCCTTTAACCTCGGAGTAAACTAGTTGGAGGTTAGAGTCTCGTTCGTGATTAACTGATAGGTTAAGGGAAGCTTAGTTTGAGTTCTAGAGTATTGAACTAGGCTTCGGTATTCTAAGGATTATAATTACAGGTGTTTACGGAAGTTGTAGAGGTTAGGTTTAAGTGGGACAAATCGCACCAAGACATGTTTCTAGGTAAGCAAATTTTATTTATTTTTTAAAATTCGTTTTCCGTTTTCGGGAACAGCAACAATAACCTAGATACAAAGACAACACCCGACACCCTCGACCCATTTTACTCAGAGCGTTGGAAGGCTCCCAAGAAGAGGAGGGCTAGCAGAGCTATTTAGATAAGAGGACGAACACTTGTTGTGCCAGCAACAGGCCTAGTCACCTGTTGTTCTCCTTTCTTCACTTCACCCAACAAGTAGCTTATGCCTCTCGGCCCTTGTACCCATTATACTCATCTCACAAATATTTCTTTGTCCGTTTCTACTCTCTTTGATAATAACAGAACCCACCGTTTGTCAATCTGGAGTCGTTTTATCGTTTCAAACACAGGGAAAAACTAAATATTATTTAAAAATAACATTCAATACTCAACACGACGATTTGGGAACAGTTTGATAGCTCTTCTATTAACAGAGTGATCTTCGAGGGGGATTTTCGAAATGAGACAATATATATCTACAGTAGTGGATCCAGGATTTAATTTTGGGAAGAAAAGTTAAATAGTCCTTATAGGCTTATATGTATACAAAAAAAAAAGTTAGAGGAATAATAATGATTGATTTTGTAAACAATTTTTTCTTGACACATGCTTATATTTAGTAGCTGTATGTATGTTATAATTTAAAAAGAGTATATATTGTACTGACGATCTCTCCTCAGGGTAGCAATGCAAGGTTAGAATGTCCCTAAGTAGAATAGAAGTAAAAGTAATAAGAAAAATCTCGTGTGTCCACTCACACGAATTTCCTACCTTTTTCAGAAAAGCATTTATATCTTTACATATGGGCATTAAAAAAAAAAAAAAAAAATTGAATTAGTTTTATTTCCCTGAAAATTGATCAAAGAAAAGATTTGAGTACGATTTAAACTAAAGCAATGTAAACCGGCTTAAGGTAGATCAGTGTAAAGATTTCAATACCCTCTCATATTGCTGATCAAAAACTTTTTGCCATAGCCTAATTTTGTCAAACAATAATTCCAGTTAAAAGTAGCAGAAATAGTGAATCTAGTGTGATTCTCTAATTCGACTCTTTCTGGCACCAGGATATGAACCCGTAATCTTACATTGGAAATTGAATAGCTGTAACTTCGTTAATAGTTGTCTTAATTGAACGATTTTTATATAGTTTTGTAAGGAATTCCATTACCTTTCAAAAAACAGTATTTTTCCAGTCAGACAGACCAATGGCTAAAAATGTGTTTTTCGAACTCAGGGGCTGAAAAGTATTGATCCGTCGAAAACCGCATATCGGAAATTTGACCCGATCGCAATATTTTCCTTACGTAGTATAGTGTGAAAAATTTTGGATGGCATATATGTAATGTTGTAAAAGAGCTCGGTCTGAAGGCTTGAGCCCAAAAGGTTCGAACTTTATAGACTCGGCCGAGACTCCAGTCCTAACAGCTCGGCGGTAAAAGAAACGATTCGATGCTCGAGTACACTGTTTTCTATGTCCGTGTAAATTATTGTGAAATCGTTTGTAAAGGTTTCTTAGTGTTGGTCAACTTTAGGCAGGAGGAAGTCGATATGTAAGATTTTCTCGATCCTTATGAGTCTTCAGATAGAGCCCTGAAGGTGAAAGAACCAAAATCTTTAGAGCTGAGACTTTAAGACTCGACTGTTTTTACAGCACTACATATATGACAATATTTAGGAACAATAAAAATATAATATTCCTGAAGATGCTGTAGAGACCCTAAACAGTGAATATTTAACATTTGAATACAAATAATAAAAACCTTTCTCAAAATCAAATCCTTAATCCACTACTGCTATCTTTGTGAGTGGACCTATTTTTGAAAATAAATGCATATGGGCATTATTATTTTTACAACGGAATGTCGACTAGGATTCGATACGGATGGATTGCTAGCTCGAACCATCTCATGACCAAATAGATCCAGTAAAACACGTAAGTTTTATTTAGAATTTTCCTAGTTACTGGGAAAACATTGCCGAAAGGATTGTGTGAATGTATTCATATATCACTATAATTATTCTCCACGTGAAATATTATTATATCTCTACATAAATAAATAAAAATAAAATAAACATCAGCTCGATAGAAACTTGTCACGACAAAGTCATAGATAATGGATACATTGTATAGGGATTAGCGGTGTATAATTCAAGGGTGAAATTAATTAAGATGTATGACAAAAATGATTTGTTGAGAGTAATTTAAATCAACAGTCTAAAATGTAATGAATGGGTCATTATTTATTGATAAAATTTGTTTCCTGCAAGAGGAAAATTAATGTGTTGTTTGTATCTTTAGTTAAATGCTGCGAGTCTCACAATGATTCCTTATAATAGAGGTCATATTTGGTTCGCAACTAGAAAAGAGATGAGAGAGGCCTGTCCACAAGTTTTATTTTAAACGCCTTATTTTTTACCTTCTAATGTCATATTACAATAAAGTATAGATAACATTACATATATTACATAATGATCAACGATATAATTTCATAATATTTTTGTTGCATATTTTTTTAAAAAGCTTCGGTTGAGATTTAGTGATAAATTTAATATTTGTGGGGTCCTGCAAAAATTCATATAGGGGCCCTTGGTTTCTTTCCACGACCCTGATTATGGCTAGTAAACCTCTTTGTATTGTAATTCGAGTGTTTTTTTTTTATCGCAGATTAATTACTTATTAGTTGTTTTATTATGTATATTAATTAAATAATTATGTACTTCGAAATATTGGGAGGGCAAAACTCGGCCCCTCTCTATTTTAGACTCTTTAGTATGCACCTCTACGATGTAGTTTACATTAAACAGAACACTTTTTGAGTGAGACTCAGGATTTTTATTTCATAAATTTCCAACTTGAACTTGTGTGTGTGTGAGAGAGAGAGAGGGGGAGAGAGAGAGATGTGGGAGAGAGTGAGAGAGAGAGAGTGATGTGGGAGAGACACAAAGACCAGAGCTATTAGCCTCAGTAAAGGGTAGCCGAACTAACAAGGAAGGGCAGGTTGTTTGTTAGTCGCCAGCTTTGCTTTATAACAAACTACAGTTCTCTCAACATCCAGGCAAACTTTTCTAACCTCCCTCTTCCGCTTAGCCACCACCCTCTTCAACTTTTCCATCTCGCTAGCTCGGTCTCCTCCCGAAGAGATAAACCCGAGAACACAAGAGCTAGCTAGATTTAGAAGTATTTTTATCCGATGTATCTCCTCTATGTGTTATACAAAGGGGGATTTCACAACAGCAGGTCAGGGGGAATGGAGAATCTGTTATGGCGTTTAACAAATGAATAGATTCTCAGGGGTAGAAGTATCAAGAGAGATTTATAGGACTGAAAGAGAATTGGAAAATAAAATGCTTTAACTTTCCACAGATAAAGACCAAAAATATTATATTAATAATATCTAGAGAATCTTTACGATACCAAGCACTCACAATGACTCACAGTCAAAATACTTCAGATAGTTCAAAATAGTTCAATTTGTATTACATTAAAAACAAAAATTTATTGTAATCTATAAACATCCTTGTAATATGTTATTTTCTTATGTTCTGTTTCTTGGTATAGGGGTTTTATACATATAGTGGCTTCTAGTGTAGGAAATCTTCACTTTATAGCAGAAATATTTACATGGTATAGTGAATAAACATGGTTCCATAGACATTTTGAAAATAAATTTGAAAAGAAATCGTGTAAAATTTGGACTAAAAAACATTGTTTACTTCGAACACCGTTAGTTAAGATATGGCTAATTTATAACCGCCCCAAAGTTATAAAAACTCCATCACAATCACCAGATCATAATGCGATTGTGGGAAAAATTGGCTGGTAAACCTCTTTGTATTGTAATTCGAGTGTTTTTTTTTATCGAAGATTAATTACTTATTAGTTGTTTTATTATGTATATTAATTAAATAATTATGTACTTCGAAATATTGGGAGGGCAAAACTCGGCCCCTCTGTATTTTAGACTCTTTAGTATGCACCTATACGATGTAGTTTACATTAAACAAAACACTTTTTGAGTGAGACTCAGGATTTTTATTTCATAAATTTCCAACTTGAACTTGTGTGTGTGTGTGTGTGTGTGAGAGAGAGGGAGAGGGAGAGAGAGAGATGTGGGAGAGAGTGAGAGAGAGTATAAATTATAAAACACGAAATTTCCAGCAAACAAGACTTGAACAAATATCTCTTTAAAGAATCACCATTGAGAAGACTGAATGAGCCCGAAATCACCAAACTATTGGTCAGCTCCATTACAAACATATTAAAAGGAGTGGTTTAAAATAATGGCTTGTCTACAAGGTATTGAAATATATTAAAAGTTAACAAGAAGTGAAGGGTATCATTTTGACAGTGAGGTAAAATTATCTAGTTTTTTAAAAATAATTAGTTGAATATTTTAATTTTATAGAGTTTTTTCATATTTAAAATGAGATTATAAATAAATATGTTGAAGAGTATCTTGTTTTATTTGTTTACTGGAACCATTTTCTATTTTTCTACGGAGTATATCTATTTCACCTAGAGTCACTGTACATTATCCTTATAGAACGATTTCTGAAGACTATTCGGTTCTAATATTATCATATAAAACTTATTCCTTGAATAACTATGGCTAAAACATGCATCTTAATATCTAATTATAGGGATGATTCACAATCAACGCAATCTGAGAATGACTGGAAATAATTTTCAAAGCAGCTCAAGTTTTCATAGTGAACACCATAAATTATAGATGTTGGTAATTGCTATTAATATAATAAAAGGTTGCAGTTAATATAATGGAACGTTATTTGAAAAAAATTGGGTTTTTAATTGTACAATATTATCCCCCTCATGGGCAATTGAACAAAATTTAGTCTACCTAGCTAAAAAAGTAATTTCAAAATATCTAAACTAAATATATTTTTAGTAATCACTTCCTATTCAAGAAAACATTTTTTGGTTTTGTGTTGAAAATTAGACCGCAGTATTATGGGACACCCGTTTTTACTTTCACTTACCTATATATGTTATATGTATTAAGGTTAAGTGATTTCATTTTTATTTAATGATCGTGAAAATTTTCGAATCTGAGTTTTCAACGAAAATATACGTTTTGAGGTTCCATGAATTCAAATAACCAAATAAGTCCCACAAAATTGTGTGTGTGTGTGTGTGTGTGTGTGTGTGCTAACAGCCTAGCTTAAAAACAAAAAGTGTGAGATTGCGTATTTAAGATTTTTATAAGCCTGGCATGTTACAGCAACATTTTCATCCAAATTGGAAAACCGGAAGTGGTAATTAAAATCATGGATGTAACACATTTTTACGATTTTTTAAAAGAGGGTCTAACGATTTTGATTAAACTCAGCATATCAGTGTATTATGAAGCATTTTTTATATAAGGAAGGTTTTATTCTTACTGATGTGCTCTAATAAGGCTTAAATGGCTAATATTCAATATTAGCTTCCTTTAAAGTATCTTGAATATTTTTAACTTTAAATGATTAACCATTTCACATTAATCTTTGATATAAAAAAAGTTGAATATAAAATATGAAAGAATTTGATGATTAACTAAAGGAAAAGAAATAAGAGATCGTAACGGATAATAGTTGTAACGGAGGAACCAAAGGGATACGAGCGCATCCGGAAGATTAGAACAGACTTCCATACATAACATGAACTTAATATAATAAGGGCTACGTTAATATTATGTACATAAACATATGAGATTTTCATAAATGCTATCGTCGGTATTATTTAATATTTAATTCTATAGATTACAGCGATATAAAAATTAAAATTTTTATATATAAGGGTAATTAAAGAAATAAAAATACCCACAATGAAATGTAAATAAATATATCGTCTATAATTTTTACTTTCACTTCCCTTTTGTCTGAAAATACTTATTTCTCCTAAGAGGGTGGTAGGTGAAAGTTATGTTATGCGCGCACCATATTTTTTTTTTAATCTCTTGAATCCCAAGTAAGAGTCAAGAATAGTAGCGATGCAGCAAAATATTACCAACAAATTTTAAAAATAATATTGGATACGAACAAAGGACAGACAAAAGATGCACTTGAAATAATGATTAAGACGTAGTAATGGACTGTTGAATGTTTCAATGTGAAAGAGTAATCAGACTTCGCCAAAAAAAAGAAAGAAAAAAAGCTTTCTGTTTCCCCTAGGTAATCACAAGGTGGGGAGGAACATCTCTGTTATTTTTCCATTAACCGCTCTGATAACTTTCTTCTTTTAACTTTATTATTATTAAATAAAGATAAACATCTCCTTCGTTGGAAAAACCTTTGGCATCCTTCAATGTCGCCCTCCCTTCGCAGAATGTTAAGATTTTCTGGCCAATACGGGAGAAAACTAGTGACATAGATGTTTATAAAGATTTTCGTATTCACACAAAATCAAAACGACCCTCCATAAATTCAGATAGATGATTCGACGCTTTTTCATATTTTTGGGTATAATAAAACTTTAATTGGATCATATGATTTTTCGAGTTATGATACGTAAGCGAACTGGAGGTTAACGAAAGGATCATCTTTTTTGAAAATATACGAGCAAGGAAAAGTCGAAAATCATGCAGACATTCTATGAACTAAAAAAACAGAAAATAAATGCCACGCCAGAGCCCTTTTGATCTTCTCGAGTTTTCATCAAATAACGGACAAACAATGACCAGCCATAATTCTTTATGGTGATTTTTTTTTCTAATAACATTTCGAAAATTATGACTTGTTCGACTCGTTTAATATGATTCAAGATTTGAAGAAAGAAGATGAATGGTAAAATATAAGAAGTTGCTCATAAAGATTAAGTTAAATTTCAAAACAATTTTTAATCGATATCTGCTTTCAGATTGTTGAGAAAATGATAAAAACGTCCAAACAACTATATCAAGATAAGCGTTTTATTTCGAAGGAGTTGTATTGTTATATATAAGTATAAATGTTGGGCACACATGTCCGCATCGCGACCGAACAGTATCAGACCATATTTAGTAGTGTTGCCAAAATGCGAGACCAAGACGAGTCTTGGTCTTGCGCACTCAGTCCTAGGCTTGGTCTTGCGCAACAGTCTTCCAGTTACCTATCAGCCTATTACTATAGAGACGTTACTGTATTTTTTACTATACTATAGGGGAAACTATACTAAGCCCGAATGAAAAATTGGAATAGTTAAATCCAAAAGTATATTTCTTATACCAATTCTTTACATATAGTAACTAAAATTGACAAGTATCAGTAACTATTTTGACTAAATTTTTATTTACAAAAACGTAAATAAACACTGGGTGGGTAACACTAGTATTTAGTTTCCTTCTCGAGGATCGTTTTCATTAATAAGGAGGGTACATACGAAGGTGGTGCGGCTCGGATACGGTGCGAGCATGTATGATGCAGGATTAATGGGTGGGGGTGTTTTAAAGTAATGTACTTAATTTGGTTAGCTTTTTTTTTGCCTGAAATATAGAATGGTGTTTGAGTATTCGTTTTAGAATGAGCTTAGTTTTACTATATATAGTCTTTCAGAGACATCCTCCAAATCTAGACATGCCAGCTTTACACAAAGGTTTAATGAGTGGACATAGAAATCACTGACACATACATACAAAAATTAAAAATATAAAAACTGGAAATTCACAGTGTGAATGTGATCTCTGAACACTATTATAAATGCCCTTGAGACAGATTGTAATATTATTCGATAAATAAGTTAAAAAAAAAAAAAATTGATCAGCATGGATACTCAAAGTAATTCAAGGCAAGATTATGAAATATTTAATATTAAAAAAAATCATCTCTTGTCGGTCTTAAATGTAAATCTTGATATTAGGTTTTGCGTTAGTTGATCTTCACTCATGAAACGAAATTCCAGGAAATTCACTAGGATCAAATGTCACATCGTCTGCTATCCCAGGTTCTTACTCACACTACGAAACAAGGTTATTATCTATACCATTTGTGGTTTAGCAAAGTAAAAAGTTAATCTAACATTGTTACAACAAACAAATGCATTATATTTTAAAAGTCAGGTTCATTCGCATTTCACTTTCACTCTCTCTGTTATCCTCTGAATTTCAACGCATTAAAGACAATCACCATTAATACCATT